TGAAAGATTTACCTTAAAAGCTAAAAACCTTCTTGGATATTTGAAGAGCACTTATCACAATATTACAACGCGTTATCAGAGGACAGAGACATAAAAACATAATATTTTATTTGCAAGTTTAACCTAGTATTATTCCCACTTAAATTAATACCGGATTTATAATGAATAAATACCAGTATAACGCGTGTCGAATACACACATGCACAATTGAATACAATTAGGTTTTATTGTTTCTTTATCGCTTTTAATGGCATCTTTCTTCCACCGTTAATGTAATAAAACATCATTTAAAACATAAAACTTTATTAATACTTTTAACACGTATATTTATAAGGATTTTATATTATTACTATATATATACAAACAATTTAGAACCATACTAGCTTAAATATAATGACCATTTTCTTGGATCATATCCTAAGAAATATTTTTAATTAGAAATATAAAATGCACACTCACCCCACTGTACGTAGATGTACTTCGTCTTTATTTCATATCTTTCAATGTCTTAGTTGGCTTTAGGCTTTCTAATTTAACATTTCGTTACAAGCAGAATCTGAGGCTGTTTCTCACAATTTTTTTTTGTTCGTTGTTAAAAAACAAACGCAATAGTTTCAAGGTTCGCTGGTGATTTTCCTTACACTCGTATTATTATTAACAGTATCGGATTTGAATGGACGATTCAAAAAAAAAAAAAAAATACTAGTTTTATCTATTTCTTCCTCTAGTATATAGGTTGTAGTAGTACAAAGTTGTCACTATAATTTATACATATATGATACAGTATCGGAATATAGCGTATACATATAACAAATCTAGCTTCAGAATGTAGAAGTTTTTGTTTATTTTTATGAAACAGTGAAGAGAAGGAAGGAAGAAACACTTATTTTAACATGTATAACTTGTAATTGACCCTGATATTCAATACAACTGAAGATTCTTCAACGAATTCTTCTACCGTGAGACGTTAAACGTATTTAAAATGTAAATAGTAACAAGGATGAAGTCAAAGTCAGATTAATTATTTATTTATATTTAAAATATAGCAATAAATTATGTAGATACATATATTTTTCATCTAACTAAAGACAAGATATACATTATCATCATCATCATCATCATCTTAGCGTCTATCCCGGTTGCTAGTCCTGCCCAGGGCTGTAGAACCCTAAATTCGCTGAAATCTAAACGAGTTGAAAATAAACAATCACTTGAAGTTTTGATTTTAATATAATATATAAATGCTTATGAAAGTAATATCTTGAACAACATTGGAGTAGACAGTGACTCCTAGAGGTCCATGACGTGCAAGTCATTTACTTCATTTAATCATAAAAAATGTATATATGGAATAGACAAAAATCTTATCAGATATTCATTATAGATATGATAAATCTATTAAAGGTTTATAAACTTCATAATCGTTGAGTCATTAATTGCTCCTATATATTAAATTTAATTTAAGATGTCGCTGTAACTTAAAATAACCTACTTTATAACTAAACTATAATAAGATTTATGAGGAATGCTGGTGTTAATTTAAGAATTTATTTGTTTAAAGATAAAAGAAAAATGTTTCATTACACCTAATTTCTCTCATCTCGTCAATATTTTTTTTTTAAAATTTATTGATGTGTTTTAAAAATTTCTTCAGCATTTTGCATCTGCACAAACTTTGTAGGAGGGAGCGTTACAGTATCTTTTACCAATAATATTCCGTTAGAAGAAGAAAAACTTGTTTACTAGTTTGTAATTTGAATTATAAATTAGTATTAATAATAAGAAATGTGGCTAACGGAATCGAATCATACCATTACTTTGTATATTTTTGGAATTTAAAATTTATTATGTACATATTTAATTTTATATATACGGCTGAAAAACATATGTGTCATATTTGTAAGCTAATACTTGTCACTAGAAAAGAGAAGGAATGAAAGCGAAGCTTCAGTAAAAACTAGTTGAAGAGTCAAAAGATTATAAACAAAAGAATGACCAGTGGCCCTCACAATCATTGTTAGAGTACGTGATCGTATGCACACATAATTCAATATCAACTTGCAGTGTGTTTTAATAACATTCTCAATTGACACTCAGTGATTACGAACTCTTCCGACAATGTTAAGTGTTATATCTTATTGTATTGAATGTTGTGTCACGTACGTACTGTATTAGAACAACGTTATTATTAAACAATGTTAATAAAACAATCTTGAAATACATTCAGGTTGCTATACAATTAAGTTTTGTAGAGTATTTTTCATTATTCATTGTTATATATTGTAACTATTATTTCTATAAATAGGATCTTGTATAAAATCTTTTGAATTTTTAGAAAAGTTATTTCAATTTATGCTTCATCTGTGCTATTGTAAACTTTTCCCTAACCTTGGATAATGTTATGATTATTGAATATTAAATCAATCAATATTGAGAATCGATTACTTTTATCGATTTAGATGTGAATAAAAAGATATATTTTCCTTTCTGTAGTATGAGAAATTTTCTTATGTAGTTTGAAAAGCTTAAACCAACAGTTAATAAATAATATCATAAAGTAATTCCAAAGATCGCTCAAATTATTCGTTTTTATTCATTCATAGAAAGTTTTTTTCAAAAAAATACTCAAGTTAATGACAATTTGTTAATTACATTGCCCTAAATATATAATTTATGTGAAAAAACTTCCTGTTAACAGTTCGTTTAATAAAATTTATCCTCAACTATAAAAAAATGTTTTAATATCCTCATTAACTATCAATAACAATAACAACTGATCTCCAATAATGTCTAACATGGTCTATTAATTTTGACGAATTTTGTCATTATTTTAATAGATATAAAAAACTATCTAAAACAAAGAAATAAATACTATTTTATATTATTTGCTCCTTTCATCAAATCAAAAGACACCATTTTGAAAAAAATGACAAGTGTGATTTTAAAAAAGTAAAGAACTATTTGTTTACTTTTATGATTCAAAATTCAAACCTTTGACGATAATTCAGAAAAAGTTATCGCTTTTTGACTGTCTGATTTTGAAACTTTTTTAAGGGAACTCAGTTTCAACTGAAATTAAAATTTGTCGATTTGAATAAAATAACTCGAAAAAATTCGTGCTTCATATGTAGGATCAACAGTGCCTGGATAGGTTTAAGGGGGCTCTTAGCTAACTCTTATACTAACTAAGCTATATTTACCTAACCAAATTTGAAAAGAACCTTTTTAAATTGTATAATAGGGAATGCCAAGTCTTTTTATTATAAGAGAACGGACCTCTACCGCGTGCAAAAAACACCTAACAAATTTTAATGCTCGTTTTGTCTGACCTTGATGCCATGGTCTTTGGGGATGTTGGTCCCAAGGCACCGTAAGCTCTATCATTACATTTGCTTGTACACATTGTAAAGACAAAGTCCAGGTAACACCTGATTTGGAATGATTGGTTCACTTTGATAAAATATTGTCAAACAATTTTACCAAGTGAAAAATTAAAATAATACTTTTTGATATTAGTGTTGGTTTTGTACAATATTTGAATTGCTTTAAAGCAAATAAACACTGGTTGGCAAGGTTAATATTTTTATAAAAACATGTTACTCTTGAACAAAAAATACTAAATAAAATATTACAATACATGTATTTATATATGTTATAATACATTTGTTAATAACAAATAGTCATAAAAAGTTTATATTTAGGTATAGTTTAAGTGAAGTTTACTTTTCTTTAATGAAAGTACTGGATTGGAACAAGTCTTTTAGTAGGTTGTAGAGATTTAGCTGTTATACCTCTCGCTCGTACTTTTACCGCGTACTAATTTACGAAAAACCTATTCTTAGTGAGCTCTTAGTGAATCCTAATACTTATTGACCTTGGTGTCATGGTCTTGGGGATTTTGGTTTTCCAAGGAAACGAAGCTCTTATAACACAACGAGGTTTAAAATTCGCGAATATTGATATATGTCTGGTTTAGACGCCGACACACAAATATCCTCTGGGATTCCATATTCTTTATCGTACGTATGAACTTCTGACTTCCCCAGAATATATCTTAGAACCTATTTTGTGTTAATAGAGGTCTGATGACCTTTTTTATAGCCGGTAGCGCGAGCCCGAGTCACAATTTTAACAGTTCTATGACGCTTGCGTCTAACTTTGAAAAGAGGATTTTAGGGTAGAACGATGGTATTTATTATTAAAATTGAACCGATGTCCCCATTTTTTTCTTATTAGTTTATCTGTATATATATATATAATAATTACCTAATATTTCTATACAAAAAACATTTTTTTTCTCCTTAATCCTTATGTCTATTTATACCCTGCGTACTACAGCAAAATGATTTACAAATTACCTTTCTAAGCTTCATCAAGTTTTAATAAATTTAGGACCTATAAAATATAATATTTATATTATTTATACTGTAAAATATATTATTTATATCATAATTTGATTGGAAAGCGTAATTGTGGTAATCATATAAATATAATTATTGATACATATAGTAAGTAAAATCTATAATAAATTGCATTCCATATCGGCATGCATGAAGTAGCTGGTTTTAATCAAAAGATTGAAAGATCAAAATGATTATCAGATTAAATTGTTATCTATGATAGAAATTTGGCTATGATAATACTTAAAAGAATATCAAAACAATCTTAATTGCCATTATACGTCACAATCTTAGTGTTTCTCGGAAATGTTTTCTGTTGCACGTACTCTGAGCTTTGATACAATGTTTTTTTTTGCGTATTGCACTTAACTTATTTTAACTTAACTTATTTTGCTTATAATACTTTTTATATGAGCGTTAATAATAATTTAGTCATATAGTAAATACTAATTCTTCCTTATAATTTGCTTGATATGAAGCAGTTTCTTAAGAGTTTAGAAACAAAGTTTGTTATACTATGAATGACTTATAAATGATATGTATGTACGAATTTCTGTGTTTCAGATAATCTGACGTGTAAAGGAACATAGACTTATCGAAATGGACAAAACCGAGAGTAATAGCATCAATTGGAGTGTGGGAGGTAAGAAAGTTTACATATTGGTTTTTAAGACAGAAGTAATATTTATTTCATTTAAAAATACGTATGACGCTCTTTGTTTCATAATCAATCAATAATCATATCAATAATGCTATGTACATTCCATTTTTAAATGTTTACTAAAATACATCGTAGCTTTATAAGGTATATATACTTGATACGCTATATTGCTTCATTAAAGATTATAAAAATTAAATATGTACTTAATTATACTTGGATTATGAGTAATGAGATATTCTTTTATTAATTTCATAATATCTTAAATTAACTTTTTTCAATAGAAACATTAAGAACAATTACTATCCAATATACCTAATTATTTTTTTGATTCTTTTGACGAAATATATTAATTATTTTTGGTGTTTAATTGTAAATTACATCCATTCGACAAAACTTTTCTTAACTCATTATTATATCTTGCTTATAATTTTCAAAGCAAATAGGTTATAAGATATTACATAGTATATATCTTTATAACTCAAATTTTCTAAGTTAATGTTTTGATAATTTTCATTGTTTTAGATAAGTTATCAACATCAGATCCAAGTATTTCGGCGATGTCGGATGAGGTGCCTACACTCACCGTGGCCACCATTTTGGGAGTCGCTGTGGTCATCATTGTAGCAATTATTTTTGTTTTCGTATTGGGAGTCCTCATCGATTGGAGGCAGCAGTACGTAAAACATACATCTACATATAAATGAAATAACGGTATCATATTGTAAATTATTTATAAAAACTATTTTGTTTTAGGAGACTGATAGATAAAAAAATGGTTGATGTTAAACGTATGAAAAGTCGGCGTATAAATAATTATCCAGAAGCAGATGACGTCAGCATTGCAAACAATATGGCGGAAGATGGTATTAGCACGCCCCCGGCGGAGGCGTTACGACAAATACCATAGATATGTTAACAATATTTCCATTTTATTTTGTACATATATTTGTAATCTGAAAATTAAACAATATTAAGCAATTGTTTTCTTACTTATACAAATATAATTTATGTTATTAGACAAATGTTATGTATATTGGAGTTAGATAGAAGATAATTTTGATCTAAATTTTAATAATAAAACCAAAAACTTGACTTTATCCTAAATGTTTTTTAGAGTTTATAACTTATTATTAGTGTGTATTGCATGTATTTTTTTATCTTAAAACAATATTGTGTTACGCATAAAATAAATATAATGTTAGAATTGTTGTTTGTTACTTATTCCTTTTTATTCGATATTCATTTTTATTTATTTTATAAAAAGATAATAATAACACCAATAGCGGTTTAGTCAGTGGTGGTCTAGTGGTTAAAAGGCCCGCCTCTCATGCCTGAGGGCGCGGGTTCGATCCTGGCAAGTACCAATGTGATTTTTCCGAATCATATGTACTTCGTAAGAGTATTTAGACATCACTGATTAATGTATTCCCAAAGAGGGTTGGTGTCAGGCAGGCGGTCGGTCGTAAAAACAATTAGCCGAAACTATTCGCAACATGTAAGGCAGACCCTGGCTAAAGCTGGCAAATTGTCAGGAGTAAGAAGAAGGACACCAATGTGGTGTTTTGCAAAATAGAAAGTTATTTGTAGTTACTTTTTAATTAACTTCAATTTATTTTATAACAAGATTCAATAAATTTACTTTTTTTATGTAGGTATTATACTTAACGACATCTTTAATTTAGCTTTCGTGTCAAATCTCCAATTAATTATAAAGAACTCTCATATTTAACACTCGCCGAGTATTTGTTTTATCTATCCTAGTTTTTTTATTCGAATATCATTGAAGTGAAAGTGTGTTGCTTGTATCCATTACGTTCTTAGACTGTAAACATTTCAAACAACTGTTACGTAATTTTAAAACTAAGGTTAATTTAAAAGAAAATGTCACAATACCCATTTTGCTTTTTTCTTTGGAAAATTAGATGAAGCAATAATTGACAATCATTCGTTTTAGTAATATTTCAAACTGAGACTATTTTTATATACTCTTTTTGGGCTAACAAGGCAGCTTGACACAATTTCCTTTTCAGTAAACGATCTTATCATAATTGACTATTTACGAAACATGTACGATTACGTTCTATGTTTAATTTATTTATTACGCTAAGTTGTTACATGACCGATTAGCTAAAATGTTGCAACCGTTGATTGCTATTCAATATACACTATTTTACATGTATAATGAGAATAACTTTTCTTTAAGCCCATTACACATCAGTATTTAAGGAATGATTTTTTTCAATCTTGAAATATATTTCCCTTTTGTTATTTTAATAAAATAACAAATAATGATATCAAAATTTTATCATAAAATCTTCCTCGTGACGTTTTTTTTACAATCTCTTCCATCAATTGTTCAATCATGTGAAATTTGTGAAAAAAAACCCGTTTCCGTTTTTTTTATCTATTAATACTTAATAGAAAACAAATAATAAAGTATGTAAACAAATATAAATGTGTTTGATACTAATGATATGCGTGGATGAATTTATAGTGTGTTTTTTACTCAATTTTCACGTACCGTAACCAGTGGTGGGGATGGCTACCTGAAAATTAAACCGGCCATACATTATGTTATACTTATTCCGTATTCCGAGAACGCCACCTTATTCATAAAAGTTGCAGCAGAAATCAATTGCTTCGGTGACGTTCAATAAATTAATCATTATTGAGTCGTTGATAAGATTGTAATTATGAATTGATTTAGCAAATATTTCATCACTTCAGTTTGAAAACTTTAGGCGTCGGGAGTGCTGTTGTGTTTTCTTCTAGATATTTAATTTAAATATCAAAGTTATCGTTGTCCCGAATAACAAGCCAGTTAATTTTTAATATGTATATCGTTTAGTTATATTTTGTAAGCCGATTTTAAGAGTTCGTTACATAAATGGGAAATTCAAAGTCGAAGAAAGTTCAGAGGGAGCCGGATAAATTTTTCGAGAGGGAGCGATGGAAGGAACAGAGGAGGGAGGAAAAGAAGAAGAAGAACTTGAATCCTCAAAACAAGAGGACTGCTGTTAAAAATCCTCCGATAAATCCTTCAGTGGCGTTGTTACCACCGAGTCAGGGTGCGATGCCACGACCTTCGCCATCCCAAAACCATTCCTACGACGACGAAGCGTTAGACCGCATGCGTTATCAACTCAACAATGATTGCGACGCATTTTTATTAAACAATATCCTGTTGTCGGTGCAGTTCTTTGAAAATTATGAACGGTAAGTGATATTAAAGTATTCCTGTAAATGTATTTACTTATAACCATATCTCTATTTATCTGCTATCTTAATTAAAAGTATAGATGAAATCATAAAAGAAATCTTTCTTACGAAGTGTGTGTAACCATTTTTATATATATTATTAAATTTTTATTGTTGAATTGGAGTACAAGATTAATTATATTGTGAAAAAAAAGGTCATGTATTGGAGGAAAATTTATTGAATTTTAGGTATATTTTTCAAACGTACGTACATACCTACATATATAGTTGTAAACTTTTCTGATATAAAATTTATTGAGTGTATTGAAAATATGATAGGTTGACAACAAATACTTTTTTTTAACTATTAGATTAGATCAATGTTTATTACGAAGTTTACGAGTATGATATAAAGTAATTGTGTTATATACAAAAATATGTATCAATTTAATATCGGCTCTTTTGAAAAAAATAAAATTATGTTTCAATATTATCATAATTCTTAAATCTTACATATATATTTATATATAATATAAAACGTAAATATATTTTTTAACGTAATGAGTACAAATTAGAGCAACATATTTTGAACTAATTACATAATGTCAGTGCTATAAAATCATATAATTAATTAATCGTAATATAAAAGATGCATTACGATAGTTTTAATGTTTCATAAATTAATATATTTTTTTAATATTCAAACTATGATTAAGGAACCATAGCCATTTCAATTGTCATTTCCGAATTATAATCTTAAAATGTTAAATGTATTGTGAAAGAATTTTTTATATAATGAAATACTCTAATTAATGAAAAACTTCGACAAACTGAAATGGTATTTATAAAATATTATCAGAGTCCAATGTACAATACTTTTTAGTATACAAGGTATTCATTTAAATAATATTAGTTCCAAAATCTAATGAGATTTTTGTCGATCTTCTTACAGTGAAATATGAGTCTATACTTTGGAAATGATTAATAAATAATAAAACTATGAACATTAATTATAATAATAAAAATAATAATTCTCTTTTCGTGAGAGAGTTAAATGTTTAAGTTACGGTAATGGTGAATAATAAATCTTTGATCATACGATTATAACAATATACACATATATTATTAGATATTTTCTTAATTTTATAAATACATGACATGTTTGGATAAAATATTAAATATTGCCGTGAAGTACATACACTGTTTCGGGAACAGAGAATAATCATGATAAACAGGAATTCAGATATAAATGAAAACGTCTTCTAACTTAGGGTTGTAGCTACTGCCGTATCAATCAAACGAGGCCTCCTGATTACGGAGACTCAGAATGTGCGTAAACAAAACATAATAAAATTTTCTACAAGTTTTTTATTTCGCAAAAGCCCAAAGTCACAAAAGCAATTTCTTATAGTTTTTGTAAAGCTTGAATTCAAAATTTGGAAACCCTACATCGGTTATCGTGGGCTGCGGGACTTCCCTTTTTAAGTCTTACTTCAACGGGGGAATGCCATAATAATCGATGTACATACGATATCGCAACTGCAGAAAGAAAACTGATAACAGATTACCTACAATCTTTGATCGAAGAGACCTGTCACTATTGTTCATATAGAAAATTAAACTTTAAAAAAACTGAGGTTGTCGTCAACTATAATGCATTCAATAAATCAGTTTCCCGAAAAAAATGGTAAATCTTAATAAAAGTAATATGTGCCCTCGACTGCTTATAGAACTTAAACTTGATAATTTTTCTTACGATGATATCATATTATTTGAAACATAACAAAGGACCCAGCTCTACCGGATATCTATAAAGCTCACCACTTTAAAATGAAACAATTGGACTGTTAATTACGATAATTAGATATGATATAGAAATAAAAGCACTAAGTAGTGATAAGATTTCAATAACATATTTATTCAGATATTGTTATCACACACTTCGTTAGCGGTGATTTCTTTATGATTTATTAAATCACATACGAGGCAATTTATCTATTATAAACAATATTCCATTTTATTATATCACATATATTATATTATAGGAAAATTATTTTAATTTAAAAAGAATTAAATGGAATGAATATCACACATTTGCAAGTTTTTTTTATGTAATTTATATATATGCCATTCATTTATTTAGGGAAATGAATCATATCAAGAGCAATCCTATAAACGAGTGTCAACATACTATGGATGAAGCTATGGTGCAATGCCACAAGCATGTATTCTTTCGCTGATAAAATCCAAGAATGTGTGCAAGAACACGTTCTATTCCAAGTGAAAAAAGATCAAATAGAACCGCTGGTGGCTCCAAGATTATTTATAATTTACGATAACGTGGAGGCAAGTGAACCTGGTGATGCTTCCGATTATTGTGCAGTTCTTGATGCGCCCTTCTATAAACTGCGTATTGAAGACTGTAAAGAATTTGGCAAGTTTATTGTTATAAAACATTTTTTTATCACATAAATAATGGTTGTATAATAATATCAAATTGTTACAGGATATGTTAAACTCAAGAAACTAGAAATTTTAGAAAGTAGTCTCTCCAAAGAAACTGCAAATAAACTTCAACAACGCGTAAGTTCTGATGACAGCATTTACACAGATTCGGCAAAAGAATCAAACGCCTCTGATGATATTCCATATTCTGATAAAAGAGAAAAGAATTTACAAAAGATAAAGAATAAAGTATCTGACACTAACATAGATAGTAAGCAAAAGCATGATGTCGAATATTACGATTCTAAATCAAGGGTTTCGGTCAATGATGTTGAGATGATAAATAAATTGTACGATACGGGCCATTTATTACCAAATGGGAATTCAAATGGTATGGAAGTTACTTTTTCGAAACAAAATGAGTCTGATGAATATGATATTAAAGCAAGAAAATCTATTTTAAAAAACGCACGACGATACAGTGGCCCAACTAAAGAAATTGTTAACAAAAGTTTTAGCAACAACCGTCGTCACACATCCTTAGATAATATATTAGTTGCAGAGGATACTGAGACATCTGGATATCGTTCCAACGCAAGCAGTCGTCAGGCTGAGTCTAGTGAAACTGAATCTGATTACGGTTATGCTACTATTACTGAATCTACAACACCTAAAAAAATTGGACTTAACAAGAGGGCCAATTATCCAGTGGCATCGGGAGTCTTACCTGATGACAGCTGGATAGCGGTTAATGTGAAATCGATTGATTGGAGCGATGATGAAGAAGATGATACAGCTTCAAAGGAATCTTTAAGTCGAAATCTATTCGAAACACATAACTACCTTGGCTCTATTGCTTTTATGGATGACTTTGTTAACAATTTCATTGTAAATTTAGGCTCTGGTTTAGGATTCTCACAAGATACCATAAAGAATTCTATGACACAAGGCGCTAGTATTTACTGCAAAGCAATTCAGAATGGCTTAACTTCCAGCTATGAAGTATTTCCCGCTCTAATAGCAGCTTGGCCAAATTCAGCTAATCGATGGATTATTCGGGAGAGAAAAATTATACACAATCCAAGAACAAATTTTAGTTATCAGTGGCCTACAAAATACATGGTTAGCAAAACTGTTGGTTTTGGTTGCTTATTAGTACCTATTGGATTTAGGCCTAAGAGAGGGCTAAACCCAGAACAACAAGTACAATGGAAGGTTATATTCCCTGCTGCAGAGCGTTACTTGGAAAGTTGTTTAGCCCATTCCCATACACGATGTTATCTTTTCACTTTGACATTGTATAGGGCTTTTTTAGAAAATAGTACATCAAAAATCGGAATAAATGAAAGTCACATAAAGAACCATTTATTTTGGCAATGCGAAGACAATTATGCGAAGTGGCCTGAAGATAGGCTTGGAGAGTCATTGCGTTTATTTTTAAGCAGTTTTTATGCTCATTTTGGTCAATCCCGATTTCCAAATTATTTCATTGAAAATTGCAATGAGTTCAAATATATACCGAAACCGTTGTTACTTAAATTGCAAAGAAACTTAGCAGATATCCTTGAAAGTCCTGTAATGCATGTTTTACATGCGATACACAAATTAAAATACACAAAAAGAGATTTTTATCCCAAATTAAACTGCCTTAAATTATATGAGATATTGACGTGCAAAAATCCTTTACGTATAATAAATCCACATTTACCCACTGTCGCACCTAATAACGATACCACTGATAGTGAAGACGAGCAAATAAAAAATATCTGGGATAGAGCAAAAGCTCATGACAAACATTATCAATGGAAAAAAGAGAGACAAAGACAAATCAGAGAAAAAAGGCAATCTAATAACTTATATAAGAAACAAAGGGGATCAGGAAAACCAGAACGAGAAATTAATAAAAATGTAAGTTTTTTAAAAATACCTCTATTTTATAACATAGTTCTGGCTGCCCGTTGCTATTTATTTATTATTTGTGGGTGTCTATTTGATAAATCCTTTTTTTTTGCAGATAATATTGCCACCCAGATTACCGTTCGAACGTCGAAGATTGGTTTTAGAATTTTTCATACCTCATTTTATTGCAATGGCACGTTCGAGTGAAAAGTTTGAAGCTCTTAGACAGGCAGTAATATACCTGGAACAAGCTCAAAGATTGTGCTACCTGTTAATGGAGGAAGCATCTGGAGAACTTTCTGCAAGAGAGTTTTTAGATATTATTCGTGACAAGTTATCCGACTGCCAACAAAAATTAGTGAAACAAGAAGGTTACAAATTTTCTGTAGTAGAGAAAAATAACGCGGAACGAAAGGTGGAATCTGATATTATTCGTAAACGTCGACCCAGATGCGAACATATTTTAAATTTGGTGTCACCTGTAGAAATGTCAAATAAAACTAAATTTACATTTGCAGAAGTCCACGAGCAACATAAATCTCGACGAGATATTAAAACATATATAGATTATGATGGTTCGGAGGAATCTAAATTATAACGATAGCTAAGTCTCGCTAGTACTTACATATTCAAATTAGATATAGCCTTCGTCACGTCAATTAAAATAAAGAATAATACGCATACTAAATCCAAAAAATCAGTGTTACATTCAGAATTATAACGTCCTATTATATTCCTGTCACAGTTGAGTTTTTTTTTATATGGAGACCAAAACATTCAAATTTATTCTAATAATATTACAATTTTATACCTAATAATTGCCCTTGTATCGTTTTTCTAATTGTTTTTATTGGAATCTCGTTTATTGATATGCTTATTAAATATTATCTTTAAGTTAATAATATTAAAAAATAATAAAATTAAATACTACATTTTGATATAATATTTATTTTAACATTCATGACATGAGTCCAACAAGATATTTTGTAACAATTTTCCTTTTATTACGTTTGTATAAATATAGAATAAATATTTCATGTGAGAGGATTGACTCCAGCGACCATGGAAAGTAACGCCATACGGACATACATTCCGTATTCCGCTTGTCTGAAATAAGCTGCCCGTGGATCGGTATCAAATTCAGGTGAAATTTCATCGACACGAGGAAGTGGATGCATAACTATCATACGGCGTTTGGCTCGTGTCATAAGTTGTGGTGTAACCACCAACAGACCTCGCATCTGTAATAAAATTTAATTGATTATTATTAATCATATTAATTTTGTTCTTCAGTTGAAATCCCTAAAACTTCATAGCGTTACAGAAATAATATGACATGAATATAAATGTTTGTGAGTTATTTATACTTCGTAATCAAATATTCACGTACACTTTTTACATTTGAGATTAATGAATTTGATTAAAGTATTAATTAAAGATGGTCGGTATTGATTATAAGTAATGGACAATCTAATGGACCGACGTCATACCGACAGAGTCCTTGTTGACGTCGTAAAAATCACGATATACTCGTAGGATCAATTAAACGAATCAGTTTATTTATAATATTAAATTTTGTCTGTAGTTATAAGAGTCAAATGATCTTTGAATATATGTTTTTTGAGCTGATTATTGACATTTTGTTTTATTTACCTTTTCGTATTCTTGCTCACTTTCAAATCGTTCTCGTTGAATCCTCGTCATATATAGAACATGAGTTTCGCCGAGAACATCTTCTAAGCGTTCATATACTTTTTGAGGAATGCCTTTGTATGCTACGTAATCCATTATATGTTTAGGCATTCCAAGTCCAGGCGGACTTACGTATTGTAGTTGTACTTGATACAGAGTAAGAAGTCGGGCTAAAGAGTGAACAGTTCTTCCATTTTTCAAATCACCGACCATCGTTATGGTTAAGCCATTAACGGTACCGATTTCCTCTCGAATAGTAAAAACATCCAGAAGGGCTTGAGTGGGGTGTTCACCTACACCATCCCCAGCATTTATGATTGGTTTCCGACAGTGTCTTGACGCACGCTGAAATTAATGAATGGGGAATTTAGAATGATATTATTTATAGAAATGAGTTTTAGGCGTTTTTATCTATATGTTATCAAAAAACATTACTTTATTTTGTTAAAAACACTACATAATAGAACTATTATATTTGCTATATATTAAAATATATACAGTACACATATATTTCATTCAATTTATTTTGCATTGTTTAAGCATTTATATTGGAACATTATTTGTCTTGTTTTTATTAAGCATGACATAAAGAGATATTTTAGTTAAGAACTTACTGTCACTGCACCGGGTTCTGGATGACGGAGTACTACGACGTCTGCGTAGCTGGCCATAACAGTCACACTGTCCTCTAGAGTTTCTCCTTTTTTAGCTGACGAACTCGTTGCGTCCGTATGGATCACAGATCCACCAAGTCTTTGCATGGCGGCTGCGAAACTACAACTCGTTCTCGTACTTACTTCATAGAATATTGATGCCATGACTTTACCACGTAAAATGTCATCTAATACACGTCCCTTTGTAACATTAGTTTTCATAAATTGTGCTAAATTGAATATATCATTCAATGTTTCTTTTCCGAATGTGTCGACTGTCAATATACTTTTTCCAAATAAATCACTTCTTTGACGATTAGGTGCCGCTGCATGTGATGGATAAGATGAACTGTCTAATCTTTGTCTAGTAGTTTGTGGAATTAAGGGAGAAACGCTTCTTAAACCAGAGTCCTCGTGGAAATGAACATTTAGTTTATTTTGATCTGACCTAGTGACTTCAGCCTGGTCTACGTCTAGATCGTTAACTTTAATAAATTCCAGAGAACTGTGAAAATCTAATGAAGAGTTTGGTCGACTGGTCTCTTTTTCTAGTTTCTCTGATACAGTACTAGGATGAGCAAGTTTTTTTGGTGTTGGCCAGTCACGTACATTTTGACCAAATCCAGGCGGTACCAAGACTTGACCTTCAACGTAGGCTATTTCACCTCGAAGGGTCACGCGATGAATAGCTCCACAGACCTTTTTCCCAGCAAAGGGGGTCCACTTAGACTTTGAAAATTCCAATGCCTGAGGAATTACCCATTCATAATCCATGTCCACCTCCACGTATGTATTTTGTTGTTCAGGCAAATTAAAAATTCTTCGTGGATTTTTATGGAAATTTATTAATTAAATCATCTATTGTCAAACGTCCTTCATGGACAGCGTTTAGAAGAAGAGGCAAGATGGTTTCAAGACCAGGGAAGCCCGGGGGAGGCTTTTCGGAATCCTTTTCTTCGACGGAATGAGGAGCATGATCTGTTGCAAAGACGTCAATGATATCCATATTTTTCCACAATTCAGCTTGGTCTTGTGGGCTACATAAAACCGGACGGACTTCAGCGCGTCCTTCACCAATGCTACTTATATCATCTGTGCTTAAAAACAAATGATGTGGACATACTTCGCAAGTTACTTTTAGACCTTTTTCTTTAGCCGCTTTCACGATCAAAATTTCTTCTTTCCTAGCGATATGACATATATGAATAGGTCTGTCCAATAGTGACGCCATCAAAATGATTGCGCCAGTCTTTTCACGCTCAGCGTGGGCACATATAGGCATTTTTTTCGGCCAGTTCTGAAGATGACGTTGCCAAACAGTCATATCGTCCAACCTTAAGGTTGTGAAAGTTTGATTGAGATACATTTTTAATGCTGCAGCTTGAGGTGCTAATTCAGCAGCTGTATCACAATTCGTCGTTGAGGCTCCCACAAATAAAGCGTAGTCACAACGAGCACTTACTCTTGCCAATGTTGAAACATAGTCATATGACACGCGATCGATTACCGGCGGATTGTGTTTGGCATAGCGCAAATCATAGTGATACCTCCAGCTAGTGCAGCAGCTGTACAGGAATTAAAATCTTCTTTGTATGTCGCCCCTGGTTCACGGACGTGAACATGAACATCGATAAACCCTGGCAGTTTAAGTATATTTCTCGAAGTCATACAATCTGTATGTGTTTTCATTGGTGGCGCACCACTACACCGCAACATAGCCTAAAAATGTATAATTTATGAGAAAATAGGTAATAAATAAACAAAAAGCTGCAAATATGAGAAGAATGATCATATAAAAACCTGAACTAGAAGTTTAGCGCATTTCACATCTGTAACTAAAGGAACTGCATAGTCTACGGCTAAACGACGGGTTCGATAGCCATGTGTGGTAAATGAAGAGACGCGCCGAGCTCCACCTCTCATAGGCAAGTTTATTACTAAATCCAATTCTCTTCGAGCCATAAAATCGGCTAAATGCATTAATTCTCCATCGGATCTATCATCCTCTAGATCCCCAATGTGGTCAAAAGTCCATTGCACACTTTCAATCTGTGAAGATTATAAATTGTTAAATAAGAAAGAAATTGAAAATCTTTGATACGTAAAAAAACTTTTATCTTTTAAATTTTCTAACAAAAACAATCTAAAACAACTTCAAATATTCCTAGTAGTCGCAGTATATTTAGAAACTTAATATTTTATTAAGACTACTTTTATTATTGAAACTTAATATACTTATTATTATTGACTCCTGTACAGAAGAATTTAAAGTAATTAGTTTTCAGAATTTTCTTACCTCAACACCATGTTCCATATAGAAATCGCCAGTACCCATACTGGCATACAATTTATATCCTAATTTTTGTAATATTCGAACACTTGGCAATAACTCCATTTTATGCTAAAATCATAAAAACATAAATTGTTTTTTTTTTTGAGTGAAATCTCGAATAAATAAAATCGAATATTTAAACAATTATATTATATTAGCACAAAACAATTAGTTTTTTTTACCTTAAATGTTCCCACAGAAAGTAAAATAGCTTTTTTGGGAATTCTAAAGCCAGTACTCATTAATGATTTTAGATAAGCTTCATAACGATTTTCACCAAAACAAGCAACTTCACCGGTGGATGCCATTTCTACTCCAAGTGTGACATCGGCTCCTGATAATCTTGAAAACGAGAATTGTGGCACTTTGACGCCAACTTTTCCACAGCCACCCATTATATTCACTGGTTCAACCGGTAAACCGAGAATGACTTTTGTTGCCATTGCAACAAAATCATGATCTAACGTCTTTGAAACAAATGGGAATGATCTTGAAACCCTCACATTACACTCTATAACTTTTAATTCATTGTCCTTTGCTATGAGTTGCATATTGAATGGCCCGGTGACATCGAGTGTTTCGGCAATAATTCTCGCTATTTCTTTGATTTTGTCCAATGTTTCATCATTGATGTCTTGCGGTGGAGTTACTAAAGTAGCATCTCCAGAATGTACTCCAGCATTTTCCACATGTTCTGAGACAGCCATACAAAGAATTACCCCATCGGCGGCAACGGCATCAACATCTATTTCTTTTGCGTCTGAAATGTATTTTGATATCACTACTGGATGTTCTTTACTCACTTCACTGGCAGATTTCAGATAAGTTTCCAAATCTTGGTTCGAATATGCTACATTCATTGCAGCTCCACTTAAAACATATGATGGACGAACTAAACATGGATATCCAACTTCTTCACAGAATTTTACTGCTGAATCAAGATTCGTTAATTCTTTCCATCTCGGTTGCAGAATACCTTTACGGTCGAGCATACGAGAAAATTTAAATCTATTTTCAGCATTATCAACCATATCAGGGGAGGTTCCTAATATAATAGCCTGCTGTCTGTGCAAATCCATAGCAATATTATTAGGTAACTGTCCGCCCATACATAATATTACACCATGAGGTTGTTCAATGTTATATATATCCATAACAACTTCAAAAGAAATTTCTTCGAAATATAGCCGGTCACTCATATCATAATCTGTGCTGACAGTTTCAGGGTTGTAATTGACCATAATTGTTTTCTTGCCCTGTTTTTTCAACTCTCTTAAGCACCCAACGGCACACCAATCAAATTCAACAGAACTACCTATCCTATATACTCCGGAACCGAGTACCATAGTCAAATCTTTAGGAAAATCTAAATCATGTGTACTACCATTGTAAGTAAGATATAAATAATTGGTAGATGCGGGCCATTCAGCTGCCACTGTATCTATTTGTTTAACAAACGGAGTAATCTTGAATTCTTCTCGTAATTTTCGAACTGCTAATTCTGTACTTTTAATTGCAACAGCAACCTGTTTATCCGAAAATCCCATTTGTTTTGCTGTTTTTAATATATCAGGAGTAATTGATGTCGAATCTATGGACTCAAGTGTTTGATAGTAATCTATAATATTTTTAAATTTGCCAAGGAACCATCGGTCTATTTTAGTTAACTCGTATAATTTTTCAACACTATAGTTTTGTCTAAGAGCAGCTGCTAAAACAAACATTCGCTTATCTGTTGGCTCTCGCAGTTCGTTTTCATTAACTTTTTTAAGGTACGGATCGAAACCATTAACGTTTTCATCTACCATTCTTAAAGCTTTTTGGAATGCTTCCTCAAAATTCCTTCCAATGGCCATAACTTCACCTACACTTTTCATAGAACTTCCAATCTTTGTACTAACTCTATTGAATTTCGCTAAATCCCATCTTGGAATTTTAACGACACAGTAGTCCAAACTAGGTTCGAAACATGCTGTCGTTACCCCCGTTACAGAGTTTTTTATGGCGGGTAATGGAATTCCAAGGGCTAACTTTGCAGCAACATATGCTAACGGATAACCTGTAGCTTTACTCGCTAAAGCTGAACTTCTAGATAATCGTGCGTTTACTTCAATGATATAAAACTCTTCAGAATTAGGATTCAGTGCATATTGAATGTTGCATTCACCAACAATCCCAAAATGTCTAATTACTTTAATAGCAGTATTTCTTAACATATAATAATCTTTGTTTGATAAAGTTTGACTAGGGGCAACGACAATGGACTCTCCTGTATGTATTCCCAAAGGGTCTACATTTTCCATATTACATACTGTTATGCAATTATCATACGCATCCCTTACAACTTCGTATTCAACTTCTTTCCATCCTTTTAAGGACTTATCAATAATTAACTGGTCGGAATGTGATAACCCATGGTGAGCGAGTTTTTTTAACTCTTCTTCGTCATTTGCAAATCCTGATCCAAGACCTCCAAGCGAAAACGCCGATCGAGCCATAACAGGATATCCGATTTGACGTGCTGCAATTAATGCTTCTTCAATAGTGGCTACAGCGGCACTAGGTGCCACTTTTTCTCCAATGGCGTTAATTTTTTCAGCAAAAATCTTTCTGTCTTCCGTGTCGACTATTGATTGTACCGGTGTACCCAAAACGCTTACATTGTATTTTTCAAACACTTTGTTTTTTTGTAATTCTACTCCACAATTTAAAGCTGTTTGTCCACCGAAAGTGAGTAAAATACCTGTTGGTCTTTCGGCCTTAATAACTTGTTCTACATATTCCGGTGTAATGGGTAAGAAATATACTTTATCTGCGAGACCTTTGGATGTTTGTACTGTTGCGATATTGGGATTAATAAGAACAGTTTGAATTTTTTCCTCTTGCATAGCTTTAACACCTTGAGATCCAGAATAGTCAAATTCACCTGCCTGTCCAATAGATAAACCACCAGAACCAAGAATCAATACTTTCTTCGGTCTTTCATAAATTGTTGGAGTAAATTTAAGCTTTTCACAAATTAAGTCTTTCACAATACATGTTTTATTGGTTTTGTATGCTGTGACTGTGTCAATAAAAATATCAAAAAGACATTCTAAATCAGTAGGACCAGATGTATGCTCTGGGTGAAATTGAACACTAAAATATGGAAGTGTCTCATGTATTATGCCTTCATTGGTTTTGTCATTTTCGTTAGTAAACAATATTTCCCAATTTGTCGGGAGGGTATTGGCATCAACTGCGTATCCGTGATTTTGAGATGTCATAAAACATCTGCCAGTACCTGAATGTGTACACGGTAAGTTATGTCCACGGTTTCCATATCTAAAAATTAAAACATTTTTAAAAATTAAATATGTAAATAAATAATTATTAGAGTAAATTGTAACAAATTCTCTCAGTGAATTGTTTCCACTTTTCAGTTGTAGGAGAAAACTTCAAAGTTGTATGACACTATTCCGGTCTGTATGTACATATTTTTTATTTTCAAAAATATTATATTATAACTGATCCTCAATTAAGGAATTTAAATAGGAGTTGTACTAAAAACTCTCAGTGTGTATGTGTGTGTATGTACATATGTCATAAAAAATCAAGAAATCCATCTTTACCTTGTTTTGTATGTTTTACATCCTGCAGCAGTCGCAAGCAGTTGATGACCGAGACATATACCAAATATTGGTTTAGTTATCGTTTCGTTACTGATGACCTCCTTCAAATTTTCAACAACCTTTTTGCAAACCTCGGGGTCACCAGGACCGTTGCTTATAAACAGACCGTCATATGAATTTGTGTCAAATTTGTAATTCCAAGGCACTAATACGACCTTAGCGTTCCTTTTTATTAAGCATCTTATTTGATTATATTTTAGACCGCAGTCAATAGCCATTATGGTTACTTTTCCTGATTCATTAAAAATCTTAGGTTCCTGAAACATATACAAATACATATTAATGAAATGGAATATAAAGCAATATGTAATTTACAATAATAAAAACATCGTAGCATCCGAAAGTGTTACTTTTATTTAAAAATGCATCAAATAAATAAATTTCAAATGTGATTTAAAAATATAGAAATATTTAGTACCGGTAATAGTCAGTAATTACTACCTTTATGGATACTTCTGCTACTAAACTGCGGGAATTTGGATCCTTTAGGGGTGGCAAAGGTCCGAAAGGAGGAACTCCTTGTACAATCCTCCCAAGAGTTACTCCTTCCCGAAGGCGGAATGTGAGGGCTCGAGTATCAATATCACAGAGGCCAGGTATACCATTAGCCTCCAACCACTTTCCAAGAGACTGTTTTGCACGCCAGTGGCAGGCTTGAGTGCTTATTTGTCCAACTATTAACCCAGCAGCCCAAATACGACTCGATTCGAACCATCTGTTAAAAATTAAATAATACTTTTTTAGAAAATCTCTTTTTACATTTCGAACAAACCAATGAATATTGCCGGAGCTACATCATTATATGGTTAAAATATCATGTAACGAATGAAGTTGTTGACAACGCGGATCGAACACCAAGCCGTGTCAACCAGAAGATTCTTGATACCACACAAGTAACGGAATGGCATTGCTATCCTAACATCGGTGCAATCTTGTAGTCTTAGGTATAGGTTGTATGCAAGTTTTAATATGTAGTACTTATTCTTCTTCTTCTACCTGGCAATTTCCCAGCTTTAGCCAGGGTCTGCCTTACATGTTATGAATAGTTTTTGGCTATTTGTTTTTACGACCGGCCGCCTGCCTGACATCAACCCTCTTTTGGGAATATGTAGTACTTATTATAATACACATATAGTTTTGTAGTTTTGCTAGAACCTCTGGTTGCAACACTACATAATTCGTAAGTAAATATTATTAAAAAATTAAAGGAGCATAATTTAATCATATCTATTTAAAACTGACCTTGGTAGCCCATGCTCGTCTTTATCCTTATCGTCAGGGACACCATAGTTTCCAATTAATGGATACGTGAGCACCAACAACTGTGCGTGGTAAGAAGGGTCCGTCAATGATTCGGGATATCCTACCATTCCAGTTTGGAATACTGAAAAAATCATTAAAAGTAGCTATAAGTTTAAAATAGTAGATAAATAGAAAATATGAATTTAATAAGTTGTAAAAATCGAGCATATTGTAAAGATTAATTATAATCACATTATACTTGTAGCATTTAACAGTATTTTACGATAACAAAAACGAAATAGTCATAATATGTATGTCTGATTCTGAATTGAGAATCTCCATTTCAATCTTTCAATTGAATAAACAATGTTACTGTGTTTATAAATCACGTAAAACACAATGGAAACACACAACCTATAATAATTACGAATATGAACCTAAAATAGCTTATAAAATTCCAAAACTTGTTCTATTTAAAGGGTAACCAAGGAAATTTTTGAATATTCAGAAATCTTTTCCACAAAATCGTAATAAATATTGCAACTACATGAAAATTTCAACTGTCTTAATAATTCTAAAGAGTTTTATAAAAAGTCAGATTTGATGATATTAATTGAGTTATAATTTCTAATAAATAAAAAAGAAATGTTTGAAAATAAATATGTTTATAATAGTATTTTCTTCGTTAGGGTCTATTCATAAAATCTTTTAATTATATTATTATCACATATACATACCCACTTCACCCTCTACGGGTACATTGGCTCCAAAACTTCTTCCACTAAAGACTGTTCCATCTGCCAAAACCAGACTGCACGGATTGCCGACTGTGCAACTTAATTCCTCGCTTTCAACCATTTTCTTAAAAAGAAATATATATATGTGTAATAAATAAAACTTTCCGATTTCCAAGATTCTAATAAAAATCAACGAAATCATTCAAATATTCAGAGATATCAAATATTCAGAGATATTAAATTATATTATAATATTTATAATAACACATCAAATAAAAGTAATATTATATATAATCGAATACTCGAATTAACTCGAATGAATTGTAAAACTTTATTTAAAAATCGATTGGAAGAATCATTTAAATTATTATTTTATGTAGTTATATTAAAGTACAACATACTTAATAAAATAATGCAGGAAAATTAATTATTAACTAAGTATACACATAGTTCTGTTGTCATATAATTTATAAACGGTAATTGTTTTATGTATTGTGTAACTGAAGGCCAGTTTATATAGAGATACACAAAAGTACCTATATAGAATTGAACTGTTTTTACGAAATATCGTTTAATGTTAAAATCCTCAATACAGATTTACTTTGTTTAAATAACAGTGACGTATTTATTTGTTGTAGTCAGATATATATGTTTGTTGCAATCATAGAATAGTGTAATTTTGTTAAAAAAATAATGTTTGTATGTTTGTGTATTAAATACTTAAAAATAAGTAAGCATGCGTGTGGGCAATCGTTGTTTAAACATCAAATGATTTCTTTCAGCAACCTTTGAGTAGAGACAATGATAAGAACGAATGATCTTTTAATTCATTTGGTAGCACAGAGGTCTTCACAGCCATTGCACCAGATGCCATCGATAGAACCGGAATATAAATAAATGCTTCTCATTAATAATTAATTTGATAACAGACGAAGTATGTCAACAACCTTTGATACGAAAAAAAAACAACAGACGGTTCAAAAGTCACAATAAACTAACAAGTCTATACATCTATTAGTATTTGTAAATAAACTATTAACACTTAAGTTACAAACTAATTACAAATGAATATGACTCTTCAAAAGAACTGTAATATAATCGTACTTGTAAACGAATACGCAGTATAAATCACGTTTAATAAGTGTCAACTTACTCTAAAATAAAGTGTTTAATCATGAATTAAGTAACTTTAATAGATGGTATACATAACAAAAACAAGCATGAATTACTTACTAAGTTTTATTCCAACCAAACCGGCCACGTGGTGATTTGCTCAGACGGCAAACGGTCCGGTTCTGTCGCTTGCTCGGCTACGACAGGCTTGTCGCTAGCCTCTGGCCCGACCCATAGCATCTTATCATACGAGACTATTTTTCTAACCAGTTTACATACTCTATCTCTTACTAACGTTTTATAAATATATATATATCGTTCTCGCTCACTCGTTTGTTACATGGTGTGTGCCACAGACTGTATAATACGAAGTTAGCGCGCTTACATATGTTTAGATTTGGTTGATTGATGTGAATGGGACGAATCTTTTTTTAATATATTACAATAAGTCAATTCAAATTCCCATGTCCGATTGCTGTTGCTGGGTACTGAAGTTTTGTAAGACATTTTAGGAAATATTTTGCCTCTTTAAGTTAATTGTTTAATAAACACATCTGTTTATTTTACTATTAAGGATAATTTACAAAGTATCTAGACTGTTCTAACATTTATATTCTTTCTAAGTAAAACGACTGTATTAAATAATAATATATTGAATCGAGGACAGATTCGCAATAGAAGTACCATGTACGACTGAATTGAAATCATATACATATATGTATGTATGTATTTTCAAGCATGTTGTATCTTGGTAACCAATTTGTTACAGTTTTCATTAGATACGAATATAATATTAATTATGAATGCTTTTTTTACTTCCGTGGTCGTTAATATTTACGAAAAATCATATGGGTCAATAAAACATTATATCAGTGTATAAAAATATATTCTCAATTCTGCGTAAATTTAACAAGTTTTAGCATTTGAATTTAAAGACATTTGCTTTTTTACTTAAGAATTATATGAGTATCTTCCTAGGACTTACTTCTATACACTAATTTAACCATATGTAATCGTTTAGAGTGCCAGTCCGATTTAATATGGGATAGTCAATAAAAGTGATGGCTGGATTAATTGGTCCTTGATGGAGTTCAATTACTTTTATTGAATTAACCGCTGGTGCTGCTTTCAGCCATACTCCTGGTACATAAAGAGTAACTTGGGGTCCAACCTTTGGCCAATATCTTCCTAAGTTGTATCCGTTGACGAATATGTAACCCTATCAACAAAAAAATAACATTTAGATCTTTATCATAGGTACAGCGAATTGTTAATGATCCTCAAATTTACCTTCCCCCAATTGGTTGTATCAATAAAAGTGTCTAATGGCTCTTCTCCTTCTGGAATCACGAGCTGTCCTTCATACATCATGGGTCCGTCTGATACAGCATCCTCATTGAAGGCAGAGATGTTATCATCACTCAATAGTTTACTCTTCTTAACATCTAATGGATAACCAGTTACAGACCAGGGACCTTCTAAGGTTTTATTGTTTAATAACACAGAACCAAGTATGCCCTGAAAAGAGTGTCACAATAGAAATTATAAGAAGGTGGTAGTTATTGGTAGTGTAGTACAGTTACTGTTTCAATACCTACCTTGAAGTCGTGAATTCTGTTTCCAAAATTTATACGACCCTGGTTCTCGACGAGCAACGACAAAGTGGAGCCCGGTTTTGAGTTTATACTAAGTGTATATAACATCATCATTCTGCTTATAACTCCTTGCAGTTTCTTTAACATACCAATGTATTATTTTAGGTAAAGTTATGAACTTAAAAAAATATGGTACGTAATAAACAACCTATGATACATACCTTATCAACGTAAACAAATATGAAATCTCGTGGCTTTTTTATATTCAAAACTCCACCAGTTTCATTAAGTGTCATTTCATAAAGCATGAGACCGCTTCTTTGTTTCAATTCCTCAAACGTTGGTAATTTCGCACCTTCCACATCTTTGTATTTAATTCCTAAACTAGAACGTCCTTCTGCTGATAGCAAATTAATTTTCTTCGCTATTTCAATTTGTCCATAGGCTCCTTTTTTTGAAGGTACTGGAAGTGGTATATCATCTGGCACCAAATCGTACTGTGAAAATAATTGTATACTCTAGTTTAAAAATCATTCAATCAAGTTGAGACTATTTGTTTTATATATAATATCTTCTTCTTCCTGGCAATTTCCCAGCTTTAGCTAGGGTCTGCCTGTTTTGTAATATATCTATATATATATTTGTTGATAATGAAGTAACATTTCCTTACATTGGCAAGTACATCTCGTATAGCGTAATACTTCTCCGTAGGATCGCCAGCCTCGGATAAAGGAGCATCATAATCATAAGATGTTATATCGGGTTGATAAAATCTTCCATAGTTAGCACCTGTACATGAAAATTAAATTATTATTGATTATTTTCATAATAATTGGCAATCTATTAAAATATATGTTAAAGAGTAAACTTACCAGATGTAAATTCAAAGTTAGTTCCTCCAAAGAAAACGTAGAAATTTAAATTGATCTTGTTCTCCAACATGTCTCGAAGTGTAAAAGTGACACGGTCAGTGGACACCTGCTGAATGTGTTCACTCCAATGTGTTAGCCATCCGGGATAGAATTCAGAATTCATCAAAGGACCAACAGGCATATATGCTCTCAGCTCTTTAAAAGTGTTAATAACACTAGTCGCTGAAAAGAATTAACAATATACGTATATAGAATTAGACAAATTGTAAAATATAGTTAGATGCTTTCAGTATTCAAGCAACTCTGATACAATTTTCTATGCACATGCGTATACAATATGCTGTACGAAAATTATATACTAGTTTATGACGGAGAAACGAGTTGTAATTTTAATTTAAAGATTGAACAACTCTCACTTGGGCCGAAATCTATGGTCGTAAGTGTTCCAGATATAGATCCGTCGATGAAGTATGATCTGTAGGGACCATCGGTCGTATAAAGTAGTGCTGCGTCTTCTACGTGAGATTTTATTATGTCCCGAATTTGCTTCATATACTCCTTTGAAGCTCCGTAACTGCCATACTCATTTTCTGCCTGTCAGTATTATATATTTTTCATTAATTAACAGAATTAGAACACAGTAACTTAACTTTATTTTCTATAATAATATTCTTACCTGTACCAGTATGATAGGTCCTCCGTTACCCAATAGAAAAGGTTTAACTTCTTCAAATAGTTTAGCCATCCACTTTTTGGTTTCTGCTATGAAATCTGAAACGAGACATTTAATAATTACACTAGTTTACAAAATTTAACTTTTTGTTTGTTGCCGCAAATTTAATGGTTGATATTGTTCACTGATGATTTGTTTATGTCAAAAATACCTTCAAAATTTCTTGAGCAGCTCTAGTTATTTTGTTTCTGGTTTTTGTCATTTAAGCTTATAAATTAATTGATAACAGTCGTATTTTAGTGTTTTAAGATAAATATCAAAAGTTTTTTGTCATGAGCAGTTCAAGGAGATGTTGTTTGAACTATCCAGATCATTTTTGATACATTTGCTTACAATGTGTCTTTAAATACTGTAGAAAAGTTATATCACCGTTGGTGAAAAATACCTATTTTGAGTATTTTGGGAAGCTCCTGGATGAAAATGACAAGTCTTAGGCGTCAAATTGTGTTTGTAAAAGGTGTGTGGTATATTTAAGATTATTGAAAAATGGTAAAAAAACTATCTTTAAATTTGGAACACCGACTATTCGGCGAGAACCACAAAATCATCTCGAAGACTCTTATTTTTGTAGAGTGGACTTAAATGGTTTAAACACTAAAAATCGGGCTAAATGGCTGTACCCCAGTACTAGTTGTGTTCAACGTCCAGTGCAGAAGCGTTTATCTATCTGTTCAGTGCCTACAAAAGTATCAGAACCCATAGAACAAGACATGAAAAGACCAAGAACATCACAAAATGATGCGAATTTGAAAGTATATCCAAAGAGTCAAAATGCTTTACTAAAAATGAGTTAGATGATCTTGTTAGAGATTTATATCTTTCAAAACAAGCTTCATAATTGCTAGCATCAAGACTCAAAGAAAAAAAAAATTGCTTTCCTCGGACACTAAAATAAGTTTTTATCGTACAAGAGAGAAAGAATTACGATGTTATTTTTCCGAAGAAAACGGATTTTACCTTTTGTTCAGACATTAAAAACTTATTGATAAAAATCTGCTTGAAACAATACTAACCAACGACTGGCGTTTATTCATTGACAGCTATGAGTGAGGAGCAGGGGGAGCGTATGCATCAAGACTTAAGCATCACGGGAGAGCGCTATCAGAGTTTATGGGATACGAATATGATGTCTGACTATTGCTGGTCTCTGATACGTCATTTTCTAAAGGCTACACATCAGAGAAGAGCTTTAAAACGTAGTTTTCTAGAACTTAACGATTAAATATGTTTCTTTTAGTAGTTTTTCTCAGTAATTACGTATTTTTTCTGTTTTATTCCTGTAAAGCTGAAACTCAAAAACTAGAGCCGATAAAAATATTCTAATTACATTTTTGGAAATGGCATAACATATCTAATCAACAACAATTAAAATTTCTTTGGCAACAGATATACTGTAAACTAGTGTTATTAATTAAAGCATTTATTGACTTTTAAAAATATTATAAAATCGTAGGAGGTTTTTACTTCCGTCTGTAGTTCGCAATTTGATATCAGGGTATTTGCTCAAAAGCCAATACGGTAGTCCTCCCTGGAATTTCAAATATTATACTTTGTATTATATTGTTTGTAATAATAAATTCTATGTTAGCAAAATGGCAGACGAAATATTAAGATTAAATGATTCATTTACTAGATCTCTTTCAGCACAAATGTACGGCCCAGGTCGAAGTAGCACATACAAATTCTCTTCTGCTGCAATCTTTAGAAAGCTGGCAATATCCTTGTCACCTTCAAAAGAATAGGATCCTTCTTCTTCTTCATGATAGCTCCACTCTACATATCTAGAAATAAGATAATAATAATTTAATTAAAAGATCTTACTTTATATCATAATTCAAGTTTATTAATATTCTTCTATTCTTACGTGGAAACAGCGTTTAAACCGGCCGCTCTAATTTTCCGTAACCTATCTCTCCAATATTCTGCCGGTAACCTGAAGTAGTGCAAAGATCCTGACACAATACGGAGCGGTTTTCCATCGACCATAAAATCATCACCTACAATGCTTATATTGCGTGCGTTCTATAAAAGAAACAAAATGTGTAACACATCATCATACTTTTACTACATTTAAATGGCCTGAATAACGTAGTAAGTTAGTGGAAAGTAAGAATGTAAATCCACCATGGTATTTCAAATGGACTTTATTATTTCAATTGAATTAGTATAATATTTCAATTGAAGTTGGTTATTACGATTTTAAATACCATGAATTTACAATTATTTTATAATTTCAATTGTACTTAATACTTAGATATTATATGAAATTATTTCTAACTTTACATATAAGACATAATTTGTCCGTCTATAAAGTCTGGATATACATATAAAGAAATAATAGAACAATTATAAATTCAATGTTGTTTGTCGTGTAGTTGTCAATTAATGTTTTCATATCTCATAATATGTTATATACCCGATACATTTCGTGGTGATGAATAATTTCTATTAAAATAATGAATAACTAAACATGAAATCGTTTACTTCATTATTATTCTAATTTCTACAAAATTCTTAACAATACAAAATGATAAATTCTATTGTGCTCAAGTGTCTACCTGACAGGCCCACAGACTTATTGTGTTGTTTTTTTTCCTCGGTTTCAATAATACACAACATGATAAAGCGTCCCAAATACATTATCATAGGATCCAAAAAGATATTATTTTAAGGTTTGCGTCGTAAAAATTATTGTTTTTACGTTTACCTATGTAGATAAAAGACATAATTGAGTACAAGTATTGGTTTAGAATGCGGTAGGACTTCATCAAACTACGTGGTGTTGTGTGAATACAATTTGATATTGTATGTATCATAAATAATTTAAATTTCATACTTGAATGTTTTTATAAAACATTTTTAATAAATATTTATGTGATGTGTAAAGAAACAACAATTGGTAAAATTATTCCTAGTTAAAATAAGCCTGGATAAGTTGCTGAGAGTTTTTTCGATGAAAAATCTTTATTTTTTTTTAATATCATTGTAAAGAGATTGGACTTTTTTAAGAACCAGCGCATATTAAAAAGTTTCTAAACATACCCATTTAAATATAGCAATAACGTTTCATATTTCTATGACCAACATACAATAATCAAATTGTACTTACAAAGTTTTTGAAAAAATAGCTGATAGATTTTTTTTATTATATTTCTGTATGATAAACTTATAGGTTTAAAATATTGATTCTTTTCTACGACTAAATATAATACTGTTTATATTTAGGTATATGACTTAGATGCAATAGCCCAAATTTTTAATGAAACTTTATAGGTTTTACGTAGGCCGCTATATAGTATATTTCCCTAAATATATCCCAGTAAATTGTATGTTTTAAATATTCACAGAATTCACAGAGGCTGTCTCATAAATATTGTCAGATTCCAATATTCATCTTTGTTTTTTAATAATTATGTCATAAGAAAGCCTTTGGATTTGCCATGGATTTTAATATATATTAGTCTGGCTATGCAGGGTAAGAACTAAATGTGATAGAAGTTTAATATCACTAAGTTCTTGGATAGTATTCCTAGTATTTTTCGTAATATGCGGTTTTGCAGTGTCTCCTCAGCATTGATAGTTCAACCATCTAGAATGATTTTAAAGTACACTTAACCTTCATAATTACACCTAAAACACAGCAGGATTTTTCACTCAAACCGACTCTTCCTCGCGACGGGTTATGGTAATTGCTTTTCGAGTAACCACTGATTTTCGGATTATTTAAATAAATCCTATTTTCATTTCAAGGCAAGGAGCTGTTTACACACCCCTTTGCAACGTTTCTCTGTAATGTTGTTTAAATAATGTTACACTATTTGACAAGTTTTAAAGATCAAATGGTTTTAAGTAGTGGTGTATGGTATCTTTGGAAATATCTAGAGAGTCTAATAATCTGCGAGTGTTGGTACAAAGTAGTTTTTCTACTGCTTCCCTTGTAACCCCAATATTCCCGCAGGGAAACGACTTAAACGCCAACGATCTTTAAGGGTCAAATCTCCACTATTACTAGGATTTATGGTATTAAGAGTTACACGAGGTTTTATTATTTATTAATACAGTAAAAACAACAGCAACACGGTCAATATGACACCACAAAGAGTTCAGAAAAACCATACAATGAATATATAAAATGTAATTAGAGATAATGATTTAAAATATCTATACGAATTGCACAGCTATTAATGACCACTACCGGTCAACTAGTGACTTGAGATTCGCGGGCGATAGGCCGGTTCGCTCTAATCTTTGTCTGCTCAGCAGTTAGAGCGAGCGATTGGAGCTTTCCAATCAATTCATTATTATATTATAATATTCATTATAAAACAAAGTCCCCTGCCGCGTCTGTCTATAAATTACTTTTTGAATTATTTAATTCGGACGTGCCATTTGTAAGTTGTCATAATTTTGATAGTTCTCAAAATTAAATACACGCGATAGCTCACTTTTTCACATGAACTTTATAAATGTTTTATACAAAAAAAAATGTAATTTTATTATATTAACATAAAATATATCGTTTTTTTTAAAGTTCAAATTTAAAATATGTATATGTAAGGAAGAAAGATGATGAAATTTTTGTTTGTCTTTATTTAACTCAAAAAGTAAGTAGTCAACTTAGGCTAGTTTATATTTCTTTCTAAAATACCCGTGCGAAAGGGGGGGGGGGGGGGGGGGCTACCTAGTATATTATAAAATTAATAGACGTGTTGGCAGAGTGGGTGTTTCCAATGCACAACTATGAAATATTTAAATATATGACATATTGCAGACATATTGTCTCTACCCCTTCAATTTCATATATTTTTTCTTGCTGCCATGGCTGTATTAAAATTTTACTAGCGATATGTAATGCTTTCACGATACACTTATTTTAAATCCCACTTAATTAATTTTTATTAAAAAACGTATTGCATCGCCAACAAAAAAAAAGAGAATATTATACTCTCCACAGAAATAGAAAATAGTTTGAATAAGTTTACCATACGTTTCAATTTGAGACATACAATTTTTTTTTTATATGAAAACCGACATTACTTATAAGACAAGCTCTAAAATTTTAATATTATTCATTTATTTATAAATCTTTTTTATATACTACACATAAATAAAAAAAATACAACATAACTACTACTTATATTATATAACACAAAACTGATATATTACAGACAACTTTTTATAAATATTTATATGTAGTTAAAGTATTTTTAAGTAAGCTTCTTTTTATAAAATTGTAAAAAATACTTTGCATACATTCATACCTTGGTACGTCGTTTGCTTCAGCATATTTTAATTTTAAGATTCAGTTGAGATCTAACATTGCTTCTAATACACTAAATAATAGCTTCTGATAAATATATTTTTTGGACAATAATTCCTATAATATAGCCATGACAAAAAAATACGAATGAACAATAGAATTCTTAATATAAAACTTTGATAAAGTATGTTAAATTATCTTAAAATTGCATAAATATAAAAGATTAAAACATATATGTATTTTTTTACAGTTCTTTGTGTTAGATAGTTCATTTCGATAGAATTTGACAATCTTGTAAACAAAGCAATTGACCACGATTACTCCGTTCTTACGTACAATGGAATGCCAGTCCTGATAATAATTACATCTTAATGAACCCACCAATGTTTTTAACAAACTTTTCATCATTCCGCAACTATGTACCTATATGTTATTTTATTATATGTTTATATATTTTACGTTATATTTTAATTTTATAAAAAAAATCTGAACACGAAAATTTCTTACATTTGTCAAATTGATACGATCATTTTTTACTCACCTAAGCCTATATGTCTTTTAATAATGAGTGTCTTAGATGATGAATATATAATGAACTAGTTTTCGCCTGTGACTTTGTCCGAGTTACTTTCAAAATTAGAAATGTACAGCTAACGGTAGAACTCTATTCTTCCTTAAGGCAGTAAATACGAAGATTTTGGAATTAAAATTTTTTTAGCTGGTTCTAAATTGTCTTTCCACCAACTTTCAATATAACCCGTTAATCCCATTTTGAGTTATAAATAGTGTAACTAACACGACTTTCTTTTATGTATAAATATAGTTATAAATTATAATGATTATTATTTGAACTTTAACCAAGTCACAAATATTAAAAAGATCTGATTATAAAAAACACTATAGTTTATTTAACTGGCTGTGATCAGCTAAAACTGAGCACTAATTGGTATCTTACTTAATTAATCCGATCTGGGATAGTCATTTGGAATGCATGGAGATGAAATTTTAGTATTACTGGCAACCAATAATGAATTAAGGTGCGCCGTTTTAATGTTAATGGCATACAAAAATTCCCTATGTCTAACCACTTGTTCTGCATTTTTAAACTCATTAAAAAAGCTCACTAATAAATACTTAACGAATAATGAATAAATTTAAGTATATTTTTATATAATAATTAAGATTTAAGCATCTTGAAGGGTACTCACATTACTGAGGGCATAGACAAGTCCCTGCCAATATCAGCTGATCACGTTTGTTTACAAGATTGTTAAATTCTATTGAAATGAACTATTTAAATGTTATACATATGTATATCTTCTTCTATCTGGCAATTTTCCCAGCTTTAGCCAGGGTCTGCCTTACATGTTGTGAATAGTTTTGGCTAATTGTTTTTACGACCGGCCGCCTGCCTGACATCAACCCTCTTTTTGGGAATGCATTAGTCAGTGATGTCTAAATAATCTTAGAAAGTACATATGACTCGGAAAAAATCACATCGGTACTTGCCCGGGCCAGGATCGAACCCGCGCCCTCGGCAACAAGAGGAGAGCCCTTTAACAACTAGGCCACCACTGAATTATGTATATGTATACTAGTATCATTATATGGAGTTCCATTATTGTAGTCATTATTAGTCTACATACAAACATTACTGTATTTAATTATCTACTTACAAATTCATTAAAACCTTAATTTTAATTTGATCTCTCACAAGCAGAACCTGGTGTAGATTTGATGGTACAAAATGAGCTTTATGTTCATATTAAGCTTTATCTTTTCATCCTCTGAATATGAACCGGTTATACAGAAGAGGGTATTTTGCAGGTAAAAACACGCTTACGAATTTTTTATCAGACAACACGACTACGTTCGGTTTTGTTGTTGTAAAATAAACGTTGAATTTTTTTCTCATTTTATCGATCAATTTTTTAAAAGGATTTAATTATTTAATGATATTAATAAAATTGCTTCAATTTCTGATTTATATTATAAAAATACTGCTTTTCGACTATAATTCTAACAGTAATCTACCACATCAATTGTTAATAATTTATCGCCCGCCATTTTTCATAGCCATGTGTTATTTACTTTATATACAGACCAGACCTTCAATTAACATTCAATTATAAAAATAGATAAACATAAAATACAATTGTTTTTTAGTAGCTTTGTTTATAATAAGACAAAGTGAGGAAGTTGTGTTTCTATTGTTGGTAAGATAATAATCAAAATTTTTTTTTTATTATTTCGTAATATAAGCATGAATTTGTTACCTGAAAGTCCCTTTGTGATAGCTGGCCTCCTTGGTTGTTGTCTGTTATCTGTAATACTACTGGATCTGTTTCTTGGACGGTCGTCGGTTGTGCCAAAATCAATTGCATCAGCCATATTGATATGGATAGACATCGCAATGTTGCAGACATGTTTGGTAAATATTTCTGAAATATGTAAATTCGTTGTGTAATTATCACAAAAAAAGGACAATGCGTAGTTTTTATAATGTTATAATTCTTTTTAACATTTTAGCCATTAAGTTATAAATCATTGAAGTGTTTTGGAATAAAAACGACTACTGTAAAACACTTGTTAATATGCTTTTAAATAAAAGTAAATGGACTCTTTACGCCGCATTATTATTTTAGTCTTGGACTTTAATTACTTTATAAAAAACCTTTTTACGCATTTATTAAGTCCCGAGAACTTGTTTGAACATTAAAATAAATTTAAATACATTTGTTACTTTTAATTAATTCAACTTAATATTATTATTATGTGGGAGATGTTTATTTATGTGTTCATGCAATATATTTATTAGTCGAAAGTTAGAGAACAAAATATGAAGATTTATAACTTTCACCTTCTCAATATAACTGACAACCTTGACAGGTGTGAGTAATTATTATTAAAAAGTTAGTTTGTACATTGAATAGTCACTAAATAATTTGACATAAACCTTAACGCACTTCGAAAACATAGAAGTGTATTTAATATTTATGGTTTTTATTTAAAGAAACAAACGAGAGTTGAATAAAATGCAATTTTTGCATAAGTAAAACACTCGATGCATCTCTTTTTAAAAATCTGAGGTTACGTTTTAAAGAATAGTATATTTAAATCTATTTTAAAATTATTAATATTCAAATAATGTTATTGCTGCTTCATCTCTCTATTAAAAAAGCCTGGGAATAACAAACGCCCACAAAACATCTTTATAGACATGTTTTTAATTTGTGGTAATTAGTGTGACTTTGAACTAATTTACTTCATTTGCTTAATTAATTAATGTCCTATATCTATGTAGTTTGAAAAACATTACATTGTTAGTTAGTTTATTTATTCCCCACAAACTTTTAAAATTAGTAGAATAACAACAACAATGCAAAAAAATGATATATAGATCTATTTAAGTATTCGTGTTTTACCTTTTGCTATGTTATCTTGGGAATATGAGTTTGTTAAACAAAACAACAGTAATCAGAATTGCAATCTTTTAAATATTTGTATACACTAAACAATATGTGGCTAATGACAGTGATTTTTTTTTCGTCGAATATAAAATAATAGTAGGTATATATTAGACATCAGAGTGTCACTCTAACGGGTAGAGCACCTTACCAGTGGCGGCAATGACCCCGGGTAGAGTCTTGAGTGCCAGTGAACTCTCGGCCCCGACTTCACAATCACGGGCGAAGCTAGGTTATTAGAGCGAAAGAGCTAGTTGCACACGACCGTCCGCTTCGCCACTCCTTTGGAAACTTGAAAACTTTAGCTCTGTAGCAAACAGGCATGCATTTGATCCCAATGCCACATGTCACGACTAATGTATGCCTTCGTTGCCATGCATTATGACGTAATTAAAAAAATAATATCAATGACAACTGGTAATTTAATAGTTCGAGATAATTTTATTTTGCAAATAATTTTATTTAATAGAAATCTTTAATGAATGTGACGAAACTACGGAAGCCTTAAATCAAACTTGATGATAGGTTTGAGAAATACGAAAGGCTAACAGTTTATATTCTTACAACAAAATAATTAAGACGTACGACTCCGCAGATATTAAATGAAACCATGTTCTAATAAAGTTATAAGTAAACAAATACACTATTACATTTTAATAAATGTACAATACATACCTGTCATTTACATTTTGACATAATTATTGCCAACGTCTTTGATTGACTTTTATATTCAAATAATATTAGGCAACTCATTTAAGATAAATTCAGTAGTCTTTTCATTTAAAAAAATCCGTGTCGAGTGACATATCTCGGAAGAAATGACGAAGCAGATATAACAATAATCTTATTATTTGATACTTTTACTGAGAAATAAAATTAAAATCAATTTTTGATATGCATATTTTTATGAAAAAAGGTGGCAAACGAGCAGATGGCGACTTGACGAGCAGTAGTCACCGCTGCCCATGGACTTCTGCAACATAAGAGATGTTGCGGATGGATTGCCAGCCAGGAAGGAAGGAAGGAAGAAATAAGGAGATGGCAGGGAAGAGTGGGATCTGGGAAAGGGCAACTGGCTCTCTCACTCACCGGACGAAAAACAACCATTAAAGACTACCTCACGCCGATCTCCTGTAAGAGGCCACCCTCGGGGAAGTAGCACTACTTCCCCGGTTGAGGCAGCCCACGTTCGAGCTGTGGTAACTGACCACAGCTAGTCTCTACCACATTGAAAATGAATTGTATAGATTTTTGGTCTGTTTCGTTTTGTTTTAACAGGAAATTTATTACTATTAATACATTTTTTAACTAACTTACTTCATTCGAAAATAAATGTTCAATAATTATTATGGGAAAAAAACTAGATTAAAATAATTTAACAATAGGTACTCGGCTTATATATATTTTTGTCTCATCTAATTTCATCAACACTTGTTACAGGTTTCGTCGGTTAAGACCAAATTGAGTCCTTTAAACAACTAAAAGTGAGAAAACTACCAGAGCTATAAAACAATTTTCACAAACTATACACGAACCTAATACATTCATCAAGCTAATCAAGTAACCACTTTTGATATAGAGATTACATATAGACACTCGGACTGCTCTATCTACTTATAAATTAATTATATTTAATACTAGGTACCAGCCCCAGCTTTGCAAGGGTACTTTACAAAAAATATAAAATAGCCTATGTAGAATGTATTAAGTATTTACTTTTTTAGTTAAATCAAGACAAACAAAAACTTCATCATCTTTCTTCGTTAAACATATTTTAATTTTGAAGGGTTTGGAAAAACGGTGTATTTTTATGTTAATAATAGTTTTTTAATATACTAAACTTACAAAAATTTTGTATACAACATCATATGAAAAAGTGAGCTATGGTATGGATTTAATTTTGAGAATTATTAAACTTATGATAACTTTCAAATGGTAAGTCCGAATTAAATTATTTAAAAATACTGATGTAGGCTTGAACACGAAGTAATTTATTTAGAAAAAAACTTTATGCCGTAATAATATAAATAGCTGTCATACAAACGCTGCATAAATGACAATTTTTAAAAGTAGTAAAATGGATAAAGTATGTCATTCTTGTATGTTAGTTATTTATTTATCAGATATTTTTGTAATTTTTGAAATATATCTAATTTATGTACATTCGGTAAAATAGTTCATATAATACACTACAATATGAAGGACCTATGCATAATAGAATAGCGGGTTCCTTATAATTGTGTTCTACACACGTATTTATAAATATGATAGGAAAGCTGAGAAATATCTATCATAAAATATGCCTACTTTTGATTTATGTTTTAGTTTATGGCACAATAAAATGACTCTAACGGAGCATTAATAATAGCGGTAACTGTTACTTAAACATCTCTTTATATTGACGCTACAAAGAATATTATGATTTATAGCAAGATATTTAGACGTAGAACATGCAAGTGTACCAAGAAACTGTTTCGTAATTGTTAGCAAAAATGTTTACGATTTTGTTATTTAACTACTTGATTTACCTATTAACCTGTTAACTTCTCTATATTTATACGAGTTTAACAGTGCGGAAATAATTTTTTGCTTATTAATTAATTTTTCATTACAACTTTTTCTTTTTAGTTTTTATTGTATGCGATGTTACTATTTTTGTAACCAGATTATTTTAGGCAAAATTATTGTTCAACTTTTAACTTTCTCAAACTAAGTAGTTTTATTTTCTATACATAGTTTCAGGAGTTCTTAAGTCCTCAGTCCTTTCAAAGTTAATTTTTTCAATCATCAAATGCAATTACTACAAAAAAACAAATCAAGGTGGTTATTAAGAGATACATTATGTATCATCATTCTATTTTTAGAATAGAAAGTGCTTCCTTATTTTGATTTCTTCTTGTTACACTAATAAAAAGTATTTTTTGGAGAATCGACAATATAATGAATGCATGCAAGTTTTATAACTTTTCACGTAAAAAGAACGGAGAGTATTTTAGAGAAAGTTTGAAAGTAAGAATATTTAAAAACAAACAGACTAATTTTTTTGCGAACATTGTCTAACGTATTCTAATAATTATTTTATGGAAAAGTTTCGATAAAGTCGTGATTGTCTGAGAGTCATTTTTTTGCGTATGATCCTCACATATTAGAGTCACAAAAAAGACACATAAAGTTGTTCCAATCATCTTTTCGGAGTCAGTTAACAGTTTGGCAGACATAAAATTTATTTTCTTTTAAAACAATACTTATCTCAAATACTTTGTTTTTTCAAAAAGATTTTTTTATTATTATTTCAAATTTAAATATCAATTATTATTTAAGATATGTGTTTAGAGATATAAAAATAAAAATACAAAGCAAGTTAACTGTTGAAATAAGCGGAATAATATAAGCCTACTGATATTATTCAATTGCAATATTGAGCGTGGGTTTGTTATTCAAAGACTTAAAAAATACCAAAGTACAAAAGTACCAAACTATGTCATTTAGTTGAATTTTAACATATGGATAGATTCTATCCAAAAAATATATATATATTACGAATTAGGCGGTTAGAACATATCTTTTAACAGTCAATGAAGTCTCATATATTTTAATTTATGAAGTAGTTTTTTTCTACCCGTTCCGTTCAGTTTTTATGAATTTCTGACTGTGACTCATCCTATGTAACTATTATTGTCTAGAGTTCATGAACGTCTACTTATTTTTTATTGACCAATATAACGAAAATGGTTTTAATTTAATTATGTTTCTTCTCCTGTTTGTATTATTCATTAGTAATAAGCCTTCATGTTCGAAGTGCCATTTGGAAAATTTGTTACGGGTGCAGTTCGAAACTACAGTCAGTCGTTTACTTTTTATTGACTTGAGAACGACATCCGAGAACAGTGTGATAATGGGCGATAGCTATTGTATGATTTATTAATTACCTATTATTCAACAAACTAACGTTTTATTACTACTATTATCTTGTATAAGTATTTTCCTAAGTCAACTTACACTTGAGGTATGTAATATGAGTACTGATGTAGGAAAACGCAATGAATCAAGTAATTATTTAAATAAACATGTTAATTGTGTAATTCATATTAAATCTAATATAACTTATCAACAGCCAAAAAACAGATGGCTATGTTGACATTGTGAGATTACAGAAATGTATTAGTCACTTTTACAGATCTCATGAAAATTAAATTTACGTTTATTAATATGGAAAAACACATTAAGTGGTGGACAATTTTCTCGATAACTTACTGATACACAAATAACTGTCGTAAATTTAATACTGTAAAATGTTTATCACATAGCTCTCTGTCAGTATACCAAGTTAAGGTTTTAAAAACAAAACGATAATTATTTTAGTTTCTAACAGAAATTTTGTTTATTTCCGTGAATTTCTTTTTAGCTTTTTAATGTAACGAAATTGGTTTTACCGAATTTTGTGGTTCCAAGCCTCAAACAAGTCGTTTAAAAATATGTTTTATATTGCTATCACTACCTAATTATATTTCCTACATCCATGAAAGACGCTTAAATCATAAACATTTGTACATTCATGGGTGAAAATCAACGAACTTTATTACATTTTTATCTCTTAAATTTATATATAAAATAATAAAAATTTTATTCTCAACGCCGAGTTGACCTAATGAATGTAACCTAAAATTGCAATATCATATATTTTAATTAAAAATTTTCGTTCACTGAAAGAAAGACTACGGTTTCGGCTCTATCACAAGAACCAAAAAAAGCGAAAAAAACAAACAAATAAAAAGTAGGTTCTTTCATATTAGGTTAGAACGAATAGGTATATCATTAAATTGCATGCTCATGTACAATAACGTTCGAAAATATTTTTGTGTGATTTTTTTAATAAAAAATATTATAATTCAATATTAATGGTTCCGTGCGGATATTAGAGATGAGATGAATATTTAAATGGTGCGATATAACTATTTCTGGCATCAATAATTATTCCCAAGGTTTATAAAACAATATTACACAATCCTTGACAGATTAGACCTTTACATGATTATCCGTGATAAGATACATAAATTTAATGTAACTGACATCATTTTAAGTTAATAACAATTCTCTTAATAATTTCATGTAATTATATTAATATCAAAATCGATAAATATATTATGTTTAAATTGTTTCTTATTGTGTTTTCGTTCTAAGTTACATTTTGATACCAATACAAATCTTTTATTTCAAATTAATCCATGAATGTACGAAAATGTATGTGTATATAAATTTTTACTTCGTACTATAGAAACAGATATTTTTTTTATCAACTATACACGACAAAGTGCACGAGCTCGCCGTAATATAGAAGTGTACTGTCTATCAACGCGATTGGAATACTTCTTATCTTGCTAATGATTAGGGAAACCATTAATTATCAGGTGGAATGCCAGCTCTTTACATCTTAAGGTTTCTTATAAGAAAATTGCCCTTTTAGGATTGATTTATATTCCGATCAATTTCTGAATTTTTCCAATCAATCTACCTGGAATTACTTTTCCGTTTAGACAAACGGAACTCTAAATATGTAAACACTTTCTTGTTATTCATAGACACTAGGTCAATTGATTGAAAATATGACAAATACTATTCATATTGATAGATTTAAAAGATACTTTCTAACACTTCAAATTCTTATGACGGATGTGAACCATTGACTTAAATTATGGTGCATTTTATTACACTATCAATTGATGTCGTATAAATATATACATCGTCAAAAGTCACGTAGTATGTTAAAATAAACGCATCGAAGGTTCTCAAAGAAATTCAAAGTTAAGATAATTCATAAATTCACTTTTTATTAACCTTACATATTGTATAAGCTTTCTAACATAATTTATAAGTTTGTTACGTTAACAACATCTTAGTTTTAATAAGATTAACGAGTAGAATCAAGTACTTTTCATTTCAAATTTCTATAAACTTGAACAATTTGTTACGCTTGGTAAGTATAGTTTGGGAACTTCTTATCTTTTCATTATTTATATATCAAAATATATTAAACGTTTCTTTCTTCTGAGAGAGTTAAAAGAAAATTTTTATTAAATACGGTCGTATTTAAGTTTTAACGAACATTTTCACCTTTATAAAACCGTTCTTTGATCTCTGTGAGTTTCGTTCTCATACATTTTAATGAAAGCACGCAACTATTGTACGCAACTATTATTAGAAATTGTTTTATAAGTCCTAAGGTGATTATTTAATTTTACACTATCTATAAACTTTGCTAACAAAAGGTACTGATATTGACATTAAATGAAGTTTTGAATTTATGCGTATTTTGTGTTTTGTTTTGAGCTAGAGAGTTAAAAAAAAAGTTATACATCCCTTTCCAGTATTCACGACAATCTGCTTAATGAAAAAATATATGATTGAAATATAAACATACTTATATACAAAGTACTTCTAAACAGGTTATTGATAATAATTTTAGAGATAACGATCACCTCTCATATATCTCTTTAAAACTTTCAATATAGTATTTTACAATACTTAAGATTATATTAATAAATTTTTATTCCTAGTAATGTGATAAAAATAAGCCCTACCACAAATAACTTATGTAAGATTATTGATGTAATATTAACTGCATGCCGATTCTAGAGTTATGTATTAAAATGAGAAAACAAAGTATTTATGTTAACTATAATAGGTAAAACAAAGTAGATCAAGCGAGGCCGGATATACTTTGCTGTGTAATTTTTGTTAGGGGAAAATGTAACACCGATTTCCCCACAAATCGTTGTTGTAAGTTGTTCATGCAACCATTTATTGGATTCTATTTTACAATGTTATGTGCAACCAATTTTGCGTAAATTCACATTGACTTTTCAGTTCCTTACCTTTACTAATTACCTTTTATGGTTTGCAATGTTAAGGCAGCGAATATTATTGAATTTTTACAGGAAACTTTTCATTTTCTTATAGTCCACCGTATGAGTAGATTTCCGAGAATTTGAAATAATATACACTACATATGCAATTCTAAATTCATTAAAATAAACCCAATAATAAAAATCAGTAACCGTGATTTATTAAATGTAATTTCCTTCTTTCCTTTTACATTTCTTGCCCACAAACAAGTTTCTAAAAAATAACTATGTATAATCAGTATGAAATAGTTATTTTAATTTAATAAAGGAAACGAGTAAATAGTAAGTCAAGGTTGAAAGGAGACGCTAACAAGGAGTATTAAACATCATAGTTAAATGGAGAGCTGGGTGTGTAACTGACGGGTAGCGAGTTGACCTAGTAGGGTAGCACGAAAGTAACGCCGTAACAGAAGTGGCAGGGAAGGTGGCTCAAGCAACGCGGACGATAGTACAGTGCGCGTGCGCCTCGCCATGCGAACACGTGAAACACATGGCGCGTCGTTTGGCGCTGCTTGCGTTCCTAGCGTGCGCGGTCACAAGCCGCCCGCCTTCAAACTTCCATCAATTAACGAGTCCAAACTCCGACACCTTAGACACTCTCGCGCTGTGGGCGGACCTCGATGATCTCGACTCAGATGAGACCCCTCCGCGATTTGATAGAGCTAAAAACAATGCCAAAGTGATCATAAGGAATAATATTCCAGAATTAAACGTAACCAGGAAAACTTCTAAGAGTGACGGTAAAAATAAAGTTATAAAAACAACGATTAATATTGAAAGTCATACGAACTTTATAGTGACTAAACGACCAATAGTTGTGACTAACACAGTGACTTTATTGCCTGAAGAGTCTAGTATCGATGATGAAGTGTTTTGGGTGGATGAAGTTGCTAATACTCCAAGACCCATCACTAGGAAAACAGTCAAGCCGAAATCATCAACAACACGACGGCCGTCTACGACGAGACGCTCTCAGACTTCGACCCGAAAAAACAAAAAGCAACCACACGTCGTTCAACAACGAGAACAACTCGGTCATCTGTTACAACTCGTGCAACCAAAGCAACGAAATCACCAAAGACTAAAGTGACTTGTGCAACCAAAAAGCCTGGATGGGTACCGTCATTCCATCAAGATAACAAAGTCAAAGAGAAACCAGTTAGTTCAGGTTGGTTTGTAGGTAGGTTACATTTTAAAATTTAAAACGGTTATAATGATTCGCACTTACTTTTATAAATAACCTATCCTAAATATAACTTTGACCTAAAACAGACAGTTCAAATGGTCAATTACATCACGAAAAACCATCGTGCTTATTAAAGTAACGGAACCCTTACACATTTAAAACAGGCAATCTACTATAAAGAATTAGTAATTGATTAAAACAATATCTACAAAACTAATTAGAACTTTAATTAAAATATCTTTAATGTCATGAATTTCATAATTAAGACATATACATATAACTATTTATTATCCACTATGTTGACTATTATTGTACTGAAATTCTTTTCACGTTTTGCTTGTAATCAATGAAATTTTCTAAAATGAAATTCTCATAGTATCTTAATACAATATAATCCGATGACTAAAATCAGTTCAGGGAAAACGTTCATTAGTATTGTGCAATTTTCTAAATGAACTATAATGGCTTATTATTTTACAAAGATAAAAACAATGACTAGTCGTCATTTAGCCATCATTAGAAAACTATCATAACATATTTTTTTTGTTAAATTTCGATAGTCTGTTTTGTATAGAATTTTTCGACCGTTACTAATTTACTTTGCAACATGTTTTGATTAATTAAAAATTTCATGAAGCTAGAAAGCATTTCAGTCAGTGAACCCAAAAATACATAAATACGAAAAAGACAATACTGTACACAAAAGGATTGTTTAATTATTTTTTTTTTGTCAATTTAAATGACCTATTTTGCGAAAACAATGGTGATTTCTTTAGGGCCAGGACCATAATTATACATTTATAAAATTATATTAAGAGAAACTTGATTATGATATTTTTATTTTAGTAAAGCTAACTATGATTTAGAAAACAAAACTTTGGTGTTGTTTTACATCTCTCAAATACATACATACTTCGACGATAAAATTTACAAGAATAAAAGTAATATTTAAAATTACAGTAGTATATCCCACAGTTAACACATTCATATATTTTTCCATGAGGTTATAGCTATAAAAGAAATCGAGTTCTTTAAGTCATTTCTTTACTTTAAGTAGAGTAGTGGCTTTAAACCGTGCTGATATAAAAGTTATATGCATACTTACATAGTGGTATTTGTATTTGTGTAAAGATCTAACATAACAAATAAGTAAATAGTGATATACACTTTAATTTTTGTATTCAATATCTTACAATTTGAGTATCAATTATTGATAATTTTAAATCATCAAAGTTCGTCGGTGAATTTCAGTAAAAATATGCCTGGAATTTTGTTTTTTACAATTGTCGTCAGCAATTATCAATTATTTTCAATGAAAAAATGCTCTGCGGTTAATAAAAAACGTTAAAGTAGCACTCGAATAACTGAATTAGTCAATTATTTTGTTTTAAACATTTACTAAAGGCGTAACAAGCTTAAGGGATTTCTTATTCGAATTAGATATTTTGTTTTTCGCTTTCATTAATACTTTTTAAATAAGTGTATGTTATTGTAAATAGTTAACTGTTTCATATCAATCTGTGATGTCAAAAATGTAAAATATAACAGAAGATTACCAAATAAAGAAGAAGAAACAAAAATATTTGAAATAAATTAAGTTTTTTATGAACAAAGTTTTCTATCTTCTGTTATGTCTTATTAAATTCGTATCAGCAACTAGAAGATTATTTAAAACGATATTTAAAAAGGTAAAGAATATGAATAAAATAAATAATTGAAGAAATACGTAGGTTAATATGAAAGACTGTTAAGTGAAGAATCTATCAATTATAATTCTTAGGCTCTGATACGTTAATAGGTATACAAGTATGAATTTTAGTTGACAATTCAATCTTGCTGATGTTAGGATTTTCCATAAATTATACAATAAATACTTATTTTTCCTGTAGTTTTGTATCTACTTGTTTTAGAAATACGTAATAAAAATCCCTATAAGTATTTCAGGAATAATTTTATAAGAAAGTACCCGATGCACTTACAATCTTACAACTTTCTAAGATTTTACGATAACTTTATGACCTAACATGGTATTATATGCAAAATTACCTATCAAAAGTGTACAGTTTAGTCGACGTTTTTGAATTAATTATTGAAAATAGGTGTATATAACATTACAATTAATACTTAGTGACATTTCAAACACTCGTTAAGTGACAATAACAACTAGAACCAACGACTTTTAATATTTGAATTTATATTCAAAGTACTAATCGTATGTCCTATAGATAAAAAAAAACTGACTTAATAACAACAATTGGAGAACAAAACTTACGTCATAATTTACTAAAAGCTGATAAATTAAATGTCTAGTCGTATAGGAAAAGCTATAAGAACAGTTGAAGGCAAATTGACACATTAAATTCCGTAAAGATTTCTTTTGAACATTAATAAGATAAAAGCTATAATCAAGCCCTACAGGATTCATTAAGTAGAAAATGAAACATTTCAATTGGAAATAATTATGGCATAGCAATCGTTCGGTTTTTCCGTCTTATAAAATTCAACTCTCGCGAAGCAAAACTAAGCTGGATTCTGGGAACTGGTTGGAAAATATTGTACTTATATTATTACCAAGTTTTTTGCTTAAGCATCAACATTGTGCCAGAAACTTTCTATGTAAGTAAAATAGGTAATCAACAATTTTATAAATTAATGCTAAGTATAAGGTGGACTTACTTATACTTTACATCTATATTTAACAGTTCTAAAACCACAACTAAGTAATACACACTCTAGTATAAATACAGGTAACTAGTTTAAGTTGACCATCGAGACAGGAAACCTAAGATATCATCATAGTCGGTCAATGTAGAATATTGGTTCCAATAATCTAAAGGTAGAACAAGTTTTAATATAATTATGTATCAGTATGTTAAATTTACTTCTTTGTTTTGTTTGATGTGGTGTATGGTTTTAAATTATTTTTTTACCTTTTAAATGGGTACACATTAAAGGAAAAGTATTCTTATTTAAATAAATGTATGTAGGTACATACCCATTTAAACTTCCTGACATGCATTTTTTTTTCTGTTATAGCTAACCTAGAATTGGAATGTTTTTTCCTTTCCATTTCTGGTAGTTTGACTTATTTACTTTTGATTTTAGTAAGTGTTGTTAGACTATAGGTAGCTTTTTGTTTTATATTTCTGATTTACCTACTTCATTAACATTTCAGTACTCTTCGTTTCCTTCGTCTGCTATAGCACACCATTAGGTTGTTAAAATTATTTGCCACTATACAGGTATCTTCTCCAGTATATACAATTGGTTCGTAGAATCAAAAACCTCTTGGTTCACCAGCAACTGGTTTGTAGACGACCCAAAGATTACCACAACAACAACAACACCCTCTCCCCCTTCAACTTCCACTGGAAATTGGTTTGAAACGTTCTTAGATTCTGAAGATGTGGAAACAACTCCAGCAACAGAAACCAGTAAGGGAACATTAAAAATATATAACTACTACATAATATGATAAGTACATTAAAATTACCTTCAACAAATCTTTTTCCAGTAAAAAAACCAACTTCAAAGTCACTTAAGAAAAATTACAAAGGTTATCAGCTGCTACGTGCTTATCCAGATGTTTTATGGAAAGTTCATTCTTTGTTAGAGCTTAAAGAGGAAGCTGAAGGTTCTGGCTTGATGTGGTGGACATCTCCCTCATTAAATGGATCCACAGATCTTCTTGTTCCACCAGATCTGCTAGCTGATATTAAAGATCATTTGAAATCTTCCAAAATAGAGTTCGATGTTGTCATTTGGGATTTGCAGGTAATTTAGATTTTACATATTTTTTCTATAAAAATAAACTGATCATTCAAATAAGATTATTTAACAGAAAGCTATTTCATATGAGAACCCAAAACTGTCAAAAAAGCAGCGAATAGAACTGGAACAATTGAGAGGTCATCCGATGACATGGAGGCGATATCATCGTTATTCTGATATATTGCGTTACTTGGAATATTTACAACATTCATATTCTGATATTGTAGAACTGATACCCTTAGGGCGGTCTTCAGAGGGTCTTCCTCTAGTAGCTGTTAAGGTAAAACGACAACCATATAAATTGAATAAGATGCAGTAAAAGATAATAATGGATATTAACCAAATTCTCTTTTTAATACAGGTCTCACTTCCTCGCAATGAAACTATAAAAAACAATAAAGTGAAAAGAAAATATAAATTAAAATCTCAACTGAAGCCTGCCGTGTGGTTGGAGGGCGGTGCCCACGCCCGTGAGTGGATAGCCCCGGCCGTCGCTCTATGGATGTTACACAATCTAGTGGAAGGAGAAAAAGGCTTCGGTACATACAAAGATTTTCATGTTAAATCTCGATAAGATTCGATGAACCTAAGTTACTATGAGTACATTTATAACGAATTATAAAGTCAACAGTTTTACTATCCTAATATTATGTATGTTTATATATTCAGGAACTGACCGGCGAATGCTTAAAATGGCAGATTTTTACATCATGCCAGTATTGAATCCTGATGGATACGAGCACTCGCACACGCACGACAGGCTTTGGAGGAAAACGCGCTCACGAAGCTCAGAGCACTCAGACGATTACTATGTTGGCTGGTTAGTAAGCGGTAAAAACTGCACTGTAAATTAATCTTGCATTGCCATAGCTGTGTGACGCGTGTCTCATAATAGAGGAAGATCCCAGAGCTCCCAGACGTCACTTATTTTCTGATGGACAAAATATATACGAGTGAGTAGTGGTGGGGTGTGCTATGATCATATGACTAGTTGCTACCTTGGCCAGACGGCCATTTTTCAGGTAGCAATTAATCAAGGTACATAGAAATACTGCTCACTTCACTTAAATTCTGATAGCTGATTTTAACATATATTTCACACAATATCGTTAAAAATCAGGATTCATTACTCCCAGACACATGCGGTCGGCGGTTTTACCTTACAGACGCTTCAAAGCTATTAAAAAAATTAATTAAGGTCACTTATTTTCTGATGCTTGATTTTTATATATGTTATTCAAACAATTATTTTAAAACGTTTTGCAAACGGACAGACCGATCCAAGGGGCCAAACATTCACCAGACCCAATTTTCATGTCGCTGAGAGTAGGGGCACGGGCATTATCCGTGCGCATAAGTGCGAGTGAGACAGACATGAGTGTCATTGCTTCTCTCCTTCTATTTGAAAATCACGTAAATAATCAAAGATTAACTTTGAGAAAAGTGCTCATCTGACCGCAATAATTATACAATTGTACCTTACAAAACTGTTTTATTAATTTAAATTTTTTTAAGTAAGTTAATTTTAAATTTTTAAAGTAAATATCAAAAGGTTTACAAAGTATTAATAATTTAATTAAATAACAGCAACCTTTTCAAATAATTATTTATTTGTAACGAACCTTAAAAAACTACAAAAAATCGACAAATATTTTTTTACATAAGTTTGTAAGATTAATTTGTAAATATTCGACTGGCTTCTAATCTTCATTGTCATCGTCGTTGAAGTCAGGTAATTCATCATCGAACCTATCTTGATATTGAATATCTAAATCATCATCTTGTTCATCAGTATTTTCCTCGGGCTTTTTCGCTGTAAAAAAGTAAAAACAAACCAACCAATTAAGATTTGGAAAACTAAAGAGACATCAAAATTATGAGAAGCTAAAATAAATTACCTAATTCTTCCTCCAAGGACAGTTTCTGTGATAACCACTTTCAAATAGTTCACTCGGCAAAACAACGTCTTTAAATTTTAGGTTATGTTCCTTTCTATGTTGTAAAATCACTCGACACTTTTTTAATGTCTCTTCCGTAAATAATATTAAATTTTCATCAGAATTATTGCAAAATACACAATTTAACAAATTAGCCATTATATTTTTTCAAACACTGCAAATATTTGTATTTTTTTATACGAATTGCTACTTAAATCACAACACAGCTGACGCACTCAACAGACGCGATACATTGACTAGTGGGTAAGAGTAAACCGAATAAAAGGAGAGAAGCAATGACACTCATGTCTGTCTCACTCGCACTTATGCGCACGGATAATGCCCGTGCCCCTACTCTCAGCGACATGAAAATTGGGTCTGGTGAATGTTTGGCCCCTTGGATCGGTCTGTCCGTTTGCAAAACGTTTTAAAATAATTGTTTGAATAACATATATAAAAATCAAGCATCAGAAAATAAGTGACCTTAATTAATTTTTTTAATAGCTTTGAAGCGTCTGTAAGGTAAAACCGCCGACCGCATGTGTCTGGGAGTAATGAATCCTGATTTTTAACGATATTGTGTGAAATATATGTTAAAATCAGCTATCAGAATTTAAGTGAAGTGAGCAGTATTTCTATGTACCTTGATTAATTGCTACCTGAAAAATGGCCGTCTGGCCAAGGTAGCAACTAGTCATATGATCATAGCACACCCCACCACTACTCACTCGTATATATTTTGTCCATCAGAAAATAAGTGACGTCTGGGAGCTCTGGGATCTTGGACTATAACGTGTTCACGTTTATCGTCTTGATAAATGAACATAACGGTGGACAGTTATCTACAATTGAATCTTATAACATCATAATTGAAAGTCATGTCTTTATTTACTATTTATAAGCAATTCTGCTGTCACTTAGTATTAAGTTACGTCATTTAATATATGAATATGATATGTACACAAAAAATGTAATAATAGACGCAAGAGCACACTTTTGGAATCAAGTTTCTCAGTTCAAACCGGAATAAGTTTGTGGCTTATCATCCTATATAAATAACACATTAGGTGTAACAACGATAGTTTCCCGCGAAAGCTTTGGAATGTTCTAGTTACAAAGTAAATATAAAATTGTAACTAGAATTACTTGCTATTTAGAGAAAGCAAACATAACGTATTTATTTTTTACTTCAAACATATCGCTAAAGGTTTCCGTGGAATTGGGGACGGACGGAGTGCATCGGTGTTGATGCTGATCGCAATTGGGATTACCACTGGGGTGAAAAAGATTCTTCGCAAGATCCCTGCGCCGAAAACTACTCCGGTCCCCATCCTTTCAGTGAGCCAGAAACACGGGCTGTTTCCAACTTCTTAGCCGAAAATAGAGGGCAGATACAGGTACAATAACAAATTTTAATGTAAAGTATAGGTAGATGTGTACCCAAAATATGTTCATTTCTATTGTTGAAACGATTTTGTAATTTCTATTGTTTACTTTTCCTCTTCAACTTGTTATAACGTCTAAATGTCTTTATGTCGTGTTTGTGACGTGATTGTTAGTTCTTCTCGTAATTGGCCACTTAATCTGCTCAGCGTGTAGTGTAAATGAGGTTTTAGGTACGATACGTCAAAAACATCGACATAAACGTTTGGATCTTAATTTTATTTTATATTTATTATATTACCCACGTAAAATATATAATGCGTAAATAAGATTGAGAACTTCGTCACTTTATTGTTGCTAAAACTGAGGTAAACCACATAATGTTTTGAGAAATTGTGACGAATTACCGTATATCTTCATATGAAGCTACTTTCAAAACCTTTTACTCAAGTCAACTTTCAACCAATAAAAATGAATTAAATAAAAACAATTTATTGTTAACCACTTTATATTTTTTTATATGTAAGTGGTTCGATTTAGTTGAATTTAATTACCTAATATAATAAGTTTGCCACGTTAATGGTCCGGAATACCGTCGAAGTGGCTGTTAAAACCCAATATTAATAATAATATGTGTGTAACTTTCAAGTATCAACTATTTGTATCGCTTTGATATGTTATGACCCACTAGACTACTAGTGGTCAATAATTATAGTGGGTTCGAAAATAATAATAAGTGCTTCTATTTTCGGACATCATATTTCTTTTTGATTGATATATTATTCTTGCTTGCCGGTTCTCAAGCTTTTAACTGCAAATAAAAGAAGGGAAAAAATCTAAAAACATAGTTTCATTCAAATGTAGGTACACTCGCGATATTGTTACGTATTTTATACGAACTGTTTAGAGATTGAGCCTTAAAAAAATCTATTTATGAATTTTAATAAAACAAACGTTTAATTTTAGTTGGAATGAGCCTGGCTGGGTTTTGAGGGATATCTAGACGCTGAGACAATAGGAACTATGAGTAGACTGAAAATACAAATGGCTAATCAGAAATTAAGGACGGAAAGTAAAGTTATAACAGAATGATAGAGAATCTTTAGATATAATTGTGTATTAAAACCTGTTAAAATTAGAATGTACAATAGGATGTAGAGTGGTGAATCTAAAAAATACCATCATATGGAAAAAGTTCACTTAAAGTTGATTAGGACTTAATCCAAATTGTGTGCTAAGTGATTATAAATTTGCAACAATAAACAAAATATTGTGCAAAAAGTGATGATCATAATACGTCTGAAACACTGTTACAGGTATACATATCACTGCACGCGTACTCACAAGCTTGGCTTTTACCAAGCAGTCATTCACATGCAACTTTTGCTGACGATGGAGTTTTAATGGAAATGGGGAAACTGGCGACCGCTGCTCTGGCAGACATGTACGGAACCAAGTACCAGGTAAATAATATTCACAAAACTTTGAATCCATTAAGATTAAATACGTATCGTATTAATTAAAAAAGGAAATTTATCCATTTAAAAATTTTTAAAGACACTAGATGAATAATATTGTCTTACTAAGGAGAGTAACTTAAAATATATATCTTTAAAAAAAAAAAAAATTTTACACCATTTAAACAAACATTGTACATATGCGATAGCACTTATTTAACCAGTGGAGGTGAAGTTATTTACATTTACAAAAACTGCAAATTCATATGATGTTTCAATATTTCATACTAACTTGTTACCGGGTTAACTTATTTTAACACATTCTTTAGCAGTCAGTTTGGACGTAGCGAAAGCTTTTGATCGGGTTTGGCACAAAGCGCTTCTTTCGAAGCTTCCTTCCTATGGGCTTCCTGAGAAATTGTGCACGTGGATAGCCAGCTTTCTTACGGAGCGCAGCATTAAGGTCGCTATCGACGGTTTGTGCTCGAATTTAATGCCCGTGAATGCTGGTGTGCGTTTTGTCTCCCACTCTGTTCCTTCTGCATATCAATGACTTGCTGCAAGTCGGCGATGTTCATTGCTATGCAGATGACAGTACTGGTGATACGCTTTATACCGGACGTCGCACACTTTCTCGGGATTACGTCGCTGAGTGTCGGAATGGGCTTGTGTCTTACATCGAGTCCTTACTCGATCAAGTATCATCCTGGGGCCAAACCAATCTGGTTACATTTAACCCTACAAAGACACAAGTCTGCGCGTTCACCGCCAAAAAAGCACCCTTTGTAGTAACAGCTCGGTTCCAGGGCAATTCCCTTAAACCTAAAGCCAGTATTGGTATTCTGGGTGTCACCATTTCGAGTGATGTACAGTTTCGTAGTCACTTGGAAGATAAGGCCAGGTTGGCATCACAAAAACTTGGCGTACTTCGCAGAGCGGGGCGGTACTTCACTTCGGGCCAACGCCTGACGCTTTATAAGGCGCAGGTTAGACCTCACATGGAGTACTGCTCCCACCTCTGGGCTGGAGCGCCCCAGTGCCAACTTCTTCCATTTGACCGAATCCAACATCGTGCAACTCGAATGGTCGACGATACCGTTCTTACCAATCGGCTTGATACTCTAGCCCTGCGGAGAGACGTTGCTTCTCTTAGCGTCTTCTACCGCCTTTACTACGGGGAATGCTCTGAGGAGCTCTTTGGGCTACTGCCTGCAGCTGAGTTCCACCACCGCACTGCACGTCACAGGTTGCATTACCATCCGCACCACCTTGACAGCTGGCAGTCAACCACAGTGCGTTTCAAAAGAAACTTTCTGCCACGCACCACCATCCTATGGAATCAGCTGCCTCGCGACATATTTCCAATACACTACAACTTAGGGTGCTTCAAGAAGAGAGTGTACCTTTTTCTCAAAGGCCGGCAACGCGCTCTGGTGCCTTCTGGCTCGAGTGTTCATGGGCGGCGGTAATCATCTACCATCGGATTGCTAGCCTGCTCGGTTGCCCCCTATATTATAAAAAAAAAAAAAAAAAAAAACACATTTCCTATTATGAATCCATTAGATAGTAAGAGGTAAGAAAACAATAAAGTCTTAAGTAATAATATAACCACACTTATTTTTAAAAAGATATTTACTTATTACTTTATTTCAATTACTTTTAAATGATAATCAGCAATAAAGATGGATCATTTTACGAGTAATCTCCGCTATAACGCTCCACAATGTTGTAGTATGGAGTCAGTAAAATCTTTTTAGTATTTACCTATAAAATATAAATGATTCAGGTGGGGACAGCTGCGGAAATACGTCAACCAGCAACTGGGATGTCCCACGATTGGGCAAAAGTTCGAGCTGGTATCAAGTATGCCTACCACGTCGATCTCCGGGATTCCTATGGTCCCTACGGTTTTCTGTTACCAGGGTCGCAGATAGTGCCAACAGCGCGCGAAACTTGGCAGGCTCTCAAAGCTATTGTTGAAAATTTATAATTATCAAAAGTTCTTGCAATAAAGGTAGAAATATATTATAACGAGGGGCGTTACTGAAGTATAGTTTTTGGGTTTTTCCATATATATTTTTTGTTTCAATCAATTATTTAAAAGATATTAGTTATGCTCTAAAATATTTTCATTCCATTTCATCTAACGGTTCTTAGTTAATTTTTATGGTAATCTAGTTGTGAAAACGTGTTTTAAACGCCTTCCATCTTTACACTTAGCATAGTTTTAACCTTTAATCATCTTTAAACTATAGTCAGATAGGAAAATTGTTGCATTTAGATATTGCATTAGCATTAATATTAAAGAATATACATATTATTTAATGTTAGCGACGAAACAAATATTAAGATTAAACTAGTTTATCCAGGGACAAATTAACTCTAAGACTAGATATTTGTAAGGCCAAATGTGTGTATTTGTTCATTAAGCAACGTACGGAACAATCTTGATATTTTACTTTATATATTTTTTTGTAAATATATGGCATAATTATTTATAATTAATTATTGTAGAATAATATTTAATAATTATTATAGGTAGGAATATAAAAAATGTGTTCTTTTATTTCTTAAATTCCCTCCTTACCTTAAAGTGTCTTAAATTTAGTAAAAAAAATTGATTCCTATATTAAAATTATATATATCCTAAGTTCTGGGAATATTAAAAAATAATAAATTTTATTTTCTCAAACATTTATGCCATCATCACTGAATGTATGGATATTGCATAAATGATTTTTAATCACATCATTATTACTAAAACATCAGTTATTATAAATAAAAAATATACAAAATGACAAAATGTATGTATGTATACGATTTTTTGCATATTACTTGCTATTGTTAGTCTTTATTTAATTTAAAATTTTGTTAAATATGATCAAATAACTCTACATTTTAATGTTTTAAACGTTTAATATTTTTTTCTATTTGTTTTTTTATATAACAATTGAATATTTCAAAATAAACATGAAAGTATACCATAGCGAAATCTGATTCATAGTTCAAATTTATTAAAAATACTTTTAATAGTCTGATTTTAATATAGATATAATAATATAATCTAGAATTACAGAATATATGTTCATATTTATTATCCTTAAAGGATTGACTTCATTCCCAAAAAGATTACAAATGACATTGACGTTTAAGATTATTGGCATTTGACATTTGAACGAAAATTTCAAAGTTCAAAGTTTTCATTTACAGTTTTCACTACAATTATTAAATTGTATTGATCGCTAGACATAGTGTTATTGAAATGGATCCCGAAACAGATGGGGTACTGAAATTGCCCACAAAAAATCTCATCGATCCCACCGGCTTCGATGTGACTATGACGGCAGTACTGATCGGCTTAGGAGCTGAAAAATATATTGATGTTTTTAGGTATTTTTTTGACACAATTGATCATTTCAATTATTCTGAAATTAATTCTTATACCTTCTGTTTATTAAAGAAAACATAATATTGGTCAATGCACTTTGATGGAATTAAATGATGAGGACTTGACAATACTAGGAGTAGACGATCCTTCCATAAGACGTAAATTAATTGAAGAAGTGAAGAATCTTCCAACGTACGATGAAACAAAGCAAACGTTAGTATTTTGATAAATATTTAATAATCACAATATTTTAAAGAAAATTATACAAAACATTTTCTTCATCCGCTTCTAGGGCTCAAAGTAATAACTTAGATCTCATTGAAATAATAGACGTGATAGAAGAAAGCACCCAACACCTTTATAGGATATATTTAAGTATGATGACAAATACACTTGCTCTTAAAAAGAACAAAGTGGAGGATTATCTCATTGAAAAAGATAAATATGCATCAAATATTTCAATATCCACACTCAGTGAAATGACTAATATATTAAATTCTATGGACATTGCATTGCACAGCCAAATTAAAGTAAGTTTAAAAAATTATTTGTTTTTCCATTATATCTATTAATTTAATAATGATTCCAGCTTTTCTCTAGCTAATTGTACTAAGTTAATATTCAAAAGATAAAGAAAATTTTATAGACTTCTTATTTTATTGATATTTGAATTAAACAATAAATAATTTTTCATGAAGTTCAATTAAAAAACTAGATGATTTTTTTTGTAAATTCTTATATCTTTAAAATTTTTTAACTTTCAAGGTACTATCACAGAGGTCCAGAGAAAGAAGAAATAAGAAAATCATAGTTGGTACAGTTGGGTGTGCCGTTATTGCCGTCTTAACAATTTGTTTTGTAAAATCCTTACAACATATTAATTAAAACTGTCCATGAATATCTTTGACTAGTTATTACTATTAATTAAACTATACTGTATACAGTATATTCTATAAAATATATACCTATTTATTCGAGAACATATACTCATATATAAGAGTAAAATGGTATTTTCTGTTTATGGAATTAACAATGTGTAACATTTGGGTACATTAAATTTGTTTGTAATGACAGTATTACTGTATTTTAATTGAACTAAGTTGTGATAAATTTGCCATTATAAAAAACTTTATTTATTAAGTCCTAAATACATTATTATAGAGTATGTAATATTGCATCTTGTAAAGAATAGATATAAATGTAATACTGAATTGCCAAACTTTTGATATGATCCAAAACATATATTGAAAATTATTTTTTTGTCTAACTTTCAACTATTGAATATTCTCTATACTGTCTATTTTATACTCAATGTAAAACAAAAATGTATGAATAAAATCCAGTTAACCATTCATATTTTTTATTTCCAAATGATATCCCACTGGTGAGTCAAAACAATTTCAACAAATATTTTGAGAGGCGATGATGAGGTCAACAGGATATCAATCAAATTGATGATCGGATGCTGGAATTATTAAAAAAAAAGTGACAAAACATCAAGCAAATCCGAGGTGACCCAATTGTTCCGACCTCCCCAATTAAAAAGTGTAAGGTAAACGATGAGGCGGGCAGTGTTTGAGCGGCGGTAGTGACGTCACTAGGCCGGGCGCTCCGGAAGCGGCCCGGAGTCCTGTGCTCCCTGGACCGACGACGTTTATTGCAACCGAACGCGTCAATTGAACCGCGTGTCCGCTCGCCCAATCGAGCGATGCCCGCGCAAACTAACGTCAGTTTCGACTAAATAATATGTTCGTATGTGAGAACAGATGAGAATATTGAAGATTATATTTGAAATTTTACGTTTAGTGTAAAATGTATAATTATTGTTTGTTTATCATTGTGGCTGTGTTACTTAATCGTTTTAACGCTCAGGATGTTGTTACAGGTAACGTTATTTGTTTTATAAGTTGTATATTAAATGCAAATTAATGAAACTTTGCTATAATAATAATAAGTAAAATGTAACAGTTGTAGTGATTATTAGGTTTACAACTTTACACTATTAAATTTTGGACATTCAAAGGAAAACTTCGTACTTATTTTTTCTCTTTTCATTAAAATTTTACCCAAATTAGTACAATTCGCTAAGATAATAATTTGGTAAGTGATAAAATTACATTTATTTTTTATGTCATAGAAAACTTAAAAATCTGAAAATTTAAAAATGAACGGCACATTTCGTTTTCCTGTATAAGATTGAAAAATTACCGACATTAGGTACCTGGTTCTTTGAAAAATTCGTGTATTTAGGAGTGATGTTTGAAAAACATTAAGATTTAAAATATGTAAGACTCCGTTTTGCTCGTATATAAGATTATTTGAATAAGTTTTCTTTTTCTGTAGTCTTTTGTATTGCCATTTATCTTTATTAGCGGAACTTTGTCATCAAATAAAATTATACTCGATGATATATTATGAGAAATAAATTAGTTGTACTCTAAACAAATTTTTGACATTTGCGACTTGAAATAAAATTATCTATTTTATCTACATACTTTTGCGAACTCAATAACGCAAAGAATAGAATGGAAAACTAGTTTATACTTTTTTTTTGTCAATATTGTTTATATGCTTTGTTTTTTGGAACTACTATAAATATTTTGCTTTACTTGTGATAAATAAAAATAACATTAATGACTTAAAACGAGACCTAGTTAACAATACTTTGCTACGTACTTTAAATTTTTCGTTGTTTACAATTTTCTGTAAAAATAATTAGATGATTCAACACTTAATAAATCAAGGCCAATATAAGATCATTGACATAATGAAACAAAATTCTAATAAAGATACATAATTTAATAAGTTGGTTTCAGTGACAACGTGTAAGCCACACCACCGCAAAATATTGAATTATTTCGTTATAAAATTTCTCACTGATTTCGTTGTACGTTTCTTAGCAATTTAAGACTGTAATTATACAGAAAAAAAATATGTATATAGTACCTATAACGACAAACATTTTTGAAAAACAGTAATTAAAGAATAATTCAAGGCCGATACAAATCATATCTTGTTTTTTTTTTTATTTCGTACACATTCATAACACAAAAATATTACCTTTTATAATATTAATTATATATAATTATATATTTTACATTCTTAATAAGTTACGGTTAATATTGATATTTAGTACCGTGTTTACTCAATAATAACTAGTAGGACGCCTTTATTTGAAAGTTTCAGTTCTTTAACGGACATTTTTTGACGCCTCTACGTTAATATAGTAACTTGTACTTTTTTATTTCGTTTCTTTGGTCTACTAGTAGCACGTAGCTTTGTTTATATTGGATATTTAATTTATAAGTGTCTATATAAAATACAATATAAACTATTTTATTGTTTTATTATATTTCAGTGGAAGCTATATTGGGACAAAGCGCTGAGCTACCTTGCAACGTAACAGCGGAAAAAGAAGATGACAAACTAAATATTTTGGCTTGGTATAGAAATGGTTCCACAACCGCCTTCTATAGGTGATTACTATCAGAAATTAAGACATTTTTTAAACCAAATACTATTTACTTACTCCTAATATGTAGTAAATCTCAATTATAGCAGTAGCGGCAGAGTGCATTTACGTACACATTTAACTAATTGGAAGATGATTTGTGACCTTAACGCACCACGGACCCTACCTACTAACCTATTGACATTCTATTTACATCGTCGACTGTCACAAATTATAGAAGTACGGTTTGCAAAAATAAAATAATACTGAACAGAACTCGACTGAATTGTTCTATGATGATATCTTAAGTTCATTAATGTTGCAATATAATTACGAAGATATCACTCACTTAAAAGTTCATAATTGATCCTAAGGAATGACTAATCCTCAAAAAGAGTAGTAACCTCAAAAGTAGTCAAAACTATCAGTAAAAGTAGTAGTAGATTTAAAATGTGACGTGTTGTACCAGCAGTCGAGACCTGCGTGGTGCGGGTAGCGTCATGTCGTCAGGCGGGAGGTACCGTCTCGTGGCTTCAGAGAGTGAGGGTTTGGACAAGCTGCAGATCCTCAGCGTGAGGGCCTCTGACGCCGGCCTGTACCACTGTCACGCGGACTTCGCGACCAGTCCCATGCACAAAACCTACATCCAGTTTAATGTCATTGGCAAGTTTTATATTAGAGCTAATTGGTTTGTTCCGTCGACTGTTTAGGAGTTATAAATAGAATAAGATCGGAACAAAAAATCTTTATCGAATAATCGTTTTTGTATTGTAACCATTATAAACACGTTTTGTCTTTTTTGCCTCAATTTACCATCATCAGAACTCGTTGTTTTCATTTCTGTATAAATTTTGTATGGCAAATATTTACCTTTCTCGTGAAATAGCGCAGTCGCAGCACCGATTAATTGGTCCGCGGGCTAATGAGGAAGCTGACAGTGCCGGAACAATTCACTTCATTTACGAACAATTATATGATATAAATATTGCGTCATTAAAAATTATTTTAGGTTCTAAAAAGTGACCAATAAAAACCACTTCTGTTTTTTGAAAACCAGTAAAGCTTAAAGTAAATTTAGTTTTATTTCCGCAGAACCTCCACAGAGACTTTGGGTGATACACGAGAATGGTACACGCGTCACTACAGCTAGTATTGGCTCTAATACGAGCAGAAATATTGGTCCTTACTACGTTGGGGACACCGTGCATCTTTTTTGCGTCGCATTCGGCGGTGAGGAGACATCTTACTTTAAATAATAGCACGCCATCACAAAAATAAAGGCATACATTTTAAAACACTGATACGTGGCATGCTCACTAATCACTACTACTTTTATTTTTTCGAATGTGAAATTTGTAGTTCACGATATTTAAGGTAAAGGCACCTATGGTGGACGCGGACCAGTCTTGGACAATTTTTGACTTTTCCTCCAAAATTAAGCAAAGACGCTGAATTTTATTTCAAATGACAACACGGGTCTGTTGAGTCAACACTGTAGTTGTCATACCAACTGTTTTTAAGAGCCTACATCCATTTGGATGGCGGTCATATAGGTTTTTTGTTGCGCGGCGGCAGTTGGTTCCGGGAATCGTAATTTATTAGAAGAATCGTGTTGCGAGTAAGTACAGTTATCGTCTTGTTATGTGTCAGGTGTATCTTCATTGTTGAAATTGTTATTATTTAGTGATTTATCAATAGTAGTACATTTATTTTATAATATGACACAAAATGTCATTGTGATTTAAACCTTTGAATTACCGGTGTCCATAACTGGATATTATTCAAGCACATACACCCAATCATGTACAGAGTGTCCATAAAGGGAACTTCCTGATTTTTATTATTTTTCATGTATCATACGTCTGTACTAATATATCTTCATGTTTCTCTAGAAAACTGAAATTAATTTTTTGTCTATCCAATAATGGACATTCTGTCCATGACTGGATGTCTGTAATAGGTTCAACATATTTTTAATACAAACAAATCTTTTTTTCCAACCAGAAATGGCACTTAGGAGAAAATATCTGTTGCCGCTACAAGATACGGAGTCCCAAGGATAACATTACATAATAAAATTACCGGGAAAAGTCGAATTGATTGTAATCTAGGTCCAACCACGGAACTCACCTACGAAGAAGCATTTTACGAGTTTCTTCTCGTAAAATGGATAACATTTATGGGTGAAAAACATTTTCCTGTCTACAAAGAACAATTGCTTGATAGTGTCCAAAAAATTATATTTGAGAAAAAGTTAGATTCCTGTCCGTTCACAAAATATACCTAAACCATTAACCAGTTATATTATTCTTGGACGGCCATAGGTCACACATGACACTGCATCTGTCAGATTTCTGTAAAAATAATATGATTGAAGTTATCTCTACCCGAACTCGACTCATCTGCTTCAGCCGATGGACGTTGCGGTGTTTAGGCCTTTAAAGGTAGCATGGCAGAATCAGGTGAAGACTTGGAAAATGGGTAATCCGAATCAAACAATGAAAAGAGAGCATTTTGCTCCAAATTTTGAGACAGCTTTACAAAATATTTCGACAGACACCATAAAAAACGGATTTCGTAAGAGTGGGCTTTTTCCCTTTGGTCCAGAGTATGTGGATATGAACAAAATAAGCTCACAAAATCGTGCAACTGTTTCCACATCAGCAATAGAAACGAAAATTAACACGACAAAACAGTTTATAAATACTTTAGAATCAGAAATCCTTATTATTTTGAAAAGATTATTACTGTCCATTGATGGCTGTTCATATTTAGATTATGTCCATGAATGGGTGTCCTATACTGGATTATATCTGTCCATTAATGGTGTCTAAGTAGGAGTGTAGTATATTTACAATATTTTATTGTACTGAGTACCAAACTAAAATTAAACATGGAATACTGATTGAAAAAAGAGCTTTTTATTTACCTTCTAATGCCAAAGAATATATATTGAAAAATGAAGAAGTTACAAAGCAAATCTCTAAAAATATCGCTTATACTGTCCATGACTGGTGACTTTACCTTACTTAACAATTCTAAACTAGACTGTTTAAATGCCTCGATTGTTTATTTACATCAGTTAAACTATACCGAGGTTAATTGTTTTGTATCAATGCTTTTAATGTTAAGTTCGCTTTTTGTTCAATAATAAATAAATAAATAGACTAGCTGTTAGTGTCAATGTCATTGTGAGACTTTTCAAGATATTGTAGTCCAAACTGTTGAGGATATAAACATAACATTTTGCCAAGTAAACAATTTGTAGTAGCATCGCTCTTCTATAGTAAATTTATTAACACAATTGAAAGATTTATCTTCTTCAAGAAGTGTTATGTATCAAGATAATTTATTTAGATGAAGTCTATACGTTTTACAACTAACAGTCGGTAGGCTACTTTATATATTATAAGCCAACATTGCTGTATGAAATCAAGGAAACATTTTATTGCTTCATCCTACTAATATTATAATTGCGAAAGTTTGTTAGTGTGTGTGTATGTTTGTTACTTCTTCACGCTCAAACGGCTGAACCGATTTTGATAAAATTTGTATACAGAAAGCTGACGTCCAGGAAAAACACATAGGCTACTTGACATCCCGGAAATCCGCGGGTAACACCGCGGGGCGCAGCTAGTTATGAAATATTTTTCTTCGTAGACCGTAGCATACAAGTAACGAACAGCAATTTTATGTGACCCAATCAAAAACCTGCCCAGCCTTCTATGCTCTCCCGGAGATCTATGGGAATACTTAGGAGCAATGAAGGCAATATGGCGGTGACATTAATTTTCGTCACGTGTTGAACAAATGTTTTGTTTTAATATAATTCAGGGAAACCGCAATCGTCTCTTTCCTGGTGGGCGGATCAAAGAATGCTCAAGGACACGAGCACTCCTCTGTCGGAGCAGCGCGTTAGGAGCGACCTCATGTACGGTCCGCTGAGGAGGGAAGATCACGGACGAGTCCTCACTTGCTTCGCCAAAAACAACGAACGGACGCCACCACTCACCATTGACGTCACCATTGATATGTACTGTTAGTTGACAAATTGTATTACATTCAATAATGTCATATTACAAAAAGTTGGTGCTAAGTAGGCTGTAGGTTATACATATAAGACTTTCCTTATTCCTATAATATTTAATGTTGTAGGTACTTAATAGTTTAAAATTTCCGAAAAGTTTACCTTTTTGGATCATAGAGTAATGGAAACGTAAATTTTTTGATTCTTTGTAGATTTCTGTCTTTGCAAAATAAATCAAGACGCGAAAAGAATATTCCTATAGGAACTTTATCACTAGTACCAGGAATTATACCTATATATATTGTGTATGTCAGTACCGCCGCAGCTGGTGTCAGTGAGGGCGGTGGGTGTGGAGGGTGCGGTCCGAGTGCGGGCGGGCGCGTCTCTACCGCTGCAGTGTCGTGTGTTAGGAGCGCGTCCTCCGCCTGCACTCGAGTGGCGCCTCAACGACGAACAGCTGATCAACCTTGAGCAGAACACTACGGTATGTATACAGTAATACGGGTTTGCACCTAGTACAGGGGCTCTTGCAACTTGATTGTTATGTAATCCTTGAGTCAATAAAGTTTATTTTTTTTTTTTTATGTATGATGATTCATTTTTGGTTCTGGGATTTCTCCTTTGCTAGTTTGAAGTAAGTCGTAATTGTATTTTCTTTAATGAGTTCCCTTCATTCTATCGAACAGATAGAATCGTCTCAGCGGCTGGTAGTGAGTGAGATCGAATTAAGTGTATCTCACAAGCACGACGAGTCGCAAGTCACTTGCTGCGCGCCCGCACACCGCCGTACGGACGAGCAGTACGTGTGTGCGCCCAGCCTGCCTATTACTGTGCTTTGTGAGTTTCAGATTCCTTACAAGAGTCTTTATATTTAGCATTTGCCTACACGCAAGTATGCACATAATTTCTGCTAATGTCTTCTACATAGTATGGAGAGGACAAAGATCATATTTTAGGTTAACAGAAATTTTGTTTGTAAACAAAATGTTTTTGCTTATGTTTAGCACCTGTGATAGCTATATAATTAAAGATAAAAATTGGAAGACCTTAAAAGGTCCTTTTTTCGTCCTAAATCTGATACGTTGCGCGGAAGTTCAGCTCCAATTTTTTTTAGCAAAATCCTATTGTAAGCTATTTTTAACGTTTTTTCATTTCACCTGATTAACACCTCAAGACACAAAGAAATTTAAATTCATACATCAATAGAAAAATTTCAATTAAGCACACTAATCACATTATTTTGATCACTAATATTATTTTGCAGATCCGCCCGTCCTTGAAATAATAACAGAAGAAGTTCTAATCAACAATACGTTGTCCGTCGTGAAAGGATCCAACGTGACGCTCAACTGTAGTTACCAAGCGAACCCCGCGGTCTACCAACTGATTTGGTTCCATGAGGTCAGAATTTTCATGACACACTTCACTTGCTTCATATTAAACTTGACCGCTCCAAGCAATTTAATTATGACGTTTCCTCTTATTTCTTCAAGAGTTATCATGCTAAGATAACTAAGGTTTTTCTCTAACTGCTACTTGTTTTTATACGGGCTTTACATTATAGATTAGGTAAGAGCTTAATTTATTCTACAACCTCATTATTCTTATCAATTATACGTAAATAATGTGTATGGTGGTAGAGCCTAGCTGTGGTCAGTTACTACAGCTCGAACATGGGCTTGGCTTCTACCCTCTCACAGAAGATCGGCGTGAAGTTCCTTTAATGGCTGCGTTTACCCGATGAGTGAGAGAGGTTGCCTTTCCCTATTCCTACCCTTTCCTACCATTTTCTTATTCCCACCCCTCCCTATCCCTAAAAAACAAGGTTGGCAACGCATCCGCAACAAACATGTTGCGGATGTCCATGGGCGACGGTAACCACCTTCCATCAAGTTGGCCGTCTGCTCGTTTCCCACCTTTTACATAAAAAAAAAATGGTGGACAAGTTGTTTCATATAATTGCAAACTATTCATTATTTACTATAGGAAGATCTCCTGAACTCGGAAGAGGCGGTTTCTCCATCGCTGGTGGTCCATGAAGCTGGTGAATATGTATGCGCCGCCACTAACGACCAGGGCTCCGCTTACAGCGACCCCGTCTTCATCGACGTTATATGTATGATCTATTTATATAAATAAAGTATTTAATACATCCTACTAATATTATAATTGCGAAAGTTTGTGTGTGTGTGTATGTTTGTTGCTTCTTCACGCTCGAACGGCTGAAGCGATTTTGATAAAATTTTGTATACAGCAAGCTGACGTCCAGGAATAACACATAGGCTACTTTACTTGGAAATCCCGGAACACCGCGGGGCGCAGCTAGTTTAAAATAAATCTGTTTTCAGATCCTCCATACTGCGAGGACGAAACTGTAGTGGAATATGGTATAGGAGACAACGATTGTCTGAATCTGACTTGTAAAGTTAAAGGCAACCCTGAACCGACGGCGTATCACTGGCTCTTGATCAGTGAAGTTAATGGAATCAAACTACGGAACAATCACACGCTGAGCTTGGAGACGCAAGACGCTACTTTACAATACCAGAGACCGAATGGAACTAATAGTATGTACTTTATGTAATACTGATATTATAAAGAAATGTCTTCTACACCCTTAGAACAAGATCGAGTAGTCCAAACTGTCAGTTTCAATGTTTTTATGACGAAACCGTCGTTAGTATGAATTTATGATTAATTTCACCATTTTGCGTTAAAATCTCGAAGCGTTTCTTATTTCATCTTTGAATGTCCCTAAAACCGTAACATGCTCAACTCTCAAGCATATGTATGAAGGTAAAGGGTTCTTCAGAAAAGAACAAAACCACTAGTAATTTTAATTTCCTATATTTATTCCTAGCTCTTATATATTGTTGGGGTTTAAACGGAGTTATCAACAACGAGTTGGAACACAAACGATGCTCGTTCATGGTGACTGACGAAACGGTGCCACGACCTCCTGCTAATTGTGTAGCTGAGAAGAATATTATGAAAGAAATCACAGTTGTTTGTGAGGAAGGACACGATGGAGGCTTACAGCAGGTTGGATCAGAAGTATTTTACTTTCAATTCATACATTGCCAATTTAGAAAACTTAATTTTCTGTTCACAGAAATTCAAATTCACAGTAAACGACTTAGACACCGATGACCAATTAGTGTCCATTATCAACCAAGAACCGAAATTTATGATCCAAGAACCGAAAAAAGAAAACTATAAATTCGTGATCAACGCCTTCAACGAGAAAGGTGACAGTGAGACAGTGGAAATAGACAAGGATAGTATTGTGGACGAGAGCTCAGGTAATAGACTTGAAACTTTACATAAGTTAATAAATTAAAAATGGAACAACGTTATTTAATCTTCACTTAAAAAATGTCATATAACATAATCTATAGTTTAAGTAGATTAAAAATATATTTTAAAAAATGGCGGGAAAGTTTGACATTGAATGTCATATTTTACTTTTTTTGTCACTGAGATAATAATAATAAATTTATCGAAGCTTTAACTATTCTAAATCCACATATCATATTCAGGTTCCTTAGAAACAATAAGCGCTGTGACAAACATAACGACATTAGCTCTGTCGTTATGCGGGGGCGTAGCGTTACTGGCGCTGGCGGCGTGCGGCCTTGTACTATGTGCACACGAGCGACCGCCGCATAACAAGGATACACTGTGTGCGTACACTGACGGTCAGTATAACAAGACATATAGGATTCAACATAGTAATAATTTAATAAAGAGTTATTGACTGTTATAGACCACCATTGGGTTAGTTCATTTCTGTTTAATTGATGATAAATATACATTATACTTATATTTATCACTAAAAATGAAACTAATACTTTACCATTGGCGAACTCGAAGCGAAATTTTCAATGACTGTGGTTCAAAAAAGCATTTAAAATATGTATAAGCATTTTTTTTTTCATAAAGCCTCCTCAAATATATTACTTACCCTATACTATATGGGGATAACTATTTAAAGGGTATCTTTTAATAAGGGTAAAAATGTTTTAGATACCAACTGCGAAACATTCCACGACAGTGAAGATGACAGCGAATGTAACGTGAGACGGACGGAGTCGTTTAGACGCGCCATGACCAAATATCCTATGAAAAATTACGACGTTCGAAGAACCAGTTCCTTCCACTCCGCACGTTATATGCACGACATGCAAGAACATGATAGCCCTAAGTGTAATGACTTCGCACGGCGCAGTGCCAGTTGTAGGGTTCACTCATTACAAAATATCAACAGGAAAAGAGACGCGGACATACTTTGTGACCATTTGGTGATGCATCTCCCGCCAGAAACAGGTTACAATGTGCCTAAACCGGTAATAATACTTACAAGTAAATCATAAATTAGAATTATTCTTATCATTTCAAGATATACAACTGTTATGTATGTTACAGATGAACACATTTTATACAATGCCAAGAAAAATGCGCCACAAAGCCAAAGAAATAAGCGATGAAACTTCTGAAATAACGCAAACATCAGACGGATTCTCTCTACCGCCGCCGCCCGACGAATTTGGGTCTTATAGGGCAGGCACGAGGATTCGAGATGTACCAACAAAATCTACTCCCTCCTACACGACGATTATTAGGCACGAACCTAATAAAGATTCTGTAAAATATAGTAACGTTATAGTATCTCCTATGAACACAGTAGGACTACCCACTATCAGCGGCGCACACAATAGCGTGTACTCCTACCCCGAAGACGATCAGGTAACAACCAATCCATTTGATGAATCGCCTTAGAATTTATTGAACTTTAGTAGCTAATTTTTTTTATTTTTCCAAGGACTTACAAAATGTTGGGATCGAACCAAGTAAATATACATACATATAATTTTTTTTTATATAATTTAGATCTCGTCGCTATATCTTAAAAGCACGTAATATTAATACTAGTTGATTATATGAAGATTATTTATTTACAAAAATAGAAATTACATAGAATCGTAATATAACCACATCATATTTATCTTTACATGCACTAGATCATTTTAAGTAGCTATCATATCATCGCTGCAATGTATATAGCACTTAAATCGAAAACTAAAAAGTATTGTGGAATTCATTTATCAGTCACTGCCACCAAACACATTAAGCAGATGTGCATTAATTGTATGACTGTATCATTACAAAATACTTATTCAACAAAATATGATCTTTTTGATTGTACTGTAATAGCATTTACTTATATTATTGTTTATTATTAATTAATTATATTATTATTGAGGATTTCAACTTCGTTTTATTGTTTAACAAACCAAATTAATTAAAGTAATCAAAAAATAATTTATATAAAAGAAATGTTATGATCAAAATTGCTATAACTTAATTAACACAATGTCTACTAAAAATGTTTCAATCCATTCGATCGAGATGCGCCTGCGCAACTGTTAACTTATCAATGAGGTGTTGTGTGTTCGGACGGCTCTGAAACAATAATTCATATTTTGTAACTTGGGATGCTTTTCTATATTTGTAATCAATATATCCAAGTATAATAAAGCAGATAGATACATCACTGAAAATACTACTACCATTCTCATTCTTCGATATTGGAATAAAAATATATAAATTAAAAAATTACAGTACGATGTAAGAGTCGATGTTCAAAATATAGTTGCATATGCTAACCAGCTTTTCTTTTGTTTATAGTAAAGTATATATGATAGAAGAAGTATCGATTCTTATATATTACCTGTAGCGCGGATAAAGCTGCTTCATGCAGATCCTTACAGCGAGTTAGGGCTCTTCGTCGCGGCGCTGGCGGCAGAGGCAACAGATCGGCACGAGCAGCGTTCAGCAGCAGAGCAGCACAGGCGCAAACATGCGACTCATCGCCACAGCCAAGCCATACACGCTCGTTCACACTCACCAATCTATTCATCAATATTAATACATATTGAACAAATATTTATATAAAAAAAACTATTTTTTTTTTGGGGCTTCGACAAGTGTAAATATAAAGTTAGATATATAAAAGAGTGATGATCAAATAACTCACTTGATATAAATATCTAAAACCTGCTCCAACGACACTCCGATACTCAAGATAGCTTTAAATACCATGCTCTTATCGGCTTGCAACTTGCAATTCATTATTTCTAATTGTCGCACGATGAAATCTGAAACGATTAACATATGATATTATTTCAATGACTTAGAAGATTGAGATAAATAAATAATATAAAATGTAACTTACACAGTGGGAAGCAATGACCAGTATTAACGTATTCCCGACCGAGTGTGGTTAGCTTGCTCAGTACTGAAGCCAGTCTTTCATCAGGCGTCGGCAGGTTACGGGTAGCGGCTTCCGCTTCAGCTAAAATGTTGCTCCAAATATTTTCCACGAGTAAGGCGTCGTTGTGACCGGAACATTGTACTATTGCCAGCTTACACTCCCACAGGTTATAACGGTCGGCATACTCTTCGTAGAGCTAAAATTTATATGTTTTATTAATATCTTTGGGAACTAATGAAACAAGTAAGCATCAGTAGTTAAGACAACAACAAGAAGTATGTGACCAAATAAAGGACGATCATTTTACATTTTTTTATATTTCTTATGTACAGAAAGAAAGAAAACTATAATAATCTGGATTTCAAATCTATCACTATGTGCAATAAAACTTACAATGTAAGACTCTATTTTTAATAGGATTTTCATTTTCCTATGAGATGTGGAGCTAGTTTAAAAATAAGATTGATATTTAACTGATATAGCGAACAAACTCAACTTACTTTTCTCAACAGTTTATTAAAGGGGACCACTTATTAGAGATAGGAAAATTTACTGAAGTGAAAGCAAATCCTACTAATATTATAATTGCGAAAGTTTGGGAGTACGTGTGTATGTTTGTTACTTCTTCATGCTCAAACGGCTGAACCGATTTTGATAAAATTTTGTATACAGGAAGCTGACGTCCAGGAATAACACATAGGCTACTTTACATCCCGGAAAATGTTCGACTGAAAATCCGCAGTAACACCGCGGGGCGCAGCTAGTATACAATAAGGTCGTAAATTATATTACAATATTCGAGTCTAGCTAAGCACCTGAGTGATCTCTAGCAGCTCATCATCCAACCGTTGAAGCAAGTGAGGTGGGGCGGTAGTGTGGACGGAGCGCATGGCAGCTCTCACGGCCGCCTGCACTCGCGCCACCTCCGCCGCCTCCTCCAGCCGACGGAGCAGCTCCGAGCCGCCCGCCGCCCGCCCGCCCGCACCGCGGACACACACCACACCCGCCGACACCCACGACATACGCTGACTTAGAGTTGCGCCCGTGCTGTTGGATAATATGATATCTTCAGTATAATAATACACATTATTGACAAAGGATTCTCTGATATTTAATAGGACTCTTGTTTCAGGGACTATATATATTTATTTTTATTTTATTTAATATATGCATATACATAATACTTTCCACAAAGACCAGTATCACAAAGATAGAATTATGCCAAAACAATCTAAACCAATATGACATCCTTGGGAAAACACCATATTTAGCAGTAATTTTTATTTAGGACAATTTAATAAAATGCAATACTGTGACATATGTATACCCAGGTTTAGTAGCAAGTCCCTCCAGAACGTTCGCCGCTGCCAGATGATCCCCAGCTTTTTCCAGTACCTTCCACAGAAGGTCGAGAAGAAGTAGGGCAGCTGGCGCTGGCGCACTACGGGCCGCCGCAGTCAGGTACGTGCGAAGCGACGCGGGCGGAGCACCCGGTAAAGACAACAGTTCTAGAACAATCATGCACATATGTAGTACAAGTAACAAAAGCATTTTACCATCATAAAAAAAAACTATATAAAAATCAAGTTACATAAAGTCTTTACCTGAGCCCAAATTTTTAGAAACCAGCCATTCGTACACCGCGACGTGTAATAGCTCATCGTCTCGGCATAAACAGTCCCACACCAATTTCCTACCCTATGAGCAGAAAGAAATGTTAAGCCAACAATAAATTTGAGACCATAAGTCCAGGAAAGTTGAAAATAACATCAACTAAATATGTAAGTGCATTGTAAATATATTAAATGTTTGTTTTTAGTCACCTGGTAGTTTGCATCTGCTGGTGACAGAGCGTGTGTGTCTGAGGGCGGAGTGCCGGTACCTTCAGCACTCCGTTCGTACAGTCGCTCCAGTGCACAGCATACTTCACGGTATATCTCCATTCTAGAATGTTATATTACTTTATTTAGATATTCTTATTTATGACATTTTTAGGACGATTCAAAAAATTGTTAAAAATTTACTTAAGTAATATTATTACTATGTACATAAAATGTTACAAAGTACTGGTATAAAAGTTAGAAATATTTAATACCTTGTTATCAAATTCAAGAGTTATATATTATTTAAGATTCATTATGATTTTACAACAATAGCTGCTAAAATCTGCTTTAAGAATGAAGAAGTATCCAGTAATAATTGAGGTACATATATTTAAAATACAACAATAGTATGTATCACAATGAAATAATGATAATGAACATTATTTTACCTTCTATAATAAGCCAAATGTCCCTCCCTATCTTGTGAGGGTTGATCACTCTTGTAGTAATACACAGCTTTATCCTGTGGGTCTAACTTACTGGCACAGGCCTCACACAGTTCTACTACGCCAGTATAAAACCCTGCTGATACAAGTTTCGAACAGACTAGCGGTAAATTAACATTTGGCGCCACATCCTGTAAAATTGCTTAGTTAAAAAATGTTCTCCATATTATATGACATACAAACAATATATTTTTTCAGTACCTTGCAAAGTTTTAACGCCTGATGTAACATTTCCTCTCGTTCTTCAGGATTCTTCTGTTGTTTGGCGAATATTAACAATTCATTGGCCTGTAATAGTTATAATGTTAGTATGTTATATTTGAGGTACATTGTAAAGTAATTTAATATTATTACTTTAGAACAAGTAGCATCCTCCTGTCTGTATAGCGTTGGGCAGAGCTGCCTTAGTTTCTGTGAGATGCCATCAACTGATGCATTATCTCTCAAATAGCCAGCCACAAGAGATCCAAGGAGAAGACATGCCACTTCTTGTCCACCAACTAGCAGTTCTCTACAAATGAAGAATAATATGCCTTATAATACTCTCTTATTGTAAATTAATGTTGTTAAACCATCAAGATATTTAAATTAATTATTATTATCGGGTCACAATTTCTTTCTCAGCTTTGAGCTGGTTTTAACCATATTCACTTACCAAAACCAAGGAAATACGGTTGTTGGTGTATTATTTGTGTGTATAAGGTGTCATTTAGTTTTCTTCTATTTGCATGAACTTTCTTACTACTCTACACGTGTTTAAGGTTGCTGTTTTTTGTGCCGGGGTATATAAGTTGTGTCTTTCAGGTCCATTAGTTTAAGGCTATGGTGAAAGTGTTACGGTATGACACCTGTGGTGAATGGCACTATGGGTACCTACTTATAATTATAAGTAATATAATACCTGAAACTTGCTGCTTGTAAGGCCGTTTGTTGTTCAGACGGTAGACTCGCAGCTATTACATGGAATTGATGCTCGCACAAAACTTTCCATAAGCTCAACATCTCAATTGCCATAGCTGAAAAATAAACATAAGCATTTAATTTAAAGTAACAAAAATATTTTAAATCTTGATTTTAATTCAATGAATTCGTTCTTATTTAGTTAAGATAAGGACAAATTAATACAGAAGCATTTTGATAATTTGCAATAAAGTAATAATTACACAATATAGGAGGGATGTATGTATAATGCGTAAATGTTACTTTCTTTCTATAATACAGTTTACATATCGGAATAATAAAGACTACAACTGCGACTTCTAAGACTAAACTACAATATTTAAATTCAAAATATTCTTTCCTTATTTATACAGGGTGACTGGTGAATTACTATCAATATTTAAGGAGCATACTCGGTACATGATTCTCATTCGAATTATGTAAAAAAAATAGGTACTTAATTTTTGACCAAATTTCCGTATAAATAAATAAAGTTTGGACACGTACTCAGCCTTGCCGGCGCCAGTGTGTCGCTACTCCCCTACCCCCGCCCCGTGGCTAGCGGGCCATTAGTCGGCTATTAGTCGCGCGAGCGCCGCCGTAAGGTCCGTACGTTCGTCTTCCCGCGCGCGCGCCTAGCGATCGATCTTACGCGTATACCTAATAATAATCTGTCGTGTGTGCGTGTGACCCGTTATTACTTATTAGTAATTAAATATGGCTTTTCAATACACAAATGCAGAATACTTGGACATGGTTCATGCGTATGCGCGTGCAAATGAAAGCTTGCCGGGCGCAATCAATTTGTACCGGGAGATGTTCCCTAATCGTCGAGTACCTACGGCCAGCGTCATCTTAAACGCTAATCAAAGATTACGAGACTTCGGACAGTTCCGTGTTCCAACACATGCCCAAGGAAACGTCTTGTGTATGCTACAGAGTATGTAAACAGAGAGGAGTTGAAATTAAAAATCAATAGTGATTTCAAAACTATTAAAAGTGACCCATTCGTATTAAATCGTGTGAAAGACAATATGTGTAAACGTGCCGAACTGTGTATCACACGAGAAGGAGCTCGCTTTGAACATTTGTCAAGGTTAGTGTAGTTATGTAGGTAAATAGGTAGTTTAATGATTGACAATTGTTGTAAATAAGTATGATTCCATTTTTAAATACGCCGGAAATACCAAGATAGGTAAACAGTTCATATTATTTTTTGTGTCAAGGTCACACCATTTACCTAGTCAATAAATTGGTTGCTTAAACGAAAGAAATATCTTGGTATTTTTGCCTGTCCTAAGCCAGGATTAAAGTATGAAGGGAAATGGATCATTTTTGTTTATCTAAGGTCTAACACGCGGCGGCGCGCGGCGTTTGGATGTAGGTAAACTACCGCGCGATAACTACATATACCTACGTACATAACTGTTTTGTGTCGATAACACAGCTAGGGTATCCACGCGATCCGTAATTAATTACATAACTTTTGGTTAACTTTACTTAGAAGTTTATTAATATTTATGTTATATTAATTTTTATTTTGTCATATATGATCGTCAAATATCACGTCCTTAAATATTGATAGTAATTCACCAGTCACCCTGTATAAATAAATTCAGTCAAAAAGTGAAATTGGCGCAAATGGCAAGTGTCTCATAAAACTTACTAATGAACATTTTCAACGCGTGTAAAGATGCCTGTTCTTCTGTATGAGGCGGCGCGCCCACTCGTTGCATGAAAGCGGACACTCGTTGCAACTTCTTCGCTATATATGCACAGTCTTCGCCCGTCACATTACTCGACATCTTAAAAATATATACAATATTACTAGTTGATTATATTATAGTTTCTTAGTATAAATTGTATGTCTACATTTAAGTTTAGTTTTCTCGAAATTTATATAGCTGTACTTAGAATGTCAGCATAACTTATATCTTAATTCAGGTTCACTTACAAATTCCTTATTATCCGGTGTCATTGACTTCGTTACACATTTCAAATTCCATATGGGACTCAGGATTCTACCGACGTAAATATATACACCGTTATGTTTTGCACTGTATTCTATTTGTAGAGGGAAGTTGTCCCTTGGCTGTTGGGTCATGTTAAACGACGATTGGTTGAATGGTGTGGGACTCATCATATTCTGTTGGTAGGAGGGCATCATGGACTGGTTCTGAACTGCCATCGATTGGTTCATTTGCTGCTGTTGGTACGACTGGTTCATTTGGTTCATTTGATTCATTTGGTTCATACGTAATTGGTCCTGGGGTCTCGTTGACATTGGTGTTGATACTTGACGTGGTGAGAATTTCGGTGAATCTGAATAGAAGATTGTTTTTTATTATTAATTGCGGCTGCTTCACTGAAGTATGTCTAAGACGAATTTTTACACAAAAATCTATATGTAAAGCTAAAATTTTTAGTAACTAAGCCACCCTCAAATACTTTCTCGAAATATTTATCCAAGCCATACCATCAAATTCTAAGATTTCTGGTCTCAAACATACATCATCTTCATTATATTAGCAAAAATATAATTTTGGACTAAAAATTTTCAACTATGGTCCTTACGGGTATTAAAGATACAATTTATTCTTACTAATAGAAGGCATTTGTGATGTCTGTTGGTATAGCGGTGAAGGTGCTACTTGACTGCCGTACAGGAAGAACGCCCGCGCCGCCCACTCGCTCACTGTCATGTCACTAGTATCCTCGCACGCTAAGTAAAGTGCACACGCACAAGCCTGGTCGATGCCGTGGAGCTGAAAGACAAAATAATAAGAAAATCAATAGAAAAATTACTTTCCCAACAAACAGTTATAATTTCGTTGATTTTGTAGGTCACTTAAAAATTAGCATTTAAAATATCCAAAATAGCAATTGTTGAACACAAACGTCTTTTCAAAACCTTGTTTTAATATTTAAATAAAAACAATTATTGTTTAGGACATGATAAAAATAATAATTATTGATTTATGAAGTTTAAAACTTTAAGATAAATGTAATTAAACATTAATATAATCATTTATATATATTTTAATAAACATCAACTTTCAAGTATAATCTTGTATAACAATTTTATTTAGAAATATAACTATAATAAATTATAAATAAATAAACAATCTCAACCTGAAACATATCCTTAACAGGTTGTGCATCTGGTCCGCGATAGTCCCTTAACAGAGCTCGTAATACATCCGGCGCCGCACCCGTCGCTAACACCGCGGCGCCCCAAGCACTCACCACCGCCCAACGAGACGACGACCACACCTCTGAAACAAATAAACAATATTAAATAAATATTCTTCATTCAAAATCAATTAGTGAACTTACAGACGGACATTTAAATTATGTATATTGTGCAATGAATTAAGGAATATATCAACAATTGTTACAGAGATAACACTGCATGTATATATAACTGTACCTTTTTATCTGAGTATGAATTAATGGATTACATTCATAATTAGCATGATAATTATAAAGCTCTCCATTGTTTTCGTTGGATATAAAATCAATTACATATCTTATATGGAAATAAGAAATTAGATTATGTAAGAAATAACAGTAAAATTCAATTTATAGGTGATAAAACCACCTCTTTTAGCAAGCAGCGCTGGAGATAAAAAGTCTGAATGTGTTGGTGGTAGTGGTGTGAGAGCCCAGGCCGGTCCGTCTAATGGTAGGGCTGTGTGAGCCTCACTGAAGCCAGCCGCTGATAGAACTCGGGATAAACACCACAATGATTCCTCTTCACCACCACTGGACGAACATACCATCACTAGGGTACCTAGAATATTACAAATAATTAATCTCAAAAGACTTATAAATTATCCATATATCTAAGACTAAATGCAGAAATAGTTACACCAGCTTTATCTTGATTACGTTTGATACATAGAAAGTTCCTTATTTTACTTAAGTATTCTACTTACCATTATCATATACTGCACTGTGCACTTGTTTGGGTTTTAGTACTGATGCATTTGGTGTAAAACCAGGAGGAAGTCTTACATGTAGCAATGTAAGGTACTGAGGCCTCTGTGGTCCACCTTGACTGGAGCTACAAGTTCATATTACAGGTGATGAAAAATTAGATAAAGAATCAATATACAACTTTTCAGTAACAGTTAGGATTATATTATATAGAAAACTAGAAGACCCGGCGAACTTCGTATCGCCCTATAATCAAGAAATATCTGTTACGTTTTTTTATTTATATTTTTGGAGTTTACCTATTAAAGCCATAAATCTCCGTGTTTTGAAGTGCGACATAATGATTGACATATTAGTTGTCAAATCTAATGTCAAAAAAAAAAAGTTTGTATCAACAACTACTAATAAATTAAAAATTAATTAAAAAAACATTGTCCAGCAGACGAAATTGTGAATCTAAACAATTCCCAGATCCCCTTGAACACACACGAAAAATTTCTTCAAAATCAGTCAAGTCGTTAGAGAGAAGTTCAGTGACATACACACTCACAGAAGAATTATATATATAAAGATATGCTTACTCTCCAGTCCCAGCGCTAAAATATAATCTTGCACCAGTTTGTGTGACAGCAACCAAATTCAAATGTTCAGATTCTGACTCATCTACAGCTGATATTGCTATAACTGGCTTAAAATTATTAGGCTCCAGTGTTCTATAACATCAAATAACAAAAACATATAACAAAATTATTATAGTCAGTGTTTATTTTGTATTTTAAAACTTACTTGACAATATCAACAGACGATGATACAATTTTCCCTTGATTCAATCTCACCACTTTACTAAATCCCTCACCATCACTGCCTAAATCAAACACTTCTATACATCCTTTTTCACTTAATGTATATAGAATGTGACGAGAGTTATCAACTTCAATTTTAACTATAGAATCTTCATCATATAGTGCAGCATTGAGGAATGAAGGGACTAGGAATGACAATGCACTGGTTGAATGATTCACTTTCTTGCAATGTTTTCCGAACCAACCTAATTGTGCCTAAAATATCATTTCATTATAAAAATTGTATTTGTTATACATTCAAACTATATAAGTACTATATTGTATATACCTGATAAGTTATCTCATATAAGCAGCCATCCTTTCCTCCCATAAATATTCTCCCTTTCGATGTAGATTTTACACATAGCATAGAAACACCATCAGTAGGTAAAACAAATACTGGTTCTGGGACAAGATGAATTTCTTCAAGTTCTGCATTACCATCTTGTTTACTACTCGAAAATGTGACTCCTAAAAGAAAAACACAAATTTTAGAAATTATAGAATAACTAGAGTAAACATTTTACATTCATCTTAAAGTCTTTAAAAAACATTAATCAATGAATTGAAATATAAGCTTAAAATATCTTACCTAATACAACAATTTCAACTGTAGTTGTAAGAACTAGTAAATATTTTACAAAACTCTGGAAGACACCGGATTTAGGCTTGACGAGGCCAACACTAACAATAGTTTCACCTAGACCATCAAAATAGGCCACATCACTGCCATGCTCAAAGGCCCATACATATATATTACTGTCTATAGCAAGCCATACTCGGCTAATTTCTGGAAACACTCCCATTAAACAATGACATTGCATATCTGGCAACTTGATAAGGAAATAATTAAATTTAACAAATATAATATATCACACCCTAAACAGTAGTATACAAAATGCAAAATAAAATTTACTTCACAATATGCAAATTTTTCCATATTATATTATAAACACATGAAAAGAAGTATAAATTAATTAAAATTTGAAAAGTACATGATATCACATAAATGTTCCATTTAAGGAAATTATTCGTTATATAACAATTTACTACAATCATGAAATAAAATATCTACTGAAAATCATTACTAAACCCTAATAGTTATTCCTTATTTTATAGAATACTTTGTAAAAAATTAGTATTTGCAGTTGAATAGTAAAATGTAAAAGGATACGAGCAAAGTGTTCCATTATCTCTGGGGGCAGAGGAACTTTGTTTAATATTTTCAAAAGCGATAAATTTGGATGATTTAGCAGTGATGCTAAATTCCTGTAGTCCCCTGCATTTAGACCACTGCATGTTGGACTTCCTTGGGCTGCTATACCAGTTATCTAAAACATGGAATACGTCAATACTCGTGTAGGAACAGTCAGTAAGAATTAACACTGTAAGATATTTATAAAAAATATGAAAACAAACCTCAAGAAACGAAGGGCGGGAATTGTCGGCACTGATATACCGATCGAGAGTGCAACCCGCAAGTTCCAAGCATTCGAGTTGCATCTTTGAAGCGTCTGGTTGTCTCGGTCTTTCAGCGTCACTCAACACACTGGGCATCTAAAAAGTCTCATTGGAATGTAATATACAAATATACAATAAAGTTTTATAATAAACTCTTAGGTTATGTATCTATCACTGTCAAAATTCACTTTTCATGTCAATACTAACCGTTTAGAATATCCAAGTAATATGTTTTTGAGTACGAAAACACACTATGTAGAAATTATCTACAGAAGAACTAAAAATATTTACACATCTTTAAATGTCTTCATGTATTATTGATGCTTTTATCGATTTCCATTAAAAACTTTATTAGACCGAACTTAACTCTTTCATTTAAATACGGACGGTTGCAGAACATTCACAGACTAAAATTGAACATTTAAACATCTTATAACATTTGGGATAGAGTAAAAACATAATCTTAGAATATGGAATAGAGCAAGAACAAATATATTTTGATATTTTTATATACACAACTTAAAAATAAAAGTTTTTTATTGTAAAAAAATATATTTAGATTTATTTTTATGTTTATTCTTCTTCCTGGCAATTATCCCAGCTTTACCTAGGGTCTGCTCGTATTCAGAGCCGTAAAAACATTTACAAAAAAAAAAAATTTAGAGTCTGCCTTCCTGCTCAAACTCCTCCGCTTTGGACGGTCTTTGGCGTAACATCTTTATTATTTAATAATTTTTTTTTCTCCAAAACTAATTTTATTTCTACCCTTAAAATTATAAAAAAATCATATGTCCGTGATCCATAGCTTATAATCCTAATTACAGTGTTATTTAGTAATGACTTTATTTAATTTCTGATTTACTAAATATATCATAACCAATTAATTATTATATGGCACAATATAAAATGTCCACCATAAAATTTAACAGATTGTAAAATTCTAATGCAATATCTCGCTAATGTTGTTCTAGTAGTGCAAATGGAATTCCAATTGCAAAATTTAAATTTGACCCTGCCCGGGCAGTAATTAATATCTTAAATAGGTATTAACCCGGTTGACAGCCGAAACCGCCGAGACTTGAGGGTATTTGTACTATTTAATTTTTATAAGAACACTTCTCAAAAAGTCAATATAGGCAACAATTATCCAATATTTTTTTATAATATTTTAAAACTATTATTAGTTAGAAACATCTGACTGAATCTGATATGCAAGCACGACTTGTAAGTTGAAATTGTAGTCTCGTCTTGAATGTGGGTTGAAAACTGCCCCCTCTTCACCCCTATATGTTATAAATTTTCAAAACTTAATTTACAGCATGAGTGTATATTTGGACGGTTTTATCTTAAAAAATACTTAGATTGAAAAATAACGACAAATATCAATTTTTTCTTCATGACTCATCATAAATTTATGAATATGGCATGAATTACTATTCTACCTTACATAGGTAAGTACCTGTATAAAAATCAAAAGCCATTAGGAAATTACTAAGACCCTCACTTTTTTAAATTGATTTTTATGATTCCAAAATGTTCGAAATTCCAGTAATGTCTAACCGAAGCTATATCACTATGGGAGATGATAATGATGATTCAACAATGACAAAGTGGCTGTCTCGTGATTGATATCTAGATTAGAAGCAAGACTGGAACTGGTGATGGAAGTTTAGTCAGTAATCCTTTACAAACATTTAGTAACCACTTCCACAGACCAAATGAGACATATAAGCAATTTTTCACTAATAAAGAATTAGACTGCCCCAAGGCTGGCCTTGGGCAGTCTAGTTATAAAACTGTTTCAAGACGAGTGATATGGTTTTGACTGAAATAAAACAATATTTCCGTTGGAACTAAGTATGTACAGGTACATTTAAAGCAATTGTCAATGTTTTTGCTCCTAATTATAGAAAAAATTTGTTTTATTCAATTACTTTAGGAAATTTGAACCAAAACGTTACAAAATACTGAGACTTCTTCTTCTTCTACCTGGCAATTTTCCGGCTATAGCCTGGGTCTGCCTTAATATGTTGTGAATAGTTTTGGCTAATTGTTTTTTTTACGACCGGCCGCCTGCCTGACATCAACCCTCTTCTTTACAAAATACTGAGACTGTTGAGTTTTTTCTTGAATATTTGGCAGACCCTGGCTAAAATTGGGAAATTGCCAAGAAGAAGAAGATTTGGTATTTGCTACATAGCTATAATCATTGCGTTTGTATCTCTTAGGTATTATACGGAGTCGAGAAATATAAATACTTAATTTTCAAGGACTTCTTTAATTGTGAGATAAAAAATGTTTTCTGCATTTTTCCTCATACATATAATAAATAAATCAATAGACTATAATATATAACAATGTGTCCATATATTGTTGTCATTTTTATTCTTTTATAATATGTGGTAAGCTTGCTAGGTAAGAAAAATAATAATCACGGAGTCTCATTCATGCTGAAAATTTATAGTCAGTTTGTTTGTATACTCGGGTACATCCACAGGATATCAAATTAAATTCAAAATTTTCAGTTCCGCAGACAATAAACTATATATAGAATGCCATCAAATAGAATTTAAATAAGCAATGGTTTGATTTTCCGTTACGATAAGATTTAATCAATATTAAAAGGTAATTAATATTACATGTGAAACAGAACTAATGAACTCTAATTAATGAATTTCCCTAAAGCCAGATTTGTAAGCCATTTCGAAAACGTACAAATACCCAAACAAGTTATTAGTAGGCATTTACACCAAAACTTTTGCTTTTATTTATTGTCACGAAAATCGCTCAAGAGATTTTAGGTTAAAAAAAAACATATTATAAAGTATACAAAAACATAATATTCAACTTTATTTACATTTAGCAAATACTTGAATATCGTGGGTATTAAGCGGAATTTATCGAACGCGAAATTAAAAATAAATTATAACAAAATATATTTATTCTTATAATTTACAACATTTAATAAAATTTATATTTTGATTTCTCTATTATAGTTATTTCTAAATTAACCTCAATATAACTCTTCTTCGTTTATCAATAACTTTCCTTGTGGGTTGTCATATACTTGACCATCGGTAAACACGAGGCGACCTCTCACGTAAGTTTGCATCACTTTCCCTGTTAGGACTTTGTACATATACGGACTTAGCTGGAATAGAAATAACAGAAAAATTATTTAAATGTTAAAATAATTTTTTCCTAAAAAAATCTGTTAAAATAATGTCGACTATTATCATACTAATACAAAATTTATTTTACATATAATTGTTATAGTATTCGTAAAATATATATACACAACACACTTTTATTCGGTGTTAAGTTATATAATATAAGAATCTCAAATAAGATCATATAATGTTGTAAACCGTGCTCTCCGACGAATTTACGTAACAAAAACAGAAAAATAAATTATACTTCTTAAATAAATAAGCAATCATATTGTCTTTTAAATTAAAAAATTAAATATATACGAATAAATTATACCAAGGTATAAGTAATCATTACCTTATTCTTGTAGAATATTTTATCTGGTGTAACCACGAATGAAGCGTCAGGATCAAAGAAAACCAGGTCGGCGTCAAGGCCTGGTTTCAAGGCCCCCTTCTTGTCGTGTAACCCAGCAAGCCTAGCGGGCCCCGAAGACAAGAAGTGGCTAACAGTGCTAAGACTATAACCACGAGCTTTTGCTTCAGTCCAAAATAATGATAAACCTGCGTGTAATATTCAAATTATTTAGTTACAATTCCAAGAAAAAAATATCTACTTTTTCCCGTGTATAAAATGAATAAATCAATCAAACATAACTTAAGTAATTGAAGTAAATAATTAATTCCGTCATTGTAAGATTATTCGAATTTATTATAATGAATAATTAATTTTGAATAATGTTTATATTTTTTCTGGCCTTTACAATAATAACAACAACATTATCGTCTATTTAAATAAACAATAATTAGCCTTCACATGAATCTAGCAGACTTTTGCACTTGTTATTATTGTTTTCATATTGATAAGAAAATTGGGGCGGATCAACACTAATATGTATGTATTGTAACAGCGTTAGGGAATGTAAAATCCTTGTTTATGCTTCTCTTATTACAGATATTATATGGATACGACTTATACATTGTTTCTTATCTAAAATTTTAAATGAGCTCAGTCCATGAAAGATATACGAAGACAAGTACATATAATGCTCGACAATAAATACTTATTACACAGTAATTGTGAATTCGAATTCCAAATGCAATTGAACTGATTTAAATACAATTTTCACTCATCTATTTTGGTAGCTTAATAAAAAAAAATATATTGTTTAATGTTCATCATTTCGTCGTTTGTAAATTTTTGTGTTATTAGTGGATAACGACGATGTTGGAACAATGTACATTTTTTATCATTTACACTAAGTACTGAATGATTAATATCTAAGTAGACAGTAATCTATATTACTTATATTTTATTGTAAATCTTCAACGATTTCGTGCGTCATTCTGATTGTCTTTTTATAGTTTTCACTCGTTAATGATTACATAGAAGTAAGTTTTTTAAACGGTTTTTTATACAATGCCTTTAAAGCAATCTTATAACTCATAATGTAATGTCATAAAAAGATTTATTTTTGTGGGTAATTAAAAAATTTTACTTGGCTTAAAAGTAATATGAACCGAGAGGAAAATTAAAATTCTGGGAAATCAGTATCTACCTATGTTACGAAAATTATGAAGTTGGTTAATTATTTTGCATACAAGGAAATGGAGTTCAAGTTTCTACTAAATAATTGTATGGAGACAGACATTCATATAAAAACCATTATCATATTAAAGTGATAGTGCCAATTGTATTTGTTTTGTATTTACCGAATTGCACTGACGATACACCACCCCAGGCGGTCATGAAGTCAGGACTCTTAAGACCAGCGACTGAAGGGGAATGATCGGACGCTATCAAATCAATTCTTCTCTGCTTTATATAATCCCACAGCCGCAGCTAGAATCATTCAAATCTTAAGTTGAGAAAAACACTTAGCTTTTTGTACAGATAAATAAAAATATATAGTTATTTTTTTATCTATGAGTCTCAAAAAAAATCTCATTAAGAAAACTTATAATAGAAATAAAAAATATAACAAAAACGAGCCAACCAAACAATATATTTTACATAGATCTTGGCTGTGTACAAGTATATTAAAAATAAATATTATATAATTTGTATCATATATAAATATTCAAACGTTTTAATTACTTTTGTTTCTATGTACTTATGAACTATTTAAAAGACTCTATATATAAATCAATTATTTCAATACCGTCTTAAAAACAAACATATCTTTATTAATTTCTAGAAGTTACTTTTTAATAATACATAGTTCCTTTAAAGCAAACTAAAAAGGTAGCTGTAGAAGTTTGAAACGTAAATATACCTTATTATTGATATCTCTTATGGGAGGTGAACATTTATACTCTGTGCGTCCTGGCGGGATTTGCTCTGAGCTCAATGTAAGGTAATGGTGACAGGTTTCAGCAGTGACACCCCCTCTCCAACGCTTGGATCCATTTTGAATCCTAAACTCTCTAGCTTTTTCCAAAATAGGTATAACTCCTGCAGCTGACACGTGAACGACGTGCACATGGACGCTGAAAAAAAACAATGTTTTAGAGTAATAAAAATCACGTTTTCCTTATTGCATCATAAATATCTCGAGATCAACTGGAAATAGCGACTTTGTCAGAGGACTTATCAATAAGTAATATAATTAGTATTTATTTCTACCGATATAAATATCTCCTGAACGAATAATAAGTAAACGTGGAACGTAGAACGGTTGCTATAACACTACTTAGTCTATTTATCGCTCCCAAAGAGAGTTTAATTTATCTATACATAGATTTATACATATGTAGTATAGTATATATTCATAATTCATATACATATATATACGGTACGTTCACCAAAATAACATATATTTAAAATGTCGATCTATTTGTTCCGGCTCATCTCTGAAATGGCTTGATTGATTTTGACAGGACTTTTTTGGGCAGGTAGCTGACGTAATAAGTAGTATCTTAGGCTATTTTTTATCTCGATCCCGAAATTATTTATTATTACGAGCGAGCCGGAGGGTCGGCGCATACGGCGATTAAAAGGTTTTTCGTGGTTTATTGTTTTTAATTTTTTTACGCAGACAGAGTCGCGAGCAACAGCTAGTTATTTATTACATTACATTTTTAATAGGTATGTTATAAATCAATATATACATTTGTGAGTAAAAGTGTTTTTCTTTGTAATTTTTTATAACGTTATTATTTATTTAACTTTAGTTTGTAAAAAAAACTAGTAATTTTAATTTTATGTTAGAAACTGTTAATTTTAAACGTGATAAGTTTATACCACTTTTTCTATTTTTTCTGTTGTATAAAAAATGCTACATAATATATAAACATTAGAATAATCGTATTAATTTCAGCTGAAATATGAAGAAAGTTAACATTACTTACTCATATTTAGTAATATATTTCGCAAGTAATGTTGCAGCATCAATTTCCATTTGAGGTGGTCGAGATGATAGATATGTGCTATATAGAATCGGATCTAGAAATAATAAATAAAAACTCGTTAGAAATACATACATACTAAAATATATTAATATGTATACAAATAACATTTTAAAATAGAAAAAAACGTAAGACAAGAAGCATTTTGACGCTATAACAATAAATCATAATAAGTTATGTAAAATAACAATATTCTTAAATGCTAATTATTCCTACCTAGATTTTCGCATTTCTCACACAAACTGCTATTGTTGCCGTCACTAATGGGTAATTCGGCGTGGAACTGAAATGAACGGACAATGTTATTTGATGATAAAAAGATGCTTTAAAAAACAAGGACATTTTTCCTTACCGCCACCGCAATGTCAGAACCATTCAGCGTTGTAAATATTTTATCTAAATCATCACCATCAACATTTGGAAACTCAGACACTCCACTGTCAATTAAAAAACCTTTGAAACCAACAACGCCCGCTTTAATTAGCTTCTGTAATTCCTCCTACAAAAAGAAATGCAGGTTGATTGAAAATTTTACTTATTATTGTTTTTTATTAGTAAATAATAAGACCTCATTGCCGGGAACCAATCCTCCCCAAAACGCCACATCTACGTACACCTCTTCTTTGGCAGCTGAGATTTTAGTTTTTAAATTTTCAAGTGATGTCGTTGGCGGAACAGAATTCCTACAAAAAATATGAAATATGATTTTACATTATTTATCTTTAAATAGAATATACATATCTAAAATTTTTTTTCGTTAGTATATTTAATGATCACGTAAACCTACACCTATTATTTTAAATTTTTGATGCTACAGACAAAATATATGATCTAGGCAGAGGTAAATTTGTAAGAAATATTTCTGTAATGAATCTAATTTTCTTCTGAAAAGAATAATTTATGTATATACTTCCAGTTATAACTGAACAATAACATATAAATTATGAGTTTTATTGTTTCTAATGACCGCGTATCCTAATCACTTAACTCGTTTTCCATTTTCAACTACTTCTCATTTACTTATGTTATAACAATATAAAAGTGGATATAAATATAACTTCAAGGTTTGTCTATTATTTCAGATTATTATCTGAATCGGATAAACAACATTTTTCGTTAAATATTAGCCAACTTCAATTATCGAAAATTAATTAATTTCAATAAGAAACATAACATAAAAACAGTAGATAATAATATATTAAAATAATGAGTTATTTTAAATCAAATTATACCAATCTTGTGGGTAAAATCTTAAATATAAAACTAAAGATTTCTCAAATTATTATATAATATTTTAAATAAACTAGTTATAAACGTTTACGCTATTCGTAACTAATGTATATAGAAAACGATAATATTTATGATTAATTTTAGTTCAAACAAATATGATCGATTACAAATACATATAAAGAAATCGTTAAAAAGGTAATTAAAATTGCAATTTATATTCATATGGAAATGAAGTCCTGCCTTTATAAATAAATACTGAAAGCATTTTAATCACTCCTAATAGCACACTTGTAGAAATCTTAATAGCGTACTTATAGGCAATCTTAATAATATACTTACAAGGGCATATCAACAATAGTGGTGATGCCTCCTGCTGCTCCAGCCCTGGTGGCAGTCACAAACCCTTCCCAAGATGTACGGCCTGGCTCATTAACATGTACGTGAGAATCCACTACACCGGCCATTAAAGCCCAATCTCCACCGTCTATTACCTTTAATATTAATAATAATTTACCTATTTATAAGTATTAATTTATTGATTTTCCATATATTGTTAAAAGTAAAGAGTATTTCCAAATTTTACCTGTAAATTCTTATCATATCCATTGAATAATTTATCTATAGTATCCCTCGTAAATATACCTTCAATGATACCATTTTTGTTCACAAGCACTCCACCATCAATCTCGCCAGAATCTGTCACTACTCGTTTACTTAGAAATAACTGGTTTTCACTTTTATCCGGCTGTAATCCTCTGCCAAATACTTCCGTCCCTAAATTAAACAAATCGTATTGAATATGAACAAATAAGTATACTTATAAAAAAAACGTCATTCATTTACCAAAAAACGCAATCATTAAATAATAAAACGCAGCCATAATATAGACGTTTTAGTTTTGGCGCGTGTTATGTTACACTGAAGCCTTAAACACTAAGACAATTCAGAATATTATAAATACGCTGTGATAAGTTGATAAATACATAACCTCCTTGTTAGTTATGTTACTAGACTTCTTAGCCTTAAAGTTATATAAATAAATCTTACGTCATTGTAAATAACTCATTCGTGTCACCAAATCAAAACTAAATTTGAAAAAAAATTGAAAAGAATTAACTTATGTAATGTTTTAAAATATATTATTTTTGTTTCATATGTATACTGAATGCTCAATTATTTATTTATGGTCACATATGTTAATAAAGTATATTGATGGTAAAATGAGATTGGGTAATAAAAAAATGATTTTTACGTCACTTCCTGTTTCCAACGATTGGTATATTCAATATCAATATTCAAATCAACTATCAAAGATTTAAAACACCTCCCTACCCAATCATCTGCTCAATAAAGTTATGTAAATATTTCTAATCCACTTTCATAATAAAATTTTAACGGCTTTCTGTTACCACATGGCGAAATAAAACATTGTAACGTTTTGCTAATATCAATGGTAATCCCTATCTACGCTTTTCATTTTCCTTTAGAAAACAAAGTTCAAAAGAAACAGATGAGGATCCTCAGAACATGAAATAATTCTTACTGTGATTATTCTGACAAAACACATATGTATAATTTTATAAAATTCTAAATGAAATAAGATTTTTAATCACATTAATATTAGGAGCCATACATTCGAAGGAATGGAGCCGAATTGTCAATCAAGCCACCACTACCTAAACTCATGACCACTTCATCTCTGTCAAGAGTGATATCGACTGAGAAGAAAAAGAATATTAGGAGGCAAAAAAGAGGTTTAACAAAATTGATTAGCTAAAATTAAATCGTCTCATATAAGTGCTGTAAATAATTTGTTTCACTATAGTTTTAATACATGAATACATTGTAGAAATAATAAAAACTAAATATATTATGTTTTACTTAATTTTTTAAAATAACAAGTTTTAAAGACCGATGAAGTGTCATAGTAAAATATAATGATGTCAAGGAATCAAATCACATATCGTAATATAAAATAAAACAATATTTTTTGTATCCACTTAATCCCTACTAATATTATAAATGCGAAAGTAACTTTGTCTGTCTGTCTGTCTGTTACGCTTTCACGCCTAAACCACTGAAATGATTTTAATGAAATTTGGTACAGAGTTGACCTTGAGAAAGGACGTATTTTATCCCAGACTTTTGAAAGGTTCTCTTGGAAACGCGATATAACCGAATTCCACGCAGGCGAAGCGAAGTCATTAATATTTTTTTTGTCACGGTTAACTTTCAAGTAGTATTTAGAAAGTAGTGTTTTATTACCGTACAAGAACAAAAAAAATACTAAATATTCAGGTACCCTATGAACAACTAAACTTTACTAATAATTGAGTCTGACATCAACATTATTTGTGTCTAACTTACAAAAGCGTAGTTATCTGTTAAAAAAACATAAAGAAAAAATATAGAAATGCAATGTGATTTATCAAAGATATTGCAAATATGTTTCTTTCTATGGCTTCCAATTTCGTACAATACACATATTATGTGTACGAAAGATTAATACATCTTATATCTTAATACTCTAAAATTAAAGTTCATTTTTTTTGTTTTAATAATATTACTCTTCTAGTAGTACGCAATATAATTACAAAACTTTTAAATAAGGAATGTCTATAATTAGCAAAGGCTAAATTAAAATGAGTTAATTATTAAACGGCCAAAGGAAGAGAAAAATATAACTTTTTGATACATGTATATATATAAACATTTTAAAAATATCATCTGACTCTTTTGGATTATTGAAAAATAACCCATTTTTTATATAAATATATAAATTAGCATGAGTAAATTTATTTCCAATATAATTAAAGTTCTTATCAATGCATTTATTTAATGAACACAAGTAGGTGTCATTGCCAAATGCCAACCCATGTTATCAGCTTGTTATAATACGTCCTTTACGATATTTATCAATTATTCAAAAGGTTTAATTATAAAAAGTATTGATTTCTTTTGTTCGAGGAATGCACTCGCGAATACATACATATATCAGCAGTAAAAGAATTTGTGCGTCTGTTTGTTACTTGTGACCTAAAGGTTGCAGTATTAAAATTTTAATTACACTTCAAATTCAAATCACTCGCCGATCAAAATAAGGTTGGTTTAGAAGTAGCGCAGTATCTCGTCTGATACTTATAAATTGTGTCATTTGATGAGCTCAATACGAACGATCAAATTCATTTGAGTTAGCAACCATTAAAAGGGTAGTTCCTTCAGATTGTGAACCAGAAAATTTTTAAAGTAACGTTTTACACAGTATGTTGTCATATATATATTTTTTTAAAACAATTTTAATATATTTCCTTTGATAAGACTTATTTATAATACTTTCAATCGTTAACAAAAAAATCTTAACGATACCTTAACTTCAACGGTAGAATTGGTTTAGGTTAGTTTGTTATTTAGTGCCATGGGTTTCAAATATGAGGCGCCTAAAGCATGAATTGTATCTCTGCAAAATCCTTCAACAAAAACAAGACTGGGCTCTAATATTTTAAATTCTTGATATATTTTTTAGTTCTTCTACATTAACATACGGTTTTAATTCTCGTAATACCTTTATTTTAAGGGAGGATATGTTTAAACTCAATCGTTGATTTGAAATTAGATTTTATCCGTGTAATGTAGATCCATTAAAAGATTTAATATAATTTCAAATTATTATCTATACTAAGATCATGCAACTAATATTTAGATCATATTTAATTTGTGAAATAATAATGATATCTAAAATTTATGTGTGTATATATTTAAATGAAACTAAGTTTCTGAGATAACTTAAGGATTTTTTCAATATTATTTTTATATTTTCAGAATCATTCCTCTTGTCTTCTCGTCGTCATGGCTGCGGAAAAAATAATCGAAACGTCGGGAAAATGCAAAAATTTCCTAATAAAACTTAGTTTCGTTTTCATTCAAAATATTTCATATTTTTCAGGATAAATTTATTTATTTATTTATTTATTTAATACTTTTTGCACACCATACTCTCAATACAGACAATTACAAAAAAAAAAATACAAACTTAAAACTAACAGTGTAACAAAAGGCGGCCTTATGGCTTATTAGCCATTTCTTCCAGGCAACCTGGGGTCAGAGGATTGTGCTTGGAGACAGTATAGGGTGGTACATTAGATATTCTTAAAATAAATATATAACCTAAACACATACAAAAATAAATAACACTAATAAATATTCAATAATATACATACGTACATATATCAATAAATACATACATACATACATACCTACATTCATACATACAAATACATATAAATACATACATACATACAAACATATAAATACATATATATATACATAATACATACATTTATCATAATTATGTCGTCATCATTACTCTGATGAGAGATATAGGTTCTTCAAGGATTTTTTAAAAGCATATAGGGTTTTAGACTGTCGAATGCTCAATGGTAGGTCATTCCAGAGAGTTATTGCCTGAACAGTGAACGATTTTCTGTAATATTTACTGTTGTGAGCAGGCATTTTCAGAATGAGCCTACGTGCTGGTCGCATTCTGGACTGATCTCCTACAAATTCGAACTTCTCCTTCAAATATTGAGGAGCATTTGGATTAAATAACACACAGTACAGAAGAGAAAGAGTATGCAGGTTCCGGCGACGGCGTATAGGGAGCCACTTGAGCTTTGAACGAAACTCTGAAACGTGGTCATACTTTCGGAGACCGAAAATAAACCGAATAGCTAGATTTTGTAATCGCTCAAGATAATTAAGTTGGTCCTCGGTAAGATTAAGAAAGCTTGCGTCCGCGTAATCGAGTATTGAAAGAAGGAGAGAGTTTGCAAGCATAGTTTTGGTAGGAATTGGCAGTAAGTTTTGTAGTCGTCGCAACGAACTTAACGAGGCGTATGTTTTTTTTCCAATATTCTTTAAATGCTCCGACCAGGAGAGAGTACTATCAAGCTGTATACCAAGGTCTCTAACATTGGAGCAGTAGGACAAGTTAGTACCATTGTACTCAACCCGTGGCATCTCCGCCCAATCAACCCTTGCCATCATGGCTGAACTGCCAACAACAATGACCTGTGACTTTGCGGGATTGATGTTAAGCCCATACTGTTGACTCCATTTATGAATAGCCGACAAATCATTGTTGATGGCAGCGACAGCGTCAGATAATCTATCAAGGGTTGAGTGTCGGTAAATTTGGACATCGTCTGCATACATATGGTAGAGAGAAGAGATGACATGAGCAATTGAATTAATGAAAATTGAGAAAAGTAACGGAGACAACACGCCACCTTGAGGTACCCCAGCGCGGACTTCGCGCCATGACGAGTATGTTTCGTCCACACGAACTCGCTGTCTTCTGCCACTGAGGTAACTTTGAAGCCAGTCTTTTACGGATGGAGATATGTTAAAAGAACGTAACATACTCAACAAGATGTCATGGTCAACGCAGTTAAATGCGTTACTAAAATCAAGAAGAACTAAGATTGTGAGTTGTTTGGAGTCCATGGCCAATCGAATGTCGTCTGTGACTTTCACTAAAGCTGTAGCCGTACTATGACCTGCACGGAAGCCTGATTGGAGAGGATTGAGAAGGGAATGCTCATTAAGGAAACTATTTAGTTGATGTGAGACGAGCTTTTCAAGGACCTTGGATAGGAAAGGGAGAATTGAAATGGGACGGAAATCAGAAGCTGTTAAGGGATTACCTTTTTTAGGGATGGGGATAATTTGCGCATCCTTCCATGTATCAGGAAACTTGCTGCAGGTAAGGGAAAAATTTAAGATATGGGTCAAAATGGGAATCACAATGTCGAGGATGGGAATGATCATATTACGGCTGATACAGTCTGTGCCAACAGCATTCGAGGATATAGACATAATGTTCTTTTTAACATCACATTCAGTAAAAGACGTGAAGCTAAACGGAGGAAAGGCAGGAGTTGGGTAAGTAGAAATAATATTTAATGTGTTTGTTTTATCGCCACTATTAAGTAAGCTTGAAGATGAGAAGTGTTGACTCAAAAGTTCAATATCTAGATTAACAGGAGAATTAAGAGAAGATTTACCAACTCCAAGTGATTCGAGAAATTTCCATGTTTTAGCTGTGTCGCCGTTTTCGACAGATTGATAAATATGGCGTCGTTGTGCATCTCTACAAGATGTATTGCAGCGATTTCGCGCTTTGATATACTTCTCCCTGTTAGAGTCGGAGTCATTTAACTTAAATTTGTACTTGGCCTTATTCTTTTGTTTTATAAGGTATTTTATTTGGTCCGTCAACCAAGGTGCTGGAAGATGTTTTCTTTTGATTGGTTTTATAGGTGCGTGTTTGTCATACAGCTGCGTTATTAAGGAGTTAAACACGTTAAGTTTTTGGTCAATTGTCTCAGCAGTGTAGACCGCAGACCAATCTAAATGACCGGCATCATCACAAAGACGGCTTTGATCCATTCCACCAAAACTACGCTGCAGAAGTGTTCTCGGTTTGAATTTAGGAGGACGGAGTTTATAAGAGAGGTAAATCATGTCATGATAGGAAAAAGCATCGGCGGAACATTGGCCGAATTTAGCAACAGAATCTGGGGAAGAGACCATAATAAGGTCAAGAAGCGATGGAGAACAGCCGGGGAAATAATGGGTAGCCGATAGAGGTAAAATTTTTATATTATGGGATTCTGTTATAGCCACTAATTTCTTACTATTGGTGTCGCCTTTAAGTAAGCACGTATTAAAATCACCCATTATAATGGAATGGCTGTAATTAGGTGTTAAATTATCTAAAAGGGTTTCGAAAAAAGAATAGTAATTATTTTGAGAATTAGGATTATAATACACGCCAAGAAGGGTTTTAGAGCAGTTGGAAAGTGAGACTTCAAGAAATAGATGTTCGGCTGCATCGAATTGAGCAGATGGGGATGACCAACTAAGTATAGTGAATGGGATGTGGGATCTTAAATAGATCGCCACCCCACCCCCTCGCCTATCAATGCGGTCGTTGCGAATAAGCTTAAAACCAGGTAGTGCGTAAGACGTAGACGGCAGACATGGCTGCAGCCATGTCTCAGATATAAGTATGGCGTGAATATTATGGGAATCAAATGACGCAAGCATATCAGGATAATGAGCCGGTATACTTTGAGCATTAATATGGATGATATTAAAATTTTTCAGACAATCTGAGAAATAAGAATCTATGGCGACATTAAGTGGAGGAGGAGATGTACTGTGGTAACTAACATCACTCGACGAATCGTCGGACGACGACAAAGACAAAAAGTAATCACTATCAATACTAATATTAGACGACATAACAGATATATATGGACTATAATTATATATAAAATATTATAAAAATAGTAATAAAAAAAAAATACAATAAATAAATAAAAATAAAGAGTAAGTAAATTAATAAATAAAAATATCTAAAAACAAAATAAATATATATTTTGGTCTTAATTGATTTTTCCAATGCTTTTAACATGGTTGATCATGATATCGTCCTGGCCATATTCAAGCATTTGAAATTTTCTTCATCAGCTCTGGAATGGTTCTCCTCTTATCTTCGCGGCCGCCGGCAAGCGGTTAGGCTGAATCAGTCCCTCTCCGAGTGGCTTGATCTTTCTGCTGGCGTTCCGCAAGGTGGCACTTTATCTCCTATTATTTTTTCTCTTTTTATAAATTTCCTTTCATTTCATCTCGACTGTTCTTATCATTTTTACGCCGACGATTTGCAATTATACTCTAATTCCGAGATAGACAATATCGAAACAGCTATAAACAAAATAAATCAAAATCTTTCTTACGTTTACAACTGGTCTAATAAATTTGGCATTGTAGTTAACCCTACTAAGTGTCAGGCGATCATTGTTGGTAGCTCACGTCTCATGTCTAAGTTAAATATTTCCTCTTTGTCACCTATCGTTTTTAACAATACGACTATTCCATACTTCCACCACGTTAAAGATCTTGGACTTCATATTGATTCTACATTAAGTTGGAATGTGCATATTTCTGAAGTTAGTCGTTCTGTCACTGCCACGTTAAGATGCCTTAATCGTTTAAGAAATTTTTTACCTATTAAAACTAAAATCTTACTTGTACAAGCCCTTATATTTCCCATTATAGATTACGCTGATGTGTGTTATCCTGATCTCAATGAAACCCTTTTGAACAAACTTGACCGTCTCCTAAATAACTCCTTACGTTTTATCTTTTGTCTTCGTAAATTTGACCACATCTCCCACTGTCGAGCAGAGCTCAAATGGCTTCCCATCCGCCAACGCAGAGAATTACGTCTATTGTGTCTTCTTTTCTCCATTCTTTTTGATCCCCAATCTCCTCCTTACTTAAAAGATAATTTTAAATTTCTCTGTGACAATCATGTTCGACAGCTACGCTCTAATGACTCTCTCCTCCTCTCTTTTCCCAGCCACCACTCTAGTTTCCTCTCTAACTCCTTCTATGTAAAATCTATCAGACTGTGGAATAAACTTCCACTAGAAATTAGAAAGGCACCTACAAGGGCAATTTTCAGGCGTCGTGTACAGGAACATTTTGCTCAGAATCTGTATTAAGTCTCTTTTTTATTATTGTTTTGGTATATAATATATATCTATTGGTATGTGTGTGTATGTATGTGTATATGTATGTATGTGTATGTATTTGTATATGTATGTGTATGTATATGTATATGTATATGTATGTGTATGTATATGTATCTATATATATGTGTAAATATTATTTATATATCAATAGAAACTTATATGTATATTTTTTTTTAACATACTGCAACCGTCTTCATGTTTTTCTGCTTTTCCTAAGGTTTGACTGGCAGAGAATGCCTTCAGGCATTAAGTCCACCTATTGTATCTACGTGTGTAGTAAGACAATAAAGTTTTTAAATAAAATAAAATAAAAATAATTATAATATTAAAGTGTAATCACCAACAATCTTCTAACCCACCAGCTACATGAGATAACAAGAGAAAAATGAATGTACTATGACAAAAACGAATTTATAGTAACAACTTAAAAAATAGATTAAAAAAAAAAACTATAACAGAATACAAGTAGTCAAAAACACAGAGAAAAAGAAAGAACATAACAAAAATAAAGAAGATTAAAATAATTTCAAAAAAAATAATAATTTTTAAATTAAGAAAAGTTGTAAACGTGAATGCCCGCATAAAAAAGTTACAAGTGTTTGAATGGAATCTTTACCACACTTAGACTAACAATTACCGAACGCAGTATAAAAATAAAAACTTAAATGTAATCTGTTAGCTGTCAGACGTCAAATGTCAATTACAATATAGCTTGATGTGCAATATTTTGAAGTTATCTTTGTTATTGTTAGTTCAAAGTGGGTAAAAGAAACTAAGTCAAAGTATGAAAAATAATATAAACTAATTAATGTAAACAAAGACAGGAATACATACTGAGGCGAACTATCAATTCTCAGAGCTTTACGTTAACTTTTTCACAGTCCTCTTAAGCCTAGGATTAATGCCTTTGGATGGTTTGGGGGCTTCCTCGGCATTAGGTGACGCCTGCGGGGCTGAGGAGTCGCTCCCAGCACTCTGAATAGCCTGTAATTCCGCCATGGTGGTAATACGATGCCGCGAGCCATCCGAAGACAAGACTATAATGAATCCGTCTCTTGTCCAACACTTTGCAACCCCAAACCTTTGTCTAGCGGCCAGGAATGTTTTGTGTCGGCTCTTAGTGAGAAACTCGGACATGGTTATTCCGGAGCCTTTCAAACTGGACTTGGTGGACCAGACCTTATCTTTGACCGATTGGTCTTTAAATTTTATCAATACTGGACGGGGCTTCGTAGTAACCATATGCCCCAGACGATGACAATGTCTAAAGGAGTCGGGGTTAATATTTGGAATATTCAAATGTTCAGCTAAAGTTTTTGAGGCACGCACAGCGACATTCTCTTTAGAATCTTCAGCAATTCCATGCAACAGAATAATTTTCTTCCTTGAATGCATTTCCAACTGGTCATATTGTCTTGATAAGAATTCGACTTGTAGTTGTAAGTTTTCTAGGGCTGTCAGAACAAATGACCGAAATAAATTGAACTGACTGTTAATATTCGATGCAGGGCTTGTAGCTGGGATGGAGGTCTTTAATTCTTTTTGGAATTCAGACATTTTAGTATTAAATAGTGCAGTGAGTTCCTCTATTGTGTTCTTGATAGACTCCATAGTTATAGATGTGTATAAGAGGTGAAAATATTTTAGCTTACTTTGTTGTATATAGTTAAGTCACAGTTGTTATTTGATGTTGCAGTAGCTGGCAGTTGGTAAGTGATCACATATACATATAACGTTTAGATTTTAAAACTGATATTATATTTTATTTATCAATAAATTAAGAGCTTTAAAATTTACGACTTTTTTATTCCACGCCTACCCGCCGAAAAAAGTAATTTATCCATATTAACATGAGTAATAAAACAAGTTTCATTAATTTTATATCTTTTTATATTTGATAGGATAAATTCATTTAAACTTGTGTTTATTTAAAATCATTGAGTAACAATTTTCCTTGAGGCGAACCGATTAAATCTCCACCATCATATATCAGTTGTCCTCTTAAATAGGTTTTCTTAACCACTCCTTTTAATTTTCTTCCAATATAGGGCGTCAACTGCAAAATATACTTGTATTAGTAATAAATTCATGTCTTAATGAATGTGATATATAGAAAACCAGATTTGTGTAAAGAAAAATAATTAAATGTAAAAATGATAAAATTCACCTTATTTTTATGGCGTATGATATCTTTGGTTACAATGAAATCTGCGTCACCATCGAAGAAAATAAGGTCAGCATCCAATCCTTTTTTAAGTGCTCCTTTACGATTTTGCAACCCACAAAGGTGGGCTGGACCAGAACTTAGATATTTGGTTATTGATCTTAAATCTAATCCACGAGCACTAGCTTGAGTCCAAAATAATGACAAACCTGTACGTAATTGGATAACAATAAATAAACGGGATTAAACGAAAACAATATAAATAATAATTATTTAAAATATTACCAAACTGGACCGAAGATATTCCACCCCAAGCTTTTAAGTTATCGCTACATTTTAGTTCTGGAGTACAGGGCGAGTGATCTGATACAACCATATCCAATTTATCTTCTAGTAAAAACTTCCATAATTTTTCCTGTAATAATAGAAAAAAAAAAAACCATAGGTAATTTTATAAAATTCTTGTAAAATCTTTCCTTAGATTTAGCCTTTTATTTCTGTAGTGGTGTTATTTTTTGTATTGAAATAAATTACCACCAGGCGCCAGGAGATATACTTGACAATATTTAATAATTAACTTGTCATTATTTGATAATTCTATTCCTTAATATATTTGGCTTGAATGATTAGTGGTGCCGCTTTTCATCTTGGTCATACTCTTTTCTTTATTTATATATTTATAAGGCCCATTTTATTTTCAAATCCTGGTATTCTCCCTTATTTCTTACAAACCATTCAATACCTCAACTTTCAAATTTCATTCAGAAGTTTCAGTCTTTTGCTTTCCACCCATTAAAGAAACTTTTTTCTTTTTACCATTATCTAACATTTCCAAAATCAATGCAAGTATTTACCTTATTATCGGCATCTCGAATTGGAGGAGCACATTTGTATTCGCTGTGTCCTCGTGGCACTTCATCTGCGCTCAGCGTTAAATAGTGGTGGCATGTCTCAGCGGTAACTCCGCCACGCCAGGCGTCATGGCCTTTGGCAAGACGAGCCTCACGAGCCTTCACCAAACAGCGGCACCACATTCGCTGATGACACGTGAACAACATGAACTCGAACGCTGCAAATTCAATTGTTATTTTGTACAAAATTTAAATTTCTAAAAGTCAACAACAACAAGCATTTAATGTCTCTAAGAATTATCATGTCTGACTAAAAAAAGTATCATAAAAACTTAATTAAAATAAATAGTTAGATAAAATGTAGGTACTCCGTTTTTTGTAGGAAGTTTGTTATGAGCGAGACTGCACTTAATTCCATTTGGGATGGTCGCGATTCTAGGTACGTGTTATAATCTTCAGGATCTGAAACAGTTGGGTTGCATAAATATTATTATAATTTTCAGAATATGACCACAGTGTTAAATATTTTGTTTTATTTTTTTAAGATTAATACACAGAATCAATATTATTTCTTGCATAAAATATTGCTGTAGTAATGTTTAAATATCTTATCATCTTTATATTGGTAACATATTAGATATTATAAACCAATTACCTAATTTCATACATTTTCCGCTAGTTGTCTCCTCTTCAACCTCAGCGTGAAACTAAAAGAAAATGTATGTATATAACTTTTATTATATATTCTCATTATTTTCCTTACGTAAGAAAGTAAAGTGTCATAACAAATTTAATAATAACTACTCAAACAAAATAAAATAGATTTGTTTTAAAATATGAACCTTATGTCACATTAGAAAAAGTGATGTCATGTTTATAATGTCTACTATTTTCCCATTTACAAAGTGATTGCTATTGCTATATCACTGATCATGTGATCGCTTTGCACAATATGTATTATACCGTCTTATATCGTACTTACAGCCAAAACCGATCCGGTTCCTTCAAGGGCATCAAATGCTAAATTTAAATCTTCGATTCCTACATTAGGAAACTCTTCAACGCCACTGGGACAAAGAAAACATTTGAAACCCACCACTCCAGCTTTTACTAAATCTCGAAGAGAATCCTGGAAACATCGAACGATAATTTTATTAATATTTTTTTATTATTATCCTAAATTATTTTATATTTTTGTGACGGTCATTTCATAATCATTGTTTTAAAACTAACCTGATTCCCAACTATCACGCCACCCCAAAATCCAACATCTACGTATACGTTTTCCTTCGCAGAATTTGCTTTTATTCTAAGATTCTCCAAGGTTGTTGTCGGAGGGATGGAGTTCCTGAAATGCAACGCCAATAATTAATTAATTTTAAAAAGTAGAGCATAAGCAACAAAGAGCGTTCACAAAACAAGTTATTATTACTGTTACAATATTATTATTACTATTACAATATTAATAGTTCTCGAATAAATTTACTGTCGATATAAATTATATCAATTTCAGCACAGTAAAATTAGTTTTAACTACTGCCTCTTTGAAACTAACTGAACTGACTGAAAATCAATTAAGACTTTTTGTCACAAACTAACAGCGGCATATCGACAATGGTGGTAATGCCGCCAGCAGCAGCAGCACTGGTCGCTGTACGGAATCCCTCCCAGGCGGTGCGGCCGGGCTCGTTGACGTGGACATGAGAGTCCACCACACCTGCCAGAAGAGGACAGTCTCCACCATCTATGACCTGGAAAATGACAGATTATACCGCATAGTATAATACAACCAATGTTTAATTAGTTTAGGGCCTATATAATTAATTAAATATTACTGTTATGCGATAAATAAAACTGTATAATCGATAATATAACATTAATAGATGTCGTCAATGTCGATTTGTCTCGTTTATTAATAAAACTCTTTTCTCAAAGTTAGGTGCGAGCGTCATAAAGGTTATGGCTCGTGAAATCAACGTCTATCTATCAACTCACTAAGAATAGGTTCGTCGTGAATTTGTATTTTGTACTCGGTAGACGATGAGCAAGAGATGTAACAGTTAAAACTCTCTGCATTATACTAAAAGACTTGGGCCTGTTCTGAACTAACATCAATTCGCGCTTAGACCGTACTTCTGCCCCTTTAAACCTACACCTGGATCGCAAGTCCCAGGATGTTAAAGCTCCTCTCCCTGCAACGAGATTAGGCCGGCCGCCCGTACGATGAATCTATGAAATGTTGAAAAGTTTTCGACGTCGTCGTCTTACAATGTAATTTTGAATAGTAGAACAAAAGTTTTAATTATAGATAATGCAATTTTTTTTTAACAACTTTATGTACTCAATATTACGTACCGCGTTCAAACTAAAAATAAAATATTTAATTTGTAAACAACGTTTTTAGTTTATATTTAGTTGAATATTAAAAACATTGCAATGTTTGAGAAATGCCTGTTATGAAATAATTCTTCTTTGTAACTAATATTTGATTTTCGTCTATGAAATTTTAGCTTAAATTGATAGCAAAGAAAATGTTACTAATTTAATATTTAACTATTATTCCTGACTCCAATTAGCCATAAATATAGCCAAAACAAGTAAATAAAAAACAGTACGATTCACACCATAACCAAAAATATTTGTTTCGTTAAAAAAAAAAACAATTTAATATTTGTTTTATCGAATAAAGAAATTTAATTTTATAGTTTAAAAATGCTTATAAAAAGTACTCATGAAACTACCACCGAAAGAAACAAAGTGTCATAGTGACATTTAGAAGTGCAAATCAGTATTATATGCTAAGTAGGATATTGAATAAAATACAATGTATAAGTTCAAGGTTTATTTATGTACTAAGATGTTATATAGCTAATTAACCTGGATATGTATAGTACATATCCAGGTTAGACTGAATCATTAATATGAGTATAGACTCAATCATTAATATATTTTTTTATTTATTATGAACAACATTTTATATCGTACGTGGCTTTCAATACGTTAAAATTAAATCTAATGCCAAAAAGTGTCCACCTCTGAACTCTACGTCCAAATACTAAGGAAGTGAACATATTATATAAATTATAATTTACTAGCACATACACGGAATCAACTAAATTACTAATTAATTTATACAGAAACAAGTTGATCTATGTGTCTTCATTTGTCGAATGAAAGACATGTTTGATTCAAATTCTCAAAGCTATTGCAGTATTTTTAATAATTTGCTTTTTATTTTTTCTAATTCAATTCATATACTTTATACCTGATTCCGTATAGACTAGATGTGAACAAATATGAACGATAATAATAAACGAAGGAACATTACCGAAGTATACTTCGTGTCTTCATATGAAACTCTATATGCCGCCCTCGATTTTTTATTTAGCATATTTGTTTTTATTTTATTTTATTTTATTAAAGTCATAAATGGAAGCGAAAAATAAGTAGGATATTTACCTCTCCTACAGCTAGTATTACGTAGTATTGGTATAATAAAAATACAACTAATAAATTACAACTAATTTTGAGGGAATAAAGTTTTCTTTGATCTGATTAACTATGCTGTTAAAATTTTGCACTGCTTCTTCAATATCTTTTTCATTAGCCTCAAGCTCTTTTAAATAATTAGTGAGATCTATATTTCACAAACTTTAGGTATATGTTAATGATCTTATACATAAAATTATGTTTATATTTTTTATATATTATGCTTGTGTTTATTCAAAAATGATTTAATATTTAGCTGTGTCAATCTATATGACGAAAGTTTAATTCTCAATTAAGTATAGGTACTTACTTTACTTTGTGTTACCAATTGTAATAATAATAATAATTATTATTTTTTTACTTTAGAGCTAAATAAAAAAAATGGAAATTTAGGTTTTATGTTCACGTATTAAAAAGACGACGTCGTTTTCGACTTTATTTTGAAATGAATTAAAATAAAAGAATGAATATGCGCTTTAATCGCCGAAATCCATATCAAAAGGCGTTATTTAAATCCTTTTTTATTATTTTAGACCTTCAAAGTTTTATATTTATAGCTTGTATTAGTAAATGTATCCCTCAAAGTGTGTATTTAATAGATAGTATGTTGATAAATAACACCGTTATATGTCCAAATAATAGCGCTAATTAGCTAATGTTGGGATCAAATATTTGACTAGTTTATACTCTCATAGGTACACATACAAACATACGTAGAGTCAAAATAAATAAGTTCGTGTTTAATAGCTCTTACTCATGTTTAACAACGGCTAAACATTTTAATGATTAATTTCAAACAAGCATTTAAGAGTTTTATACTATATATTGAGTAACATTAAAATAATAAATCAAATTGTTTACCAGCTGCAGAATCCATCACAAAACCAGTTTTTTTTTCCTATTGATATTCAAATACAATCTCGAAATATAAAGAAGATTATCAGGTACCTTATTTAAAATAGCAAAAAAATATAAACCTAGGTGGTTTACAATTTTATTGCTATAAACAGCTATGTAACTATAATAAAATTTTTATATCAATCAGTTAATAATGTAAACAAAAATAATTTGGGTACAAATGCAAAAAGAATAAGCATAACCTGTCCTCACCGACCTTTCAAGGTTGCATGTGCAATGTACAAAAGAGACTTGCATGAGTGAAGGAGATAATACTATTCCGTTAAGCACGCCACGAAAGCTACTAATATATATAGATTGAATATTTCAACAGGCTTACATTAATTTTATCCTTGCTCTCGGCTATCAAATTATCAGCATCGTATCGGTCAAATACATCTTCAATCTTTCCGAACTCGTTAACCAAAACCCCACCATCGAAAATCTTTTCCTCTGTTACTAAGCGTTTACTCAAAAACAAATTATACTGTCCCGTCATCGCTGAGGCACAACTACACTAATAGAAGAACTGTTTTAAACTACCAACTTCAGCGTGATAAAAGAATTAAAAAATACTGTATAGCGATCTTGTAATTGATCTGCCTTAGCATATTTTATTTATTTTATTGTAAACAAACATGATAACACTAGTGATAAGTTCATATACATATTACAAATATTTTAAATTTGTATGCAGTTATAAATTAAAACAACACTTTGAAAGTATTGGTAGCATGATTTCTAATTGTCTTTTTATAGTATAATGTCAAGATAAACATATTGTTATCGCTATAAAAGAGTATTGTGACTTGTGAGCTGATAATAAATTGAATTGATCTACATATTTCTATATACCAATTCTGCGATAGAAAATAAAAATAAAAAGTTCAATCTAAATATAAACAAACTGTTTTCTTAGAAATTATTACAGCATGGGATTCTATTATTTATATTTATGATTTTGTAACATAATATCTATATATACTTATCAACATATAAAAAATTCTAGGTTTTAATAAAAAAAAACTTATAAGTTCATTGAACTTTAAAATGTTGTATATTATTATAATTAATAACAGACTTCGTGAACAGTGTTCTTACCGAGAAGAGTTGACGAATCATCTAATAAATGCCAATGTATCACCTTGAACTTGACTCACGCGGGATGCTCCCGTTTCTTTTAAGTACCTGTTTGTAAAATACACACCAGTCAATACTTCTCGAAGGATATCATTGCGGTAAAGCTAGTACACTCCTAGACCGGTCTAGATCACATTTAAAAAAGGGCACACAATCTGGTACTGACGGCTTGATCTGATTGTACTACTGTTTCCTTCACCCTTTATTGTCTTCTGTTTATTAAATATATAAAGACAAATTCTTCACAGCCTTTCTATTTAAGAGGACAATCCATTTTTGTAATTTCAATAATTTAAATATTGAAAAAGGTTGTTGAGCTGCACTTTTGTACATAACCTACCTGCTAAATTTGTTTTCGCGAAAATCAAAAGGAACAAAACAAACAATGTTAGCAATTAGCACTTCAGGTCAGAGTCTTCTTTACAAAATTTTATTGACAATGACTGAAACAAAAACATCCTTAAGCAGGCTAGGTCGCGTTCGGGTCGACTCTGAGCATAACAAGGGCAATGCCAATTTCAGGGTCTACTTAGTCAGTTTACTGTTAGTCCGGGCTGACGGTATGTATGGAGGTGAACAATGCGGTGACATTGGCGGGAAGAAAGGAAGGAACGCTACCTGCATAGTAATTGCGGCGCTATGCGTCTGCGCATCACGGTACCACGTACTCCGAGCCCGGGCTACATTAACCGAAATTTGTACGTCCAGTACAATAGTGAGTTCGTGAAATTATACATGTATACAAAACTATACTTATTTATATTATAAAATTTAAATATTTTAATGTTTGATTGATAAACGAGTGATAATATTAATTAAACAAAATGGAAGCGTAAGTAACAAAGTAAGATACTTTAATTTATTTATTACAACTTTTAAATTTTTTACTTAAGTCATACACCTTTAAAAATCAATTTAAGTGTTTTCGACAAAATAGCTTATAGGATTCATGATATCATAAATATTGTTTGCCTTTTTTAAGATGTACATATTAATATTTAATTGCGATCTTTAAGCTTCTGTTCGAAATAAATTGATGCAATCTTTTTATAATAAAAGGTTTACATAGATTTTTATTAAAGTGTAATAAGTTTTGAAACAAATATAATGTTTTTTTGAAATTTTATTTATCTATATTAAAATTATGTGTTTTATATGTTTTGTTTAACTAAAAATATTTGTCCATAAGTGGTTTTTTGAAAAAGTAAGTACCTAAAAGGTTGGTGCTGTTAATTTTTGTGTACGGAATGGTGACATTAAAATTTAATTGCATATGTTTTTGGAGTTATTTTAGTTATATTAGGAAATTTTCGAGTTATTTTTCGTACGTATCCTTGTATTTAGTTGTTTCTCCAACTAATACAAAAATGAAAATCTAAGTTTCTAATCTTTAGTAAAACCTCGACGGTAACTCATACAATAAACGTATACTTCATTTACTAGTGATTTATAGTATAAAAGCGTCCATATATGTATTATACTAAATCGAGTCATATATTTTAGGTTGTAACGGTCATTGGAAAATAATAGCTTTTTTTTGTGGAACATTTTACTAACAAATATCAAACCTTTCCAGTCGTAAATTTTATAATGATTGAGCAAAATCTGGTTCTAATATTTTGTATTTTCTTCTTTTTTTCTTAAAACAAGATAAGAAAAGGCATAGAATATTACAAATTTTTCGACAAGAAACTGCTAATTTTATTCTTTATTTATGAATACTGGGCTACATGTATTGTTTTTTAATTCTTCTGCTTTCCCTTCGTTTTTCGAAAGCACAATATCATCTTAGCCACAGAGTTCTTTAAAGCATCTGTAACTGCAATCTGCACTAACAGTTTTAATATTCTTAATAACATCACACACAAAAAGACACAAAACAAATTTGACATTTAATAATTAAATGAATGATCAAAAAAATAAACAAAACAAGTGTAGCTAATTTTTCGGACATAAATTCGTATTAAGTTAGGATAGTAAATATGTAAAATTAAAACGATGCCATAAATATTTTGAAGCATTAGGGTATGCATGCACGATTTTATAAAGCTGTCCTAATGGCACCAATTTGTTCCATTAAATGCAACGAATTTATGATATCTACAGCTGTTGATAAATTTAACATTCAAAAATATCCATTATGTATAAGGATTAAAATGTTTTTACGTTGCAAACCGATAAAAATCTATCAGAGTATACTCTAATTGATTTCTTGTCTACAACCTGACTGATTTATCCCGAAGCCAAAAATTCGATATAATAACTGAACTGGTGCAATCAAACAAATTTATTTAATATCATAAATATAGAATAAAACTTAAACGTTTTTCCATTCTAATACATCAACATTTTTTATATTCGATTGTCTTTGAATACCATTTAAAACATAATTCACTACGAGTGTGTGGGTGTCACTTTTGGTTTAGATACATTGTTTCCGATTTAATTCGAATACTGTTTTGACATATGAATTTTCAATCAATCATTATATTAAAGTTTAATGCCACCATCATGCTATTACAAGCAATTTTACTTTATTTTTTTATATTAAAGTAACTTGTTTAACATCACGAAAATAATGAGCAATTCAAGCTATATCTGATTAAATATAAACCAAAAAATAGCTGTTAATAACATCAATCTAAAAGCCCGAAAAATACAAGCAACTTAGCTGTACCTTATTAAAGATTAACGAAAAAGTAGCCGTTAATAACGTCTATCTTAAAGCCTTACACGAAAATTTTCCTTGTTATGATCACAATAATTATTTGTCCCGAAAGTGAATCGTTCGCGTAGGTGTGAGATGCGTGGCTCGATGACACCGAGGTATTAACACCGGTGATCGCAAGAGACGAACGCTCAGTCGCACGACGTTCGCGACCACGACGCAAACGCACAAACATTGTCCAAAAAATTTTACCACTTTACTATAGAAACAATCTAAATAATTGGTGAGTTGGATTTAATTAAATATAAAGTTCAAAAATAGTTATGAACAAATTATTTATAATTTTAAATTTCATTCCAGATTTAATTAAAGAGGATTCGTGTTAATCTTCCCCATCATGGGGATTAATATAATTTTTTTGGTGAGTTTTTTTTTTATTTTTATACCGTTTTTAAATTTGATTTTTTCGTTAATAATATCGATTTTATTTTAAAATTTATGTGGAAATAATGTTAAAACCGAATCTGTGACAGTACCAGGAGATACTTTATAATCGCTACATGCAATGCATAGTAATGATATAATTACAAAAATAACCCACAATGTTGTTGCTCTTTGAATTTTTAGTTTAAATATATATAAAAAAAAATCCAATCGATACTCTCTCACATTGAATCAAAATTTTTCGTTATTACTTAAAAAAAAGTAACAGCTCCTAAAACTGAGGCATATATTTATCAGCATATTTATATTTAATTTCAATAATCCAAAGGATACATTATAAAAAAAAATAGATTGGATCAATTAACAACTATAAAAGTCGCGACTCGATAAAATTTTAATAGTACCGCTTTTGATTTAATAGAAAAAGTCGTTAACAACAAATTACTCTAAATCGCTATCAGCCAGGTCACTTTAATAATTCAGATGATATTAAAATTATTCTAGATTATTAAAAATTACAATATTATTAATTAGAGCATATTTCATTTTCTAAATTTCACTCATTCTCCATTACCTTATGGGACAATTGTGTGATCATTTTGTATTCATGACAATCAACTTACCATATACATTTAAATAGCTTTAATAAATAATATTTGTCAAGGACAAAAATTTCACAAAGTTTGACAAAGAAGTCTATTTAATAAAAGTTTAGTGCATTGAAAACTGTGATATATTTTAAAGAGATTTTGTTTTTTTTTCTCATAATATCTAATTAACAGCTAAATAATTAACACCCTTTATGCCAGCACAACATAAACATATAAAGATAGCAAAAAATTATTCTGTCATAATATAATGTGTTTCGATTTAGAATTTGACTTATTTAAAATTTAATCTATTTTACCGACATTACAATTGTTTATAAGGATGTATATAGATATTTTTGCCTCTCTTACGAAAAACTTTCCTAGCTTCATTTGATGAAACTTTCCAAAACTGTACCTTATATATGAGAATAACATATGAACTATAATTTATTAAGAAATTAGTTATTGTTCCCGCGGAAACATAACAGTTGTTTATGAGAATGTATAGATATTTTTCATCTCTTACGAAAAACTTTCCTAGCGGCATTTGATGAAACTTTCCAAAAGTGTACCTTATACATGAAAATAACATATGAACTACAATTTATTAAGAAATTAGTTACTGTTCCCGTTGAAACATAACAGTCGTATTTTCTATAAAGTCAACTGAATAGTGCAAAGAGCTCTTATTTACTTTATTTAATTTTTATCCACACAATTTATTTACCTCTTATTCCAATTCAAAAATGTACACGAACGAAATAGAAGAAAAAACTAATTTAAATACATAAAATAAAACTGTATACATACTAAATAACTATATACACTTCATAAAAAATCACTTGATCTAACATTTGATAGGACACAAACTTCTTTAATTATTTTTAATCTAACGAGACGTTTTGAGGTATAAGATTAGTTGCTATATGCAATGCAAGTTGTATGTAAAGGGTAGGACTAGAACTTAAAAAAAAAAAGAATGACATTCTGAAGGTAACAAGGCGACCTTTAAAACATTGTATACAATAAAGACATTAAATAGCAGAGCAAAGCTTGTTTGATTAAAATCTTGATGACATTTATAAATCCTTCAAACAGAAATTAGGTTATAAATTTGGACAATGTGTCAGTGTTGCATAAAAACATAAATTTTATATGAAATAAAACATGACGTTATTTATATATAATATTTTATACAAAAAGTTTAAGATATTTCTTTTAAATTTGGGATTTTATTATGTTCCAAAATTGTATAGTACAAAATTAATCACTGGTAGGTGGACTAATTTTAATGAAATTTTTCGTCAATCTCCTAAAATGAAATTATGCCTTAAAATATAATATCTGTATATATCTTCTTTATCAGTAACAACAAGGAAAACTTGCCGAAAGAAAATTTACTATCAAAAAACAAAAATCCTGAATTGTACCTCTCAAAGATAACTCAAAAACAGTTTTAAAAATACAGTTACATATGAATAAAATATTCATTATGTGTTTATTGTGAAGGAAGTGTTTATTTCTATAATAAATATCAGTACCAGTCATTGCATTGTTAAGAATACACGGTATGCTGTCCACGCGCTTAAAACAAAGACATAATGTAACATAAATAGCCGATCCACTTATAATAAAAAACATATGAGGGATAATAAGTACACCATATCAAAATTAACAAAACTATAAAATAAAATAACTAAAGCTATTGCCCTTTTCAAAGTAGAACAAAAAGTTTAAATAATTTTATTGCGTTCTTACAAAGGAGCCTTAAACAAATATTATATGTAAATCAACTTAGCATAAACCTAAGTCCTTTCAGAAATGTTTTGTTTCTTTATTATACCGTATCATAAAATTTCAACAAGCTACCAAATACCCTTAAAATGGAAGCAAGTTTATTTCTATTGCTGTTAGTTATTAAATTTGTTTACGCATAACTTGATTTTATTTGTGAACCAATTTTTATAATTCTCTTTATGGCGTCTATTATCAAATTGCTATCATTAAAAGTTTTGTCAAGTTGAACTGAAGTAGTTGGAAATGTACATAGAGCGGAATCTTTAAAGAAGGACCTTGAGTAAATAAGTGCACATTAAACTCAATATCAGAAATGAGATCCTAAAGAATCCTGAAAGATTTATCCATAGACAGTTCTGTTAAAGTTGCTTTTAGATAGAAGTTTTGTACTTTTCAAACATACTGATTCCAGATTCGTTTTTCCAAATATTTCTACATATATATTATGAAAACATGTATTACTTATTTAACAAAAATCTATACTTAGTATTAATCCTATGGATATATTTGTTATGGAATTTTTTTGTGGTACAAAATTTTTCGGTCCCTAGAGGTCAAATATCATGTTCCAATCCAGTGTTTTAAATGGCGCTATAAGATAAATAATGTGGTTGTTGCCCTAATGTTCATCGAAATAACTCTCGCAAAATAGGTATCAAGGAGTTTGGACTGGTTGTGGCTAGCGATGACGATGACCCCAACAGAGACTTTCGTCTACCTGACGATAATGCCTATATGCAAATCGTGGTTTCAAAACAGGACCAGTCAACGTCTTTGATTGCGCGTTTTTAAATTATTTAATTTATTAGATCATGACCTCCCTAAAAACTAATTTATTATTGTTTTGAATAACGTTATTCTAATAAAAGGAATTTATCATTTAATTAAACAAACCCGTCAACTAAAAAAATATTATTTTAGTTATGTTAATAGCTCGCTTTACTGAAAAAAATATATAATTCTTTAAACTGGACTCTTAAAAAATATACAGCCTTAATGCAATCAGACTATGCATACTAATCATCTTATACTTATCTATATTAATGGTAATTGACAGTATAAAAAGTAAAACCTTTTCTATTTCCCGATTTTTGATCGATGACTTCTCAAGTATTGCTGTTGTAAATGTGAATAAATATGAACTTTGGTGAACTTGCCTCAAGTGTTGTTCTTGAACTTGAATTTAACGTGTTATGTAAATGACGCATAGTGCTTTACTGTTCAACTTAATTGATAGGTCAACGACATATATCATCACCCACTATAAATATTTTGAGTCACATTTAACTCTTTTGTACTTCCGCATCTTTTCAGCAGTTTACTTCATCACGGTTACAGTTCTACGAAAACCTATTAGAGCGGTCTTTGTGATCTTCTTGCACATTAGAAATAGTAAATGTCGTGACTAACGGAACAGAATGTCCTCGTGTAATTTAATACCGGCAATGTTCACTAATGAATGCAGAGCTTTTTTTTATCGGGTCAACAACCGCCAAGCCTTTGTGCGACAAATTGTTTATTTATACGAAACATGATAGGTATAAATGGAAAAAATCTACATTGAAATCGTTTCGGTTATTTGACTGTTTTTTGTTTCGCAAATATAAATGTCAAATATAATTATTTTGGAATGTTTATGTTTGTTTATGTTCAGTGTTCGGTTCTGTGGACGATCGTGGTGGCTTCCCCACGGTATCCCGATGAGAGACCCTTCGCTAGGAGCGCAATTGAAACAGTACCAGATCATGATCCAATAGCTCTCCCTATTCGATCGTCAGTTGAAAGTATACCCCTCAGGTAAAAATAATTATGTGTTCATATTCACCCTCATTCCCATTACTATTAAAAACATATTTATTTGCATATAAATATAATAAAATGTCCCCTTAATGTTTTGATATACTGTTAATGTCTCTAGAAAATGTATGAAACTTGAAAAAATATGATTTTTTTTACTTCCTTAAATATACATAACATTTTAAATGTCACATAAATCACCTCTTTATTCTCCAATAATGGAATTGAGACAAAATTATAAGATAAAAATACATCTATGAGGTTGTTAACCACGACATAACTATTATTTATACCATGAAATCATTAACATAATTTTTCTTTTTCTTTATTCTTTAATAGACTTCTTGAAGAGAGTGAAGGGAGGCTGCCGTTGCGAGATGCTGTGGAAAAACCGCCTATTCCTATACCGGACTCTGATTCGTTATATAAATATCTGAAGGTTCTACAAATATCATATATTCTGACTTAATACTTAAGTACTTAATTTAGAATGAAGAAATATAATATTATATTCTTTTAATATCTTTTAGAACATTGAAGAGACGAAAGACGACGTTGAGAATGTGATGCAAAAGAATAATTATTATGGTGCCGCAAGTTACTTAAACAAGTGTGTATAGAATACATATTTTTTATAAAAGTTTTATCAAATATTTATTTATTAAATATTTTTTTACTGATGCAGTGGTTCGCGTACAGATGAGAAATTGCAGCATGGTAATGAAAATCTCGAAGGTGAATAGATTAGTGAAGATATTTTACAATTATGTAAATGCTAGCAAAATATATAATTTTCATTAAAATTTTTGCAGCTATGCAGCAGACAAGTGACCAAAACGCTAGAAAGCTGGTTGTGTGTTATATTGAGTCTCAAGCAGCGTACAGAGCTCCACCCCTTGCCTTCACTGGAGGTCTCGTGCCAAAATCCTGCACTCATTTACATTACGCCTTCGCTAAGCTCCATCCACACACATACGCCGTTATACCCGGCAATGAAGACTATGATGTTATCAAAGGTAGATACGGTTAACGTTCCTTCTATTGTAATTTAGATTTTTTTTTAAATATGCTTCGAAATAACATATTATTCCCTTTGCCATACAATAGGTGGTTACCGAATCGCTACAGGCTTAAAAGGACGTATCCCGGGACTTAAAGTTATCATTAGTGTCGGTGGCGATGGTACCGATCGTTTATTTAGTGAAATGGTACAAGAGCCCTACAGACGAAACTCATTTATTGATAGCGCTCTCGCATTTTTGCAAGAACATGATTTTGATGGTCTCGACCTTCATTGGGTTTATGCAGGTAACAAAATATAAATAGAGTTTTTTAAACGAGTTTAATGTTTTGCCTTACATGGCTCATAAATTCTAAATCTTACAGGTGACAAAGATGACAAAGAGAAAGAACTTTTGGTTTCATTGCTATATGAACTTCGGGAGAAATTTTCTTCATACGGCTATCTCCTATCCACTGTTTTACCTCCTTTTAGGTAATTAATTATTATTAATATTGCTGATCTTAGTTCTACGTATCTTGCCATATACTTATATTGCTCATTCTAACTGGTCTGACTTTCCACACCAGATACCAAATCGAAGACGGGTACGACCTAAGTGCCGTCAGTGGGGCAACCGACTATACAATTTTGCAAGCCTGGGATATGACACATGCAAAGCGTGATGATCCGCCGACACGAGCTCTTCAGCACAGCGCTCTCAATAGAGATCCTGGAGCGTCTGGCAGGGATCAGAGATATGATAACATAGTAAGAATAAAATATCATATTATTTTCCTGCAACAATTATCGTTAAAAATAATTTAAAATTTAATTTGTTTCTTATTACTTCTCCTTTACATGACAGTAATTAAAGTTTAGAGACATAATAATTAGTACATATGTATCTAATATTTTAGGAATTTGTGGTGAAATACATTCTTCGTCACGGAATGGCTGCTGATAAGCTAGTACTGGGCATACCATTATTTGGACGCAGCTACACCCTTGCATCATCAACGATGTCATCACCAGGAGCAGCTATTGTTGGATGGGGTGATGAAGGCCCCTACACTCAAACTAAAGGCATGCTAGCATATTTTGAGGTGCGTACACCAAAAAATTACAAAATATATTAAAATATTTGTAAGACTTTCACACTATAATATTATTTTCTAATGAGGTCTAAAATTTTCGCGAGTATTCATTTAAATCATCGTAAAATTTAAATTCTGCCGGCATCCAGCGCGGTACGACAGAAAATTAAGAAATCGATGGCGGTAGGTGAAAAAATAACAAGACCGACTGACAGACACTCATATCTCGTCTACCTGTGATCACGGTTGCTGTAAAGTAACAGAAACGTCGAGAGTATGTAGTTTTTGATAAAAATAAAAATCGAGTAGTACATCTGAAAAATATTAGTTTCATTTAAATATTATTTTCTATTCAAAGCTTATTTGAAAGTAATCTTCTTCTTTCTTCTTTAGTTTAATATTTTGAATATAACAGTATTGTTTTTTAAAATGTGTCTTTTATTTTTTTAGATATGTATGAATGAACGAGAAGGTAAAGGATTTAGCGAAATGGATGAGGCTGGTAATACATATTATGTTTTTGAAAATCAATGGGTCAGTTACGATAATCCAAACACTGTTTTAAAAAAGGTTAGTTTCATTTTATATTAATGTACTCATTTGAATTAATTGATTGTAAACGAAAAATCTGTGTGTTGGAAAATAAACTAGTACCTACATATTAAATTACTAGACAATTATTATGTATTTTCAGATGAACTTCGTGACAATGACGGGATTAGCGGGGGCAGCTGCTTGGGCTATTGATAGGGATGATTTCCGCGGGTTATGCGGTTCGCCATTCCCAATTTTAAGTGCAATATCAACAAGTCTTAACGGTAAATAAGCGCGAATCAAAGGATAACACCTATTTTTTTATTAGACCCAAAAGTTATATGATGAAAATAGTAGTACTAATATTAATATCAGTAGAGTCTGAGTCTAATATTAATATCAGTAGAGTCTGAGTCGATTAGTCACTAGAGAACTGAGTAATAAGAAATTTCAATAAAAAGAGGTTACAAAAGTATCTATGAAACACTTGGTTTTACCTATTAAATTGTTCAAGCAATAATATTTGTCAATTTTATTGATATATATACAAATATTAAAAACGTATCCAATAGAAAGCGATGACAGTAAAATCAAGTATAAAAAAGTCTCAAGTGAAACATTAAACTTTTTAGTGGTCAACAACTAAGAAAAAACATTGGAGTCAATGCGAAATCGATACTAATGTGATTTGCAGTAATTAATACAAAGTTTTCTATTATTTTCATTTCACGAAAATTTGTGTATTGTTTTAGTACAAAAAATAATGAATACTCATAAGACGTCCTATCAACATTTTTTATTTGAGTAAATAAAACCCCTCCTAAACTTATAGAAACTGATGAATTAAAAAATATTTTGATATTTCAGGAGAGAGCACTCTATCTGATCAGTCATCTCTTAAAGTTGGTTCATGTGAATCTTCTATGCCCTACTTGGCATCCGACCAAGAATCTTGCGCGCATTTCCATTTCTGCACAGGAGGAATAAATTATCGAATGATCTGCGAGGATGAAAGGCTATATGACCCGTCCACCGGCTTTTGTGGGTGCGTTGAAAAAAGATATTTTTTAAATAATATTAAGTAACGTAATGAGTACAGAGTTTATTAAGGCATATTAAATATTTAAGGCATCAAGATGTTGCGAAGTGTGTTCCTGGACAAAGTTTAAGGATAAGTGTAGACGACGCTGCAAGGTTTTTGAACCAAGCTTATGAAAGTGACTTTGAAGTAAGTTTAGATAAAAATATATATATTTTTTTTTCACAAACAAACGATAACCAAATATATATTTGATTTTAGTGGAATGCTAAACCTCATTCGGAAACTTTAGATAAAGAAAATGAAGAATTAATTTCCTCATATCAATCGGAAACCAAAATCAGTAAGTATTCAAAACAACAACTATTTTCCTTTTCCTATCTTTCTTTATTATTATGCTTGCTTTTATTAGTACCTTCTCGTAACAAGAATAGCTTAGTGTCGGGCGCTGGAAGATTTTTAAATTATCATTTGAAACGGAACATATCGGAACCTCGATTACAAAAGCGCTACAAAATACGTATCACAACTGAGAGAAATGTGAAATATGGTATGGCACCAAGAAAGTGGTGAGTAAAGTTGCTTTCTGCTTATTAACTACTTTTTCACTAACTAAAACTGGTTATTTATTGTTATGAGTTTGTTATTATAACTTTTCTTTAATACAAAAATAAAGGTAGAGGAAACGACAAGCGCGTCATATGCTACATGACGAGTTGGGCTTTCTATAGAAGAGGAGACGGAAAATTTGTTCCTGAACAAATCGACACTAGGCTTTGCACTCATGTTGTCTACGCGTACGCCTCCCTGTCACATGATGAACTTTTGGCTAAAGAATTCGACCCTTGGGCTGACATCACGAACAGTAAGTATAATTTTGTATCACATAGAAAAAAAAAAATAGTTGTTTCGTTTTTAAATTATTAGTTCAATTATAATAATTTCAAAACCAAATATTTTCCTTAAAAACAGTTCTTAGTTTTTATTATTAATGCAATGGATAAATAACGTTGCCAATTTTTCAGATCTATATGAACGTGTGACTTCACTTAATGATGTAAAAGTGATGCTCGGTCTGGGTGGCTGGACTGATTCTTCTGGTGACAAATATTCACGTTTGGTATCATCGCCAACAGCACGAACAAAATTCTGTGAGAAAATCGTTAGGTTCTTGCGTATGCACAACTTCAAAGGTTTACATTTAGACTGGAACTACCCAGTGTGCTGGCAAAGTAATTGTAAAAAAGGTGCAAAATCTGACAAAGCTAACTTTGGAATTTTTGTAAAGGTATGTATTTGTATAATTCCTATAAAATAAATATGTTTCATTTAATACTATAATTTGATAATTTTACATGTTTTTCACCTAGGAATTGGCCAAAAACTTACACGCCGCTGATATGGAACTTGGTGTTGCACTATCTGGTTATAAAGAGGTTATTGAATCGGCTTATGATTTGCCAACAATATCTGATGCAGTTGACTTTATGAGTGCTATGACGTACGACTATCATGGTGGATGGGAACGTACCACCGCTCACCATACCCCAATTAGGCCACTGAAAAAGGATTCGTTGCCTTACTATTCTATTGTAAGTATTATAATTTTTTCTTTAAAAACTCTCATATACATAATGTTGTAATAATATATATATTTAATGTTATAAATTAAATTTTACAGGAATATGCAATTAAAGCTTTGATAGGGGGCGGTGTGGACCCTAAAAAATTAAATCTTGGCTTAGCATTCTATGGACAGTCGTTTAGACTTACTGATATGGAAAGCTCAAGTGGACCGGGATCGCCAGCTGCAGGTCCTGGAGAACCGGGAGAGTTCACTAAACAACCAGGAATGTTGGGATATTATGAAATTTGTTATAGAGGTAAATATGTACTAGAGTACTAAGAGTACTATACGATTATTGTGTAACTTAAAACATAATTTCAACAATAATTTTTTGCTTGAACCATACTTCAGTTAAACATTTGAGGTGGAAAACTGGGCGTCAAACGGATGCCGGTCCCTATGCTTACTCAGACAATCAATGGGTCGGTTTTGATGATCCAAAATCGATTACTGAAAAGGTATATTTGATTTTTTTTTAAAGCGTCAAAAAAAAATTGTGTTAATTACTTTTGGTCATCCTATTTTCTAATATATATTTTCGATGTAGGTGGAATGGGCGCTTAGTCAGGGTTTGGGCGGTGTAACAGCATGGGCTGTGGATTTGGATGATTTCACCAACCGTTGCTGCCTAGAGCCGTCTCCATTGTTGCGTGCTGCAGGTAGAGCTCTGGGTCGCTCCGTGCCATCACCTCCTTCTTCGTCTTGTGAGAGACCACCGGAGCCTGTCACACCTGCACCCCCCACTACCACTCCCGCAGAATCTGATGGTTAGCAAAAAATATATTATGCTTTTTTCTTTCATTTTTTTTGTAACAATTATAATCGTAATACATATATTTGGCGGTTTCATAGTTTTTATATTTATTTTTGTTAAATTTAATAATATATTATAATTCTTTACTCATCATACATACTTGTTATAGCATTCACTGTTCTATTGCAGATTTTTTAAAGTAAACTTAAAATGAGTATTTTAAAATAATTTTCAATATTCAACAGAAACTACAGATATTGTATTAAATACTCTCTTTATAGGATCCATATCGGGTGGAGGTGACCATGGAAATCACGGTAATCACGATCAACATACTTCAACAACTTGGCCGGGTTGGAATCCCAGTTCCACCACACAGAGCACACTCCAAACATGGTGGCCCCAAACTACAACTCCAATGACAACGACTTCTAAAAAACCAACAACTACCACACGACGAACGACCACAAGTTCAACTACTACAGAACCACCGTTAATGGACCCAGGTACAACAAAATTTTGTAACAACACATAACACATATTTGAACTCAAGTTACAAAGAAAACTCTACTAAACATTTAAATTAAACTAATATTTTCGGATTGCTTCGCTTATTTTAGGTATTATATTTTTTAAAAACTATCGCGACGTTTTCTTTGACTGTTTTTTTTAAAAATAATAAAATACGCGTAGTAATCTAAAAATATCTGTTTTAATTAAATGAATACTCTCGACAGTTTTAATTTTCATGAATTAAAGATATTTATAAAAAATTTAAATTATTTTAGGAGTTGAAGTAGAAGGAGCAGTATGTGAACCTGGTGAATACCATGCAGCAGCAGACGATTGCGAGGGTTACCTGCAGTGCGAATCAGGACACTGGCGCAAACACCGTTGCGCACCCGGCCTTCATTGGTCTTCTAAAGCTAACCGTTGTGACTGGCCGAGCTTTGCCAAGTGCACTCGTAAGTTAACAGAATTTTTTTTTGTTTTCCTTACAAAAAATAACTTCCTGTTAATATGATGTTCCTAAAATAAAATAATTCTAGCTTCTAAGCCCAGCGAAGCAAGTACAACAACTACAACATTAGCACCAATGACGTCGAGACCACCGCCAAAGCCTACTACAACACGAAGAACGACAACAAGCTCTACTACTACTACTACCACAACTACCTCAACTGCTAAACCGACTATGACGCCGGCTGGAGATGGTATTATATTACTTACTTAGTTCCATATAGATTTTAGTTGTTAAAGAAGAACGAGTAAATACTGGATATACATCTATCTATAAAATGACAATTACAATTATACAAAGAGTTGTTAAGATTGTAAAACCTTAACTTCAGTTTAACAATTATGAAATGGATCAGTTAAACAATATCATTACAACAATACGAATGGAAACACGTTATATTATTTTTTAAAAAAAATTGTGTTTAGACGGTGCATCAGAAGGTGGTTCTTGTAATGGTGAAGACTACCATGCGGTATCTGGGGATTGCAACTCCTACTTGCACTGTGATGGCACCACGTGGCGACTACAGAAATGTGCTCCTGGACTACACTGGAGCAAACAACAAAAGCACTGTGACTGGCCACGATATGCTAATTGTGAAGGTAAATTATAAAGGTTTTGTAACTTTTATTAAAACGGGATATTGTAATTCATAAAATAATTGTGCATTTTAATAGGATCAACACCGAAAACTACTACGGCAGCACCTAAACCTACCCGGCCTGCAACGAGACCTACTTCAACTTCCACAACAATGGGTGAGTTAAATTAGAAACAAGTTGGTTACTAAATTCCTTACCTAATAATAAAAAAAACCTTATTGCTATTATGTATACTAATAAGTAGATTATGTACTATCATGGGATTTTTTTTTTGTAGCACCAATATCTGGCCCAGTAGAAGGTGGAGAGTGTACTTCCACACAAGTATACGCAGCAGCATCAACCTGTGACGCGTATCTTCTTTGCGTAAGTGGCACTTGGCGCAAGCAGATGTGTCCACCCGGCTTACACTGGGATAAGCGGTCGAATCGATGTGATTGGGTTCAATTTGCTATGTGCGAAGGTAGTTATTTTCTTATAATCGCATAAGAAATATAGTGATAGACATTTCTATGCATAATTATTATAATTATATATGAATTTATTATAATTACATATGAATTTTGATAACAGTGAGATGGCCTGAAAAAACCACCAAGTCTCCTTTACAAAACGTATTTACTACACGAAAACCAACAACGAGAACAACTACAACTACAACAACCACAACAACAACACCAAGAACAACAACAATGACAACAACAACAACAACAACGAAAAAACCAACCACAACAAGAAAACCAGTTAGATTTACGACCACCAAAAAACCTGCCACTCAATCCGGCCAGTATCAAAAACCTAAGGTTGTATTATTTTTATGATACCTAATTAATTTTAACAAATAGGTCTAATAGCTAACTTAAACTAAATTACTCCAACAGCGATGTGAAACTGGGACCTATCACGCTCATTCTCGTTGTGAAAAGTTCTATGTATGCGTAAACGGTGCTTTGATAGCTCAGAACTGTGCCCCTGGACTAGTGTGGAACACACAACACTCACAATGTGACTTCCCATCCTCGAACTCTTGCACCGACCGTAGACAAGCTACGTCGGAAGTTAAACCATCAATGATGCAGCTGGTGGAAGAGAAACCAAGTATAATCATTTAAAGTTTTTAAATATGTGTATATGTAATTTATCATAAATATTTATGTAATTTCACATATGTATTATAATTTCAGCACTGTGTGAAAATGGTCAATACGCTTCAGAACCGACGGATTGTTCCCGCTACTTGCATTGTTTATTTGGAAAGTTTGAACAATTTGCTTGTAGCGCAGGTTTACATTGGAATGAGGTACTTAGCTTGATATATCTGATATAAAATACTTCATATTAGATTTTCATATGGAGATATATTTTATCCTAAATATATGTTTTTTTTGTGTTTATAGGAAAAACAAATTTGTGACTGGCCTAGCAATGCTAAATGCAAAGCAAAGAAAGTACCGCCAACAACAACAACAACCACAAGTAAACCTGTGCAAATGGATCCTATACTAGAAGATGAGTCTGAAGTAATACAGCCGCCATCCAAACCAATCATCAATTTAGTCGATCCTAGTTCCAGACCAGAGCTTCTGAATAGTAATGTCCATTGATACTCAAATAACGAATCATATATTCTTAAAATAAGAAATATTTATTACTAAATATAAAATCTAACAAGGAAGGAAGATATAATATTACTTTTAAATTTGTTTTGTTTCTTTGTTACATTTTTACATTCAAACGATTTTGAAAATTGACATGAAATTTATTTTAGAATCATTTATAGAAATAATTTTTTGGCCAAAGAATATTAACAGCCATAAATCCGATTTCTTACTTTACTTTCAAGTAATTTTACTTATTCAGTAAATACCAGGATATATCAACGTTCTATTTTCCTTTTTTCAGCAAAATACAAAATGGTATGCTACTACACCAATTGGTCTTGGTATAGGCCAGGTTTAGGAAAGTTTACTCCTGAGGACATAGATCCCAAATTCTGCACACACATTGTTTATGGATTTGCAGTCTTAGGTGACAACGGACTGATTAAACCACACGATCCCTGGGCTGATACAGAAAATGGTAAAGCCAGTCAAGTTATTGTAAAAGTATGTTATTTAATTAGAGCCCTTATAGACTATAGATCCAATAATTTTTTCTTAAAGGTTTCTACGAACGAATTGTATCCTACAAAAAGTATGGTGCAAAGGTATCTATAGCCATAGGAGGTTGGAAGGATTCGGTCGGAGATAAATATTCAAAATTAGTAAATAATGCCCAAGCTCGTAGTAGATTTGTAAAAGACGTTGTTGAATTTGTTGAGAAATATGATTTCGACGGATTAGATTTGGATTGGGAATATCCCAAATGCTGGCAGGTAATTATATTTTTTTTCAATAAATGTAAAATAATATCATCTTTTAAATTGATAAATGTTAATTTAAACCTTTTCTACAACCTCAGGTGGATTGTTCATTGGGTCCTGATTCCGATAAGGAAGGTTTTGCTGATTTGGTGAGAGAATTATCGGCTGTTTTTAAACCTAAAGGCCTTTTGTTATCGTCAGCTGTGTCGCCCAGTAAAGTAGTTATAGACGCCGGCTATGACGTTCGAGTGCTAGCGCGTCATTTGGATTGGATTGCAGTTATGACCTACGACTATCATGGTCAGTGGGATAAAAAAACTGGCCATGTTGCTCCATTGTACTATCACCCTGAAGACGATAATACTTACTTTAACGCTGTAAGAATAAAAAAATATTTAACTGATAAAGAAAAAACAATATTTATTGAAAATTTTTCAATATTTTTTTAATACTTTTACAGAACTACACCATGCATTACTGGATGGAAAAAGGTGCTCCAGCATCTAAACTAGTTATGGGTATACCTTTGTATGGTCAGACATTTACGACTACTAAAGTTGACAACCGTGGAAGTCAGGCCCTTAACATACCTGCTACAGCTGGCGGTGACGCTGGAGAGTACACGAGAGCTAATGGATTTTTGGCTTATTACGAAGTAAAAATTTAATAATTTTACATAGTGAAGTAAAAAAAAACCTTTCTTTTTAAAACAGTTCATTAAAATTTTTCGTCTATTTAGATATGTGAGCGTATCCAGAATCGACAATGGAAGTTAATTAAAGATCCATACCAAAGAATGGGACCTTTCGCATACAAGGGTAATCAATGGGTTTCATTTGATGACATTGATATTATTAAGAAGAAAGTCAACTTTATAAAATCTCTTGGTCTTGCTGGTGGTATGGTTTGGGCAATAGATCTTGATGACTTCAATAATAGGTAAATAGTCAAAATATACCGGAAGTTTTCGAGATCTTCAATTAAAAAGTGATGACAATACCATGGTATTTATTAAATTTTCAGATGTAATCAAGGAAAATATCCACTTATGAGTGCTATCAAAAATGCATTCCTAGACCCCAAAATAGATTTTGAGTCCTTGGAACCAAAACCATTGCCGGAGCCTGAAAATACATTGGATGACGATTTAGAAGATATAGAAGTTATGCCTTCTTATCCTAAGCCCATTACAAGTAGTTCTAGGCCTATTAGTCGCCCTGCTACACCAGCAAAACCTACAACAGTAAAACCTACAACAGTAAAACCTACTACAGTAAAACCTACAACAGCCGCTGCAATACAAAACGAAGAAGAAGAGAAATTTAAAATTGTTTGCTACTATACAAACTGGGCGTGGTACAGGTACATATCGAATTTAAGACTCCTCAAAGAAGTCATTTTATCATTTTGTATGAATATTAAAGACATTTTCTTATTCTTACAGGCCAAGTGCAGGGAAATACACTCCAGATGACATCGATCCATCACTCTGTACCCATATAGTATACGCATTTGCAGTACTAGATAGCAGAAAGTTAGTGATGAAGCCACATGACAATTGGCTTGATGTGGAAAATAGTATGTACTTAGTTATATCTTAAACATTTTATTTCTTGCTAGAAAAAACGTTTAGATTAATTAAAATTCAAATATCTAGAGGGACATCTTGGTTCGGACTTGAATTTTTGTTTTCTATTTGTATTTCAAATTGACTAAAAGTTCAAATTAATGTAATGATAAAAAGTATAAGAGCCTTTTCTATAGCATACATATTTGATTACAGAATTTTACGAAAAGGTTGTGGCACTAAAAAGTCAAGGCGTTAAAGTGGTATTGGGTCTGGGAGGATGGAATGACTCTGCGGGTGACAAGTATTCAAGACTTGTAAATAATCCTTCTGCGAGAAGAAAGTTCATTGTTCACGCAGTGGACTTTATACAACAATACGAATTTGATGGTCTAGACCTTGACTGGGAGTATCCACGATGCTGGCAAGTAAGTACCGAAGTATTTTAAAAATACAACGTATTTTTTTTAATTAATACCAGATTTAAAATAAATCCTAGGTTACGTTTAAAATAACTCCTTAAAATTGTTTTGTAATTTATAATAATATTTAACAGGTCGAATGCGAAAAGGGTCCTAGTTCTGACAAACAAGGATTTGCTAACCTTGTCAAAGAGTTGCGGACTGCTTTTGTTCCACGAGGTCTACTTTTATCGTCTGCTGTGTCGGGAAGTAAACGGGTTATTGATCAAGGTACTAAAAACAAGCTTATGTTATTGTGTTTTCTTGTTGTCTGCGTTCACGATTTGAAAAGTATATTTCTAATAACTTTCTTCTTTCTAGCTTACGATGTGCCAGTTTTGGCCAGGAATTTGGACTGGATTGCACTTATGACTTATGATTATCACGGTCAATGGGACAAAAAGACGGGTCACGTGGCACCAATGTATGCTCATGATGGTGACGATGACAAGACATTCAATGCGGTATAAAAGTTTTTAGTGATAAATAATTATTTCTTCCATTTCTTCCTTTTGATGTTGCTATGAGCTACATTAATCTTGTTGACATTAATTTTGTTTTTATAAAGTTACTGCTTATTTCTATTTTAGTAATAACAATGACTTTAAACATTACAAATGATTATTTTTCAGAACTTTACTGTAAGCTACTGGATTTCTAAAGGTGCTCCTCGTCAAAAACTAGTCATGGGAGTTCCCTTCTACGGACAATCATTTTCACTTATGGAGAACTCTGGAAATGGCTTAGGCGCTCCGTCTTACGCTGGTGGAGAGGCCGGAGATGAAACCAGGGCACGCGGCTTTTTAGCCTTCTACGAGGTAATAATAAAAAGACTTCTTTGAAAAACCTATTTTTAATTACTACCAATTTAGTTCGTCATCCCTTTACAGTTTAATCAGGCACAAAAAGACTTCTTTGAAAAACCTATTTTTAATTACTACCAATTTAGTTCGTCATCCCTTTACAGTTTAATCAGGCACAAAAAGACATTTTTAAACACTTAGTATCCTAAAATCTGTCTTGAAGTAGTAAGGATAAATTTTTATAGGAGCTACAAATACAATTTTTTTGAGGGCAAAATTTAAATTCATATTAATTTTTTTAAATATAAATATGTTGAAAATAAAACAACCGTGATTTGCTCTGTTTTATTATTTGGTGGCATTAATAGATTGTCATTTTAAATGGTTTCAGATATGCGATCGTATAAGAAATCAAGGCTGGAAGGTATTCCGTGATCCAGGTGGTAGAATGGGACCTTATGCTACTCTTAGTGATCAATGGGTATCCTTCGACGATGACTTCATGATAAGACACAAAGCAGAGTACGTCCGAGCTATGGACCTCGGAGGCACCATGGTATGGTCGTTGGACCTAGATGACTTTGCTGGGAGATATTGTGGCTGCGGGAATTCACCGTTATTGAGCAACATTAATCATGTTTTACGAGGTCGCGAAGCACCACCTCCCTGCTCTCTGAAAGAAAGTAAATAACTTTTTTACATAATACTCAACAGTTTTTAAAGTTTTTCATTTTTACATATTTTTAATCATTGTACTTTATTTTAGTCCAAGATTCATCAACACCAGTCTCTACTCCATCAACAACAACTATTATTGAAGTGGAAAACGATTCCCAAGAAGATAGTGATAGTGGAAGTTCCGGAACGGATGAAAGTGAGGTAAATAAATCTCAGCATAACATTTTCTTAATTTTAAAAGCTAAAAAAGCAATAGTCTAAATTGGTCACAATATTTAAAACGCTATTGACGTCACAAACATAAATGGATGAAGAAGTCCAATCAAAAGGAACGTCATTAGCCATGCCGTCAAGAGAGAAAACTATCTTTCTTGACATGCTTATTTTTTATGTTTCCAGGGTGGTGCTTTAGAAGGAAAACCTTGTTCTGGAGTAACATTTAAAGAAGATGAATTAGACTGTGCCAAATATTACTTATGTATTAATGAACAATACATACAGCTGACATGTCCATCTAAACTTGTTTGGAATGAGGTATTTGTTAAAAAATTTAAAATGTTTACTACTAATGTAACATTAAATAAACAAAGGTTTAGTTTTTTATCCACTTCCGTAATATGTTGATTAAAACATCTTTTATTACTAGATCCCAATTTTTATTACTGATTTTATCATTATATTAAAATTTATAACAATAAATTAAAATAAGAACTCTTCTATCATAAATCATTTAATAAAGAATGAAAATATCTCGTTCCATTACAGAATCATTGTGATTTCCCCGAAAAGTCAAACTGCAAATCCAAAACTAGCTTAAGATTAACAGATGGGAACCAAAAGGCAGAAAATGAAAATAAGCCTGTCGTCGCATGCTATTTTACCAGTTGGGCTTATTATAGGTATGTAATAGATAGAAATAAAAATAAAACTTCATTGATGGGAAATTTAAAATGCAAAACTTGATAAAATAGGGAGCGTTCAAGTATTACGTAACCCAATTTAGGGGGAGGGGGGGTCTCGTAAAACGTTACGATGCGTTACAGGGGCGGGAGGGGGTGTCTCTTACAAAACGTTACGTAGCATTGTTTCTAAAAAAATATTAATAAAAACCCCCAAACTGGCAACTCTTTTATATTTTTATTTGTTATTCCAAGTTTGCAAACCTCTTAATTGATATTTTACTGGGAATACCTAGATTGCATTATCTTTTAATGTTGCTTCCGTGGTCAGTATTCGTTAGTTCCGTTTATTTTAGTTTATCCGTGAGTTCATAGTGTTTATACTGTAATTTCTTCAGAAGAGGGAGATTTGTGTCAATGTTATTTTTTTTCATTTAATAGATTAAAACTATACCAAACTATTACATATTGTTTTACGACTTTGGATGAAATTGATCGCTTGAGTGTTACGTAACGTTTTAATAAGGGGGGGGGGGGGCTACAGATAAACGTTACTGTGCGTTACGAAGGGGGAAGGGGGGGTCAAAAATCATCGAAAATTGCGTTACGTAATACTTGAACGCTCCCATACATAAAAATACTACTATATCACTTTTAAATCTTCCATCTTCACCAAAAGGTTCCAAGGAGATTAATAAAGAAATTAATATCAAATTTGTATGTTTAGGAAAAATAATGGAAGCTTTGGACCAGATCAAGTGGAGCCTCAACTTTGCACACACATCATATACTCCTGGGCTCATCTAGATAGAGAAACTGGCTCAGTAGTAGCAGGAAATCCCGAATTGGATATAAGCAACGGTAATAAGCAGTATATTTATATTCTTAACCCAGTAATAAAATCTATACACAGAATCTTATTTCAATATATCCCAAAATTATATATTTCAGATTTCTATGGAAGATTATCAGAATTTAAATTGAAAGGAGTCAAAATTATCCTCGGTGTGGGTGGTATTGACAATTCCCTCGATGATAGATGGAGTGAAATGGCAGCCTCGCCAGAAAAAAGGAAACATTTCGTTAAGTCATTGTTGAAATTTTTACAAAAATGGGAATTTGATGGTGCACAGATTGGCTGGCAGTACCCAGTTTGCAGAAGGGTTAGTAGATATTCTAAAATAAGCAATAATTGATAAACTGCAATACGATTAATAAATATATTTCTGTTTATAGATGCCTTGCGCGACAATGAATGCAGATGACAAGGAAAACTTTAGTATTCTTCTAGCGGAACTGTCAAAATCACTACGTCCCCATAACTTGGAGCTGTCTGCAATAGTGGCTCCATACCGTCAAGTGGCAGAAGTAGCCTATAACCCCACAGTTCTATCAGCCACTCTTGACTGGATTTCTATCGCAGCCAATGATTACTATGAATCTGAAACAAGGAAAACTGCTTATCTTCTTCCCCTCGTCAAATCAGAATACAATGATTTTAACAATTTAGTAAGTCACTATACCTATTTACTTATAGACAGAATTAATTAAAGTTATTGACATTTATAAATAAATATTTATATTACAGCAAGATATACTCAGCTTTTGGTCAAGCTTAGTACCGATTACTCAGATAGTGCTAGGACTTCCGTCTTATGGACGGTCCTACGCTCTTAGAAGTGAGCTCACCAACGGCATCAATGCTTTCACCACCGGACCCGGTCGGCCTGGCTTTTACACTCGTATCCCTGGGTTCCTAGCCTATTATGAGGTCTGTATGCTGTGAAACAGCTATAATATAAAATGTTCGAATTCCTCCCAAATATAACTATGTATATTTTCTTATTTTTACAGATATGCAACGAAATAAAATCAAATAGATGGAAAGAAGTTTCAAATACCCAAGGAACATATGCCTACCACGGTTTGCAATGGTCAACATACCTGAGACCACTGGAAGCCCAGGCAATCGGTGCAGAACTGAGACGTGCGGGGGCAAAGGGTGCGGCTCTATGGGCTCTAGACTTAGACGACTGGCAGGGCACATGCAACTGTCGCTGGCCTCTACTAAATTCGCTTAGACAAGGACTTCTTGAACCAGAATTTCATGCAGTTTGTTCGAGCTAAGAATAAAATATTGTATAAATTTTTCGCCTCTGCTTCGATTTACACAAGAAAAGTAATTTTATAAGAACATGCATGCGAGTCTTTATAAAATTCAAAATAGGTTTGAAGCATCGGCGAAAAAGATATTTTTAATGCTCAAAACAATCTAACATAAACTTGATAAGTTAATACTCTAAGAGTGTATGTATGTATATTTAAGTAAATTTGTAATTGCTACCTCGAGCTTTTGCTCAAATTATAGATTACCGATTATGTAGGAGGTAGAATTTGACTGAGCAGTGTTTTTTTTAGAATCGGAATCGTGATTATATGTTAATATGAAAGCAACATTTCGATGATGTCAATTTACTGTCACGATAATTTTGACTGTTTGAGATTAATATTGAAATCAAAGAAAGGACTGTTACCTGTAGTGTTTAACATAATGAACTTATGCATTTTGTGATAGACTAAGTTTCTTTTTCTCAAAACGGTTTTAAAGACGACGCCCGTCATGCTAAAGCCATTCATATTTTGAAATAAATTAATGGTTTAATGAATAAATGTTTTTTATTCCCCTAACAAAGTTCAAGTTACAGAAATATTAATAATGAGAACAAATAAAATTAAGTACTATTTTCCCGGAATATCAATGGAATTAAATAAGAAACACAAAAATATTGCTTATATTTATACATAATTTTGTCATTATCACAACAAATTGTAATATGGAATGAGTCATAATTATAAAATAAAAATAAATTATTATATTATAAAACTAAGGACGGTCTTGATAATTAATCAAATATAATATATTTAAACAGAAAATTTGGAAATAATATAAATTTATAGAGTAAAAGCACGTGAAGCCCTATTTAATTTATAAGAGCCAAAAAACTATGTCGATTGACAATCATAAACTTCAGGTTATCATTTTTTCAGCAACTTCTTTTTTTGCATAAGAGAGTTACGAAAATATTAAACCTTAATATTATTAAAGTTCTGTTTGCCTATGAAATCCGTGAAATGTCTTTTTACTGCCAAAGTGAAATTAAAATTACGATTAATCAGATTTTGTCAAGTTAATTTATTCAAAAAAAGGATTAATATTTAATAATAACATAAAAAAATATCTCCTTAGCCTTGTATCCAAAACCATCCTTAGGCTTAATAAAAGTAATATTTTTCGATTACTACGCGTTATTTTATTTCATTATTTTAAACTACATATCTTCTTCCGACATTTCGGTTACTTTGCAGCATCCGTTATCTCGTAGTAGGAAGCCGAAAATATTAATTTCATTTAAATTAATACACGCGACAGTCTTAGATTTCATCAACCTCAGGCTTGTGAGTCAGTACTCAGTAGTTAATTGGTTGGAAATGTAAAAACAATCTGGTTGATGAAAATAACAATATCTAACACCTAATTCTCAGTTTTTATATTATAGCGTCAAGATAATTACAACTTTATGATAATTTAGTTTGTCTTGCCAGGTGTTGCCATGACGTATTAACAAATCCCATTTTATTATTTGATAAATTTAAGTTAGTATTTATCACACCGTTATAATTGTGTGCCAGTCAAGGCCAATCATTTAAAAAATAGTGGCCTCACTCTGCAAATATGGACTCGTGAGGCAAAAAATATATTTTAAAACTTATAATAAATGTAACAACTGCCAGCAAACCATTAAAAATAAATAAAAAAATAATAAAAATCTTTGGCTTTGAAATTTATACGCTAAAATGAAAATTAAGTCTTTCGTCTAACCGTGACCACTGTTGCTGTAACGGAGGCGAAGTGTAATTATAAAATAATAAAATGCGAAACTAAGTTTTTCATATACGATGAACTTAGTTTCATTGAAAATTAAGAATTCAATGACCTGATTGGGTTAATTACAACATTAAAAGAAAATTACAAATATAGTTACAATTAACCCCTATTAATTGTTACTATATTTATATTTTATGATTTACATTACGGAAATTATATATTTAAAAAAAAAATGTCTGAAATTTTTATACGGTATTTTAAAATCGAATCATACTAGAGAATTGAAATCTACTTTTTAAGCTCAAACTGTAACAGGTATGTATGTTATATGAATTATCTTCTAATTCTTTTGTTCTACATATTTCTCTTTTCCAATTAATGAAATTCTCTATTTAAAAAGATGATTATTTATTATTTAACATAACATTTACATTGTGGTGGTGTTACCTATTAATTAGCAATTACATAACATAAATATGTATTATGTATCTAAAGATCATCATAATCTCCGGTTTTGGAACATCACCAAGAGTGAGACCTTTTTAACGAAATTTAAACCAATATTGCATTATCTTGGCAATAATTTTACGGAAGAATAGTAAATCACATATTCTTTTACTAATCACGATACTTATCATAAAAATAAGACAAGTACCTAAGGAACAAAGTCCAATATCGTGAATCATGAAATACGCGCACAAATAATGACGCAATGGCCTGATTGGCCTTGGTAGTATTCATTCCAACGTCGATACTCGTTCACATCGTGTTATAGGTTAGATGAATTAGAATAGGCAAAGTTTATTTTAAAACGTGTTTCGTTCTTAGATTATCCACTTTTGAATATAAACAGTATAAATTCTTTATATTTATTTGTAATATGTTTGACGTGAGAAGTGTTATTTCTCGACTATAATTTCATCTTTATTTTAATAATTTGAAGACGAAACCTTGTTAAAAATGTTGAAGAAAAATCTATTTTCTCTAATTTTGAATAATGGTAATTTTAAAATTAGTGGAAATCTATTAAAAAATGTAGCAAGCACACAAATCAGGACACTGCAAACTGAGGTGAGTTTTTGTTTTTTGTTATTTTTAAAAAATAATATTTAATATTTGTTAATTATTTTTCAAATTAATTGGTGACTATGGAATGAGTATGAGTGATATATCCTCCGAATTTCCATGTTATAATTTTTAGATACCAAGAATCAAATGTACATCTAGAGATTTTTTTTATATATTTAAAATTTTTAAATAGTAAATGAATAAATGAACAGTACTTTCATTTTATTATTAATTATATACCACCAGTGATGTAATATAAAAAATATATTTTTTTTTAGGTACCTGTAAAAGAAGTAAAAATCCCTGTAAAATGGGGCCACCTCGCTGCAAGACTATGGGGAAATGAAAATGAACAGCCCATACTAGCTTTACACGGCTGGCAAGATAACGCCGGGACTTGGGATACGTTGGCGCCATTACTATGCCACAAAAGACCAATACTTGCAATCGATTTTCCCGGTCATGGATTATCTTCGTGGATTCCAGATGGTAAAAATATATTATTTTATAAGTTTATTATATGAAAAAATTAAGAACTGAATATTAATAAGTATTAACATCTACCTTATAGGCATGCATTACTACACCTGGGATCTACCTCGATTGATTTTGTACCTTAAGAACCACTTCAATTGGAATAAATTATCATTGCTCTGTCATTCAATGGGTTCTATAGCAGGAATGCGTTACGCTAGTATATTTCCAGAAGAGATCGCATTCTACATAGCAATCGATAGTCTAATTTATGACGACTATGATACAGATAAAGTTGTTAATAATTACGCAACAATTCTGAAAAAGATTCAAGGTATAAGTAAATGGAAAGATGAACCTCCTTCGTATACGATGGAAGAAATTATTAAAATTTGGCATTTAGGCACAACGAAGTCGGTAGCCATGGAAAGTGTTCCTCATTTACTGAAACGTGGTTCAAAACCCTCGTCGAAGGATCCTAATAAGTACTACTTTTCCCGAGACTCCAGACTAAAACAGATATTATTTACAGTGGAAGATAAAAAGTTGGTTGAAACTCTAGCCAAAAGGTTGACATGTCCGACACTTTACATAAAGGGAACAAATTCTCCGTTCGGAAACGACGAATTCGCTGTAGAAATGCGTGAACTCATTGCGAAAAATAATAATAACTTCGAGAGTCATTTTTTGACGGGAACTCATCATTTGCATTTAAATACTCCTGAGTTGTTAGCGCCTTTAATTTTGAAATTTATTGACAAATTTAGTGCAAAATAACTTATTTAACAGTATTCATGTTTATTTTTATATGAATGTTACAAATATTAAGAAGCCTTACAATCAAATTGTGATAAAAACGTAATTTTTCATTTAAATTGACACATGAATTAAAACTAGTCACACAGGTTGTTATACAAGTAATGATTATCCTATGTAATAAAACTTACTGACAAAGAAAACTGTAAAATAGTATATGCAATGTATTTTGTATTTTTTATAATATATATAACCATAACACATTTCAATAAACAATTTTAATTGTCACTTTCATATGATCCATCATTGCTCGTAGTGTCACAAACGTGGGCACCTTTACGGGTAGGCAATACTTGAAGTAAAGCATCTTTCCAAGGAACACCTTCACACACCCTGAGTACTATTTCGAAAACTGTAATAGGAAAATTATATTTATTTAAACAAGTTACATATATTATATATGTTTTGTTTTATAGTTAATTTATTTTTAATATTATATTTAAAAATTCTTTGCTATAAGGATAGAGACTAATTGCTTATTTTTACTATTCATCTGTGATAACATTTTCAATAGATTAAATACCGAAACTAAACTTGTGTTACATCACCAAAGAAATATTTTGCTGTATAACTAGTGCTATCTGATATACTAAATAAAATTAAGTCATTATAATTGCTTGTTAAATACTATTATGATAAGATAGTAACATGTGCTATGAATTACTTAATTTTATTCATTAAATTTATTGTTGTAATAAAAGCGGCGACTTTTATTTTTATTACTTTAAGAGTTTTTTTTTATAAAGCCTCTTCAAAAAATATTTTAAAAGACCTTTTGATAAATATATTTAACAATATTGATATAGAAAGCTAATAATGTTTCAAGGAAGCCTCATTTACTCATATGATTCACATTTTTTGATAGTGTGGCAGGAATTTATCACAGATTTTTTTTATTAAAAATTAAAATAATTGTGTTATCCTTAAATGTTATTTTACAATTAAGAATGTTTTAATATGATCGGAACTAAACTGTAGTCACGAAAATCTATATTAGACAAAAAAATATGAACTTCACATAATATTAATGCCCAATGCATTCTAAAAATTTGTTTATATAATCACAGTTATTATTATCACAGTCTCATAATGACACTTCAAGTATGTAAATGAGCACTTGGTATTGTTTTAAAGTTATAGCAAAAATTTTGAGATACATATTTTTAATTTACATGAAAACAATAAGCACAGTATTGCAAATTAAACATTCCTTATTGCATCATAGATAAGAGGTCATGTGCAAAATTGTTTAAATTTTCATAGCAATTTCTCAGCATACATATATTACTTATACTGATATGTATATACTGAACCAAGATCCTTACCATGATCAATTGTCAAAACTTTCCTCGTTTTCATATTAACATACTTGTTAAGAGGTAACTGGCCATGTCTTATTCCCTGTTCAACTGCAATTTTATGGCAAAGTCCCTGAAAAAAAAAACAAGCAGGGATTAAATATTAAATTTAAAATATCCTCTACTCATTTGGTTCATTTGATACAAAAAAGGTTATATAAACCATAGTTTCTTACATATTTTTTTAAGTAATTTAGCACAAGTACAAAATAATAATGCTAACAAATTAAGTTTTATTAAATGTAATATCAACCTTATGTTGATTGTGGTCCACCAGTCCACCAATTATATAGTAAGTATCCTCTTCAAATGATTCTATAACATTTTCAGATTCACTAGTCAAATAAAATAGTTTTTCCTTAGGAAACTCATTTAAGTAGCTTGTTTCCTTGAATGTTATCTGAAATAAAAAAATTCTACAGGGTTGAACATGAAATACTTTTTTTTTTGCTACATATTAGGTTCAATTTCAATGAGTTGTATGACTTGGTGGTTGGTTGTTGGTATGACAAGTCAGTGGTGGCCTAGGGTTTAAAGGGCCTGCCTCTCGTTGCTGAGGGTGCAGGTTCGATCCTGACCCGGGCAAGTACCAATGTGATTTTTCCAAGTCATATGTACTTTCTAAGAGTATCACTGATTAATGCTGATTCCCAAAGAGGGTTGATGTCAGACAGGTGTAAAAAACAAATAGCCAGTACTATTTAAAACATGTAAGGCAGACCCTGGCTATAGCTGGGAAATTGCCAGGTAGATGAAGAAGAAGAGTTGTATGACTTGGCTTTGATAAACATGTTAGATTTTTTTTTGTAATTTGCTGGTACTAACAATATGTTTGATATTTCACATTTGTTTATTTCTTAGTAATACAAAGAGTCATAAACTGATTTGGATGAAATTATGTTTTAGGTACCTTTATTGGTGAGGTGTCATATAATCATCTTTTATGTCATGAATCTCCAAAAAAATGATTGTAGGTGAAATTTAAACCATTTACTCATTATTATTATAATTACATTTGAATCAAAACAACATAATACTTACAAAATTTACTTACATCCCAATTTTCGTAACCGTTATGCCTTGATATGTCATTTTTAGTTTTATCTCCAAAACTAGTAACATAAAACTGCAATGGGGTTTCTGATCGTCTATTAATGGAATAACATCTTAGAATTTGTTTTACCACTTTGTACCTATCTTTTTCAATCATCAATTTGTCAAAACTAAGGTCTATTATAATTCCTGTGTTACTTTTCGATTTCTCTAGACTCCGCTTTTTAAGGGACTTCCTACTGGGGCCTAAATCTATATTGGCTGCACGTGCCTCCCGTCTACGCTCTTTGGCACGAGCCTTTTCTTTCTTTCGCTTCTCCGCTTTATTGTTCTCCCATCTCACTTTCTTTAGCCATTTACGCATCTGATTTTTAGTAAATGGCCTCGGTAATTGATCGCCGTTATCATCTTTTAATCCTGGATCCACTTTAATATGAAAAAGAGTATGTTGTCTAAAATTCGGTTCTTTGTTGTCTGATTTTGGCTCTTCAGCACTTTCGTCCATTTTTATAAATTCATTAATATATACTTAGACATTTATATCTCTAAATCAATATGTTATATGTTTTGAAATATAAACCTTTTCTCAATCAAAATAACCATTTACCTCTCTTCGATTTGAAGCATGTGTTTGACACAGGACATTTACATTGACATATTTACAGATTATCTGATTTTCCAAATCAAAGTTTAGAAATGTTGTATTGCAAGATTATTTATTATGATAATTATGTCGTTTACTAATACCATATTGCGTGACTAGGTACATGATAATATTCCACATTGCAAGTTCGAACTTTTTTAAATTTCCTATAATATGTAATTATTTCTCTTCAATGCTAGATATTTTTGATTATACCCTTGAAAGGCATATTTCAAGTGTCTAATATATAGCAAGCACTCCTCCGTTTTAAATGTTTACTAAACCGAAAGTACCAAATAATACCCAGTTTTCCCCAAAACGGGGAAAACCTGGGTAATATGCTCTCGTCGGGTTTTTATCCCACTGAACATTACTAAGCATATCTTCAAATAAAAAAAATTGACGATTTTAAAATCATTAAGAAACAAACTCTGATATACATTTGTTTATATACGTGTATACATTTATAGTTATAACACGAGATTTTATTTGAATCTTATATCATAACGAATTCAAAATTATATTACATTTCCTGATGATGAGAGGTTCATTTAATAGACTAAAAATTAATATAGTCACATATTGAATACTCAATAAAATTAAGAAATGTATGAGGTCAACATCTCTCCGTAACTAAAATGTTAACCTCAAGACCTTTTGATATCACATGAGATATATCTGTAAAACGTATCAGTCAATAATAACTTTATTTATTTTAATTCACGTGTTGGAACATACTGATATGAAAGTTTTATTCAAACAAAATACCATCTACTGTATATAGTTTACTTTCTGACTTACTATTGAAATGTCCTCTTCAGTAAGTGTTTTAATAATTAGAAACGTTTTATTTTTAGAAAAGGGCTTTTAATGTTCTTTTTATTGATATTAATTAAATAGGACAGGTATCAACTTTGGGGCGGTTGTTTCGGAGAAGAACCATCATCGGTACTAAGGCGTTTAAATGACTCTTTAGGTATAGATGTCAGACTCTTCCATGAAGACATCCGAGGCAGTCAGGCTTGGGCAAACGAATTATACCGCAGTGGTCACCTTTCGGAAGATGACAACACGGCTATTCAGAGCGGACTAAAGAAAGTAAATATTGATCTACGTAATATATGAATTAAAGTGAAATACATACTTGGAATTTAATCAACTTAAGTACCTTTTAACAATTCATAAGGTAGAAGAAGATATAGAACAAGAACTATGTAACAACGGCCGACTCAATGATCCCGAAGAAGATATCCATTCAGTAGTTGAAAGACGTCTTCAAAAGTACGCGGGTGATGCTGCTCTTAGACTCCATACCGCTCGAAGTCGCAATGACCAGTCAGCAACAAACACTAAGCTATGGATGCTAAAATCCTTACAAAACATCAAGAAAGAAATATGTCAACTGATATCAGTATGTTAATCCATCCAATTATTCTAATTTCACTTAGAAACGCTAAGAAGTAAGAACCTCTTAAAATATGACTCAAATAATATGTTTTCTCTAGATTTTCATTTCACGAGCAAAACAAGAAATCGATATCATTGCACCCGGATATACACATTTGCAACGAGCCCAGCCAATCCGCTGGAGTCATTTCTTGTTGAGGTAAAATACATACTATAGCGTATGTCTATTTCTAAAACATAATTATTACCATATGTAAATTAAACCTTCTAAATCTACTTAAGTACCTTTATTTTTCGTTATTTTTTAGTTACGCTTGGATGTTTCGAGACGATATTATAAGGTTAGAAGAGATCGTTGAAAGACTTTTTTATAGTCCTTTAGGTAGTGGTGCTATTGCTGGTTGTGCCTTGCAAATAGACAGGCAGAGATTGGCCGAAAGTTTAGGCTTTAAACAATGTACGCCTAACTCCATGTATGCTGTAGGATCTAGGGATCACATCGGTAATTAGTTGTTTTTTTTATAATATTTTATGTGCCTTCATGCCTTTCATATCTATACAGAATAATTTAATTTTAGTCGAATACCTCAACTGGGCTTCGCTGTGTGGAATTCATTTAAGTAAATTAGCCGAAGATCTGATCATATATAGCACACAAGAATTTGGTTTTATAAAACATTCGGATCAGTTTTCAACTGGATCCAGTCTTATGCCCCAAAAAAGAAATCCAGATGGCTTGGAACTAGTGAGGGGGGCTGCCGGTCTCCTGCTTGGTGATGCATTTTCCTTTAGCTGCATTTTAAAAGGCTTGCCAAGCACTTACAACAAAGACTTGCAGTCGGATAAAGAAGTATTATTTAGATCTTATGATAGATTGCTCGATTGCATTAAAGTTACAGCGGGAACTGTGGAAACCATGCAGGTATTTACAAACTACAACTTTTAGAATAAGATATGTGTCTTGCTAGTGTTACTATAGTATCCCCATAAAGAGGTCTTTAAACAGGAATATTCTTTTCCGACATATCTTAGTGATCATCCTTTGGAGCTTTCTATGAACAACAGTATTTCGAAGAATGATTATAAGACGAATGCCATTTTTTACAAAGAAGTATTTTAAATCTTAATCCAAACTTTATAACCCAGATCGATGAAGAAAGGTCAGTAGGTGTCTTAGATGCTGGAATGCTCGCTACTGATCTAGCCCACGCCTTAGTTCGTGTGGGGGTGCCGTTTCGTCGCGCTCACCATGTTGTGGGCGCGGTCCTGCGCCGGGCCGCAGAACTCGGACATGATCTTCAAACACTGCCGCATCGGGAATATATTACCATATGGTATATGCTTCATTATTTTTCAAAACATGATGAATCCCATAAAATATTGCCCTTCTTGCCAGTAAGATAATTTATAGGACTTTACCCCCATATTAGGAAAATTTCATATAAATTTATGAGACGAAAACTTTTTTTTTTGCTTTTATAGTCCTGAATTCGGAACAGAAGAAGAATTACGAAAAGTATTTTCTTGGGAGTCCAGTGTTGAGCAATACACGGCCGAGGGCGGAACATCTAAATCAGCAGTGTCGAAGCAGATAGATAATTTGCAGCAGTGGTTGGAAGATATCACAAATAAAATCATGATCCCATCGGCTTCTTGCTGAGTAAATGTTATAATTTCTTTTCAACGCATTGTTAAATCCTTAACTAGCTTCCAATATACATATTTCTCTATCAAACCGTAAGACAAAAATGTTTTTTATTTATTATTATTTTATAACTCAGCAATAATACTATTTTACACATTAAGAGGCGGTGTTTTATTTATCCCTCTGTCGTACTTGTTCTTCTTCGTAATTTTTAAGTATGTAACTGATACGTTTTACTTTAATTTTGTAGTCTTGTTGAGACTCTTCTACTAATTGATATTTTTAATTAAACCTAAACGCAAACAATATGTGTGTAATGATGGCTTAGTTCCCAATATGAGCATTCAAGTGGTGGGAATTAGTTGGTTTATCTCATCGTAACCCCCTGTGTGTGTTGCCCCACCAACCGAGGTTTAGTAATTAACAAGTAAGCTTTATCAGACTTAGTTTATATTCTGACAGCAGCTTTGGTTTTTGTCACAGAATTTAAATAAGAAAAGAAAAAGTGAGTGTAATTTTAATAAAATCCCAACACAAAAAACTTTATCCGTGTGCAGTAAATGCAATTAATAAATATTTTTATAAACAATTTTAACTTTTATTCACTATAAGAGTAATACTTCTTTTTTCTAGAATGTCCATCTTAGTACAGTTTTTAACTTTCGCAATGCTGTTTTTAATTATGCCTGAAATATCTTCATATCGAGTTGGCTCTCCCATCTATGAACTGTATTTGCAAGACAAACTAGGACAAAGTTGGTTGGACAAAGAGGTAATAGTGTACATATTTTTTACAGGATCTGCTTAGTTCAACTACAAATAATTTCATAATACTTAACTCTACATTTCACCAACAAAATATGAAACATAAATGTAACCACACAAATGAATAAACTTCGACCAAAACTTGCCGATATGAAAGTTGCACCTTAATATATGAAAATTTGTTGCACCTGAATATATTATGTTGTTTATCAGGGTTAATTAAAATTGTAATTGGATAAAAGAAAAATGCAAATTGATTTGTATAATGTCGGCAATTACAGGTTTTTATACTTATTAAAACGACAAATTAGTGTACTTAATCAGGCAAAAAATATCTGATATAACTGCCTCTGCCATATTTGTACAAAAATTACTCGTCCATATTATGACAGTCTAAATAAGTGAGGTGGAAATAATATTTTGCCCTTTTTAGGAATTTAATTAAAGAAAGTTATGTCAAATATATCTAATAGAAAATTTAAGAGAGTCCACTATTATCGGAGTAATTTCAAATGTTAATAGTGACGTAATAGAAAAGTCAAGGAATAAATATTATACCTGGCAGTATTTATCTGGCAATCAGCGTAACTGAATCAACAATTTATAGGCGTCGTTACATTTTTTAGGTAGAAGCATAAGTTATAAGAACAGAAAGTTAAAAAAGAAAAATTAAAATTTGCATATTTTTATAAAACAAATGAAAAATTTCTATTATTAAAACACGCTTGTTTACCAAACAATTTAAGTAGAAACAAATAAAACAAACAAGATCTGGTGCAAAGATATATGAAGATAACGAGTCTCTAAGAGTAATAGAATTCTGTTATATTTGTCTTTAAGTGCATAACGCTGTCTGAATTGGTCCTTTGATTATCATTATTGACATAGGTAAATATGCAATGTCTAATTTAGAACAACTATTTAAACTAGAAGGACGCGCGGTAAGCTTGCGTCACTAATACCAATAAAATGAAAAACTTAATATCATTCAGGCTGAAATTTAATCAGAAACCAACACTAGTGCTCATGTGACCGATGACGCAGTAACATTATCTCAGATGCTCAACTATCTGAAACAGCGACGCTTGTATTAATTAATACAAATTTCTCTTTATCACACCGCGTGACAAACTGAGTAATATATATTAAATGTTTTTGTTGTAACAATACATATATATAAAACCTTCTTTATAACTTTGAAATTCAGAGGTATCAGTTTTGTTAGTCAGACATTTTTATTGGCCATTTGGTTAAATTATTCGAACACTTATTTATCGTTTTATTTCAGTACATCGACCATGATTATGATGGAAATGACTTCGAAGATGAAATTGGAAAGACTCGTATTTATTTGAACACGTTGAAGGACACAAGGAATCGATGGGAAAAGCGTAATGGAGATCTCATTAACTTCCTTCTCGGCTTGCCAAAAGACATGTTGGATGCTGGTCGTTAATAACAAGATATGGCGGGAATAACGGAACCTAAATAAATAAAAGAAATAAATTTTTGTCAAAACATATATATTGTACCATATTATTTCTACAACTAAATTTACCCTTTTGAGGTACACTATCCAATTGAAATATTTACATTTATTGCTAATTACATAAAAATCGTTATAAATAGAATGTTTCATTTTTATTATTTATAGACCCGGACAGGTGAATTTTAGTTATTCTGGTAATTGCAAGTAATTAACGGTAAAAAAAGGTACTTTTAGATATTTTTATGGCGCTGTGAACAATCATTGGAAATGGTATTTTCAGCTCCAGACGCGCGTTATACAAAATGACTGAACATCAAACTCTTAATATAATTCAAGTACATTTTATTATTATATTTGTAATTAATACCGCGATATTCATGTGAAACACATAGTCTTTAAATCACATTATTTTCTGAGGTATCCTTGAGTCAGTGTAACAGTTATCGTCAACAAACAACAGACAGTGCTAATGGACAACGTTACAGCACATCTCTTTAAAAAAAAATTAAATTTGTATATAATCAATAAATGAACACAGTTTTAGTCACATTTATAAATGATAACGTGAAGCGTTACAAAAAACCTTCCTGCATAGCGACCCGACACATGTATCGTCTACATAAGGTCTATAAACTAACGGTATAATCGTAAAATGTATAATTTATTTCAAAAATATTCCATCTCTCTAACGAATCTTTCGCGTAATTCTCATTCATATGGAGTACACTATCAGAATTTAAGTGAGAAGCCGGGTGCGACGTTAAGCGAGCGGTTCTGTACGTGGAAGCCGAGGGCTTCGTCGTCGGAGCGAGCGTACTGGGCGTAGGCCGCGCCGCCCGCTGGAGGCTTAGGACTGTGGGTGGTGCGACGGTTGCCCTCCGATTTAGCTGGCCACGTAGGAAACATGGCCGGCTCGATGGCGACTGGCTGCTCCTGTTAACATAGAAATATAACTCATCATATAATCGACTATATGTGTAGTCATCAGCTACCAGTATATGTATACATAACCATCGAGGGTTACATCATTTAAATCAAAAATGTAATGTCAATAATATTAAGTAAAGTATGTTAAATAAATGTACACTAAATCATCTTTGTATATAGTGTTTTAGTGTACGTTTTTCTACTAAGTTATAATTTTATTCAAGTCTCTTTAAATTCACAGTGATTCCGACATTTAGCAATAACAGAAATGTTATAATAAAAATCGGTATATTTAAGAATTCATCGACACGATAACTGTTAAAGCAACTTAAACGCGATATACCAGAGATTGCAGGATCGCATTGAAATGTTGATGACTTTTAAATTATGAAGTAAAACTTCTTATGCGACTTCCAATAAGGTTGCGTTAAACGTTTATTATGGGGGAGGGAGAAAGATACATGAATGTAGAAGTATGAGAGAGAAAGAGAATAAGTTGGTAGATTCCAAGTAATTGCGCATGTTATACTAGCCAGTATTCATGACAAATTTCACAATTTTTGCATAGTCGCGAAGTAAACAGTGAAAGCGTCGTGAATTTGGCTGAAATACGCACTTTTTGTTCTATATGAGTTTATTTAGAATGTTCATATTTTTTTAGTTTTATTTGGTACACATAATTTAAGAGGGCAGTATTTTATTTTCTAATTTAATTGACAAGAATTGTTTACAATTACGAAGTTTCACTTGTTCCACGAGGAGAGTCTCCACGCGCTATTTATATATTTATTTGAATTTTATTCAAGGTTCGTATAAGTTAAAATAAGTTAATCTTGGTGACCAACCTTGAAGTAAGCGTGTTCGAGAGCCGCGTCCGCCGTCAACCTCCTAGCGGGGTTGTATGTAAGGAACCCTTGTAGTAGAGAGTGTCCCGCTTCAGACAGTAGGTCGGAGCCTATTTTCCGCCGCAGACCACCAGACGGATGCTCAGCGAACGTCATCTTCTGAACGATCGGCAGATCCTTGTATCCCGGCCACAGCAACTCTGAAGGTGTTCCCAGTTCCTATACGAGCAGAGCAGATTAGATTGAATAATAAATAATAACCGACGTTTACAGCATATTGTGTTTTATTATTCTCATCAAGCAATTTGTATGAACACATTATATCAATACTTAAAAAGTTTTGACGAAAAATTACAACATATTTGTGGCAAGGATTTTTCTTTTCTCCCTTTACATTAAAGAACAACAAGACCTAATCAAGAAAACTTGTCAAATTGCGACTTTATGCACTGTCGTTATGAAGTGATCAGGTAAAAACGTACCTTGAATATAATATTAAGTTGGTCGATTTCCTTCTTGCCGGTGAACAGTGGGTTCATAGTGACCAGTTCTGCGAAGATGCAGCCCACGCTCCATATATCTATTGGAGTGGAGTACTCCTTGCAGCACAGCAGCAGCTCAGGCGCGCGGTACCACAGAGTCACCACTACAGGAGTGTACTGCCGCAGAGGGGAGCCGTACTCACGAGCTAGACCAAAATCACCAACCTGAAATTGTAAATGTAACATTATAAATATGGGTAAATGATTTCAAATAGAATTTGATAAATTAAAGAATATTATTTGGTTCTGATGTTCCTAATAGGAAATAAATAATATACAAAATTTTGTAACAAATTTTAACTTTCATTAAAATTTAGATAACATAAAATCTTTTTCATTTGTACTCATTGAGAAAAATATATATGATTTCTTACTACAACTACAATTCATAGAATTGATTAGATGGTTAAAATTGCATGCTATAAATGTAAATACTTGTGTAACAAGTTTGGGTAAATAACATAAATGGACAATTATCAAATCCTTAACTAACACATGTAAAGTGAAAAAATATCTTTATTTTGTACACATTCACACTAAAAAATAAACTATATTTATTCCATAAAAGAAAGAAATAAAACTTTAGCTATACCTTCAATATTCCCTTATGTGATAGCAATAGGTTGCTCGTTTTAAGATCTCTATGCAAAATCCAATTATCATGCAAGTGGTGTACCGCCTTAAGTAACTGAGTCATTAAACATTTAATTTCACCTGAAAAGTATTCTATATGTTATACTCATACAAATTACACAATATATAATTGATACTAAATAGATAAATAAAATTCTATTGTCAATTAAAACTATAATTACCTGGTAGAAATACTTGTTTCTTTTCCCTCATAGTTTCCATGAGACTTTTAAGATCATGTTCCACATAATCCATGACAATGAATATTTTGTCCATATTAGAGCCAACTACGATCTCCCTCACCGTCACTATGTTGGGATGCTGTCCCTGTAACAAAAGAATAGAATGTGCGACTTGTTAGTACTAAAGCGGCCTGGCTACCAACAAACACATTATCATCACCTTACACCTGAAAATCTCCAACAAAATATACCAAATATACCAGTTTATATCTGATAGTTTATAATATATTTAATATATATTTATATATTAGTTATAATATATTTCAGAATATCACAATATAAAAAATTAACATGAGTAAACATATATATTTAAACATTTTAATTATATTTGTTATAAAAGTGTTTCGTCCCTAACTAGTCACGTAATATTTATATGATCCCATATAATTCCTATGAGATATCATCAACCTGTGCAAATCTGTATAACAAAAAATAAAATAAAAAACTATTAAGAACTTACTGACCTAGAACCTACTAAGCATGAACTATATAGTAATATACTATTTATAATGCTATACTTTTAGTTATATTGAAAAAAAGATCGTATTTAAAACTTGTCACAGAAACTGTTGAATATTATAAATATATATATGAGTATATACTTACTTATATAAAAGCTATACATAAATATATATATTTGTTATACACACATTCACATCTGAATCGTTGAAAACCAGCCCATTTTTTTTCTCATGTTGTAGTAAATTTTATAATCTATCAGCCAAAGCACTAAATTCTATATAATTGAGTAATAGTACTCTCTTTCCTTATGTATTATAAGACGCTTTGTAAATTACATGAATGTGTATCATTTGTAAAATCTAAAAGACCATTTTATTTTCGTTCAGAAACTATCCCAACATAATATACAAAAATAGTCACTCAAGAAAGAATATTAACATCATTCAGATTTTACAAATAACCTTACCCTTACTTATATGTACAACACAGACAATTGAGACCATTTGGTCTGAATTTCCATACATACTGGTCAATAATTAAAAAAGAAACTCATAATATTGAATATATTAACCCTGCTTTGTCTGTGTATAAAATGTACATGGGATGAGATGATTATAAAATTCTTATATACAAAACAATATCTAAGAAAAATCATTTATAGCCTTAAATCATAAAATTAATGTCTTGCATTCCTTTCTGGTCATATTAAATATCTGTTATAATGAACATCATAAGATCTGAAATGGCAATAGGACAACTACTAATTACTACTTATTCTAGTTAACAAATAACCACATTTTCAATGTATAGGCCTATCAGAGTACCCACGAAACCATTGAGGCTTAGTGAAGGACGCTACAAAATCCATTCCTGTAAGTACTGCACGAATGGTCATTTCTATACAGATTTTAAGCACCAAGATAGACTATCATGCTTAATCTTAGTATAAAAAAATCAATAAATTGAAATTGCTCCAGTGACAATCAATATGTCATCTAATAAATGCAAGATTATTTTTATGATTTATCAAATAGTAAAATCCTTGATTATTAATCTTAGATTACAATAAAAGAATTCATTTACAATTATTGTGAATAAATTATCTTGCATTTAATAACGATGGTTAATTACTGCACAGTATAAAACAAAGCATCTTTAGCAACTCATTAATTAGTTTCTTAGCTTAAAATATTTTCGATGAAGATCAATTAATGTTTTTTGTTGATTGCTATCTACGAGTAGACAGTATAAAAAATCCTGTTGCATCTTACAAAGACTTTGTTTTATACTGAGATTGGTAATGTAACAACTTACTTAGTAACAAACACTAAAAGTCATTATTACTACAATTATAATTTTTTAAAAACTTCAAGTGGCAAATTGGCAGTAGATTTATAATAATTTATTAGTAAAATTTAATAGCATATGTTATAAATGATGAAATGTGATCAAATTAATCTGTGTAGTTATTGAGTTCCGTAAATTGCTTTCAAATTATTAGATAAATTTAGAGTTCTTTAATAAGGTTTTTCATAATCTTTTATTTTAAAAAAACTCATGTTTGTTTGACACCAAAACTCATGATACAATTATGTTTTTAGCAACATAATACAAGGCAACCACATCAAACAAATTTACATATAACACTTAGTAGGATTGCATATTCTTTTGAACATTAATTCTTTGAAATAGTTGATATGTGTTCTATTAAACAATATGCAAAGAGATTGCTGTTTGCAATTATGGGCTATTTTTATAAAATAACCTTTATGTTGAAATACATAAACAAATGTTAAGTCTTATGTCAACAAAAAAAAACAGGGGAAGCAAAGATATCATATATTACCTATTTTAGTATTTTAAAAGTTGAAAAAACGAAATGTGTCATAAAATGGAAAAGAGCAATAACATATTAATGGGAGGAAAATTAAACAACATAACATAAAAATTGGGCTTTCTCGTTTGATACCAAAACCTCAAAAAAGAGACTACGAAATTCACAGGGATTAAGATCCTCAGAATTTAATAGAAGCCCCTTTAAATTCAACAACAGCAGACAATCTTAAAATGAGAATTAAATTTTATAAACCTGTTCATATAAACTTGAGTTAATTTTCATCAACATAGTAATAATTCTTAACTCTGTTCTGCATTTTTTAAATTGTATAATTAAGTTCTCACTAGGATACGTATTTTTATGAAACTTTCATATTTTATTTCAATAGAAAGAGCATGTCTCAGGCTGTTTTTTTTTAGTTAGATAACAAAATGGCAAAGGAAAAGAAAGAGCTACAAATATGTCCTTGCAAACCTATATATCTGACATAATACTTCAAAGTAGAACTAATATAGTATAGTATATTTCAGGGTATTAAAAATGTCGTAAATTGATGGCTTTGGCTTTTTTTTATCAATTATGAAAATAAAATTATATAAGGAATTGGCGAAAAAGGTAACGGGGATATAAATTTATATTTATTTATAATCAATCCCTACTAATATGATAAATGCGAAAGTAACTCTGTCTGTCTGTCTGTTACCCTTTCACGCCTAAACCACTGAACTGGTTTTAATGAAATTTGGTATAGATAGAGTTGACCTTGAGAAAGAACATAGGATTGTTTTTATCCCAGCCTTATGAAAGGTTTCTCGCGATATAACCGAACTCCACGCGGGCGAAGCTGCGGGCGGAAAGCGAGTCTGTCTATAAACTTAACGATTTATATTGACGTAAGATTCAAAGCCCAACTTTACGCAAAAAAAAATTACGTACCCTAACAATTTTATTTTTAGTATCAGTTATAAAATTTGGAAAAGATTGTTGAAGTGCAGAAAAAAGTTAGATATAAAAAAATGTATAGTTTTTTTTTTGGCAACATAAAATGAGGACTTGGGGAGAGCTTGTAATATAAAATGCAAATAAGAGGAATGGCTCTTAATTAATTAATGAGCGAAGTGGGTTTCAACAATAATGTATTTGTCATCATAGCAATGTATTTGTCTCCAAAAACACATGAACCAATTTTCTAATCTATAGAGTAGCAATAGATTAGGATTATAAGCAATTTATTTATGAAGAAACTAGTGTCATAGAGGATAAATGCAGTGAAATGCATAATAACTTAAATAATGAGAAAGAGAAACGCTTAAGTATCGGAATATCCATGTAGGTAATTTATAAGCACTAAAAAAACTCATATTACGAGAAGTCGAAAAGATGAATGAAAGAAAATCCAGATGAAAACAAGGTAGGTAGCATAGAATGTAACTTTTCGAGGAATGTATTCTTTAACAACAGAGCAAACTAATACGATGGAATTATATACTTTTTGATGTTGATGTATCTTCCATCTAACACTATTTCTAATTTATGAAGAAAAAATGTATTTTCTTTGTTAAATTAAAATATTCCAGAATGAACTAACTTTCCTGGCTAATTCTTAAATTCCTCTGTGTTTATGCAAAAAAAAAAACTATAAAGAAAGTATAAGCCACAAATTAATACACCTTGAAATACTAAAAATCGTTTCTTGAACTTTGACAGCTTTGGGATCATCAAAAAATCAAATGCTCAGAACATACAAAGCCATAATAAAATTTAAGTTTATGAGATTTTAACTTAAGCTTATGAGAATAATTACGTTTTGATTTAAGGAGAAGCCACAAATTTTTATCTTTAAGTTTAAAAATACATAAAAATTGATTACTGTTTGCAGAATCACTTATAACATTATTTTGACTGCTCAATTAATATTCTCTTTAATTAATTTTCGAACTATATATCAGTTACGAATATTAAACCGTAAATTTTTTGATTTTTTTGTATGACAAAAATCTAATTTGAAATTTGGTACTATGAAAAATTGAGAACTAAATAAATAAAAACCTTCACTGAAACTGAAAGAGACCAAGATGATATAATCTATTGTCACTGGGATGAGTTTCAGAAAATAAATTCAATGCCTTGATGAGATTAATTCCAACAAAATTTTAATAAATTAGGAAGTGTGATAGCATAAAAAAACCTAAAAAATGTAAGGTCATCAAGAGGAACTAAATTTCTAAACATTAGATCCAACTTTATCAGTCTAGCATTTTTCTAAATAACTATAGGGATAATATCCTGGATATTAAGCTTTTTTTTGTTTGACATTTTTCAACCAATAAATGTTTATCCACATGCAAATTACAAAATCCGACGTTAATATCATACAATTTTGTTTCCTTTAATCACATTTCACATCTTACTATAATTTTACATTTCTTTGTCATGCTTTTAACAGGATCTTATAACTATTTATCATTAATAAAAACCTAATTAGTATCTGCCATTTGTAGTAGTAATATTTACCTTTATAATGACTGAATATTAGTATTCATTACTACAGATTTACCTTTGTTCGTGACGTCAGCTGTTCTTCCTAATGCTTGATAGTTATTAATATTTTGTATTGCCATTTCAGAAATCTTTCGATGTTCATAAAATATTGAGATATAAAAAAAATTACTTTTCATTGAACATATAGTTTGTAGAGGGAGAGCATTTGAGGGTTTCCCCTGGAATAAATTCCTTATAAGATACTTAGGCCCGCCCGTGTATCGAAGTTGTTAACCCTTGCAATTGGGTCACACCTCTAGCACAACCCTCTTCAGGTAAGAGGTGCCGGGCCTGTAGGAATAAAATACAAGGCATTAATTTTGTGATTTCACACAAGAGCCATCGAGTGCTTGGCAGCTCATGGCCCAAACAAGCTGCTTAGAAGTACATAGAGAAAACGAAATTTTGTGTACCTTCAAAAAGTGAGCACTGATGCATAACGATGGCTCAAGTGAGCTTAGAATAAATAAAAAAAGAGACTTTGATCCTACCTTAAGCAATGTATTGATTTCTCTCAATGATGTGATGGGAAATCCTTCTTTCTCCTTCTCCATTTTTAGTCGTTTCAAAGCGACTATTTCCTCCGTAGTTTTGTCACGCGCTCTGTAAACAACTCCATATGTGCCTTCCTCTATTCTGTTTAGACATTGAAACTCCTCAACCGATCTACAACCCTATAAAAATAAGTTCATTAGCAGATATCTGGACAGTAACCATGGCTCTGATGATTATAGTGGCTGCAATGACAGCTTACATGGTGCTACAAAGATTATAGAAGAGATGAAAAACTTTTTTTGTAACACATCTCAAAAACAAGACAAAATTATACCTGTAGTTAAAAAAATATCATACCTGTAGTGCTGGATAGTATGGTGGAAGAGCGCTGATTGCCTCTTCTCTTAATTTGGCTTCCTCATCATCTTCCTGAGTGTTTTCAACTGTCTCAGTTTTACCATTTTCTCCAGGCGGTGGAGGTGAGAAAGAATGTGAACGACTTCTACTCTTTGAACGTGAATGTGACCTTCAAGTTTTAAATATAATAATACTATAATTTTTTTCACTATCTCAGATAAGATAGTGAAAAACTTTAATTTTAGAAATAGTCAATCTGTTTATCAGTTAAAACTTAAGTAGTTTCAATTTAACTCTGTATCTAAGAAGGAAGTCTATAACATAACACAGAATGGCAGTGAAGTCTTCTGCTTGTTAAAAACAATATTCGAACAAACAAATTACTAATATCTTATTTTTTTATAAAATTATTTATAGTTGAATGCAACTACCATCATCACATTTATACCCAAGGTTTTTGTAACATTAAGTGTTGGTTTTTCCTGTCCATGCAGCAAACTCACTTTCTTGATTAAGAAATTATTTTATTTCCTACTTTATAGACTTTTTATTGAAACAAAGCAATTGAAGTATTAAAATGATTCAGATAATTTTATTACAGTAATTAGAAGAAAAATTGCAAAATTACTATTCAATTAGTAGAACTTTTACTTACATACATTTTTAAAATAAATTAATAATATTTATTTGATAGACATACCTTTTGGAATCATGTGAAGATGGACTCTCATGGTTAGACTTGACTGATACAGGTGATCGTGAATTTTGCCTGGACTTATCCTTTTCACTGATGTTATCCTTATGATCTTGTTTCATTGTTTTTTCTTCTTGTACTTCATTATCGGACTTGGATTCTGCCCCACCATCAGAATCTGATTCGGTCTCTGTGCTATGTTCTTCAGTTTCTGTATTTGAATGTTCCCCTATAAATAATAAATGTTTTTTTTAAATTCTGTTTCATGATTGGATATAATGTATTCATAAAACCTTGCTCCACAAAACCTTCTATGAATATTTATTTTAAATCCATTAAACATTTTCAAAAAACCTCTTGTTGTAAAACCAACATTACGGAATCTATTCCTACCTTCCTCAGGCTCTGAATGGCCGGAATCACTCTTCATTTCCACATCACTTGCATCTGACACAGTAACCACAGAGTCCCCGTAATTAGGAGAATGTTCTGTTTTATTTTTCTTATTTGAGCTGTCCTCGGGTGAAACTGATCTCTTCTTACCGCGACGTCGACGTTCTTCACGTCTAGCTTCCAATTCTACCCGAGACTCGTGTTTCCGCTTGACCATTTCTCGTTCTGAAAATTTAAGAGTTATAATGAAATAAGTTGCAGATATTTAATAAATTAATAGTTCTTTTACTTATTTACTTTTTAACTACCTTACATAAATGAAATATTTCAATAATAGTAGTAAAATCCAATTCTAGCTATAAAATATTTGTATATAATTCCATATCATATTGAATACTACAAATATGTACTTGATAATTTTTGTATACATTGATTCTCATCCAGGTTCATGTATAAAATAATAATGAAAATGATTCAAAATACTTTGTAACAAAAAAATTTTCAACACAAACCTGCTTCAAGCAATCTTTTCCTTCTTTCCTGCTGATGTTTATCTAAAGAAGAAGAGTGACGGTCAGAATTTTTATCTCTCTCATATTCAGCATGCTTTTTAGTGTCCCTATCATATTGTGCATGCTTTTTAGTATCTTGACTTTGTAACTCTTTAGTAATTCTTTTGCTAAGTAACCTACTTCTTAAATCTTCTAACTCCTTATCTCCAGATGTCTTATCCCTATTTTCTTTCTCACTATTTTGATTGGGTCTACCATCATCAGCGAGAAGCCTCAGCCGTGACTCTATTCTATCATTTTCCATGCGTTTTCTCTCAGGTTCACTATACTTATATTGACGATCACGAGTGACATATATGTCCCTCTCCCGTTGAACGTCCTTATCCTTGTAAATCTCTTTCTCCCTGTAAACATCTTTTGGTCTAGCACTTTCTCTGTAGGCATTGTCCCTATACACTTCCCGCTCGCGATAGTGCTCCCTCTCCCTATATGGATCCTTTTCCCTGTATATGTCCTTTTCCCTATAAATATCTTTTTCTCTAACCTCTCTCTCACGATACATGTCTTTATCACGAATGTCTTTCTCCCGATATGTTTCCTTTTCTCTATAATATTGTTTCTCCTTGTAATAATCTTTAGGCATTTCTTCACGTTCTAAATTTCTACTGAACTCACGTTTTGTTTTTTCCGACTTATCACGTTCCCTGTTGAAAAAATAATTATTTTGTTGTACATCCCCAGAGCAATGAGTCAGACCTTAAATAATATGATTATTATTATTCGATAATAATAATATAGCTTATATTATACAAACACTCAAAATACCAACCTGTAGAGGTGTTTCTTATCCTTTCGAACACTTTCCTTGTATCTGTCTTTGACAGATCTCTTATGATTTCTTTTGTCTCGGTGAGAACGAATAACTGCTTGTGGTGGTTTAATTACTAAGGAATCTGCGTTATCTCGATCTTCATCGGAGAGACTACGAAGAGAAATATAACAAAACTAAATACCACAGGACAATGCGCAATAAATGGATCAATATAACCTGCCAGTTATCTACTTTTACGTCGATTATATATCTATTTAAATACAATTACACCCAAATCTCTTACCTAAAATCCATTTCGTCTTGAACAGGACTACGTGCTAATTCTCCATCTTCACTTTGGTCATCTTCGTAATTACTCATGGTACAAGACTTACACAAAGTAACTTTTAAGGAATAAAATGAAATTAAACGCAAGCACCTTATATAATACGAACATAAATGACAGATATTCTTTAAAGATTTGTTTTAGATATAATAATTCTTAGAGTGACCGTGTAAGCAAGTTGATGAAAAAGTTTACAAAAGTTACAACTTACAACCCACTCAACATTACAAGTCACGCACAAACGTACACGCCATCTTGTTTCTTGTTATTTTAATAAACCGGATCTGGTTCAAGCTTCAAAGAGCGAAATGACTGATTATGAATGAATGAGTTTTTTTTATTTGTTTTAATAACAAAACCTATTTTTGTAAAAGAGAAGACAATGTACATGTTTTAACAATTTGTAATCGGTTTTTGAATAATAAAGCAGAGTCCATTACGCACTAATTTTTCTTTTAAATAATAAGTTTTATACAATAATGACTAAAAATGAAATGAAATACAAACAGCTTAAAACAAATATTTGTATACTTTTTTCATACTAAAGTAGATTGATTTTATCGCTTCACTTGGAATGTTGATGAAGTGCTAGACAAACATGAAAAATGTTCTTAAAATCGGATAACAGGATCTCTATAGGATCTCTAACAGGATCTTAACGAGATACAATTTGTAGACACAATGAATTTATGTTGTTAAAGATTCAAAAATAATTTAAAAACTAGTTAACTCCATTTATACAAACTTTTACAAGATCACCTATATTTATATTCTGTTGCATCAAAAAGTATCTGATATAGTCTTTTCTGTGAAGAAATAATATTATACATTCATAATAGAGAAGATCCCTTAACGATTTTTTCAGTGAATCTATAGTGATTATGTATTGTTAAAAAATTAAGGTGTACATTGACAGTGACGTTCATAACAGGATTATGTCAGATGTCATTGCTTATTCATAATTTGTGATTGTATTTGTATTTATGTCTAATAAATAAATGTTGATCATAATAAAATTAAATTTCTTTCTTACACTTTAAGAACAAATTTTGGGATAACTTTAATTCTTCTAAAAACAAACATTTTAATGAATAATGGTACGTCTTACAATAGTTTTATATACAATTATTAGTATCAATGTAGTTTAGGAGAAGACCTATAACTTATAGGCTATAAGTAAAGCAAGTTTTTCATTAAATGATGCCAACGCTTGAAGGACAATTTCATTATTTTCTTTTTTATTACATTTTTTTAATATTAACAAATTTTGTTTCAGAACAATAAAATTTTGAATACCCTAGCTAACGTAATAGATAACAAGGACGATATAAAGAGAAGGCTTGAACTTGGCCTAGCTACTTTGCGTGAGCTACAAGTCTGTGTTGATAATTGTCAACACCGGTTTGGTGGTAAATCTGAATTGGCAACAGAAGATGACATAAGGTAGGATATTCTTTTCTTTCCAAATTAAAAATTAAACCTGTAATTGACTATATCTCTTCGAAAAAATTACACTCTTTTGTTGTATAGTATAATAATATATATATTATATAACAAAAAAGTTGCCAAAAATGTTATATAATACCTTATGAGATTTGGTAGATAGCAGTTTGCGTTAAAACTACCATAAAGAAGTATTTGTTTTTATAGTTTATTTATATATTTTGACAGAATAGTTAACTTATGTGAAAAATGGGAAAAATTGTTGAGCCATGGACTTAAAACAAGTCTTTCTAATTCCACAATACAGAATTTTGTTACTGCCGGATTAAATTTCACCTTTAATATAGTGAATGTTGGTGAGTCAAACGATTTAGTCTGACAAATATAGTTTTTTATATATATAATAATAATACAAAGTCCTGTTTTTGTTCTCAGGGAATTCTTTGTGGAGCTACAGTTGCCTTCATCTAACAAAACATGAGAAAGAAAGATTTAAAATACTTTCACATATTAATACTCCTCTGGGGTACTTTCGAGCTTTCTTACGAGCCTCACTAAATGAGAGGTCCCTGGAAAGGTAAATTTTACATAAGTTAAAAAAGATTATCTTATACAATATAAATAATTCAAAGTTTCCTTACTTAAATTTTAGTACTATTAGTATTGAAAGATGTAAGTTTTCCTTGGAAATCTGGCAAATTCTATTCTATTATATTTTTAATTAAAAATAACTCAGGAATTTATTTCTATATTGCAATTTATGTAAACTACATTATAAATATAAATATGCAAATGCCATAGTATAATATATAGCTGTGCTTTGTCTTAAACATACAAATAAATAAAAAACTTTTTATTTGTTTGTTTTTTAGTGCTAGAATATTAAGATGATATTATTAATATAAAATATTCATTCACAAAGAAAACTAAGCATATTAGCCACTTCTATCAGTGGCGGCGTAAGGCGTGGGCGACGTGGGCAACCGCCTACGGCCTCGCGGTACAAAGGGCCTCGCGCCTCAAAAAATTATAAAGCGAGAATAAAAAATAAATATCTTGTTCTTCTTCTTCTTCTTCTTCCTGGCAATTTCCCAGCTATAGCCAGTGTCTGCCTTACATGTTGTGATTAGTTTTGGCTATTTGTTTTTACGACCGGTCCCCTGCCTGACATCAACCCTCTTTGGGAATCAGAATTAATTAAACCTATTAGTGTGTTCAATATTTTAATAATATTTAGCGAATAAATAGATAGTGTTTAAGTATATTGATTGCCCCCGAAAACAGTGACGTTTTATAATATCTTTTGAAGGAAACCAAAGCTTTAAGGGTAAAAAACGTATCTACGTTTAAGTTTTTAAAACTAGCAGGTAGTAAGAGCTTCAAGTTGCCATAGAATAGGGCCTCGCGAAATCTGTCTTGCCCACATCAAATTTAGGTCTTGCCCCGCCACTGACTTCTATAATAAAGTTAGTTTGTTAATTGAAAAAAATATTAACAGGTATTTGCAGAGCTGGATCTCACATGGCCTTCTAGCAGAATATTATGATGAAGGTGCATTTGTTAGGAGTCCAGAAGCACAATTACTTCCCGGTATAGCCAAAGGTATGTAAAAAAATATTTATTAAATCTGTATATTGTTTATAGTAATGTTATCAACCTTGTTCCAGGCTTATCAACCATACTGTTTGCTTTATCAATCGACAGAGCAGAGATGAATGAATCACAACAACCAAATAATATAAACAAAGCCGAGCTATTAATACCAGTACCCACACCTGTTAGGACGTCTGGCAATTCAAAACGTAAGCCATTTAAACAGGTTATTTCTTTTGATAAAGTTGACGATAAAAAGGAAGTTACACAGAAGAGATCATTGGATACAATACAGAGTGCTACAGAATGTTCATGGAGTAGTGCACCAGCTACGTGTCTTAACTCACCAGATCCTAAAATAACACCAAAGGCATCAAACAGTGAACCAACTAGTTCAGATTACAGGAACAGTCTAAGATACTTCTTTCCGGACAGCGTTAAGGCAATGGAAAATCCACTGCAAATACTATCAAAGTTATCTGAAAGCGCCAAAGAAATATTTTCCAGTTCACAGAACAGTATAGATAAGAATGCTAAGGATGATGTGTCCGATTTAAGTGTGAATTGTCTCAAGTTATCGGAAAGTGATAGTGAAGAGGTGGCAGGGAGTATTGATGGAAGTACATCATGTTTGGAGCTTTGTTTCACAGAAGATGAAACTCATGATAACAACAGCGTTAGTTCCGCTTTAGATAGCAGAGAAAAGGACTTTATGAACTTGCAAATAAAGTTCAACCAGTATGAAGCGTCAAGTAAAGAAAAAATACATAAATTAGCAAAAGTAATTATAGATCTAAGCAAGTGAGTATGAGGTTTTATAGAAATTAACTTTTATTACTGCTTCATTTATAGTGTTTAACTTTTATTTCCATTGTGTTTTTTTAGAGAAAATGATAGATTAAAGGATCAAATCAAAAATTATATGTCAGCAGTGGAATTGGGTAGGGCGAGGAAGGACAACGAAAATACCGAACAAGAAATAGATATGTATGAGAGGAAATTGGTTCAGGTAATTCTTGATATATTGAATTCTAAGCATATATATTTTACATTAGATTTTAGTAACTATAAGTATTATAGGTAATAAATTGTATTTATTAAGACGTGTTATTTATCCAAGGTAGCAGAAATGCACGCAGAACTTATGGAATTCAATCAACATTTACAAAGACGGTTACAAGACTTGGAGACTAGCGGTTTGGAAGTTCTTGATATGCCTGAGTCAAATGTCAAGGCTTACATACCAAGTGCATTCCTGGTTGGCAAGAAAACTCAGACCTATCATGTTTATCAGGTATTTTATAGTTTTGTTGTTATTTTGTATATAATGTAAACCCTAAATATATACTAAAAACTTATTTTCGATACTAACCATTAATTTATTATCAGTATTTAGAATGTACTGTCATTACGAAATTACAAACACTGATAATAATTAATAATATATTTTTAATTTGAATTTCGAATGCATAAGAAGATAAGATTAATAAGTATTCTTTATACAGATATCTTTTAAAAATATTTTAAGTAAATTTTCTAGCTTTAAAAAAATATAACGTTATCTCAATTATATTTTAATGTTTTTATAAGCACTACCTGCTTAGTGATATTTTATCTTACATAGGGACACTGTTAAATTAAAAAACACTAGTAATTGCTAACGAAGTTATAAGTATTCGTTATTTAAAAATAATAATAACGGGCTGAAAATGTAAGCGATAAATTTATATTTGTTTTTTTATTTTATGTAGGTTTTCCTAAAGCTTGGCCACGAAGAATGGAACGTGTACCACAGATATGCCAAGTTTCATGAACTGCACACGCAACTTAAAAAGTGCCATCCCGATATAGCCAGCTACAATTTCCCTCCCAAGAAGACATTAAGAAAACGAGTGAGTACAAAATATTTTTACTCTTTCTATATCATTACTATTATATGAAATCTTACAATGTTGAATGTACTGATGCTATTGTGAATAATTGAGTGTTAATATTAACAAATTATGATTAGTACAAAAAGTGTGCTATTTGATCTGATGCAAAAAAAAATTGCTTTAATTTTATACATATACACATATAAGTGAAGTCAGCAGTACTATAAAAACTTAATATACCTAAATTGTATGAAACGTATAAGTTCCAAACAATTGAAGGCTATTGGATCCAAGGCTCATTTCCAAAAACGAAACAATTTTTCTTGTTTATATATATGTATAATATGTATGTATGTCTGTATATCAGGATTCGCGCGTGGTTGAATCTCGTCGTGTAGCCCTACAGTCCTATCTGCGTCATGTTTTGCTGTCGCTTCCCGAACTAAGGAACTGCACGAGTCGCGCCGCTCTCACTACACTACTGCCTTTCTTTGGGTAATACTCAAGAATTGCTATTTATTTTCAAACAGTGGCGGCTGGTGGGTTATCGAACTGGTGGTACACTTTACTAAAATATTAAAATTAGAAAACGCTACAAAACAACAATTGACATAAAATATGTTTATTTTTTATACATTAATTAATGCAACGACATTTTTCCGAAGCGAAATGTTCAATCACCTATTTATTAAAATCGGGTATTTTTTGTATATTTTTTAAATTCAATACTAAGCACAGAAAGTGCATTTAGCAAGTGCATGGTATTTCGTAGAAAAGTTTTGATTCTTTTCAATTCCAATTCGTCATACATCGGGTGCTCTCGGTAATCTTCGGCCGCTCGTGCGGCGCTCGAGAACCGACTCATTACTCGGTACATTTCTATGAACTTTTCTATGAACTTTTGTTTCACGCTCAGGCGTATTAACTCCTATCCCATACAAGATGTATTAGCAGTCCTCGTGCACTCGCCGAAGCGCACGATATATTAGTTTAGTAAAGCGCTCAAACTTTTTAACTATAATTAGAAATTTAATTTTTTATACGTTTTTGTATGTTTAGAAAATAAATATTTAAATGATAATTTAAAAATATAGATGAAGTAATATTTTGTAATTATTAAATCTTTTGAATTGGTGGTTCAGCGGACGAGTGCACTTAAGGTACAGCCGCCACTGTTTTCAAATATCCCTTTAAAATTCGTTAAATCGAGATGTGATGAATGAAATAAATTGATTTGTTTTCTAAAATGAATATATTTTCCTATTTGCTAGATTCTATATGGATTGAGTTCGGGGCGAACGAGCAGATAGCCTACCTAATGGACCTAGTACCGTGTCCCATGGACATCCGGACTAACTATAAGACTAGATATTTAAGATCTATGAAATATTTAAACAATCGTAGTTAATCGTATGTTACAAACAAGACGGTAGTCCAACTAATTTAAAATATAATTTTATTTATGTTTATCATATATTTTTTTTTTCATTTCAGAACTTCGTCAACAACAAAAGAGGATGGTCTGAACATATTGCCATCACGATCACAGTCCTCAAACAACGTGTCGGCAATCGACGGGCTTTGATTAAATATAATTACGAGGTGAATATTATAATAGAAAAATATAAATATATATAGAATGTGATTTATAAAATACAGTAAGCTTGTTTTTAATACATTTATTTATTACATTGAGTATAAAAAGAATACTTTTATATATGGTAGAGTTTATCTGTATGCAAATGTCCATTTGACCCACGCCCAGTCGAATGTAAGAAAAAATGTTGTAGATATATGTAGTACATACTGTTGTTGATATTGATATGAAACATTAAAATATAATGAACATTAACAATAACAAAGCAGTTGAATGCTTCTTTTTTAGATTAGATAGTTTTTTTTGTACAAATATCTGAGATTACCTTTTTTATATTATAATTGTATCGTGGTGGACTTTTGACTTTGACAAAGGTCAAAAATATTTCATCCTTTTAAAAAATGGAGGTAATCGTTTTCAATTTATTTATTTATTATTTTATTTCAATAGCAACATTCTGCAAACCACAAATGGAATATGTTTATTTTTATTTCAATTTCTTTAAATAAATATTGCTTCTTACCGTATGTAGTGAAAATAAAATATATTATTTGACAGTCCTCAGCGAATGATGCAGAAAATATTATCAGTAAAATAAATGCTGTAAATATTAAATTTTCTTATTAATGTAATTGTATGTACGAATGGGCTATTAAATAAAAGTGTTATTATTTAAAAGAAATTAAACTTCTAATGCGACTTCCAACAAAGTTGCGTTAAACGCTCAACGCTCCTGGGGAGGGGGAATAGAAAGAGTCAGAGAGATAGTAAACGGGTCGGTCAATTGTATATTGTAAGTAATGTTTATAAAGTTCGTCTTAAGGTCGATTTAACATTAAACGAGCGAATGCTCTTTCTATCCCCACTACATCAAATTCTTCTAGTGTAAACAGGCGTAGAGCATTCTTTCATTGTTCTTAGTGCGTTCGCAAAGATTCTATAGAATATTCTGAGAATGCTCGCTCGCTTGATGTAAACGGCGCAAGAGCGCACGAACAGTTGGCTAGAGTGTTCTAGCGTGTTCGCGCCAGTGAGCGGTTTCATCAAAGCGTTCTTGTTTTCTAGCGATTGTATACGTATCGATTAAATTATGGATTGGTCTCAAGAAAAATGTTTAGTAATGATAGAAGCCTACCGCAACTTCAGATGTCTCTGGGATCCGACGTATGAAAATTAAAAAATACATCATACAAACAAGATCCTTCGATGCATTAAATTTGTAACCCACCAAAGTCTCTTCCTTCTTTTATTTTTGAGTTTTTGCGACAAGACAATAAATGCAGCAATTGCAATAATGATATCGCTGTCAGAGTCCGACATAACGAAGCACTACCAATTCTAACCACAGAATTGAGACGAATGAGCAAAAAACTTTCGATCTAGCTTTTGTTTACACTAATAGATTAAAAAAGAATGCTCTTGTTCTAGCGCTAGCTCCATGTTCGTTTGATGTAAGGTAGGTGACCCAAAATAAGGCCTGCCTTAATTTTTTTATTTTCTAAATAGCGGGTTTATAATAAAAATACACTGGTTATTTGAAATCCTTATATTTATCTAATAAACTTTGTAACAAATGTAACAAAATTGCTTTAGAAACAAAAATTACACTTTTGTGAATAGAAATAACTAAAATGTCACTTTGGCCTTATTGGGAACCCTGTGTCTTAATAAAGCCTTAATAAAAACAAGTAAACATTCAACTTTTTAATGAATACAAAACATTATCAATACTCATACTCAATCTAATGAGACTAATTAAAAACTTTTAAACATAATAGAAACTAATTTTTCTTCATGAAAAAATACTAAAAATTAATCAGCCTTTTTGATTATTTTTTTTTCAAACAATCTCCTGAGCAGTAAAATATTTTATCAGCGGGTGTGAGTCCAACACACAGCTCATGATACCAAACGCCACAAGTAAGACATTGTCGCATATCATCAACTCGATCTTCTTGACAAGCTGGGCAGTACCAAGAAGGATCATTATCATGACGTATTGGCTCAGATTCTGTAAGCTTACCTGCAGTCAAAGAAGCAGTCTTTACTAAAATTTGCTTTTGTGTTGCAACAACTGCAGGTTGAGCAGACATACAGCCAGTAACTGACGCTGTTTTTGATGTCTTTGTGTTCATCTTTATCATAGATGAAGTACCCGGAACATCTTCTACTATTGACGATGGTACAGTTATCTGTGATTAGGGATGTGACATTTAACATAAAAAATCGATTTTTAATTAATCGATTTGTTTTTTAGTTTGAAAAATCGATTAATTAAGAATCGATTTTTCTTAAGAAAATAATCGATTTTTTTATATTAATCGTTTTTTTCCTAATTTATCAATAAATTTCAAAATGAATGCCATAAATATTACATCAATTGATTTATTAATTAAAAATAAACAACAAAAATAGTAAGTTCTAATATAATCAACACAAATTAAAGATTTAGAACAATCAAATTATAAAAGGCTCAAATTAAATTTTTTTTTACATAAATCAACAAAATTAAATTATTCAAAAAAAAAAAACAAACTAGAAATCCGTAGGCAACGAGTTCAGGAATAACAGCTTAGGTAAGCGTTTGGATAATATTCGGCTCCTGGTCTTTGTTAATATGGCACCAGCTTTCGAAAACAATCTCTGTGCTGGAGCCGAAGAAGCAGGTACCAATAGGTGCTTACACGCTAACTGTATGAGTTGGGGATAAACTCCCTCATAGCTTCTCCAGGATTCTAAAGCGTCTTCTTTTAGTCCTATTAGAGGCGCAGCTATGTACAAGCTTAATTCGGATGTCTGACTGTGACTTTGACTGGTTCTCATAGTCTCCAATAACAGCTTGTTGTGGGTCTCCCAAATGTCATCATTATCGACATTATCAGCGGCCGAAGTTATTGACAGAGGGCAATGCTCAGGTTCTCGGTTTTCTTCAATGGATCGTCTAATGTAGTTTACAGTTCTTGCCAAAGATGCTCCGTCATCAAGATGTAATTTTTTAAAACGAGGATCTAAAAATGTTGCAGTATTAAATAAATGAACTTTTTGTATGTGCTCAAATCTTTTCTTAAATTCATTTATTATTGAATTTTTTAATTGGATAGCCAAATCATGCAAAGGATCTGTTTTTTCCAAAAACTGTTTCAGGCATATTATAATGGGAATAGCTTTGCTTGCGCTGACATATTTTTCACTGCACATCTCCTCGCTTACTTTTTCAAACGGTTTGAGAATTTTTACGACCTCTTTCAATACAGCAATTTCACTAGCTTGAATCATAGGAGGAGCATTAGGGTGATGTAACAAAATGCCGCCCACCCATAGCTATAAACCTTTCAAGCATATGCAATTGTGAATTCCATCGCGTTGAAACATCTCCTACCAGGTGTTTAATTTTTCCTTCCTTTACATTTTCAGCCTTTTGCGAATATCTTAATTGGTCCGCACCAACTCCACTCTGATGGAACCATTGTACAATTCTGCGAACTTTATCAATAAATATTTTTATTTCATTCACCATGACTGAATTTTGCACAACAAGGTTTAATGTATGGGCTATGCAACGAATATGCTTTGATCTGCCGAATGCTAATTCAATGGCCTTTACTATATTTGCACCATTGTCGGAAGTGACGGCCACAATTTTTTCATGGGGTATTTCCCATTTTTCACATATATTTTTAATATATTTTCACATATATTTTTAGTATATTTCACTCCAGATCACAGACTGTGATCTGGAGTTCGTAGCACTATTACCAAACAAATCTTTTGTTACTTCTTGAGCCCTGTAATTCAGAGACTTCTTGCGTGAAGCAGTCGCTACAATTTTGAACTTAGGATTTGGTAAAAGTTCATGAATCTCACATGTGGTTGATTGAATATCTGTCTTCTGTGGAGTTTCAGCATTAGGATTATTTTTGGAGAGCAAGGACAGTGGCAAATTCTCAGAATCTATCCCCGATTCGTCTGAATCTACTACATTTACAGTTGAAGTCTCTTGTTCCTCCGATTCATCAGGTAAGATACCAATATTCTCACTGTTTGTAGGATTCGGAAGTTCTGACAGCGCAGAGGGTGCAAACGCCTCTTCAGGAATAGCATCAGGATTATATGGATATAACCCTGTAGCACGAAACCCATTCGAGATATTGGTAATAGTCATACATTTCGGCCATACTTGCGAGAGAATGACATTAAGCTTGTCTTGTTGAGGGTTCGTTCGGGATGCTGACTGACGTATTATATCAACTCTTGGTCCCAATGATGCTCAAAAGAACGATAAACAGATTTATCCCTGGGCTGAAGCTCATGAGTTGTGTTCGAAGGAAGACAATATAAAGTAATGCATTTCTCAGCTTCCTCCACAATAGTAAAGTCCAGGTGGCATTTTGCACCATCAAATATTAGGAGACATGGTCCTGATGTTCTGTATTTATGCAAATGATTAATAAACTCTATGAAAGTTTCTGTCGTCATGCTGCCTTTTGGGGTCATCTTTACCGGAGAGCCTGGTGGTAGATTATCTTTATATTCTGGCTTCATTCTCTTGCCTTTGAACAATATCATTGGCGGGATAGCTGATCCTATAGCATTTCCGCAGCCTACAACAATGACACTTTCAGCATGCTCATTCGCTATTTGATGAACTCTTTTTTTTCCTTTGGCTGTCAGAACTTCCTGCTGATGGTGCAAAGATATGCGACAATTTTTTTCGTCGATGTTGTAAATGCTTTCAGGTTTATGTTCAATTCCAAGTCTGCCCAGCACACTTTTGTATTTGGAAAAGTGATCGCTAACAATATCTTTATTTAATTTTTGAGCACGTGCTGGATTCATCATCTGTGCTTTACGACGAGCTAACTCAGTATGCCGTTTGAGAAAAAGCCTTAACCATTTCTTTCTCGCGGCGTTTTGACGTCATTGAAAGTGTTTGGAATTTTATTAATTTTACAGAATGCAAAAGCCTGTATGCGCATCATCTTTGATGTTAACGGCATTCCACCATCAGCCAGACGTATGATTCTTCTGACAAGTTCAGCTTCTTGTTCTGGAGTCAATATAGACGATCGACCTAGCTTTCGTGTTGTCGACCCACTCGCTAGATGGTTGCGTAGGGTTCTTCTTGGGATGTTGAATCTGTCTGCAGCATCATATGTAGATAACATACCTCTTTCTACCATATTAACAGCGTTTTCCATCTGTTGTGAAGTCCTTTTGAGCCCTTTTTTTCTTTGTGGTAGAAGCTGGTGATTCGTTTTCCATGATGTTACTGAAAACAAGGGTTTGACTATTTTAATAAGATAATTTTTTGCTGACATAAAACATTGTCCTAATAAGGCCTGTACCTGTGCCGTAACAAGGCCTATTAATTTTTTTGGTAGGCCTTATAAGGGCAAGGCACAGGGGTAAACAAAAGAACAATTATATGCAATACACCGATATCACAGCATTTTCACTTATTTGAGGAGATGGCTATACGTATAATTAACCTATAGACAAAATACAGCACACCATGTACAAATAAAACTAAAAATTTACTGTTTAGTTAAACTTACTGTTTAGTTGGCCAGAATTTTATAAAAACAAGCGTGCGCTCCGCATCGTTGCTGTTTTCGACTGCAGATTCCAACACGCTGCACGGGCCTCTTGTCGCGTTTGTGGGTGTTAGTTACCCTCTTTTCACATTACACGATTTCGCTCGTGCGGGAAAAAATCGCCCGGGCAATTTTTCTTGATCGACTATTGAAGAGTACGAGACCTTTCACATTGCACGATTTGAACACGGGCACGTTTTGTAATCGTGTTGCAGCCGTCCAGTGCCACTAGAACCGCACGGCTACCGTATCGCCCTCTAGCCTAGTGGCCTATGTGACCAAATGCACGCTTTCACACTAGACGGTCTTTAGTCGTACGGGAATTGTAGAACACTCTTCAGTTTCCCATGTAACTCATCAAAGGAGCGAACTGACATACTAAAGTAGTTGAAAAACTTTTGGTCATCGTTTCTAAGATCTTCAAATAATGTGTGGAACATCCCGACTTCCTCTCGTCTCTGATTAATTGGGTGAATCCAGTGAAGGCGATTGCGCCTTTGTCTTTTCCGACGCCGATACAGTATCCATAACACAATAACTTGTTCGCGATCCATAGTTTTCATCCAGACCAGACCAAATGTTCCAATGAACTGATAAAAATGTACGATTTTTATCGTTCAATGTGAAAGTAGCAAAACCACGATTAAAAATCGGGCAATTTTTTCCCGCACGAGTGAAATCGTGTAATGTGAAAGTAGCGTTAATGTACACGCACACATCTATAAACATTGGCGGCCGTTTGAAATTGTGTAGCGTCAAATTTGAAAAATAGGCCTTATTAGGACATAGGCTTTATTTGGGTCACCTACCTTAAATCGATACCTCTAGCTTTCGTTTACACTAAAAGATCACGAAAGAATGCTCTTGTTCGAGCTCTATCTCTATGTTCGTTTGATGTAAACCGGCCTTTAAAGAAACAATATGAGTTCAGTAACAATTTATTTTTACTTCTTCCTATTTTTTTTTAAATTCCACATTACGAAGTTTCACTTCTTGCGCGCGGAGGGACTCTACGCGCTACTTTTTTCTATATAATAACTTCTATTTTAATGTGTAAAAATAGTTTAATTTGATTAATGTATTATTAAAAGGATATATTTTTTCAATAGTTTATAATAAAATTTATGAATCACTATCATTGTTAAGGTATAAAATGTATTATAAATACAATTATTATTTATATAAGAAATGAATTACTTATGAAAATACATATTGAAGTAAATAATATTATATCATTTGTAAAGTATATATGTTCCCATGTTTAATTTAGTAAAAATTAACGCTTTGCAGTATTTTAGTCCAACATAATATGTATATTTTAAAGAAAATAGTCCTTATTTTTATATTTTATAATCTTAAACAGAAATTGTTTAAGATTTTTATATTTTGTTTAGATGGTTAATTTTCGATTAATGAAGGAATATGATTATTTATACATACATTCACTAACGAAAGTGCAAAAAAAGTTGTGTAAAAACTATCTTAGAATAATCACTGATCATTTTATACCATTACTATCTGTGATAGAACTAGTTTTAAAATGTTATAATATATTCCAAAATATTTCTATAGGAATAATGATGTGTAAAATATTGTATTTAAATGCACTGTTTCTTATTTTCTTCAATTGTCTTTACGTTGTTGTATGATACGTAAAACTAATGTAATGTAATAATGTTTAAAATGCATCTCACCAAAACATTTTAATAATAGATTGCTTTAGTAATTCCAGTGTTATAATTGTACCTAATAATTTGTATACTTTTAACTTAAGTACTCGTAGCTCGAAGTCTTTATAAAATTGTTTACCCGCTGAGCAGTTGATAATTTTTGTCATGCAGTAGCGTTGTAGGATGTACCAGATTGATCAAAAAACGTATCCTTAAATACGATGTCGACTACATTATGCATAATTAAAATTTGCACACCTATATGAAGTGTCCCTTTTCTCATTTAATAACCCACGTTATAACTGTTATGTTACGATTCATGAATGCAACTCTATTAATATTAACGCTTCGTTTATATCCAACTGAGATTAAGCATACAAAATATGTATTGCTAACATTTTTCGATGCCATTTGCGATGCAATTAAATTAATTTTTGTCAAAATTATAGATGTCTTGACATTTTACATGTTATGACGTGTTGTATTGCGCGGGAAACTTTTTAATTGATTACATTTCATTCCCACAATCCCACCTAAGCTACTGATAAAAATACCTTAATGTATGTATTAAGTTATAGTGTTTCAAATATGTTGATATATCATAAAGTGTAGTTCTCTTTCTTCCTTGTATTAGCGGATACAGATTTTAGCACGTTAAAAATTAGTTGAATGTATGAAATTTAAATATGCGCTGTCCATTCCATATTCCTCAGAAATATTTTTTGTAATAAACCATGTAATTAGTATCATTACTATCATCAAAAGGAATGGAAATTGAGATTTATATTTATTAAGGTTTAGCAAGATAACACGTTAGATGTTTTTCTCGTTTCATATTATTTTCTCACTACTATGAAAACGTTGTACATTAATTAATATAAATGGTACATTAATTCAAAAGTAGCATTAGTGATGAAGTATGTAATAAATTTATGTAGGTATAGAATTTTTTTGCAATTGCAATATTAAGAGTAGCCTGAACGATCCAGACCCTGTTTTAAATAAAAGTATAAAACAATTATAGTTTTTAATTCCTGATTACTTTTATTTTTCATTTTAACTTTTGACTATCGTAATCCAAGTGAAAGGCTGTTAATTAAAAGGCGCTGTAGCAAATTAAATTCATAATTTTATTTTTATAATAAATAAAAATCCAGAAAACACTCGTTTTGAGAATTTTCTATATATTAAATACATCATACAAAAGATGTCAATACAAACTAAATCACTTGGTGCAAAGGCAAGCCTGTCGGTTTGGGTCAACGTCGCCCCGACCATACTTTGAGCTATCTATGCAACAGGCGAGTGAAACCGAGGATATTAGCCTCATTTATCTATTCATAACAAAAAAACAGTTACTTACAAATAAAAAGGTAATGGTTTCTCGCGTGGAATACATTCATAGTAGGCATCACCCATCCGAATGAAAAAATATGTATTTGATCATGATTATAAAATAATGTATATATGCATGTAAAAAGCGTAATACACTTCTAGTTAGAAAAAAAAATGATAATTTATGTTTATGTAATATAATAAATAGAAAATAAAAATCCAGTATCTAACTTAAGTATGAAATAATTTACTACATCTTTACACCTAAAAGATATAAAAGTATTGCAACACATCAAGGAGCTTTGGAACGGGTCGTTAGTGGGAACTATTCGTTAAACTGATGGTAATAACGCTTCGTTTCAATAAATATAACTGTTGTAATTTGTCTTTGGTCTCTGAAACATGTCTATCATAGTTCCAAAACTCCTCAGAGGACGCAGCGCAGGCCCGATTCATTTCGACATTGAGACAATACAAATATTTTTAAAGCCCACGCTGTTAAAACGTGATTATTTCATAAGTACTTACATAAGTTACAGATCTACTGACATATCAATGCATCTTAAAAGCAAATAGAGAACATTAACCAAATACGAAGGTGCGCTTATTGATTTTAATTGTATCCATTTTCAAAAGCGGTAATAATGAATCGTCGATAACTATTAAGTTGCAATATACGTTCACTACTTAAACGAAGACTTTTATTAGAACAATTTATAAATAAGTGACTACGATTACAACCGTGCAGACTCGTTTCGGACTTTCACTAAAAATCACAGCTCAAAAGCTAAGGTGCAATAACACAAGATAATGATAATGATGGCTGACAATAAGGTGATCGACCATAATAATATATCGTAAGGTGTGACCACTGCTTTATCTAGAGACATGTGTGACGTTAATTAGTCGTGCATTGGTTTATTACATTAATTATTAACCAGGGAAAATATATGTTGTATTAGTTGAAAGAGATTTTCATATTCCGTGTTAGAATATAAAAATCACCCACTAAATTTTTCGTTAAACCGTCTGGCGCTAACAGTACCTAATAGCTGTGAACTTGCTAGTTGCAGCAAGTCGCCAAGGTACAAACGCTCGGAAGACCAATGCTGTCGGGCCCTTCATTTCATACAAAATGGTTTGTTGGTTGTTTCACAAATCGTTGGTTACACACGACACCTTACCACATCGATGAGTCATCATTTTATTTAGCTTATTAAATGCTCGCATGTCGGCATAACAATCTTATCACAATATATAAAAATATATATTAAAAGAAGCTTAATCTAAACTACACATTCAAGATGCACTCCGAGATGCATTTGCCACCACACTTGCATAGCGACACCTATGAGGTTAATGTGATATTTTTATTATGATTTTAAGTTATTACTTTTTTTTTTATATTTTTCATTTGTGCGGTAGCATATGCAAGTTTTTTGCGAGTAACTCACGGCATATTCTTAAACATACAACATATTGCAAGAGAAAATCCAACAAATCCATTAGAAGAAATAGCTGTAGGGTAGATGTCGGTCGCCTGTGTCCAGGTAACTGACATTTTTACTTTTATTACTCACTGTTGATGTTAAACCATTTCTTCTAAACAGATGTCTCTATGAGGATATTGACTTTAGCACGACATCGTAATAAGCGTTCCACGGTGGAACGTAATAATTGTCATATTGTTAAAATAATATTCTACAATTGATATACCATGAAAAGCAACATCAAAGTACAAGCGTCTGATCCGAGTAAAATAATACTTTCTTTTAGGAAAATCTTATTATTAACCAGAATTTTTTTTCTATACTGTGTCTATACAATTTAGCACTATTACGATTTTAACGTTGGAAATATTTACGTCCTCAAACAGCTCTATCGAATTATTTAACATGTTACCGTTTGCTACATAAAACTTTATTTCAAGAGGAAGAGAAGAGAAATTCAAATCATTTAACAATAATATAGCTTACAAAAATATTTTCATTTATTTTTTCTTATCATATCTTTTTTAATGTTAAACATTCCCAACGTCAACTTAACGGGAAAAAATTTGTTTCTTGAAATTCCATGAATACATCGCAATTTTAAGATAAAACACTAAATTAGGATCGAGTCCTGGTACATAGCGAATCAGTATAGACACAGATATGGCTAGAAGCTATAACTCTTTAAATACATGTGCACTTATTGACATAATATTAGACAGCTCGAAACTTTAAGCCTAGAGACGAGAGAGAACAAAGTTGACATATGTTAGTACGTAATTAGCACATCACTAATGAACATTTTTGTTTCATACAACAGACGAGACATACAACTTCGTTCAAACAAGTCTAAGAGAACTACGATATATTTTTTTTTGTTGTAGCTAATATTAGGCTTTTCATAAACATATAAGTAGAATTATATTATGGATATATTTTTCAAGAATGATTTTGCCGCCTTATTCTCTAGGTACATCTATGTTCATTTAGATTCACTATGACATTACGGCTATCTCTTCAACTCTCATCTGTAATGAAAATTAAAAAAATATATTACTATTAAATATTTAAAAGTTCTAAAATAATATTATTTAATTGTATCGCTGAGAAGTAACACTCATAAATAAATAATAAGTATATACATATTTCTTGGACTACGGCCATAACAAAATAGGTCAATCAGACAATAACCTTTTTGTTTCTAAATCTCAAACTAAAACAAAAATTGGACACGATTGCTCTTTGCCAAGAGACATAATGAGCGAAATACAATGTAATTAATCACTTTCATTAACGTTATTTCGATATTTTTATATTCCTGTATGACTTTTGTATTGATATTCTAAATTTGAATCCATATCGGTACTTTCATATTATGTATTTGTTAAAGCCTGGCTGGTAATAACTATTAGTTCCATGTATACACTATTTTTCTATACCTCTTGCACCAACCACGATCGACTTTCTCTTAATGTCCTGGGGAGCTGGTCGCACCACACCGGCCGCGCCGCTTCCCGCCAAGTGACCGCCACCAGCTCGAATTGGTTTTGCTGTAGTATAAGTTATACAGGAAATATTAATTAACTATAGTAACCATATAAACGACCCAAAATTCAAATATAGAACATAACCCACAGCAATTAATGATAAACTAAAAGTATCCAAATCCTACTAATATTATAATTACGAAAGTTTGTTGTGTGTGTGTATGTTTGTTACTTCTTCACGCTCAAACGGCTGAACCGACTTTGATAAAATTTTGTATACAGGAAGCTGACGTCCAGGAATAACACATAGGCTACTTTACATCCCGGAAATCTCAGAAATCCGCTGGTAACACCGCGGGTCGCAGCTAGTTGACAATATAATACTATGTAGGCTGCTATGGGTTTCTATATCAATGATATACATATTGTAACGTGTGTCGTACCGATCTGAGCCTGTACTCCTCTCCGGGCGAGGTTCTTGGCGCGCACCGCCTCCTTGATCCTGTCGACTTCAAACTGGTATCTCTTGCGGTCGCGCATAGCTCCCTCTTTAGCTTCCTATAGTATGCAATCAAATATGTATTGTGCCATAAAAAAAAATTAAAGCTGAGAAATTAAGAAGTTGCTTCTTTTTTAACGTTCTTAATTCTATCAATTATTTCTAGTATGTATGAAATTTAAATTATATTAACCTTGAGTGCTGTCTCCAATGCCTTGACTCGTTCCATGGTGGCTCTTAATCGTTTCTCTAACTTAGGCAGTTCGCAGCGCAAGTCGGCATTGTCCCTCACGAGCTGCTTGTGCACCTTTGTGAGTTGCTCGAGGTTGTTCTCCAAGAAGGAAATCTTCTGTTTCTGTGCCAGGGAACCGCCTTCTTCTTCCGCTCCTTCCTCGGAATTCGTAGATTTCTTTATCCTTGCCTGAAAAAAATGTTATCATTAATAATTATCTTTATAAACCTGAATATTAAAAAAAAAGAGTTAAAGTCCTTACCTGCAGATCCTGTACGAACAGCTTTCGCAGGTTATGAAGCGTTTGTAACTCTTTAGCCACGGTGTCTTCCAAACCTTTGAGATCTGCGCGGGCTTGCTCGCGTCGCTCCACACTTTGACTGGACAAACATTATATATTTTAATATATTTACATATTGCTTCATAAAAAAATGGCTTCAACGAGCGCAATAAAGACGTAAGCTGAATAAAGATAATTAAAATAAGATAAAATTAAAGCATACAGCATGATAAACGTATCAATAAAGTCAATAAAATGTAAAATGGCATTTGAGGGCACTTTATAACGCTCGTTCAGTGGTACATAAATACGGATATTACCTGAAAATGTGATCGAAATATGTCTCCCGGCACGCACCCATCCATATTAAGTCGCGCAGTGCTCAAAGGCCATCATAAAGAAAATGCCAACTCCCGGCAGAATGAATATGAATGGGATACGTGCGGAACAAAATGACAACTTAAAAAAAATTATAAAAAAGCGAGCCAAACAATAACTTGCACTACACATACTTGTACTTACATCGACTACTAATACTTGTACTTAATCAATAACATTATTGTATCACAAAAATAGTTAAACATTTCGTTTCTGCGTCATGGGGACATTAAAATCTAGAAGTCAAATAAAAGGAAAATATATAGAGTTACGGTATAGAACCCATGACACATCTTGAGCAGATGGCCCGTGTTATTGTGCAAATAGATGAAAAAAATAATAAAGTTTGCATTTCATAACAAAAAAATCTATTTGCACATATTCACAACCATTTTAGGTTGAGGCGACAATCACTCTTCGGCATTTAGAGTGCGTTTTGACTAAGGAAGGTGAGACGGACGCTAGGAAAAAAATAAATGCATTCAAATGATAAGAGTTGTGGACGAACAAATGATATGAAGATGATCATGCGCTACTACTAGATGATAAAATAATAAAAAAAATGCCATCGCTGGAATGACTACATTAATAAATGCAATTTGTAATAGTTAATTTAATAACATTTTAATGTCGATACTAAAATATTCTATTAGGAATACCTAAATGCATGATCAATTGTTAAAACATCTAACTCGATTGATCTTTTGATTGATTACATATAATACAAAAATATTTCAAGAAAAATATGTATGCAATGACTCTCTATACAAAGGTTATCAATCTATTTACATCTATGTACAAAACGGATAAGTTTAGATTCATTGAATAATACTAATTCATTGAATATCCCGCTTTACGATTTTGTGCACAATGTCATAGTCGTCTTCTATTCATACTTGATATAAATTATATTTAAGTCTGTTGTAAAACAAATAATAATTGTTGTTAACGCGATAAGGCAGTGATACTTGAAGAGCTTTAAATAATTTTAACCGATACAGTACAGTTAGTTTACCTTATAGAATTTTACTAGCAGGTACCGATTTATAACAACGACAAAATATGACTCTAACAACATCTAATATAACGAGAGAACACCTACAGACATATTCTACTATTAACCTAACTTTTTTGTTATTATCATGCTACTTCCACGAACATGCTCTGGGTTAGTTCCGCTACAGAAATAAGCATCATATCAGTAAATAGGTCGCATAAACAGTACTTTCGACTTATTAAACGAATGTTGACTAGAATCACGACAACTTCAAAGCGAAGCGTTATAAATGCATAAAAATATTAAGTATCAACTTCCATACAACAAATATGTAGGATGTTAGTTTCACTCACATTCGTCTTGCGAATATGTGAATTAAAAATATATAGTATTATTGCCACTGTTGTTATAAACAAGACGAATGTCGTGAACTTGGTTATGGATTAAAAACAAATCACGGGTCTCCCTTGCTGTGAAAAATATTCAACTAAGATGTATTGTCAAGGCACCAAATAAAATGTAAGGAGATCCGTGAAATATCACAGGAGTAAGTCGTTAAGCTTAAACCAAAACAACAATCTGTGGGTAACGGTGAGTGAGGAGGATCATGGTGACCGAAATAAGAAGATGTAACTGGAGGGGATGGATATTGCACGAGTGACGGGACTTAGGGATTGCCGAGAGCGACTTTTCCTCCCTGGCCGAAGCCTTTTCAATTTCTAGTTCGGGTCCGTACGAAATTTTGTCAGTTTTGGGATACAGTATGAGGTCTCTGAATTCATCCTCCTTGACGGTTTGCCGATTGGCGACCTCCTTTTCGGCCTTATCGAGAATACGTCGGGGCGATCGCGACACTAACATTAGCTCCTTGAGCTTGGCGGACTTGTCGGCCTCCTCGCGCTTCAGCTTTTCGTAGTCGTCCTGGAGTTGTTGGCGAGCGAGGGTCAGCTCCTGGTATGAACTGAGGAACAAAAATATGGTTGTCAGAAAAACGTAACATATAAAAAATATCGATAAAAAGGTAGAAGAATATGTTGTATAATAATATTGATATGATATAGAGTGTGTACTAACTCCTTGAGTTCCTGGTGGTGTCTCTGCAGCGCGGCCAGCTCGTCTCTGAGCGCCGCCAGCTGCGTGGCGTGTGAGGTCCGCAGCTGTTCCAGCTGTGCCTCGAGCGCTGCACGAACCTGGGTGTCGGCGCGCTGCTCGGCGGCCGCCAGCTGCACGCGCTCCGCCGCCTGGAAAAATAAGCCCATATTATAAGTAACAATACATAATAACATATCCAATTAAAAACTCTTGTACATTATTAATAAAATAATAGAAATACTAATTGTATTGGATTCGAGATACCTAATTACCGGAAAATCAATAACCTTGATTCATTGCCGCTGACGACATCATACGTAGCGATTATTAACATAAATTCCTTAAACATATTTTTACAACACTTTTTTGATCCCAATCTCTGAAGCGTTAATTAAAGAACGTCTATTTATTTCATTAACTCACGCAAGGTACACATATTTTCTAATTTACTCAACACTTTATTTATAACAATGTAATATAATAAACAAGGTTTATTGAAATCAACAACATTAAAATGATATGATTTGTAATAGATTAATATGAATATCAATTAAAACATTTATAATTTCATTATAGTTTCTCTTTTGATGTTTGATGAAAATATATGAAATCTAATAAGTTTACACCTCATATTAGTTATTGTAATATTTTTTGGAGCAACAAAATATTTAAAGATTAGTTATCTGTATGGATGTTAGTCATACCTGTAGTCGGGCGCACTCCTCCCTGAGGGCGTCAGCGGCCTCCTCCAGCTGTCGTTTCTTATTCTCCGCCTCACGCATCGACTCTGCAAGTGATGCACAACGAGCTTCGTGCTGTGAGATCAGCAGACGACATTCGCCCAACGACCTCTCATACTCCTCGATCTATTGACGATATGTATGTAATAATTATTAATTTCTAGAGAATGACCATGCTTAGTGTAATATCAACCACTTTGATAGAAAAATACGACTAGTTAAAAGCTATTTATGGATTAAATTCCTAAACTAACAAGTGTAGCCTTATGTCTATACCATTTAAACCATTTTATTTGCTACACACATACATTACATAGATTATACAGAAGAAAATAATAAAATTTAAAGAATACAGTGTAGTATTTAGGAGCAAGGAGTTCATCTCAGTATAAGCTGTGGTAATGCACAGCACTGATCCCACTGTCTTTCATATGAATAACATCAAACAGTTTGAGAACTGACCTTCTTGTTGGCGTCAATGTTAGCGGACTCCAGCGAGTGACAGCGCTGCACGATGTTCTTCACCTCACTCTTCATCTTGCTGATGTGTAGTCGAGCTACCGTGAACTCCTCCTCGAGCTTCCCGACCGTGTCTACATTCAGTTTGAAGTCCAACTCCGAGCCGCCGACCGCAGCGCCGATCTCAGCCAGGTCTCGAAGTAGATTTGTGAGCAGTTCAGCGATACGCTTCCGTTGATGAGCCGATAGATCACGCAGCTGTTGCAGCTCAGCTGTAGCAGTCGCGAGGGCGCTCTAAATAATTGATAAATAGAATATAATTATACTGTTTTTGTAGCATCAGTACTGGAAAATTAAGTAGGTATAAAGAATACGACAATCTTAATATGACCGTAAACCACGCAAATTTACTTTCAGATTAGATTAATCTCGATAATTTGTTCTAGTCACATTGAAACTGTAGTCTCGTTATATAGATCTTAGTCTCCACCTGTTTAGTCTGCAGGTCCTCAGACAGCTGGTCGCACTCCCTGCTCTTGCTGTCAACCTCTTGTGACTTCTGGTCGTAGTTGACGGCCAGCTCCTCCAGCGCTTGCAGCACTTCTTTAACCTCTTCCTTGGCCGCCTCGTTCTCTTGCTGGATGCGGTTCATGTCTCCTTGCAGAGCTTCGTAGTCGCGGCTAATAGATATAACTTCTAATTAGAACCAATTTTGAAAGAATATGAATACCAATAACACTTGTTAAATGTTTAAAAAGTTAAAGTCTTTACTTTTAGATATACAATCCCATATAATATATGGAATCATTCTATTTGGTTATTGGTAGCTGAACTTAGATTATTTTCTTATTTTTATCATCAATTAACCAACCTATTATTCAAAATAAATAAAATATGTATTTCGATGTATTTAATTATTTTCGTTTCTTTCGTCGCTGAAAAATAAACGTTGATTTATATCTATGTTAACGCTTCTAGATAACGTATGGATGCTTATCAAATGCTTAGCGACGAACGAGACTTTCTACTTAAAAAATCAACAACTTGAATAAAAATCTTCAATTCTTTTTTATTCATACCCAAATTCGTCTATACTCTATATGTATAAATAGTGATTATTTTAGTCGACTTTGACTTGTATGAATGATAACTTATAGGAATTACTATTTATTAATATAAAATTATATTATACACAACACACAAATAAAAATCTCATCTGATTATGAGACACACTTTCTTTACTTTTTTTTTTTAAATAAAATCTAAATCTGATTGTCAGGTCACCGATTTTTTTATTACGTAATATTTTCGTGTTCACTATAAAACAGTAATGTGGACAATCTCATTTGCTGTGTTCTAATTCCAATCAATATCATTATTTGCATGTACGATCTTACTTAACCTAACCTTTGTATATCGACAACAAACCTATAAAAAAACACATTCTTTTTACGATTTAGTATTAAGTGAATAATTTTAAATTTGAAAATAATTTAACTATGTACAGTATTTTTTTCCTATAATAATGATATGAAAACAGTACTTTAAATTCATGTACATATTAATAACTACTCAATTTAACCATTTTATGACTGTTCAAAAAAGATTTCTCTGTAATTTTATATCAACAAACACAATCAACACAATGAGTGTTACCAACATAATCCTACTAATATTATAATTGCGAAAGTTTGTGAGTGTGTGTTTATGTTTGTTACTTCTTCACGCTCAAACGGCTGAACCGATTTTGATAAAATTTTGTATACAGGAAGCTGACGTCCAGGAATAACACATAAGCTACTTTACATCCCGGAAAATTTTCGACCTGATAATCCGCGGGTAACACTGCGGGGCGCAGCTAGTAATATACAGGGTGACTGGTGAATTACTATCGATATTTGAGGACGTGATATTTGACGATCATATATGACAAAATAAAAATTAATATAACATAAATATTAATAAACTTCTAAGTAAAGTTAACCAAAAGTTATGTAATTAATTACGCATCGTGTGAACACCCTACAGATTAGGTATACACTCACACTCACACATACGCGTGTCGCGACGTGGTGTTGTATCAGCACGCCGCCGCACGCGTCCACACTTGAACACTTGGAACTTGTCAACACTTTACTTATTTATACGGAAATTTTGTCAAAAATTAAGTGCCTATTTTTTTTACATAATTCGAATGAGAATCATGTACCGAGTATTCTCCTTAAATATTGATAGTAATTCACCAGTCACCCTGTATAAATCCTCTGAATTGTATTATCTGTTACCGTGTGCACGCGATCAGTTCCTCCTGCTCCATCATCTGCTCCTTGAGCTTCTCCACGAGCTGTGAGTGCTGGTTGATCTCCTCGTCCTTGTCGTCAAGCTGTTGGTACAGCGCTTCCAGCTTAGCTTGCATGGCGACGTCCTCCACAGCGCTTGATACAGCCACGGGCACCGGCTGGACAAATAACTATACTGAACCCTTTCGTTTACTTTAAACCAATCATATTGATCACAAAATTGTTTATTTGACTTGTTATAGCTACTGAGTTTTCAATGTTTTTAACTTTTAAAATTGAACCCTAAACAATTTAATAAAGTATGACGTTCGGTAATAACTCTATTTAAATGTTACGTTAAAATTGGTTAAACTAATATCATACCAGCTTCATATATTATGCGGCACAAAAAAAAATTGATTTGAAGAACATTTTATAATATATGTATAATCTGTGCCATTATAAAAATTTAAGACAAAAAAAAAAAAAAATAAATTTAATATATTTAAATTATAGATTATTATTCAATAATAAAAATGTATTCTATGGCTTTACGATATAAATGAATTTTAATAAGCATAACAATATTTAATCTCTTAATAAGCTTTTCAATTACGACATCAGATTGAATACCGTCGTCGTATTATAATAAAACGTATTATTTTATTTAATACGCATATACTAAATAACTGTTTATATTTGCTTCATACTAAAATGTAGTCCTTAATTTAATCTACGTAGTTTACACCAATGACTAAGAGAGCGTTCGCCTCCAACACACGTTTTGGTCCAATAATAGGCATTTCTACCTACGTCTCTGTTTGGATAATGTGTCATCACCCAGTAAACAAAACAGGGAAGTCATGAAGCAATAAACAATTATTAAACTTTTTAAGACGCTACACTCTTAAGTGCGGTAATGCAGTTCATCTCATACGAAAACTTATACAATTAGTTTCATATTACAAAAATGTGTATTAAATACAGACATAGTCCTGTAGACAATGTCTGTATGTAGACGTTCGAGAAGATTCTACGCAGTTTTAGACTAAATTTAAAATATCGCTGAGAATAATTATTTATACATATAATATGGAATTATATTATTGTATGTATGCTAACTAGTATTTAATGAAGAAAATATTATATTGACGTCTTCACAATAGTCCTTTTTTTTTTAAATAGAATAAATAATATCAAACTAGCATTAAAATAATATTATTCAAGACTTATATAAGAAATTTCAGATTTTTTTTATCCTGAGAACTAAGAAACCAGGTTTTAGATTTGACATATTACTTAAGGCAAAAAGAATAAAAGATGAAGATTATGCTACAAAAATATGGATTAAAGGACTGATTCCTCCAACGAAAAAAAAAGAAATTATAATAAAGAGCACATAATAACTTACTGCCGCAGGTGGCTTCTCTTCAATGAAGGAAGTAACTGGTGTGACTGCTTCAATCTCAACCAGGTTGACTTGTTCCTCGGGACGGACAGTCTCTCCGGACCTCCAGCGATTAACCTCAGCTTCCAATTTCTCAACCTAATTTACATCGTGACGTAAATATGTGTCTATACCATATAAGTACATATTATTTTATCCTTACATGAAACTATGAGTAACAGTACAGAGTATGATTCATGAATAATGAAATACTTCAGAAGTATATTTATAACATACCTTCCCTTTAAGCCGAGCCACCTTCTCCTTCTCTCTCTCATAGCGACGCTTCCATTCCTCAGCTGTGAGTTCCTCATTGACACATACAACATTCTTAACAGTCTTGGCTCTGTAGAATATATTATATGTTATTTTTATGCACATTAAATAACCAGTATTTGTCTGAGGTTCTGAGACTTACCGTTTACCGAAGTCCAGGGTACTCTTAGTTTCACTCTCATTGAATGAAGCTGGTGAACAACAGATGACAATTGTGGTCCTGGCGTTACCGCCAAGAGATTCTTGTAAGATACGGGTCAATTTAGAATCTCTGTATGGTATATGTGATTTATTACCATCCGCTAGTGCAGAAATTACATTACCCAAAGCAGACAGTGATTTATTAATATTCTTTGCTTCATCAAGCACTGTACCTTCAGCACCAGTTTTAGATACCTATACAGAAATATTTAAAATAAAAAATATATTAATTCCACCATTTTAATTTTTTTATTTATAACAATATGCAAAACAATACCTTTTCAGATCCAGCTAAATCTACAAGGTAGAGTTTGCCTGATAGTTTCTTTTGATTTTCTAAGTTTTCCTGTTTGACATTTATAAGGAAGACTGAATGGGATCTAGATGAGTGTTCATTCATGTCTGAAAAAATATAGGGTTGTAACATCATCATAAAACAGACATAAGAAAAGAGACAATTGAAATAATAAAACCTACTTGTTACAGCAATATGCCTATTTGACTTTCCTTCCTCTATGACTTCAAAAACCTCTTCTGGACTTGACACAAATCTCTCTGTAGCACCTTTGACAAATGGGACTCTATTTTTGTCTTCATGAACACTCAGATTCACTTTTGAAACTAAAATGGTAGAAAAAAATATTATAAAACGATCCATCTTTAAAATCAATATATATTTTGTTATATATTAAATTTAATACCATCTAAAAGATCCCTGATTTTATCCATATAAATTTCAAAATATGAAACCTTAATGTGGAACTCAAGGTTTTCTTCCATTGCATAAATGTGATTGAATATATCATTGACTATCCTTGGTATGATACCCTGTTTTCCTGGATCTCCTACAATAATAATGAATTTTCAGTATGCAGTTCTAAATTATATATTAAACAGTTTAAATAGAGTCCTAGTAATTACCTATGACACCTTCCATGGTATGTGTTTTACCAGAACTGGTCTGGCCATAGGCAAATATGGTACCATTGTAACCGGCAAGCACATCAGATACAATGCTCTTAGCAGCTTCATTGTATACTTTCTCTTGAGTTGCATTTGGTTTGAACACTTTGTCAAACAAATACACTTTCCCCTATAATTTAAGTTATATTACATAACATCATAATATTAACATTAAGTATAAGCATAACAGAGGTTGTTCTTGCTGCTTCCTTTTTAAGTAGTATTTATGATACAAAATTTATATAAGTAATGTTGATGATAATTTCATTTTATTTTCTGTTTAAATATATTTAAGGAGTTGTTTCTGAACCAAATACAAAGTGAAATACTTGGAATGATAATTTTTTTTTTAAGAAACAGATGTTAAAATAGCATTATTATTATTTTGTTAAAAATAAATTTAATATGATAAAAGAATATTCACAAAGAGATTTTTTGTTAAAATAATTTTCCGATTGAGGATTTTAATTAATATATATTTTTCTTTAGGAAACAATTGAAATTACACATTTTAAATACACATATGTAAAAATGTAGTAGTTTTTGGGTTAAACCAAGATTAACATATTAAAATTAGTTAATCTTTTTGACAAATATTGATAAATTAAAACGAATTTTTTGCAAATTGCAACTGGAACACAATCAGATTAAATAAGATCCCAGAGATAAGACAAAAACTGATTTTACTAACTGAGCTAAAATATTATTAAAAAAATAAAAATCTATTAAGAAAATATACGTTGTAAACAATAATAAAAAAAATATAAATACACAAATTATCCCAGAATCTGTGAGGTCAAGGTCGAAGAGGTATTTGTATTGATTTTCGACTAATGAAAATTAGACGTTTGAAGTTATATTCAAAAGGATTCGTTAATTCTTCATAATCGCAATCATATTCAACCAAGCGGAATAGAAAAGAAAGGCCATTTCGAGGCAGGTGAACACCAGCCGTAATGTATTAGTCATCATGGTCTAAATTAGGGCGATGATAGAAGACTTTAAAGTGGGTATATCGAAATTGTTCAAACTTACCCCTATGGAAATGCAATTATCGTCCGGCCCTGAAGGGAATTTTACAATAAATTTGGAACCAGCTTTTTCTTCGGAGTCATTGAGTGGCCGAAATCGGCATACGACTCTAATGCTGTCTTCAGCAGCAATTTCGCGATCAGCTGCCATTTTTGAAAAATAATAGCTTACACTAAACACCGTCTATTGAATTAAAAACAAAACGTTATTGGAACATAAAACCGTGCATGAAGAACTACAAAGTTAGAATTTGTCACTGGGAAATCTTCATGACAGCGGTATCAAAATGTCGGCCATGTTCTTCATAGAAGAAAGGCATGAAATTGGCATCGTATTGGTTGAAAAAACAACATTGAACGTAGTGCCAACTTAAACAGTAAAAATCAATTCGACAGTGAGCTCTACCAACATTTGGAAAACAAAAATCTTTAAAAGTTAAATAATGAGAGCACAAAGAGACTTTATAAAACAAAAACAAGGACTACACATTTTTTTTTACAACTATGATAAATGTATTTTCGCTCATCGATTTAAGAAGACGAAATGTCTATCATTATTAGTTGTTAAAGAAGAATGTGTTCTTTAAGAAACTATTTTAAGTAAGCTTTAGTTTTTAAGAGTTCTCTTTTTTCTCTTCCTTTGGGTAAAACAAAATTAATGTAATGATAAACATACTATATGTTGATTTTAATATTATTATGGATTTTCATTGTCTGACAATAGAGATCCACTTTAGCTTTATATTATTCACATAAAATGTGAATAAAATATTTTCATTATTTTCTAATTCAATTGATTTTTTAAGATTACGTTAGAACGTTTTAATTATTCTTGTTTTGTGATAAAAACATAACTTTTTTAATTTATATTTTACTTCAGGTTTTCCAGCATTTTAGTTTCTGTGAGTAAATATAAATACAAAATTTGTTTGATTTGTATTCAGTTACGTAAAGTTAAATTTAATTTTTATTTTCATTCAAACTTCTGTCAACGAAAATTATTAACTATGTAAGCTTACAGAAAAAAGGACGATGTTTCATTTTTGTATTGTCTTTCTTATTTATTTTAAAAGCATCATTACATACGTATTTATTATTTATAATATTAATTAAAACCGGTCATTTTTAGACGTCGAGACTTTAAAATATTATTTCCTTTTGTTATCTGTGTCATGCACTAACACAATATTCAACAGTCAACAATTTTTTATTTTATTGGAGACCAGATGAGTGTAAATTTAGTGATTTAGAATATTTGTATTTAAGAATCATATAAAGTTATGTGTTCTATCTGCTAAGTTTCCAACAAATATGTGTTTCTACACAGTTTTGAACAACTTTTAATCATATGTAATGTGGTAAGCTAACTTTTTTGCATATACATATATGGTAAGATTCGATGGACACTGAAATGGAATACAATATAAACGGATATCATGTCCATACATATTAAAAGAATGGTAAAATAAAAGCCTGATACTACATAGGCAATGTGTTTAACCACGCCCGCAATTTCTCATACATATCTGTATGTTTATTTAACTATGACATCAGTCCCCATGACGAGTTTTTTATAATAATACTATTTATTCCATCAAGATTACGAGTCTAAATAAAACTCTAATCTGAAGCAAATAACAGTCACTATTACTGTGTATTCATTTGGAGAAAACATATATTAATTTTTATTAAAGAGACAAATAGATAAGCCTTCAAGTACAATACAATAGGATAATAGGATAAGGGAATCATATATCGAATGAGAGAAAAACAGAATTAATTCCTACATTAGATACATAATATTAAAACTAAATATATAAGTCAGTCATGTAACAAAAACGACTTTAAATCAATGAAAACAGTACAAAATTACTAATTAGTACATTGCAATTTTTGTATAATTTACAATATTTTGTATCTTAACTTCCTACTGGATTTTGGGCTAAGATACATAAAACCTGGTTTTTAAAATACCCAAAATCTAAATTCTTCCATTGGTGTATCAATCACATATTATATGTTTGTAACAAAATAAATCTTTAACCACATACATTATAATTTTTTTTAGAAAAATCTTTATATATGTTGTCTATTAAAGAGATAGAAATGAAGGGTGCGAACAGTAAGATTTCACCAACTTCGTCATAAAGGAATTATTAATTCTGAATCAATTGCACAAAACAAGTTTATATAGTAACAATGTAAAATTGTGACTTAAGTAATTTTGATTCCTTTGTTTCACTTCATAAACTTAGAAATATGGTTAAGACCATTATGTTTTGCTCATAGCAGTAGTTTATAATGAAAACTTTCAGTTATGATTCAGAAAGAGTTCAAAAGAATTTAATACCTAGCACATTTATCTTTAAACAGTTTTCATATCCTCAAATATAATAAGCAGTATACTCTAGTAGAGCTAGTATTACATAATTATATCTCCTAATTTCGCATGTACACATTTAAATTTCACCAAGATTTCGGATACCCTGAAAGTGTCATTATTTGTTGCTTTCATCTGTCACAGTTGCTGTAAAGAAAGCAAAACAGTGGGATCATGTAGATATAAAAGCAATCCAAGGATTCAATGTGCGAGTGCTGAACCCATTGCGTTGTAGGGAGAGGAGCACTAAATAGTGCCTGATATTTGCAACCCTGGTGTAACTAACTATCGTAAACTGTCCAACCTCTTCGCTCTTCCTAACAAAATTTGAAATAAATGAACTGGGGCTGTCTTCTAACTTCTATGTTCTAAGTTTGAATTTATGTTAGTTCTGGACAGGCCTAAAGTCTTAATATGTTGTAGAGAGACTTAGCTATTGTACCTCTGGTTCCCACTTCTATTGCGTACAAAATATACCACATTTTTTGTGCGTTAGTTAATGAGCTCTTTATACTTATTGACCTTGATGGCATAGTCATTGGGTATGGTAGTCTACCAAGAAAACGTAAGGTCTTTTAACACAAAACTTAGTACCATTTAAGTAAGTTTTATAATCTGATTGGTTGATATTTTTTTGGGTGGTGTGACACGGAGGTCATTAAATTTGAATGCAAACAAATAAAATAATTAATTGTGAATGGAGTCCCTTCGCTCGGAAGAAGTGAAACTACGAAATGTTGGGATGAAAACAGGACGAGCTAGAATTTTTTTTAAGGAATATTTAGTGGCTTTAAGACAAACTTTATTAACATTAGTTACAAGTCACAATTGATTGCCCGCATACTTTCTAGCGAAACGCATTCCCTCTCGCTCTTTGTTTTATATCTCCTCGCTCCTCCAGGAGCGTAAAACGTTTAACGCAACCTTGTTGGTAGCAGCATAAAATTTTACTTCAATAATAATAATAAAGATATTAATTTCATATATATTCGTAGAATAAATACTTCGTTTTGCTAAATACTCGATAACTTAAAAAAATCTGAACTATAACACAAATCAGTCGACAAATTGTGATAACAGATTACAATTTAGACGAAATTTCTAGTTGTCGTTTTTAATCTTATAGTGCTGGCTTAGGGAAAATGAAATATTCTGTTTTCGTCAACAATATATTAAGTCGTAAAACCAAAACAAATACATTTTAATGTTAATAAAAATATGTATTCGCTTTTGAGAATGCAAAAATTGCAATAAAACGTATTTTTTTTTACTTTCCAATTAACATGTGAGAGCAGTATCTTATATAATTTTCTGTTACTTAAATGCTATATTTGGAATACTTTTTAATTACAATATCAACTTATTTCACATTTTGAAAGTTGTAATTTCTGTAAACATCAAGTCATTGCTTATTTCAATACTGCCTTATATTCTTTAATATATATCCTAATATGTGTAGTTCTGCGAGATTACTTTAACTTTCCGCATGCAGTAAACCCTACATAAAAGTGAGTAGGACCGCTGTGGCGCCGTGCCCGTAAAGCAGACGGGAGAGTTCGTTGACCCGATGCACCCTCAACCGTTATCGACGGTATACAGCCATCAATTCAGGTTGTACGGATTAGGGATAAGGTTCTGTTACTAAACAGTAAATGTACCTCTGACTACAGAAAAAAAACCTATGCCTGTTTATATAATGTCTACTTTAAACTCGTATAAAGTTTCCTGCTATCTATTAAGTATGTTAAATACAAACAGTACCATAAATAACATGTTTATTTTATAAAATGTCACAATTTACGACGATTACAGCTATGATTAGTGCACTCGTATTATACTGAGTTTTAAAAAAAAAAAAAGTGATCATCTTGGTCATATGTCTTGTTAATTATAAAAATGTATACTACACGAGAGCTCCAGTCTGATTCATACAGATATATGAAAGAAAAACAACTATCATGTGTAAACCAAAGTCGCTGATTGATCTCTGTTCAGCATGACGTAATTTCATTGACCTACAAAACCACCGGTTTTTTGTGTTGTCCGTGAGTTTTCATTAGGTGCATACTAAATAATAAATGTTTCATAGCTTCTGATAGAGCTATATAAAAATATAGTATTTCAATAGTTATATTTATTATATTATTATAAGATTCAAATTTCGAACGCTCTAGTTTTTGTAGTGTTATGTATAAATTATTCGTAATGGGATCGCTTTAATATAGTGTTGTCATAAGTAAATTGTATTGCAATTTGGCACATATCGGTTCTGAGAATGAGCGGTGACGGTGTAGTTGTATCACCGGCTGACTGAGTTATTTTCTGTACAATTAGTCATTCGTGTATCCGCCGCGGGTCGGTCGTGCGGTCGAAGCTCGAACGAAACTTCGAAATACGAATACAATATAAAACAATTATCTTATCTTTTATGATATTAATTAATAGACGCGTTACATATATGCTTTCGTGTGTTGTTGTTTTCATTTGAATTCGAAGGATTACTTGAGGAAAACCTTCAATCATCAGTGACTACATGTTCTGTGTAATATGACTAATAATTAGGTTTTTGTTAAAATAATATTATAATTCCAGACTGTTTTAAAGTGGGACAATATTAATCTTTAGTGCTGTTATGTTATAGTATGTGTGCACTGCAGGTAAGAAATTTTAACAAGTCAATGTTAATTAATTCTACCATAACGCTTGAAGAACCTTTTAAGAAAGTTATGAGTGCACTAAAATTATATTTAGACAATGATGCATCTCTTCATCATACACGAAAAAACTTTTTTTTTCATAATTTATCTATAAAATTTAAAACTTTTATATGAAAGCAAGTTGGCCTTTTTTATCTTCAATAATTTCAATTTAATAATGAGAACACTTTTGTTAATAAGTATATTAATTAAAATAAGTAACTGACAATATTGATCAACGCTAGTAACTTTCTGTTATAAAACCAGTGTTTCGAAACTTAATAAAAACAGTACAGTTTTTAAAGTTAATTTTTTAACGAGTTCTGTGATTATTCCTATTATTTTAAACTTAGAGATAATTATCCTATTAACATTATTACTAATAGTTTGTTATTCACACAAGTAGATTAAAGTCTGCTTCCTCTTATGATCTCATTTTGATGTTTTAATCCAAAGAAATATGTGTTTATAGGTGAAGGATAATAACAGCATTTACTTTATTTGCATGAAGAATTAAGCTCCTGAGGATCAATATAATTATTTTCACAATTAAGTATATTAAAAATAAATATGATAAAACACATTGTGAAATCACTTAACGCGACCTCCAGATTATACGGCAGTGTGGGTGCACAAACACACCCACAGATCTACAAGATTGTAAATCGTGTTTTATTTTACCGTATTAAACTAAAGTGTATCGAAATGAATGCATCTGTTTGTAAACTAATTGTACGACCCTTTGAGATTGAATGCATCAATGAAGTAAAGGGTACGGCTGCTAGTAAAAAAAACATTAAGAAACTTTTTGTTGTGAGATTCTTACGGTTTGATAAAAAAAAAACTTGGGAGTTTGAAGTATTTGTTACCTCACTCAGAATACAACTTCATTCATATTTTCTTACACATCATTATGTCTAGTAAAATAAGAAATTAAGAAGAAAATCCTTATATATTCTTGTTAAATATAAATGGATTATGAAGATATATTTTTCTTTGCAGGTGTTGATCTGAAAACGAACGAAATATAAGAAAAAATCATGTGTAAACGATCGATTTTCGTATTGTGTGTGTGGGCGAGCTTGTTTGTGGCGTGTTTTGGACAACGCGCTGAACAACTTCTCGCACAGAACCCATGCTCGAGTAAGACGACTTGCAGCGACTGCGCCCGGACGCCCACCTGCGCTTGGTGCTTCGCCCCCGAATTCAATGGCCCCCGCTGCTTCAACCCAGCCATGGAAGGCGGCACCGCTGGCTGTGATGAGGCCTACATATTTAATCCGGATAATCAACAATCAATCGACGCTTCTTTTAATAGAGAATTGACTAGAGGTACGTATGTTCTTTTCCATTTATATAGATAAAGTTATACTAAGCTTTTCTTCCATTGCGACATAAACACTTGCATTTGCAAAAGAAATTTCAAAATTTTAATTCACAGGCAATTGCTCCTTTTTTAAAATTTAACACATATTACAATCTTATAAATATTTTAAAACACAAAGGTTTTTATGGGCACTGTACATTCTGTGGTGGCGTAAGCAAATACGAAAACTTTTTAAGCAGTCAACCAATACTTTTGTATAAAAACTTTATTTGTGATAAAATTTAATATAACAAAAAAAAAAATGGTATGGGTTTTTAAATTTGCATCAAAATTAAATAATTTATCAGAGATAAAATATGAATGAAAATTTTTAATTATCAATACTTTTTATTGTAGCCAAAGGTCGTATGGGCGTTGGGATGGAGTCTTCATACTACGAAGAATCTATGAGTAGCAGTAGTAGTAGCAGCAGCAGTAGTAGCAGTAGCAGCAGTAGCATCAAGGGCGGAGGTTACATGGGTGCAGCCGGTGGTGAAAACCTGGTGCAGATTAAACCACAAAGAGTTAAACTACAGTTACGGATGAGTAAGTGACACCTTTACATGAGTCATTTCAACATTATTACATCAATAATGACCAATCTTATTATGCCAATACTATCAAGTTGAAAATATTGTTAGTTTGTTTTTGGCGTAAAAAACGCTTGTCATTATTAGAATATTATACCATGACATATAGAGCGGAATATTAGAATTAAATGTTACTGTACTGATTATAAAAAAAATACTATAATTTTATACATTTTGTTTCAGATCAAATGCAAAAGATGTCATTTTCGTACGCTCAAGCCCAAGACTATCCAGTTGATCTCTACTACCTCATGGATCTCAGTAGGTCTATGAAAAACGACAAGGAGAAGCTCAGTACTCTAGGAAGTCTACTGTCTAGTACTATGAGAAATATCACATCAAACTTTAGAATTGGTTTTGGTTCCTTTGTGGATAAACTAGTCATGCCATATGTGTCCACAGTACCAAAAAAGTAAGAAGCTTTGTCCTTACTTAATGTATTTCACACATATGAATTAATGTTTACTTATTTTTTATCTTTTTAAGTTTGATATCTCCATGTGATGGGTGTGCTGCCCCCTACGGTTACAAGAATCAAATGTCTCTTAGCAACGACACGGACTTTTTCGATGTAAATATTTCTTTTCCTCTTATATATATTGTAAAAATCATAATTAAGAAATATATAAAAAGGTAATATTTAGGCTAATTATAATATAATTAAACAAAATACATACGACTTGAACTCTGATCGGAATTTAAACGTAAGATATATGAAGTGTGTCATTTGATATAATACTTAAGTTGTTAAGTAGTACAAATAAACATAGTCATAGACATCAATACATCCATAAATTTTCGCAAAACTTCCCATTTATAATACTACTAGCATTTATATCAATTGACGTATATTTTCAGAAAGCCGTAGCCCGTGCTGACGTATCCGGTAACTTGGACGCACCAGAGGGAGGCTTTGACGCTATCATGCAGGCTGTGGTTTGTAAGAGAGAGATCGGCTGGAGGGAACATGCTAGAAAACTACTTGTGTTTTCAACTGATGCTGGGTTCCATTACGCTGGTGATGGAAAGGTAATAAACAAAAAAATATCCCTACACATATAGGTTTTGGATGTGTCTAATCAAAGCCATGGATATTTTTCAAAATATTTTGCCACTGAAATGTTTATAGTATCACAAATTTGTTTTAAACAACACAAAATGAATCATATATTTAAAAAATCATATCAAATCTTATATATAAGTCTATGTTTTAGTATTCAGCTTTTAAAACTAAATTTATATTTTATCTGTTACAGTTGGGAGGTATAGTTCAGCCTAATGATGGTGAATGTCACATGGAAGATAATTCATACACACACTCAACAAAACAGGATTATCCGAGCATTTCACAGATCAATTTGAAGGTAAATCACTTATTACATGTAAAATGCACTACTAGATACAGTTTATAATGTTTTTACATTTCCATTGATAGTATTGGATCTTATATATTACTATTAAAATGTTTATATTTTTTCATCCCAGGTTAAAGAACATGCTATCAACGTGATCTTTGCTGTAACAGCTGAGCAGATTAATGTGTATGAGCAGCTCAGCAAACATATTGAGGGTTCAAGCTCAGGTATACTTAGTGACGACTCAGACAATGTGGTTGACCTTGTTCGAGAGCAATATAATGTAAGTAATCAATTGGTAATGTAAAAATTATAATACATCGATTTGAAAACTAAACAAAACACTTCTGATATTTCCATTACTATCAATATCATGTATGTAGTTTTTTAACTAAAGAATTTATCTACTTAAATATCCAAAAATGTTTCTGGGTTACCTTTAGGTCTAAAGTATAAATTTAATTTCTGTATACATGTGAAATTAGAAAAGATGCATGTTTTTTAAGGGAGATAATTTATTTAATTCAAAGTGATAGGTTTGGTAGTTTGACTTTACTTTACATTTCTGATTTTAGTAATTATACACCAATATCATAGAAAAATACAATAAAAAATAAAGATACAATTAGAATAATAATTTATTTATTTGTCAAATAAATCAAAGTGCTACAATGTTGTAGGATTAATTTAGATAATATAAATATATGTATATTTTGTATTTACAGAAAATTACTTCAGCTGTTGAAATGAAGGATACATCTAGTGACGCTGTACAGATACTGTATTACTCATCATGTTTGGGAGGCAAGATGCAGCAGACTAACAAGTGTGAAGGACTTAAGGTAAAATGGATTTATAATTACTTGTAAATATAATAACTATTATGAATATGTCTTTTATGTTACTGAATGATTTTCTATATATTTAGAGTCACAAAAAGTTTAAAATAGTTAGGAATTAGTGGATTTTACTGTGACAATTATTATAAATTAGTAAAAAAGAGAATATATGTATATTCAATAATGTATAAATTTATATTTAAGGTTGGAGATGTAGTGGAATTCACAGCGGAAATAACATTGAAGGAATGTCCCAAGGATCGTAATAAGTGGAAACAGATGTTCACTATTTATCCTGTCGGTGTGTCTGAAAGTTTAACTGTAGAGTTGGAAATGCTCTGTGACTGTCCCTGTGAACATCCGGGACACCATGTGAGTATTATCAAGAACATTCTAGAATCTAGATACATACATGTATAGATATCATAGGTATTTTTAAGTGACGATTGGTGGATTGGTTTGAGTGAATCACTGAACATCACTGATATTAAGAAGTGACTTTGAATGTATTGGGCCTACAATAGATGATTAAACCTGTGCTCATAAGACTTTGTCCACACAAATTCGAAGATGTATCCTACTAATTTTATTTGAAGTATATACCAAGTTTTCGTACTAGTAACGAGTAAGTGTATCAGTACTTTAATAAATTTTTTTTTCTTCCAGGCGTACAACGACAGTCCATTAGTATGCAGCGGGCAGGGTATCTCTCAGTGTGGAGTGTGCGTGTGTCCTCCGGGCCGCTTCGGTAAGAACTGCGAGTGTTCAGCCCACGGCGGTGTGTCTGTGGAACAGGAGCGAGGATGCAGGCCGACTAATGCTAGCTCTGGACCTATGTGTTCAAACAGAGGCATGTGCATCTGCGGTATATGCGAGTGTAACAAGATGGACGACCCGTTGAAGGTAGATAATTAAAATCATAAATAAATATTTTAAAGATGTAAAATTCTACATGATACAATGATATCTTTTTATTCAGATGGAATTCGACATGTCACATGTGTATTGTTCGATGTAAAACTGAAATCATAATTGTTCGACGGCGTCAAAACAACAAGCAACCTACGTAATTAGTTTAACCACAATAGTTATTTCAAAATTACTTATATTCAATATTTTCTGACTTTTTAAACGAAGACTAAAATGAAGATACTCTATATCGATCAAATACTGCAACTGCAACCTTCTTCATCTTCATACAAGTTTCTAAGTTAAAATATGTTGAACAATTCCAGGTAATATCTGGTCCGTTCTGCGAGTGCGATAACTTCACGTGCGACATGAACAAGGGTCAGCTGTGTTCCGGTCCTGATCACGGGGAGTGTGTGTGCGGCAAGTGTTCGTGTCACCCGCAGTACAGCGGCCCCGCCTGCCAGTGTCTGAAGGACCAGGCGCCCTGCATGTCACCAGGTAATATACACCTACAATATTACACCTTTTTTTTTAAGGGGAAAATCATCAAATGACCCCTCTTGCCTGGGTGGGGCAAGAGGGAGTGTCAGACTCTTATTGACTAAAAACCCCCCCTACCTACTCCTGCTCCGAGCCGGGCCGCGGTACATTATTGCGCTTACACCCGCGACCTACAATATTACACCTTGCGTTTCGATATCGAATACATGTTTTACTCTATATTATTTACATACATATATTTCGTGTGTATTGATAGTTTATTAGTTTTCTCCTTCCGAACTTTATGAACTTTAACCTTTCTGTGTCAGTCTTGTAACTTTCTTCCGTGTGAAATTACATTCTAAATAGTGTCGTGGACTTTTATTAAACCAACGTAACGGACTAACATCTCCATATAATGACATTTAAGGCTTACGCAATTATTCATTGAAATAAAACTGATATTTTCGGAATGAATGACTATCTTACTCACCTCGTCTGTCCGTGATCACGGTTGCTGCAAAGTAACCGAAATGTCAGGAGTATGTAGATAAAAAAAATATGTTATAATCGAGTAGAAAATCAGTTTTTTTTTCTCTCAACCTTCAATTTATGTAAATACATAAATACATCAACGGTTTGAGACAAGCGTACATCAAACACGAAAATGAAATTAGACTCAAATTAATATAATGCAAAGTGACTTATAAACGAATTTAAATTTTTTTTACTAATGAAATGATTTTTGTATAAAATGAATTTATAATGTTTCAGTAGTCTTTACATTGTATTTAATGACGGCATAATATTTTTACAGAAAACAACAAAATCTGCAGCGGCAATGGTAAATGTGTTTGCGGTCAGTGTGTGTGTAATGTTGATGAAGATAGACACTACTATGGAAAATACTGTGAGAATTGTCCGGTGAGTCTGACTTGTAAATTAATTATTAAATTTATTACAGTAGTAGGAGTCACGCTAAATATGTGATACGACCTCGAGGTTCGGAAGCCATAATTTAAACTGTTAGTTGATAGTATCTATGACGTCTTTGTTCATTTATTTTACTTTATTGAAGTGAAACTTCTTATGCGACTTTCAACAAGGTTGCGTTTAACATTCAACGCTCCTGGGTAGGAGGAATAGAATGAGACGGAGTGAGTCAAACGGGTGGTCGAATTGTGTATTGTAAGCAATGTTTATAAAGTTTTACATTATACACTATTAAAATTGCTTCTGGTGTTGTAACAAAAATCAGAAAAGTCAAAGAAAAAATTAAATTTCTATTTTTGAAACTAAGAATGGAAGCGGCTGGATAAAAGAGTGAAAAGTTCGCAATTAAAAAATCTTTATAATCTGTATATAATTTTTTATTGAATGACATCATCTATATTTAAACCTTTCTTAATGTTTTATTATTTATTGCGTCATGTGTGTATAGTTTCTGTAGAAAACTTTCTTTTTATGGACCTACATACGTTAAAGGCAAAATGTGATTAGATTTTTTTACGCTACACTTATTATAAACACTGTTATTTTATGTTTAAATTAAAATGACGTTTCGTCCTTTACCATTCTCATTCCGTTCCAGTTGTGTAACATCTGTTTTATATATAATTACTAATGACATCAAAAAACAGTCGTTGCCAGGAAATTATTGTTAACATCATGCGTGTTCTTTTATATTATTTCAGTATACGAATCAATTAATTTTGTACTAGGTTTTGTTTGCTATTTTTTCTTATAGATAAGAAGTATCAATTAATTGTTTATATTTCAGACGTGCCCGGGTCGTTGTGAGGACTTCAAGCAGTGCGTGTTGTGTGAAGTACATAAGCGCGGGCCCCTGTATCGAGAGGAGGCGCCGGAGTGCGGGGACTGCGCCCTCTACCCTGAGGTTGTCGAGGGAAAGATAGAAGGTATTACTTTATATGTTATTGTTGTTCAACTAACTCATATACAGGTAAAAATGGGAAATTATTCTTATTATTTAAATGTCTACGTTTTCGACTATTAAAATAACTTTAGTATTTTTAGTTTTAATTATTCAACTTTTTTGTTATATTATTCTACTAAACGAAATGATGTCTCTACTAAATTCAAATTAGTGCAATCTGTTTTATTTAAATATATTTGTAGGTATCAATTTGAATATTTGTCATTCAGTTTTGTTTTGAATAAGCATATTATACAAAGTTAGGTATGTTGTTTTAATATATTTTTATATTTATGTTGCAGCAAACGAAACACTGAATGAACATTTGTGTAGTTTCTACGACGACGAAGACTGTTTGTACGTTTACGTGTATTCATACAACGAAACGAGACATCTGCACATTAGAGCACAGAAAGAACACGAATGTCCTAAGAAGGTTTGTTACTTTGACATTATAAATGTTTTTCCTGTTAGGAGCAATAGTTTGCCATTAGGCAATTTAGAAATTTACAGATATTAATAGTCTACCAGACAATATATTACTATCTTGATTCACACAGCAAAATATAAATTTGGTCAGTGGTGGCCTTATGGTTAAAAGACCTGCCTCTCATGCATGAGGGTGCGGGTTCGATCCTGGCAATGTGATTTTTCCGAATCATATGTACTTTCTAAGAGTATTTAGACATCACTGATTAATGCTGATTCCCAAAAGAAGGTTGATGTCAGGCAGGCGGCCGGTCTTAAAAACAATTAGCCAAAACTAATCATAACATGTAAGGCAGACCCTGGCTAAAGCTGGGAAATTGCGAGGAAGAAGAAGACAGTCCCAAATAAATGTATGTAGATGAATATATAGTTTAATATATATGGTTTTTTTATCAGGTTTATATCCTGGGTATCGTGTTGGGTGTGATAGCGGCCATCGTGCTGATAGGTCTGGCGCTGCTCATGTTGTGGAAGATGGTCACCACCATACATGACAGAAGAGAGTTCGCCCGCTTTGAGAAGGAACGCATGATGGCTAAATGGGACACTGTGAGTTAAAAATATTACTTTATATATGAATATTATAATATACTGGATTTTTGTTAATAATTTTGAGGTATGTTCTGTGATGATAACAGTACCTTATGAGTTTGTATGAATATAAAATTAACTTCAGTTTTAGTTATTAAGATGAATATTTTATTACATAGCTGGATTTATATTATTATATAGTTTCTACAATGTTAAGTGAAAAAAAGTGATTAAAAAGTTGTGTAGTACCTTAAATATTTCTAAAAATTATAAACAAAATTCAGATTTATTTATGATAAATTTTTTTTAGGGTGAAAATCCAATTTACAAGCAAGCGACATCTACATTCAAGAATCCGACCTACGCCGGGAAATAGAGATACATTGAGCTGCTGAAACGCAGCTTATATAATATATTATAAACATATAGAGATCAATGTAATGCATTTTAAACAGTGTAGACTTCAGTATTCTATAACGACAAGAAGATTTCTCGTGATCCGTCGTTTAGATACGCCTTGAAAAAGTGCCTTCAGTTAAGACTCTTGTCATTCATATTAATAATCTCTTTACAATTAATCAATGTGTATTTTTAAATCATATACCATATAAATATATAGGTCTGTAACAATCTCGGATATTTTATATATATTATTAGTGGTAGAGTACGCTTTTGTACTTACATGTGTGTGTTGAATGTGTATATGTTGAGATTTTATTGAATAATTATTAATTCAGTGAAATCTTTGCATTATTTAATGGCTATTAATTATAATTAGGTACGTAACATTAACGTAAACAATATACATTTATGTTATACATATAAATATGACGAGTTTGCAATAATTAATTATTGAAAGGATAATTCAAATAAATTTTGTTGTAAGTAAGGTGACTGCCGCTTGTGTTAGCTCTAGTGCCTTATTAATGTTTTAGTGCCATTACTAATCGTATTGGAATAAGTGTGTTATTTATTTCAATATTAATCTCGAGTAACGAAATAGACTTATTTATTTTATAAGCAGATTATATAATAAAATCCTGACGCTATTTGTCTATAGATTTTCGATCAATTTTTATTTTACGTTTTATCATATTTTTTTTAATTTTTAATTTATGTGATATATGAAGTGAAATTGCTACTTGTATATAATTTTAGTGTCTATTCGAATTCAATGCCTTTTTATTAATAGCTAATAAAGTTATATTAACTGTATATCTTTTTTTTATTTCGTTTTAATTGATCCAAATAACGAACAAAACATTGGTTGAAGAAAAATATTAAGCAAATGATATTTTATTATCCGTTTTCGAATTTCTAAGAATCTGAACTTTTATAATACAAAAAAAGTTTCATAAAAATAAGCTACTTAATTGATGTAGTCTAAAACATAACTTATGTACTGATAATAAATATTTTTATTTCATACACATGAATCGTGTACTTTTTTTACAGATAAAACTCTTCAGGTTTAAAAATCAACATTCGTTCTTTTATCATCGAGTGTCGTAAATTCCAGTTGTACTATTTTTAATTCGATACAATGTTATGACGCAACAGGACAACAATAGATCGTGGAATAGACCTATCGCTGGGAAAACACGAAAAAAAAAATGTTCCAATTGCACTTGTGACTCGGAAACGTGCACGTTTTATGAAGTATACAACTTTTTCATCGCTGTATCTCCGAAATAGAGATTCTTAGAGAAAAATGTGTGACAAATATTCATAGATAATTGTATGACGAATATGTGTCACTTGTTGTTTTAAAACTTAACGTTAGGCTGGAAAATGAAAAAAATATTCTGCTACAATTGACTTAAAATAAATTAGTTTGCATATTTCGAATTAATGAGGATTTTTAAAACAAATTGTTTATACCTATAAATGTTTCCGACATTCATGCTTATTTTCAGCTATGTATAAATTTATGTAACCTTATACTATAACCTATTTTTGAAACTAATTTACAAGGTTAAAAGTTGTTGCAATAACACAAGAGAACTGAAAAGTTATTGCTTTGAAGAAACAGTTTTCTTAACACAAGTCACAATATTTAGTTTAAAAAATGTAAATATGAGTTCATAACTTTTAGTTACAATAATTAAAAATTTTAAACGACTTTTCAATATTCATAAACAGAACGTATGGATATTATGTGGGAAGAATTGAAAAATAAATTACGGATTTTCATTTAGGTAAATTTAATTCTTAATTGAAATTTTTATCTGTTAAGGACGGGTGTAAAGCGAATAATTTTATAAGAAACTTTTGTTAATTATTATTCATGGTTTTGAATACAAATAAAATATAGGTATATAATATTAAAAAATATAAAATTCTTTTGATGACTTTAGGGATTTGCCTATTGAATTAACATTTATACTTAATACTTTTCTTTTTCTTATACAGGGTGACTGGTGAATTACTATCAATATTTGAGGACGTGACATTTGACGATCATATATGACAAAATAAAAATTAATATAACATAAATATTAATAAACTTCTAAGTAAAGTTAACCAAAAGTTATGTAATTAATTACGCATCGTGTGAACACCCTACAGATTAGGTATACACTGACACTCACACATACGCATGTCGTGACGTGGTGTTGTATCAACACGTCGCCGCACGCGTCCACACTTGAACACTTGGAACGTGTCAACACTTTACTTATTTATACGGAAATTTTGTCAAAAATTAAGTGCCTATTTTTTTTACATAATTCGAATGAGAATCATGTACCAAGTATGCTCCTTAAATATTGATAGTAATTCACCAGTCACCCTGTATATTAGGATATTAGACAAATTTAAGGAAATTATCTCAAATTGTTCATTATATAATAAAACACTCGCAAAACAGCTTATTTTTTATATTCTATGACAATTATAGATAAAAAAATAAAGTAGATACATCACTCGCATATAAAAAATATTTTTATACTCTTTTTATAAAATATTCATAAACAAAAAAAAATCTAATCTAGTTAAAAATTGTTTCAAATTTTCATTATAGTCAATTACACTGATTGTTATCTTAATTTAGCAATAACAGAGGCTGACCTTTCCCCGCAATGAATATATTAATTTGTTTGTTTTCATGGTTTTGAAGTTCGTGCTTCTCTAAAGTTATTATTGAAAAGCAACTAATGAAAAATGGTTGAAATGTATCATAAGATATAAAATGTATGATACAAATTTATTTTTTCTTTATGTGTAATTATGTATTCAAAACTAAGTATATCTCATAGTAAATAAAGAACTCAACAATGAGTCATAAATAATTATATTTTACTTTAATTAAAATGATTTCCTAGGTCAATAAAAATAGACTTTGCTATACTTTCCTTCGAACACATCAGAATAATTTTCTCTGTAACTTCGTCAAATGTATATGATTGCTATCGATTAATTAATTTATTATCTGGTTGGTATAATAATATTATATTTTCTTTATAGGCAGGCAAACTTGAATTAAGTGTTAAAAAAACATAGCAAATTTAATTTATCTTCATAATGAAAATCTAGATCCATTAAATAATTGTAACTTAAGTTTCATAAATTTCCAATGTAAATTAATAAACTTAATTTCTATGTAAGAAAATTTAGCTTTAGAAGTATACTTAGTATACTTGAAATTAACTTTAAAAGGAACAGGTACTTAGAACTGATGTTAAATATTTCCTTTGTCCTAAAACCACACGATGTATCATGTTAAGAAGATTAAAAGGGTGTTTCAACGACGAGGTTTCAGGCTATAGAATAAACATTTGTTGGTTTTGTTGTTTATGTCATCTCAAGGAAATTGTACAATTTTTTATACAGTAGATGAATTTATGTGTACATAAAAAACGTCTTTTTAAGAAACCACTATTTCTGTGTGTGTGTGCGTGTGTGTGTGTTGTCTGTCTGTGGCATCTCTCAAACGGGTTGCTTAATTTCAGATTTAGTTTTTGAGTCAGCTATTAGCTATGTTTTGTTTATATAGGTCTAGCAGTGTAAAAGTATTAGTTTTTTCCAAAATGGTGTAAGACATTTTTGTATGAGAATTAGGTTAATTGCTTCACACTTTTCAGTATAATCTTTAAATGACAATGAATTTGTTGGAGGTATTTAATGGTTTATTATTTTTTGCTGTTATTAATTGCTAATAATTGAAAAAAATATTTATAGTATGAAATAATTAGTAAAGAAAATATGTATGTATAAATTTTGACTTTAATATAAGTAGTAATGTACAAAATTCATAATAAATTCAAAAATTAATACGTATGTACGGCAAACATTATTCAATAAATAGAACAGACATCACAAATGCTACACCATGAACCATGATTAAAGCTTCTTAAATCTTAATATCATAATAAAGCTTCATCATAACGTCGCTGGCTTCTCAACAGAAACATTTGACCTTGTAAACCAGAGTATTTCTGATGCCACATAAAAATATGGTTTATAATGGCATTGCCATCCTAATATCCGAAAAATCATACAGTCATAGGAGTTTAGGTATACTTAAGGGGTTCTTAAAGAGATGTAAGACTTTTGCGAGTGTTCATTTTCGGATGTTATACGAGTTTTTAATTATTTTAACTACATACTCCCGACCTTTCGGTTACTTTGCAGCTACCGTAATTATGTGCAGACGAGATAAAAATGTCTGAATTTAAGCGTAGTATATATGAAAATATTAGTTTTATTTAAAGGGGCTTTTAGGTAAAGGTTGGAAGTTTTAGAATGATTTTTTTTATATAATAATATGCAATGATGTATTTTCGAAGACTTTCTACAAACTCCGGTTGGCTGAGGTCCGCACTCTACAAAATTAACCGAGTACAGTTTTTATTTTAATTATCAATATACATATACCGTGTGGCACTCACACGAATCATTCATAATCTTCTATCTTCTATATATATAAAAATGGATTGCTGTTCCTTAGTCTCGCTAAAATTCGAGAACAGCTGAACGGATTTATCTTATCTTAGTCTTTAAATGTTCGTGGAGGTTCAGGGAAGGTATAAAAGCTGAAAAAAATTGATTCATTACTGGGAAAACCATAAAAACAGCCCTTTTCTATTTTCCATACAAACGTTTTTTTGACATTTGATTTGACAACTAACTAATATGTCAATCATTCTGTCGCACTTCAAAACACGGAGATTTAATGCTTACAGGTAAACTCCAAAAATATAAATAAAAAAACGTAATAGATATTTCTTGATTATAGGGCGATACGAAGTTCGCCAGGTTTTCTAGTTTTAAATATAAATGCACGATGGTCAAAATTTTAAGACTATCAAAAAAATTTACTCTAACAGAATCAGGATACGAAAGCCCTGTTAAAATCTGTGGATGATAAATAAAAATAAACAAAACCATACTTGCTACGTACGCGCTACATATGAAGAAAGAAAAATGAACATCGCCAGGGCGGCATCTTAGTATCGGTAAAATATTGTATAACGAGTGACGCCGCTGACTCCGCGGAGCCAACACCAAGCCGTGGGAACCAGAAGCTTCCAAATACCACACAAGCAATAGAATGCCATTGTCATCCTAACGTCGGGGCAATCATGTAGTTTTAGGAATAGGTAATAAGTTTTAAAATGTAATTCGTATTTTAATATACATATAAGTATGTTTCGTAGTTTTCCTGGAACCTCCGATTGCCACCCAATATAATTTACTAGTAAATAATTAAAGCCAGTTTTTTTATCAATATAATCTATTCATCTATTTTATCTTTAACTGCGATCCAAAGTTGAATATCTTGAAAGTTTAGAAACAATAAATCTTTACTAATTTTTGTTTATTTAATACTCATGCAATAAAATCTTAATTTTCGATATTTTTTTTTTATTATTTTTTTTATGGAAAAAGGGGGCAACCGAGCAGACGGCCTACTTGATGGTAGATAGTTACCGTCGCCCATAGACATCCGCAACGTAGATTTGCGGATGTGTTGCCGCCCTTCATTGGGGAAAAGGGGGAGGAAAAGGTGGGAAAGGCAGGAAAAGGAAAGGGTGGGAAAAGGGAAAGAGCAACCGGCTCTCTCACTCACCGGACGAAACGCAGTCTTGTAAAGACTACTTTAAGCCGATTTTCTGTGAGAGTGTGGTACTTCCCCGGTCGAGCCAGCCCAGGTTCGAGCTGCAATCAATTGACCACAGCTAGGCTCTACCACCTGATATATAGTTTATAGAAACTATTCTATGTATCTAGTCTATTTCAATGTATATTGTATGTCAACTTTAGACCCAAAGTTCAGCGAACTCTTTGGTTCCTCGGCAAAACTGTTCTTAGGTTTTAGATGCAAAAAAGTGCCGCACTGCAACATAATACAAAAAAGTGACAACTGTAACTGCATATCAACATACCATGTTCGCGTTTTTTAGAGACATGTAACTTTGGTCTCAAATAGCACTACATCAAATAAAAGACCAGGAGCTGTTTAAACATTTCTACTCGACGTTAGGTTTGAATCTCCGTTAGGTCGTGTTTCGCTATTTGACTTCTTTTATAGATTTTACATAATAATTATAAATGTTATGTATTTTATACAATTTAGAGAGTCTAAAGGTGTTTTTCTGCTTCTTTAACCTCATTATGCCACACATTTTTGAACGTTATGCGAACGTTTTTGAAGTGTCGAATCTCTTCTATTAAAAACGTCTCTTGCATTTCAATTTTATTTCCCTTGCTGCCGTGGCTGTTTCAAACTTTTGTTCTCAATGATTTCTTTCTTCTTTGAACAATACGCGGAATTATTATCGAACAGCACTATTTATTATAAAAACGTGCTGCGTCACCAACAAGCAAAGATACATTGATAAAAAAAAGTAAAACAATTGCACTTTCCACAGAAATAGAGACTAGTTTTAACGTATGTTTAAATTTGAGGCGTCGGAAATCTCACATATCAACCCGACATTACTCATGGAACACCCTGTGTATATAGATTTACAGTGATTGTTTAATTTATTGCCTAACTACGGCGAAACCAGAAGGATGATTATGTTTTACTTTTCTATAAAAACTGAAAAACTGGTTAAAATAGGTATATACGTTTTGTTGCCTTAAGTGTCACTTATCTTATGAAGATAATTACAAAAGCGTAATTAAAACTAAATTTAAATTTCGATTGATTAGAATTTCATATAAAACAAAAAAATGCGTTTATATACATATTAATTCTGTTTTACAAATTGCTTTGAAATAGGTAAGACGGCTGTAAATCATCACCCATGTTTATTTGTACAAGTTCAGTTTCAGCGGGTATTCGACTTTCGAGTCATTGTTCAAATAAACTTTAGTGAAATAATATGAAATTGGCGCTGATTATATAACTGTAAAGTATGAAAAGTGTACCATACCATCATATTTTGAGATTGTTTAGAGAATGAACACATTAGCGGTATACAAAGGCTCCGCAGGTGGGTCGGCGATTAATCACAGTGAGGAATTCAGCGGGGGCGGAGGCGGCGCGACTGCCCTAGTGCCGCCTCGGGAGCCCGACGTGGCGCACGGCCGCCCCTCGCTCGGAACACATGCCCCGCAGCACACCCCTACATATCTTTCAAACACGTACATAAAGGTAAGGATGCAACTTTGGTTCTGCACTCTTTTGTAACTTATCACTTATTGTCTACAGCCTTTTCATCTACCTATGAACGCAAAGACACCCTTTCAATGTTTCTTACTACGGGTAAACTTCTTACAATTTTCAAGTTGTTTTAAGTAACTTTTAGTATAGGGCACGGTGTGAGTGAAAATTTTAATCGAAGCAACTTTTTTCAATAAAGGTGTTTGTATTTTATTGAATATTTTTAATTAAGAAAAATCTAAATCATGTAAAGCTGCTCTTCTAAGTAAATGCATTCAGCTTTAGTTAAATAGGCCATACTTTGTGAAAACTTAACAGTAAATTTAAACTTAGTAAATAGTTTATTTGCGAATAACAGGCATATTTTCAGTATAACATGTAATCTTCATTAATATTGGCTGTAAACGAAATCTCAAATAGAAAAACAATTTTGAGATAAAATAATCTTTATTTGAACAACTAAAATTTAACACAATTTATATATAAGGACCATATGGGATATACCGAACAATAGGAATAATTAATGTACGTACCAATCTTACCTGTTCGTGTATCAGATCTCACACAATAACAGCTATTGTTAGTGTTACCTCCTGGCTCCTCGTATGTTTACGTTAAGCCGACAAGGTTAATAGTATTCTATAAATCAACTAAAACCATATACCGTTAAGGTCGAATAATACACTACATATCCGAATGGATCGGGGTAATGATGACGTGTTTCAATTTATGTGGATATTAGTCGAGCTTTTGTTCACAAGACAAAGTCTACATCTATACACGTTGAGTTTTATAGCTTAGTGAACGTATAGAACTCTCGTTTCAATCATAGAACGACACAGATAAGTTGGTAATACAACAATGGTACATATCTGAGAAAAACCAATTGATATATTCAGGATTATTCTCCCATCTTGTTGGTGAATTATTAACGGATGAGCGCTTACTACCGCGTCAGGTTCCATTATTTTGTACACCCAAAATTAAGCTCTTTCAAAATCCAGGCTTTTATTTCCCAGCGTTTTAGTTACATTTGATTTCCTCCGGGAGCAGTTTTATCACTGGATAGTACCCGAATTTAGTATCTTTGTCAAAGCGTATCAAAATTTGTGATATCTGACTGAATTGTATTCATGAGAATTGAAAGGAAAACTGTTTTTAGATACATATGTATGTATATACATATTTACACACATATTTAAATAGTACTTCAAAAAAATACTAGAAATCCACTTATTATTTCCAGATATTTTTTATTTTCATAAATTTTTGTAAATTATCTTCATGTTTTCATCATTTAATTTCACTTATGGACTTTTTGAAATACTTCTGTATTTTTGTGAACATTTCACATATACATATGAATAACAATATTTTTTAAATATTGTAATACAAATAATATTCGTAGGAAATATTTCCTTCATAATGTCGTTATTATATTTTTATTAAATACTAGTTTTTGCCCGCGACTTCGTTCGCGTTAATTTCGTCATTAGTATTATATGTATAGCTGACCGGGCAAACTCTATTCCGTCTTAAATAACCAGGTATTGGTATTTATTAAATTTCTACTGTTTCAATCGAACAGAATGATTGACATATTAGTTAGTTGTCAAGTCTAATGTCAAAAAATCGTTTGTATGGGAAATAGAAAAGGGCTGTTTTTAGGGTTTTCCCGGCAATTATTCCAATTTTTCTCACCTTTTAAACCTTCCCTGGACTTCCAGGAGTATTTCAAGACTAAAATTAGCCAAATCGGTTCAGTCGTTCTCGAGTTTTAGCGAGATTAAGGAACAGCAATCCATTTTTATATATAAAGAAGATGCCAATCATTCAACTTCGAATTTTTTTCCCCGTCGAAATGTAATGTGGATTATTTACAAGTAGTGCCTTCGTTTGTAAAATTTATAACGAAATATTATTAATTGAAATACATATCGCAAATAGTGCACATTTAGTTATGAAATTAAACAAAGTATGTAGTTCACTTTTACTGAGCTTTCATGTTGATTCATAGAATTAGATATTACGTACCAGATTTTCTTTATAAGACCCAGTAACAGAAGCTTGCCTTTTAAAATGATAATTTATTGTTTATAGAATGGTATATCAATCGATTAATATAGGTTCGATTTATATTGAAACAATGACTTGCTATAGTGGTGGTCTGAAAGTGAAAGCCTTTCTCAGCAATTTCAAAGTTTTTGGTCCATTTTACGGCGGTTGTAAGAGAAGTTGCTAATATAAATTACCTACATAAGAAGTTTGTATTAATATTTTACAGAAGTGGTTACTTTTTTACTCATTTTACGAATATTGTATCAATTCAGATTCGCTTTATATTTAATGCGACGATTCAAACTTGCGATGGTTATGATATATTCAATATTGTTTAGTTGTGTAGAATAAATTTAAGGACATTTACTGTCCTCCTCGCGAAGTCGCTCGGGTCCTGTTGAAGAGTCAACAAACAACACTTGTCACAAAAGCATAAAGACTAAAATGCAACATAAATGTGTACGCTAATGGTTCACCGTCTGCCGCGGATAAAAGAAGCTAACAACGCTGACGGCTGAGTGTGCACTGTGCACACGTGTGACTTGTAAGGCTTTGACTTAAAATGAAGCTGCGAGCTCACTTTGTACTGATATTCTTTATACATGCTTCTATTATCAAAAACATTTTAATGAAAGTGAAGTCCTATGCAAGCGAGCTAATATTATTTTATTAGAGGAATTCAATGTGACAATGTTAGTATTTGGTAGATTATCACATGTTGTGTTGTTGTGTTATATAACAAAATTTGCCTAAGAATTTCAGTTACTCTACCCGATCGCTAATCGAGCTTCCGACATTTATTCTTACCCGAGGTCGAGGGTCATTTAACATCCGTTGTGTAAATTTAACATAATTAGCCTTTGATTAATTTTTGATGATAAGGTTTGAAGGAATAATAGTCATAATTCCTTTAATCTTCCCCTGTTATAATATTAATTTTTAAATCTCAACATTGTCTTACTCATTAAGTTTATAGGCAGTAATAAAGTTTTTTTTATTTACGCTTCGTGATTTTTTTACATCTGTTTTTTATTTAGTGTAATAAAATACACATCCATGTAAATATGATATCGTGACTTATAATGAAAAGGTACGAGCTATGTATGTAATACACAGAGGAGGCATTTTTAATAAATATGATTCAATTTATAAAATTCACAGAGGGAAATTTCCAAGTAATACAGGTAAAGATTGTAGCATAAAAGAAATTCATAATTAATTTAGCTCGCAACTGTAGTGTCATAGTTATTGTATTGACTAAAATATGATGAAATTTTCAATGATTTTGATGAAATTTTGTGAGCATATTGAATAGGTCTGAAAATCGGCCAACATCTATTTTTCATACCCCTAAGTCATAAGGGTTGTTCACCCTTAATTTTTTTATTTCGGACGAATTTTTTTGTTGTTTTATTTATTTATAATGTAGCATTAAAAATACATACAACCCTAAATTTTTACTTTTTTATCACACAAACCCTATTTTTTATATGACAAAATAACGTTTGCCAGGTCAGCTAGTAGTTATATTTATAAATATGAAAGAATGTTGCTTTATTTACATCATTTATAACTTAAGAACGGCTGTATAATATGGTTGAAAATTGGCGGAGAGATTAGAGCTTAGAACCAGGAAACGGATATAGGATTATTAAATTTGGCCGAAGAAAAAAATGCTTAATAAATTCTAATGTCTAGTTATTTACGACGTCTAGGGCGGAATAGATTTCACCCGGTCAGCTATACCTACATTTATTACTTATTCCGAAATTAATGCAGATGAAGTAGCGGGCAAAAACTATTTCAACAATAAGAAAAATTAAACGAATACCTACTATATTTGCGAATTTACGAATACTCTTCTATCTACAACTTGTGTTGTTTATTTATAACATCCGCTTACAAAACTGTTAATTGAAAATTCTGCCTCAAAAATGATAATATAGTACATACTACATATATGTATATCAAGTATGCAACTATGTACCTAGCTATGTTTCATGTCTAATTTTATACGATTATATACATTGTAATTAGAAGGTTCTTGAGAATCATGTTAACAATTTCTCCATGTAGAAACGTAAACTTTTAGAGGCGAGCAAAGTTCGCGTGCTTATAACTACTGAGGGCGGTGCGGACTTTCGCAAATCATTCAGTAATTTGAGCAAAACGACGCCTTGACCCCGTATTGTGTATTTACTAACTGTTCAAATAAAACTCTGTGACTTGCATTAACTATTTTAATAACTTTTACTTTGATTCGTAGATTCGTGGTTATTATTTATTTCCAAAGTTTTCGCGGGGTATAACATAGTTTTATGGAATTTTTTTTGCTCCAAACCCAACTTGATTAGTAGTATTAATAAAACGTTAAACGTATTTTCCTACTTATTTCGCCGGTATATATCTCCATATTCATAATATTTTCGTACAATGTATTTCATTCTTTTGGAGGGACCAATGAGTAAGGTAGCATATTCGCAATAAATAACTTTAACAAAGTGATATCAAAGTAACAGAGAAAGTTAGTATTTCTTTCAATAATAACTTTCTCACGCCGCTCTTTCTCATTACATCTATATAGTGAGAGGTCATAAATAAAAGTTTTTATTGGCCCAACAATATACGAAACAGTATTGAATCAACTCAACTAGAAAAACTTGTTTTTTTCATTTCAATGTCAGAATATTTATATGTAAGAATAAAATTAAATATAATTTATAAAAGAAACACATGTATGTAAATTTCCAGCTACATTTTTTTTGATATGATGATTTAAATGAGGTGTGTTCGTGTGAACTTGTTCTACTTTCTGAAGTTGAGCTATTTCAAGAAGTTAAAAGAGAAGAAAATAAGACTGTAACTTTTACTCTATTTTAAATATTTCTTCTTTCTGGTAATAATATCCTTATTACATACAAAACACAACGATATTTTTAATGAGCTGTGTATCTATTAACGTTTTGTAATAAACAAGTTAAAACATTGTTATATTGCGTGTCAAAGTTTTAAGATCAATTAATTTATAAGGATGTAACTTTAACTAAGAGATTCGCTTAAAATGGACCTACACATATAAATTTACCACTTGTACTAGCTTGCTTTTAGAGATAATGTAAAGTAAAGTAGCACTATTTCCTGCCACTTGATTTACACATGTTTAAACTGAAACTTGGATACATAAAAATCCATTATTAAATGCAATAAGGTACTCGTAATAGTTTTTACGAAATACTTTAAATATTTTTAAAGACCCGTAGGAAAAGAAAATTTTTAGAGTATATTTTAATATTCATTAAGTTGTGTTTTGGAAGTTTCATTAAAATAAGGTTAATTAAGTACGCAGCTATCATGTTAATCATAATTTGAGATACACGAAAGAAAAACATACTCCCTAGAAAATCTTTCTGTTTTCAAGGTTTTTGAGACAAAATATACCTTTTTTTTTTTCTTAAGTTTCAATTTCATATATGTATTTATTTCGTTCCATAAATTTGGTACAAAAATATGTAAATATAAAATATATGTATATATAAGGTATGTATAAATATATATTTTTAAATTGTATTTAATTCATACAGAAAATCTTTAGTTTTGGTTAAATGATTGAAATTTTAAATTAAAAACATAAGTTAAATAATATAAGTAACTATTAATTAAAGTATATAAGTAAATTGAAAATAAAAATAATGATTATTATCTATCAACATACCTCATATAGTATTAGAGTACTTTATATTTAATAGCTATCTGAAGTGTATTGAAACGTAATAAAAGTTAATATGAAGAGATATTTCGTACAGCACTTGTGAGCGTAGAGAAGATTTCTACAAGCCATTGAAGTGCAGACAATATCAAATTCCACGAAAATGTGAATATTCAAAATTCTTGCTTCATCCTAAACCCTCATAGTATATTATTTTTTAATTCAAGATATTTTTGTGGTTTTAAATAATATTATTTCTATAGGTTTCCTTACAAGTGTTTCATAACAAACCACTATAAACTGTAATAATTAAATTCTTCTTGAAACAATGACTGATGATGCTATTAAAGTGATTTTCTAAAATTGATTATACTTTATCCACAGGATATGTGTGCGTCGGCTAGACCAGACATATTTTTATATTGGCGAATTTTGAAAAAGCGCGTTGTGGTAATAGAGCTCATGGTTTCTTGCGAAATTAACATCCCCAGAGACCATACCATCAAGGTAAAAAAGTATTACGAGCTCATAAACGAATTCACTAAGAACAGGTTCGTTGTACATTTGTAAGCAGTAGAAGTGGGAGCGAGAGGTATAACAGCTAAATTTCTCTACAGCCTACTAAAAGACTTGGATCTGACCAGGATTAACAGAAGTTCATTATTGGAACGTGCGTCGAAGGCAGCATAGTAGGTTCGTTTCAAATTTGGTTAGGTAGAGAGAAGAGCTTTGATGGTGAAGGTCAGCGTTTAACACGCATTAGATAGGGGCCCCTTTAACCTAAATCTGGGTCGCAAGTCCCAGGCACTTCTGAATCTCTTCTCCCTGCAAAGTGATGGACCCGTCACCCTCACGGTGACTCCATGGAATGCTGAGACGTTTCGTCTTTATCATATTATCTCTCTCTTTTACTGTATATAAATACTGGAATTGCGTAAATATTTATTGCTTTTACTAGATTTCGGGAATCGAAATTTAGTTATGGTATTGACTCTACGATAATATTCCTTTTGTATATGTTCTCTTATTTGACTGTGGTTTATTTTGCCTGTTTCATTAATAGCTAAATATTTAAATTTCTCATTAATTTTTAGATGTTGAAACTGATTTTCGTTCAGTAGTATATGACCTTCGCTTTCATATCCGCTTCTTCCTTCAACTGTCAAATGCAATACATTGCATTTGTCCAAACTAAATTCCATATCTACGTGATACATCTCTAGGAAATATGTCAGTACTTTCTCTACTGAAAGTGATTATTATAATCGTTCTAATATTTGAATATAATTTTAAATCAGCTATTTAAAGTTGTGTATGGTTATTATTGTTATACCTTTTGATAGGTAATAGATAAAAAAGATTTAACGCGCTACAAAATAAGAGGTGACGATAAAAAATCTTCTTGAAATATGCCTCGTCTCATTGATATTGAATATGTCGATCCTAAATTGTTTTTGCCATGAACTGTCATAACAATTTTCCATTTAGGCATAACTTGTCCAAGAAAACTACTAATAATATTTGGATAAATAAAGTGTTAAAATCTTCACTAATTATGCGAGGAAAATGCTATCAAAGGCAATTTTGTAATCGATTCAGGCCATACCAAGATTCTTTTGAGCATTATAAGCATCTTCCAATATAGTATTATTAATTATTATTAAATGATTACTTTCTCTGACTCCTCATCAGCATCTTTTTTGTTCGGGGTAAATTATGTTAATTGTATAAATTTTTTAAAAGTTTTTATATAGTTGGCAAAGGCCATTCGGCAGCTATAGATTTTTGTTATTATTCTATTTAGAAGTTGTATTTGAATCGTTTTTAATATAATAATTCTGTACTTTGTCTAAGCTAGGAGTTTTTCAATAGTGGAACTGTTTAATTGCTCTATCTAGTTTAATCTTATCTATTTCTGAAAGTCGTGTTCTTCTGTGTCTGAAATCCATTGTGCATCTTTATTGCATGAAGTTGGTGTGCATTCGTAGGCCTTTCTATAATTCTTCTGTAATATCTTTGGATGCATTACACCTGGTATTTCTTGTGACCATTAAGAGCTAAGTATTGTGCTGATTTTGTTTATTTTTTTATTTTGTTTTTTTTTTCTATTTTTTTATGTCTTGGTTATTTATGTCTTAATTATTGGTTATTTATGTCTTAGTTAATATATATATCCTAACGGCTAAGGTTTTAACTTTTTTTTTATCCAAATCGTGATTTGGGCAAAAATGTTGTGTTTTTCAAAAAGATTAACTTTTATTTTTACTAAAAATTGGACGTAGACGTAAACTAATACGTCTATGATCAATGCCTTTTTTAATTTCTGTAATTTGGTCTAGCTTTTTATTGAACACTAGTTTTTGCCCGCGACTTCGTCCGCGTTAGTTTCGTCATTAGTAATATATGTATAGCTTCTATTCCGTCCTAGAGGCCATAAATAATCAGGTTTTTCTCAATCAAACAGAATGATTGACATATTAGTTAGTTTCAAATCTAATGTCTTCGGAAATAGAAAAGGGCTGTTTTTGCAATTATTCAATTTTTCTCACCTTTTTACCTTCCCTGAACCTCCACGAACATTTCAAGACTAATATAAGATAAATCCGTTCAGCTGTTCTCGAGTTTTAGCGAGACTAAGGAACAGCAATCCATTTTTATATATATAGAAGATTCTAAGTAGCTTTTAATTCTTCTTTTCTTCGGAGGATCACCTTTTACCTTTCTTACTTCTAGCGGTGCGAATCGTTTTTGGTTATTATGAACGATTAAAGTTTTAGAGGCCGAATAAATAACATGTTAGATTGTTAGGTAGTCGTTGATTTTGTTTTAATTTAAAATTTTGGTTTCTGTAAAAAAAATTCTGTCGACTATTTCATCAGAAAACAAAGCAACATTCTTTACTTATTGTTTGTTGAAATTTGTACGAAGTCTACCTTACCTATTAGTACCTTACCTTCCTCGGTGTTAATTAATCAGTGTAAAAGAACAATATTATAATATATTATATCATATAATATATATAATTTCATATAATATTAAATTTATTGTATGAAATTTATAAATGTATTGTTGGTATATCTGAAGTTCTTTGTTTTCATTGTAATAGACAGAGCGGGAGGGTTCTATTATACTTTTTTTTCTCGTTAAATATTAAGCTAAGGACGGCCTCCGGAGACGATACCTTCAGGCAAGCCTGCTTTTGTATATGGAAGTTTTATTCCGCACAAATGGAAGGTGTATAGATTTTTTTAATAATATTAAAAAACCAGAACGTAAGTTGCAATAGTCGGTAAGTATAGTGATTTCTCCAGTCATTGAAACCAGATGCAATATTTTAATGAGAAAGAAAAATCGATATTAAATGAAGATGATAACTAATTCAACGTTTTTTATGGTAACGATATTCATATTATGACACTATTATGTTTAGAAAATGTATCAACATTAGCAAATTACAATGTATAATTAATAAACG